CTTAAGAGCCTTCGAAAGGTTATTCTAAATATTTCTTTTATCTTTATTAAATCGCTAGATAATATAGTAATATATAGGGTTATACTAGTAGGTAAAACGGGAGACCTTATTATTGTCTTTAGTAATATAATAGTCTATATAGGCTTCTTTAAAGTATTTGATAAACTTATTAATATTATCTCCTTTAAATAGACTAGAGAGGCTATACTTAGTTAGCTTAGGAAAGTATATATATATAATAGTATTAACTTTAATATTATTTATCTTATAGGTAGGCTTAGAGGTAAGAGATATTTAGGTTAGAGGTTAGGGTATTAATTCTTCTAGAGGAGTATAGATTAAAGTATCTATATCTAACTATTTAAAGGATAAGTATAGTATTAATCCTAATTCCGGAGTTTAACTAAATCTAAATATAAACTATATAGTAGTTAATACTATAAAGCCGGGTAATAATTCTTTAGATAAAGACTAGTTACTAGGTATTAAGGTTGTTAAATTATTAAACAATTTCTTATAGTATAATAGGTCTTATCTATCAGAGCTAGGGCGGTTTTCTATAGGCTAGAGGTTCGAATAAAAACAATATTATTATCATAGTTTTTAAAACTTAAACTAAAGCTAATAGTTTCTTCTATATATCAAGCTATTTATACTAATATATATAGAAATTATACCTTTAAGCCCGTTATCCCTCTAGATAGACCGCTAGCTAAGTTTTTAAATAGCTTCCCTTCTAATCTTATATATTATTATTAACTATATTAGGATTAGATCTATATTTCTCCTTAATATTTATACTAAATAGCTATGTTGGATCCTATATCTAATTATAAATTAGTAGTAAATATTAATAAACCTAGTAGAGTTTTAAAAAGATTATAAAAGACTTTACTAGCTATTAGATATAAGCTAACTAAGATATAATTATTACTAAATCTAATATAATATATTAAGATAATAGTTCTTAATATTATTATTATTATATACTAACTAATACCGCTCTTTTATACTAATACTATACTCCTATTCTATTTAGAGAGCTAGCTATTATACTATTATCGTTTTCTTCTATGGTTTATTATCGTTATTATCGTTATTATATTAATCCGTTTTATTTCTTATATATATATCTTAATATAAGCCTAGTTTAAACCTAGAGCTATACTCCTCCCCGATTAAACCCCTATTTAAATAGGTAATAATTATCCTATCTATAAACTGCTAGACCAGTTGTTAAAATACCAACCCTCAGATCTGTTAATCTGTTAGAATCTGGGAGGATATGCTACAAACTCTAGTAACATCAATTGGTCCTATAAACAAGCTGCTTCCTCTATTTAGAGGGAGATATATATAGTTATTTACTACCTTATTCTATAATTACAGTATAAACTTATAGTTGGAAAACTGGTGATTGTATTGTCTGTCTTCCTGTTTAAGATGAAGCGTGCCCGGCCTTCTAATATATAACGAAAAGCCAAATTGGAAACGGAAAAACAAAGACCCCCTTCCTCTGGACTGATATATCCCAACCTATCGATAATAGGGGTGTGCCTTAAATTAATATATATTATAACTATTAAAGCTATTTAACAATTAGCGGCTAAGAGGGAGGAAGAAGAAGTTAAATAGGCCTAGGAGAAGGCCTATAAGGGTTCTAGGTAGGGGGTTATTACTTTTGTAAATATTTATAGAGGGAGATATAGTTTAATAATACTATCTTTAAATAGCTATAGGAGGGTTTTAGTAGGTTTAGTATATTAGGAATAGCCTCTCTTTTACTCTACTTATTATAATACTAATATCTATTCAATTTAACTATATAGCTAGCATTTTATAGTAACCTTAGTAATATTGGTAATAGTAGTATAGATATTCTTTACCCCTATAAAATAGGAGATTTATACTATATAAATACTATATCTATTCTAGGAAGATATCTACTATATTAGCTTACTAGTAGCTATAACCTATATTATTAATATAGTAGCTCCCTATAATATCTATATAATATTGTTAGGTTTAAGGCCCTAGCTAGATTCTTTTGCTCTTTAAGATAGTTGAGAGTATCTATTTAATATCTTTAAGATTATTCTTTATTATATATACTAGTTTAGTACTAGAGGCTTTTAATAGTTTAAGTATAACTATTACTATTAAGACTTTATAGGCCTACTTATTTTAGTTCTTAGTAATCTCTATAAAGTTATGTATTTTCATTACTTTACTATAAATTATCTAATCTTTTCTTTATAGATATCTTCTCCTATATATATCTAAGTTCTAGTAGTATCGTTATTATTATATAGTATAGCCAGTAGCTTATTGCTAAGGTTAGTAAGGGTATAGTAGCAGCTCGATATAAGCCTACTTATACTTCTATTAACTACTATTAATTGCACTATAGTATAGCTACTTATACTATTATATAGCATTGTTTCTAAAGGTAATTAGCCTTTAAAAAAGCAATTATATTATCAGTTTACATTTCTATAGTATATATAGCTCTGTACTAGTATATTGGTTCTATAGAGGTATTTCTTTAACTATACTAATAGTTATAAAGTTATTTATCTATTTAATTAACTATAAAAGGGATATAGTTAGGTTTAGTAGTAAAGTATCTAGAATATCTAGCAAATATTTACTATAGATCTTAGAGCTATTCCTTTTATTAGTAATATACTAAACATTTAGTATACTATATAGGCTTTTTAATTTAATAATATCTTAGGAACTTAATAAAGAGTCTAAACCTTATCTATATTTTAGCAATTATTTATTTAGAGATAGTTTAAACTATTCTAAAAGTCTTTACTTCTAGTTTTAAATACTAAATTAGTTATTAGACTTATTTTAAATGTAAGTTAATAGGGTTATATAAGAAGAAGATATTAATTAAATAGGGTTTGAAATAGTGTATTTAGGTAATTTCTTAAGTATAATTAAAGTTTAAGAGATAGCTTTCTTATTAGCCCTTTACTACTACTTTAGCTAATAATGAATAGTATCTTATCTAGTAAGATATAGAAGGATTGGAACTTATTAGAGGGTCCTAATAAGGAACTAAACTCTCTAAAAGACTACTAAAAAAGATATTTATATATATAGACTATATAACTAAGGTGATTTACTGGTAAAGGCAGACTCAATTATAAACTAAGAACTATCTTTTAGACCTATATATTATTAGGTTTAGAGGATAACTAGAACTAATCCTTAGAGAGATTCCTTAAGATTAGGCTTGGCTATACTCAAGAAGCTCTATATTGAGCTTTATAATGTTACTACTTTACTATCTTCACTTCTTCTATTTACTAGAAATAACCTAGGGCTCTATCTTATAATATAGAGTTAAATATCTTTAGTAACCCATTTAATAAATATAGGGTTAGTAGTTTACTCTTTTCTAAGTAAAAGTCTAACTACTATATTAAACTTAAAGAAATGCTAGATATAAAATATTTAAAACTTCTATAGAAACCTCTCTATAATATAGTATATAAATACCTTTTTTAAAGTTAGGAAATAAATAGCTAATTTAATAAATAAGGAATGAGTAAGAGTAAACTTCTCTTTACTTATTACGTTTATTATATTAATAAAGAAAGGGTATAGAGGGTAGAGGTTCTATATTAAGTATTAAGTAGAATTATTATTCGCTGCTCTTTTATTAAGGAGGTATTCTACTAAACTTTATATTTACTTTACCTTCTCTAGAATATATATATATTGTAGAAGAATATAAGTATCTAATAGTATTCTAAATAAGGTTCGGTCTTTTTGAATAGTTATTTTACCCTTTCAAGTTAGTAAAAACCCCTATAATAAGCTAATAATATATTAATAATATCATTAATAAGATACTAGAGGACTTTATAATTATCTACTTTAGTAAGAATTGAAGATACTTTTATAGAAGTTAAGAGAAGTATATAAAATAAGTTAAGGACATTTAATGCTATAAAGACTATAATAATATTTAATATTTTAAAGGGTGTTTACCCTACCTTTTATATGGAATTAGTAAAGTATCTTATAACTAACCTATTATGCTTATAGTATATTATAGACTCTTATTCTAGACCTTAATAGAAGTTCTGCTAAGATATAATAATACTATAGAAGGAATATAAGATAAAGAAGATTATAGGTATAAGAAATATAAGAGAAAGAGGGAAAAGACAAGATGTATAAGTAAAGTAAAGAGTTTATATTATGCTAATATAGAGCTCCTAGAAAAGACAGAAAATACTATATAGTACTAGATATATTTAAATAGAAATAGAGAGATATATATTATATTAATAGCTTAATATTATATATTAGGTATATTTAATAATATATAAGTTGTAATTAATGTATATACATCTCATATAAGGTAGGTCTAGATCTAGTTTGGATGTAGGAAGTATATTAAGTATATAATATAATATACTTTATACTTAAAGTATATTAGAGCGAAAGTAAGAAAATAAGAAAAACAAAAAGTTTATATACTAAATAGCTAAATATAACAGGAATTATTAGCTAGGAGGTATGTTGTAGCCTATGAGGTGGGCCTGTATAGAACTAGCTAGGGCCTCTATTATATATACTCTATATAGATAAAACCTTCCCTATCTACACACCGTTTCCTTTGTTTAGTTAAACTCTTCTTCAACATATACAGACTATTAATATTATCTACCTATTCTTTCATTCTCTCTACCTTACCTTTATTCTGTAACCGTACGCTGTATACACCTTATATATTTTCAAATACATAAGAAGATCGTAGCCATACTTCATATTTGACCTCCTTTCGAGCCATGTGCAATAGAGGCTCGTTACACTTTATCTCCTATACTTGAGCTAGGCACTACTTAGCTATAATCCGCTGGTAGTGAGCTTCAGTTGTTCCAAGCCCTTGAGGTTACTTTCTAGGTTTCTCAGAGGCGGCCGTTAACCGGCCGTGATACACAGAAAGCCTCACACAAAGATGTAGATAATTAAGGGCCTGGTTATACAGCTGTTCATCCGGACCTGCCCGCGTGAATTTGACTTGCATATTTATCCATACCTAAAAGCCTCGACACGCCTCATAACAAGAAGAGGATCTCAAACTTATTACCTACCGCGCAAGAGAGAAGAAGAAAATGTCAAATCGCCCTTCTTTTCCCCAACTCAAGGCACACTCCCTCAGGTTTCCAAACGTTGAAACTACCCTAACCTGCTTTCTTCTCCTTCTCTGCAATAACCTCCGCAATCCTGGTGCCCCTGCCGTCGAACTTCTGCGTACTCGCCTCGAGCCTCTCCATGGAGCTCCGGACTGTAGCCGCGATAACGTGGGGCGGGTATGTCTCGAGGAGGGTCCTGGCATAGACGCGTGCGTAGTTGAACGAGGCCACCCCGGCTTGGGCTTCGAGGAGCGAGCCTTTAATGTCCCGAACCATACCGTTAGCCACGTCGTAGAAGCGCGTGATGTCTCTTAGGAGCTTCCCGTGCCCCTTGTTCTCCACCTCAACGTCTATTTTCCGCATGACGAAGACCCACAGGTCTTCGAGAATGTCGTAAGTAGGAGTCTTGCCGAGTCCCCTGCCGGCGAGATCCCTGATCGTGTCGAGGTCGAAATAAATATCGTCCAGTGCAATTAATACAGCATCTGCTTCATTGATCAAGCGATTGATTCTTTCCTCAAATTGCTTAGCAGTGGCCTTGAGCACCCTCTTTACTTCCCACCCGGGCGATTGACTGCGGGGAATTCCCGCGAGCGGGCGTAGCGCCGCTACCATACTGCTCAGGAGCGTCTCCGTCTCCTGTGGCTGGACTTCGGCATCCCGCGCAACTTTATGGAGCACTTCGATAATATATTTGTCCAGCATCTTCATCACATCGACGCTGTGATTGACTGAAGCTGTAAAGCCCGCCAATAACCTGGAGTATAGCGCATTGGCGGAAGTGGTCAAGTGCGGATGGGGGGATAACTCGTAACGTACTTGGCTGTGCGATTTGTGCCGTCCATCAGAAGACCAAGGTAGATGTCAAGGCTGACTTTATCTGGTAGCTCGCTGGTTGCAACACGAATTCTGAGATCCCGGATGGCGCCATGATGATCCAACATCTCGCGGGCAAGGCTGTGATCCCGGCCGACGCGCCTTGCGGCATCAGCAAGTCCCTCTCGGGGCAGCGATATCCCAGCCAGGAGGTCGGGTCCCCACAGCTTCGACAATCCTGGCGGTTGACATAGCACGAGCTGGGAGCCGACATAAGGTGTGGCGCATAACACGGTCGACAGGGCGTCCTGGTCGTTCTCGAGGGCGAACGAGACGGTGTAGGTGAATCCCAGCCATACAGTGTAGGCGATCAACGCCTGTCGACAGAACCGGCCGATGGGGGGCAAGACCTCGGGCAGCTCCGAGAACCAACGCAAGAGCGTCCGAAAGAAGGCCCTGAGAGGCATTGGGAGACGTTGGTCGAGGGCGTTAAACAACCTTAGGATCAGGCGGGAGAGGAAGCCCAGAAATGCTAGGACGTCCTGGTAGATGACCTCGAGCGGCCACAGAACCGGGCGCAGGATCCCCAACAGCGTCAGGAGATCCTGAGGTACAGCGGAGAGCAGTCTCAAGGTAAGATACCAGAAACCTAGCAGTGACAAGACTTGGGAAAGCGCGGCCATAACCGTCACAAGAAATTTCTGCAGCGGTCGCAAGGCGGGCGAGACGAATGAAGGTAGTGGCAGGAAAGTCAAGAGGAGCCCGAGCAGTACCAGGGCCCGGGGGAAGAACTTGGCGAGGCCGCTCAACACATTGCCACGAGGATGATCGATCGTAGTGTTGGTAACGGTCATGCTCGTCTCCATCCCGCCAGTTGCATCCTGGCCCTTGATCTTATCATCGCCAGCGCTGTCAGTGGTCTGCTCGTCTGCTGTGGCGGAGGCAGCCTCGCCCCCGTGAACCCCAATAGTGCCCGTCGAATTACGCTGAGGGGCTTTTGGCGGAGATGGAGGGGGCCTCCGGCGACGGGTCGACGGTTTGTTCGGCATCGTAAAGTTGGTTCTTAGGGCAGTGTACACGCTGAGTAAGGTGAAGCTGGATGGAGTGCTGCCAGATTGTATCAGGAACAAGGTGCATCGGTGTTTTCGAAACTTCTGAGTATGCAGGAAGAAGATTGAGAAAAGAGAGGAAGGCTGGAAGCAAACGCAGGGACTCCGGGGCTGACATTTTACCACTGGGCAGAACAAAGAAAACAAACGGAGACGGTTACGCGAGGGGCTTCGATTGGTGATAGCAAACTACACGGGGCTGTAAGTAACTATGGGTATTTCTATGTATACTTGACGAATTTCTAAACTAGATACCGCCGGATTCATAGATGGAACGTATGAATTATTCGGAGAGCTCCCAGCTTGAACCAGCATGAAGACCGATATTGTTGCTGAAGTCCCCAACTCATCTACAGAAGAGTGCCTTTCTTTTATGCATACAACAGAGACGGTTATTTAACTGGAAACCCCTTTATCGATTAGTGCTTTAAACATTGCGATTCTTTTCCCTGGTTTAAATCGTTGGTTGGGTGTCAAGATAGGGGTTTTCAACACTGAAACGTAGGCCAATGTTTAAGGTGTTGTGTTAACAAACCAACTAGTATTGCACCGACAACATCTCCTTTCTTTTCGGTATCGATATCCCTAGCGCCTCCTGCTTAAATTTATAAGGTACATCGCTGGCCCCCACACTCTGTCATTGTATGTACGTAACGAAGCTTCCCACCCTCTAGGCGGAACTCGTGGCTGTCCGCCGCCATCATCATGTGCTCCCAAACACAGAAGATGCTGACTGATCCCATGGCGTCGTCAATGACATACCGGCGGCGGGTATTGGGCGCTTGGCTGGAGTTAGAAGGAATGCCGGGTTTGCAGGAGTCGTCGGGACTCCCCTTCCCGGTATATGCAGATCCTTCGAGTCGAACGCAGGGCGTGCCCCAGGGAACGGCCTCTGAAGCGGTAGCGTTGCTCCACATGTCAAGATAGGCATCGCCAGCGGCCTGGATAACATCCCGCTCGTCGCGTTTGTCCTCGGGGATCGGGTCCCAATTCTCCTGCAGCACGTACTCGAGCGTCTTCTTGGCGTCAAAGAGCCACGAGTTCGTCGTCGAGGCGATAGTGTCAATGAGCGTAACACGGCCGTCATCCCCGTGGCGGATCTGGGTTCCAATGACATAGGGGTTGGCTGGGTCGCTGACGATGACCTCGGTGTAAGTTGCGCATGCCACGAGGTCGAAGTTGGTGCGCCGGTGGTCGATTGTAAGCGCCTTGCTTAGCACACCTTGGCCGGGGTCTTTCTTCTTGTTGTTTTCTTCGTATTCCCAACCATCAGCAACGACCCCTTCGAGCAGACTGACGTCGCCTGCCTCCTGCGCGGCGATGTAAGCATCGGCTGTTTCGGCCAACACGGCGCGGTCGCAGTCAACTGCTCGCGAAGCCAGAGGATGCCCAAGTACACATTGCGCTACTCCAAAAAGGAGAATCGCAAAAGGGGAAGAAACACTGGTAGAGAGTACCATAATGACTCGCTGTGAATGGAGGAGGGTATGTATGCCGAGACTACTCAAGCTAGGATGCATTTACTGTCATGAAACGATCCGGGGTGGGTGTCAACAAGCCTGAGAAAACGTCGATTTGGCGTGGGAGCCGACCAAGGACCTTAAGCACTTGTACGTGTGAGACCGGGATGCTGTTGCTGAACAAGTGCCGGAGCGTTGAGGGGCAAGTGTAACATGGGCAACAGGTGCCGGGGCTCGGCGCAATCAAGACCTCGTAGCGTTGGTATATTCGTTCGTTCACCCATCATGATCGTCGCAGTGGCACGGTAGCCAATCCCGTATGTCTTGTGGGCAGCCTGTTGTTTCACACACTGGGCGTAGGTGAGGTATATGAGGTCACTATGGGCATATGCTGTACAGGAGGACATCGAGAGCGGGGAAACAGGACATACTTTTGTTGCCGGGCAAGGTGGTTGCCGGAGGCCCGGCTCTATCTGCCCACCCGGGAAATGTATGAATTAGGGCACCCTATCACATTTGAAAGGGGATATAAAACATATGCAAAGTTTAAGATGCCGGGTTGCCGGTTGCCACCCTCGAAACTGGCAGGACAACACCATGGGAAAAGGAAACAACGAGATAGCCACAGAAAATGTAAGAACGAGGCGCCTCTAACCCCAGCGCAGACTTAGAAAAACCGATACATATGCTACAAGGAGAAGTAGTGGCGGCGGCTGCCTGCAGCGAGCATGGCTCATTGCCGGTTGCCGGTCTCACCAGAAGCTGCACCACCCGATGTAGTGCTGGCAGAGATTTTCGAGTTTAGTAGCCTCGATGATCAACTTGTTGACTTGCTCGTTCACCGTGAGCTCATCATCCGGTTTGAAGTCCCGGCCGGTAAGCTTCTGCGCAACACGGTCGAGTACTTCAACTGCTCGTGCGTTCTGCACCTCGGCCATCTCATTCGCGCCATTTCCGTTTGCCATGCTGCTTGGTGCGGCGGCCGAGGAATTGGTACGCGCGCGGCCGCGGGCACCGGGGGGCACACCCATCATGCCGTCCGCCCCTGTGGTGGTCTGAGCGGCAAGGAACTCGGCGGGGGGGACGGGGCCGTCGAGGATCGACGGCCGGCGCGCGCGCCCTGCTTGTGGCCCAGCAATGGCTTGTTCCCGTTCCGAGTTGAAATGTGGTCCAGGCGGGCTGGCCGGATTTGTGAGGCGCCATGTGAGCAGTGGATCGTGGATGAACTAGAGTAAAAAAAAAGCACAGATGATTAGCTCACAGTCCGTTTTCTCTGGGGATTTAGCCCATCGGTGAGACCAGATGACACTTACTGCTTCCAAAACAGCCATCACGCTCTCCTTGTTATCTCGCAAGACCCTCATCACATGCTCGCACGTTGTGCGGAAACTGCCCTCGATGTTGCTAACCTCCATGGCATAAGTGAGCATGCGAGTGAGCCTGAAGGGCACTCTCTCCGGGTACTTTTCCCGCTTCATGGCCACCTCGAAACAGTCGCCGAAGTCGATGTGGATGATTTTTCCTGTGATCCGGTCGAGCATCAGATTACTAGGGTGTCTGTCTCCCAGGCCCAGAATGTATCCGACCATAGACATGACGCCGAGGGAACGAGTGTAATTGGTTCTCCTGTCCAACCAGGCCTCCGAGCTCTTGCTCTTGAGCCAGAGAACGCGGTACAGGTCTTGACCCGTGGTGTTGTCGAGCGCATAGCCAAAAACCTCGACCTTCTGCATCAGCGTCAGGTTATCATAGTCTGGGGCCATCTGTAACATGATCCGGTGCTCGATGTTGAGGAGAATCTTTCTGGATTCCCGGTACTCCCGGATGAGCTGGTGAACGGTATCGCTGTTCGGAACCCAGCCAAGCAGACCCGAATTCTGCGACAAGGGGATCGCTGGGTAGCGCTGAATGTTGAGATGCCGCTTGTAGGACTCGGAATCATTAGCCAGGAGCGTGTTGCAGAGACCAAAGAGCTGCATGACGCGCTCATCCTGCCGGATATCTTCGTGACCCTTGAGCAGGAACGTGTATGTCTTTCCGTCGCTTCCGACTATGGCAAGTTTCCTGGGACGCTGCTTTGAACTAATGACGCTGAAGGTGCCATCAAAGCCCATGATCTTGACAATCTCCTGGCCGCTGCGGTACGTGCCCGGTACTGCAAGCTCAAGATCCCGAGCCTGGAGGAGATCCGGGGAACAGTATGTCAGCTCGAGGCTCGTCATTTGGGGGAGCTGTCGGCTAATGCGTCGGAAAACTTGGTAGTAGAGATCCCAGGCTTGGCTGATGTCGTTCACGTCCTGGGAATGACGGTATTGGCGGCACCATTCGCGCGCCTCGCTCAGGTCCCTGCCAAACGTTTGCGTAAAGGAGATCTCTCTGAGGGTCGCTGGGCCCTTCTCGAGCAAGTCGTGGAGGGGCTCGAGGACGTCGAACATGCCCTGGATGTTGTGGTCGCCGAAATACAGGCGGGAGGCCTCCTCAAGCCCTTCATGCCAGAGTTCGTGCCACAAAACCGCGACTCTAATAAGCTCACGGCTTACGATGTCGGCTTGTTCCACAAGCTTGGGACTGTGTTGACGCATGCTCTCCATGATCAAGCTGGCCGTCTTGGATCGCCGCGTGCTCTGCCTCGACTTCATTGCGACGGTGAGCGGGTATACTAGCGCCTGTGGGTGTGCCCGCCCGACGTCGGACAGTAGAGCGTGAATCGACGCCTGGACCCGCCTGTTAGGTTGATTGATGCGGGCAATGAGCTGCGGAATGACCTCAAGCCAGGTATCGACGCTGACATGCGCGAACCCGTCAGTGACGGCAGTGATAACCTCCTGGTAGCCACCATAGGTGAGCCACAGGGTTAATAAGCGAAGGGTATCTTGTAAAGAGCTGCCAGACGAGAGGGCGATAGACTCAAAGAATCCATGCACGGCCGGAACGACATGGTGGACGATCATGTTGTGCTCGGACCGCCCTTCCAGCTCCTTCCTGGATGCTAGAGCTTGAACGACCTCGAAATTGGCCAGGGCCCAGGCGTGCCAGGCCTTGTACCACCGGGGATGGTAGTGAGTGGCCTTGGAATAGCAATCCAGGATGTCCTGGCGCCGTGTGTGTTGCCAATCGTTCTTACCAAGCGTGATCATCCAATCTCCCTGTCGAAGATAGCATTTGGCAAGGAGCACGGTTTGTTCAAGCCATTGGCGTTGCGCATCGGGGCCGAGGACGCTCTCGTCGAAGTCGGCGTACCTTGTGTGGTTTAGGCCGTCGCCCATGGCATTTGTGGCTTGGGCGGAGGCGTTCAACTGCAGCCTCGCGCTCTCCACGCGGTGGGCAGTTTCCTCTGTGAACCTGTGAAGGCAATAGAGCGTTCGTTCGGCGACGCCACGGTCTGAGCTTCGAACACCTGGCTGCTGGCCAATTTCCCACTGGAACTTGAGTACTGCATATACGATCGGAGACGCGATCCGTTCGAGGCCCGGGCTGGTTGGTTGCTCGAACCAGTAAGGAATGACAGACTCCAGTGGAGCATCAGTGTCAATGAGCTGCTTAAGGGACTTTTCGGCGAGGCCCATCCTCCCGGATTTCCGGCAAAGATTGGCAAACTTTGTCCACATGTGCATATTCTCCTGCGGCGTGAGCACCAGAGACCTCAGCCGAAGCATTCGTTGCCAGACTTCGACGTTGCGTTGGCAGCCCTTGAGGCGAGTCTCCCAAGTTGCCCGAAGGGTGGCACGCTTCTCGGGCCCACACTGCTTGTAGACTATGAGCTCCTCTAGCTCAGCAAGCATCTGGACCCTCACGACGACCTGATAGGCGCGATTGTACGATTCGCTGACGAGCGCGCTGAGCTCCGTGTCAAGACCCTCGCGAGCCTGCTCGATGCAGCCCAGTGCTTCCCGAAACTGGTTCCGATGCAGGGCAAGAATAGCCCCGAAGAAGGCGCGATCAGGCGAGAAGCGCTTCATTGATTGCAAATAGGTGTCCATGGAGTCCCATTTCCCAAGACCCCAGGCTGCTGTGGTCGCCAATGGCGCAATCCTTCGCTGAATTTCCGGGCCCGAATTGGCCCACGTCTTGCCAGCCAAGGAGGCGAGCGAATCCCACTCGCCCAGTGCGTGATAACAGCGCATTTTGCCCATGACGATGTCGACGGGCGTGGGCTGGTCCTCTGGGAGTTCCCGCTCTCTCTGACAGTAGAAGTTGAGTGCCTCATCCCAACGCTCTAGTTTCTCGAACCAGCTCTCTCGTAGTTGGATCCCGTCCTTGTAGGCCTTAACTTTGCGCAAAATGCCGATAGCAGCATCCGACTGCTGTAGCTGATTGTTGATCACGATGAGGGCCTCCACCGCGTGACTGTTATGGTCTTGCAGAAATTCAAGCTCCTTATAGTGAAGTGCTTTGGCGTAGGCGTGGCATCTCGCCGCTTCGCGTCCCAAGATGCGGATATCGATGGGAAGTGCCTTGTCATCATGCTCCATGAACTCTGCTAGATTAAGAAGTTGGCCGAGAAGGTCAGGGGGCACATTCTCGGACTTGATGGTGTTTTCGATGTTCGTAATGAGTTCCTCCTAGATAGATACTGTGTTAAACAGTGTCCGATGACAGCGAGTTCGGGGGCCATACCTGGTAGGAGTCGTAGAGTTCACTCCAACAAGAGACGAAGGCGGAGTTGAAGAGCTCCCGGGCTAGAGGTTGGTAGTTGCTGGCCAGGCTGGCACAGGCTCGGAGGGAGTGGTTCGGCGACTCTGAGAGTAGAGTCGTGCTGAACTTGCGGAACCATTCGTGCCAGTCGTCCTTGGTGGCCTTCCCCTTGGTTTCCCATGCCTGTTTCAGATGCACGGGATTTAGATCGAGCTTCTTCGGTGGGTTGTTCTCAGATGTGTACGGTTCCACAGAGTTGTCCTCAAACCGGGGGGCAAGATTCTGGGGGAGCGCCTCGCCCTTCCTAAGCTTTTCTACCGCCTTGTCGTAGTTGGAATGTTGGATACCGTACATGGTGATGGTCTTCTCGACCGTGTGCTCAAAATGCAAGTAGTCACGCCCTAGCTGTAGCATAAGCGCACAAAGAGTGTCAAGGGCGGCCACCCGGAGGCTGGGCTCCTGGCTGGCGAGGACCCTGGTTAAGGGATGGATGATCTTGGATGCGTAGTCGTTGAGGTTGACCATGCTTGAGAGTTTGCCAATCGTCTCGATTGACGACTTGCGCAGGAACATGGGCTGCGCTGGGTTGTCGAATAGCCGTACCAGAATGGGGATGATGAGATGCATGTATTCTTCCGCGCTGGAGCCGAAGACTAAGAAGGCGTGGAATATCTTCTCTGTGGGCTGACGCTTTGTGCTCGTATCCCTTTCCAATACCCCGAGGACCAAGGGGAGTAAACTGGCAAGATAAATCTTGAACTCGCCCTCCAGCGACCGAGAGATCGACTCAATGAGCGCCATGATGGTGGTCTGCAGCGAAGACGTTGTGTTCCAAAATTCCTGCAGCACCTCGATGATGTCGGGGAGGTAGACACGGATATGCTGGCGCACGATGCCAACGAGTCTGCTCAGGTGGTTGAAGTAGTAGTCGAGTCTCGCCGGGCTCGAGGCTCTAATGACGGCAATGAAAGCGGGGACCACCCGGTCAAGGAACTGAACGCACTTGAGTCCCAGAGTGATGAAGATACTCATGATAGCGTCGACAACATTGCCATGCCACTGTAACAGAGACTGGTCCTTCAGGATTTGAAGTAGGGCGTTGATAACGACCGTGGGGTAATAGTCTTCCTGCGACGGGGTGAGCCCCCCCATCATGAGGGACACATCGGTTAACTGGGTAGCCTCGGGGCGACGTTGGGTTTGCGGCGTCCGCTCTTCGACCTGCTGTTCTCTGGTGTTAGTTCTGTCTTCAAAGGGCTGTTCAAGTTCTTGAGGTTTCTCTAGTAGGAAAGAAAGGGGCATGGAGCCGTCGTCCTCAAACTCGTTTCCCTCATCGTCAGAATCTGCCATGGTGGGGCTGGCAAGTGATAGTGACGAGAAATGGGGTGATGAAGGGGTATAGAAGAGCCAATGAGCTGTACCTGATGTTTGTAAGGATCCAGTGCGCCCAGAATCCCCATAAGCTTGATCGTTTCCTGCCGCAGCGGGCCGTGTTGGGGCTCGCCCCGTATGATGGATTGCAGAATTTCGAGCAGCTGCGGATATTCGAGATAGGGTTTGATGACGTAGCCGGCATTGCTGGCCAGTTGCCCTAGGGTGTGAAGGGCTGCCTCCCGTTTGATGGGCGCGCTTTGATCCTGCAATGCGTCAATGATAATGGGCATGAGCGTGTCCTTGTAAGCAAGCATCTCCGCTCCCCCAACTGTGCAGAGCTCGCCAATCGCCTCGAGAATGGTGGCCGCGACAGACGGGGTCGGGTCAGAAGCTTTTGGCAGGAGGACTTCGGTGATGGAGCTGACGTAAGGCTTGACTAGGTCTTGGGCGTGCTGGGTCAAAAGGCTGAGCAGCTTCGAGCTCTCCTCCTTACTTCTCGCCACGTCCGTGTATTCCAGCTCAGTCAACATCTGTATGATAGTCTTGCGCAGTTGGGGGATGACATATGCCGGGTTATGGCGAGCTAGCCGACCGATAATTGACACGGCAACCTCCCTGACCGCGAACTGCTCGTCATGAAGAGCGAAAAATAGGGTACGTATGTTCTCAGCCTTGGCGAGATGCTGATCAAAACGTTCGTCGAGGGCGGCAAGGACGGTTCGGCGGATTTTAGGCTCAGGATCTGAGACGCCCACTGTCAACAATTTCTCAACGACATCGGCGACGACCTGCAAAGCGTGGTAGCTGGTTTGGTTAACGATAGGATCCCGCACATATAGCTGGCAGCAGGTAAGCGCGGCGGCCTCGCGGATTTCCGGGTCGTCATCCTCGACGTATTTGATGGCGACATCGCGGACAAACTCGTTTAGGACGTGACCTTCACGCAATGTCAGTACTTCTGCAATAACATAGGGTGGTTCTGGTGTAGAAACTAGTAGTTGAAGGATGGTACTCGAGCCTTGGTGAGGGGGCGGGGCGAGAAAGGTTTGTTACCTGAAAAGTCGAAGCTGCCGAGGGTGTTTAAGGCAAGCTTCACCTCGGCCTTTCCTCGTTCGTGCACTGACGGGTCCTTCGGATCTTTGGGAATGGGCGGGATAGAAGAGAGTGGGTTTGGGTGAGGTGCCCCCAACGGCCGGAAGGGTTCTCCACAAAGGACCTTGCTCAGCATGTTGAGCAGGCGCTCTTGTATGGTACCCTTGACAGGAGGGATGTAGAAAGCCATGTCGACCAGCGCCTGAGTTAGCTTCGGTGTGAGCTCGCAAGCGAAGATGGGGTCGAGCAGCGCCTCCATGTACTTGCTCAGAGTTTGACCCACTGCTACTGCGAGCCGGCTGATGCAATCGAACACGGGGTCGACAGAGCCTCGTTTGCGGGACTGCACACTGAGCCCTTCACGGACGTAGATCAGGACGCCATCGAGATAAGGCGCGATGGAGCTCTTGACGGAGTTGGCGATGTTGCCAATGGCCAGGAACGCATCGTTCCTTTCTTTCTCCTTCTTGAGCATGCTGGAGAGGTAAACCATGAACTTGTGCAAGTAGGTCGCGCCGAATTCGGTAGGGGCGTAGTTGGCCAAATCTGGAATAAGAAAAACGACCGTCTTGCGGATCGCGGCATCGCGCGCGTCTTTGTGGCGGAAAACGATCTCGCAGGCGTTTTGATAGTGGTTCTGCATGTACATGCCTCCCTGCTCAAGAAGCTCCTTGAGAACGAGGAGAGAGGCGTGGATGTATTCGACGGTGTTCGTCTTGAGGCCCTTCACCGCTTCCGTAAACATCTTATCCATCCATTCCTGCTTCATCTCCTGATCACGCTCCCGGATTATCTTGAAGCAGGCGCTGACAGTTTCGCTCGAGGTGGCTCGGATCAAGTGGCGTGGATCCCGCAGGCCGATCCAGATTTGATCAAAGACGAAGCCGACGTAAGGATACATCAAGGTAGGCGCATTCCTCGCCAACTCGCGGAGAACCAAGACCGCACTGTATCGCCTCTCCTCGACGCGATCTGACTGTAGCCACTCAAGCGCGGTGTGCATCTCGGCGTCAACAAGCTCCGATATCAGAGAGCCGCCTGGTTTGCACATCTTGCCCAGGACCACAGCGGCAGGTTGCATGGGATTGAGATCCTTCCCGCGTAGTATAGTTCCGATGTATTGCTGGAAGCGACTGTATTTGAGCGCGGGCTCGATGCCCTCAAAGTCTACTAAGGCGTCGAGGATGTAGACGCCGCCCATCTTATCATACGTATCGGTGCCTTGGATCAGGGACATGGTCCTTTGATTGACGGTGTCGAAGAATCGTTGAAATTGTTCGGCGCCCATCTCTGTTCGCGGTTTAGGAACTCGGCCACGATACCAGGGAACTAGGCAGGCCGCCGTAGACGTAGCTCTCACCTTGCTTTGCAATGTTGACGAGGTCTCGGACCTGTCGCGCAGCGCGCTTTCGTTGATCTTCGGCATAGCTTCTATCGCGTGCATAGAAGTCAGTCGATGGGATCTAGGAAACGCTTCCACAATGCAGCGTTAGTGAGTGGTAGGCCAACGCACCGATTCCTGACTTCTTTGATGTACTGGTCCAGCGCGGTGGCCGCTTGATCTCTGATGATCGACATCTTGGTGAGGTCGTGGGTTTCTTCTGATCTCGCGGAAGGACTAGGTGATCTCGTCAAGCGTTGAAGCGCTGTGTCGGTTGTCGCTGACCCATAGTCGGCTGTCGTGCTCCGGCCAGAGGCTAGGTGGGCTCAGGCCAGACAGAGAGTTCGGGCAGGCGTTTGTGCTGGAATAAGAGGGTTTCGGGTGCCTCGACCAGTTCAATACCCAGCACCTTGTTGTCACTTGAAGTTGACGAGTGCCGCGTGTTCGCATTCAATGTCTGAACGACCTTTGGTAGAAGTTGTCGCGGGTTTAGCGATCGGCCGAATTGCACGGCGGGAAACCCGAGTGCCGACGGGGTTGTAGGGAGTTATTCGTGATTATTCGCCAAACCAAACCACCGGTCGTGCAACCCGGGGTGTTTTCGCTGCTGTGAGAGAAAGGTGAAAGTCGCGAGCACAGCGGCACCGTTTCCGACAAGGTACCGTTCCGGGGTGCTAGGTCCATCGGCGTACTGTGTAACTCGAGCCTCGACAGTGACGTGGGGTAGGGAGCGCACGTGCCGACCAGCACGCATTCCAGCCTCCAAGCGCACCGAATGAGCGCCACTCGGGTTCCGCTCAGCTTCTTACATAAGAGCCTTCGAGCGGCGAACAAGTCGCCCCTTCCGGTGCTGTTGAACCTCGTACCGTTGTATTCAATCTCGAGGCTCTCCCTCAACCGACCCACCTGCCGCCTAACCGGATTCTCGCGTTTGAAGAACAATCGTACAACATTATCAAGTTAGCGTCTCAACTTTCCCGCGATGGGCAATGATGGCGGCTCGATTCCGAAGCGCCGTGAGCTTGTCAAGTCGGCTGCGCGGGCGCCGACCGTGAGCGAGCTCAAGGCAACTGCGCTTGAGAACCTCACTCATTCATGGGCCTACGATCCCTTGACGTCGGAGCGTCTCGACATGGAAAACGTGGTGTCAGACTGGCGAGGGCGTCTCTACAACTACGAGTCGGTTCTTAGGGGATTAATGCCAAGCGGTGATGACACCGACGCCGCTGCCCCCGCGCTGGTGCATGGTGAGTCGCCGGAATTGTCTTTCACGTCAACGGGCATTAGATCACTGCGCGATGTCGTCAAGCTCAAGATCAAGCGTTACGCGCCGTCCACAGCCAAGGGTCAGGAGATCTGGGCATGCCCGGTGTCGCTGAAGGAGCTCGGCCCCGCGACAAGGGCGGTATACCTCGTCCCGTGTGGCCACGTCTTTGCCGATGCGGCCATCAAGCAGATCCAGGAGGATATTTGCCCAGAATGCAGCGAGAAGTTTGAGGCTGGAGACGTCATCCCGATTTTGCCGACTGAAAACGCAGATCTCGATTATCTCACCGAGAGGATCAGCAATCTCAAGGCTAGCGGGCTCACACACAGCCTGAAGAAGGAGAAGGGCAACGGGAAGAAGAAGCGCAAGGCGGAGGCGGTGGAGGGGGATGGAAGTACCAAATTCGAAAAGGTCAAGGGCTCTCATGGGGAACAAGGGTTGGCGGCCAAGGCAGCTTCGAAGTCAAATGCCACCAGCCGAGTGAGTGGTATAAACAATGCCATGACAGCGTCACTTACAGCGAGAGTTCTCGCAGAGCAAGAGGAACGCAATAAACGGCGCAAACTAGCCGCCGAGGCGAGATGAGCGAGGAGAACAGTTACTACAGACAGCCTATTGCCACCGTACCTTTGCCGGCTGGTTCGTGTTATGATTCCAGCTACGTGAGCGTACTCATCGAACTGCACCTTGCTGTGTTGGTTTCACCAACAATGCAGTGATCAGTCTCAATGGGACCGGTTTTAATGCCATTCATACATTGCCCGAAAGTACACCAACTTCGATTTATCATGAAACCCACGGTAGTGCGTCAAAATGCACTCACGAGGTACGAATCTCTAGAGCTCATCCTTGGCCTGCACTCCCGGCTCTTGAACGTCTTCGCAGGCAGCGGGGGTACCCACCTCCATTTTGTAGACGCACTTTTCGGACTCTGACACGCGCCACAACTCGTCCGTCTCCCCGCACGTGAGCCAAACATCGGTCCTCCTGTTCGGGCCGTTCCAGCAGCCTTGACCGTTCTCATACCGCAGCACCATTCTTTCGCCCTTGCCCAAACTCTTCCCATCGACTCGTTCCTCCTCGTCCGCCAACTCCTTGTCGATGCGCACAAAATTGCCCATATTGGTGTTGCCGTGGCCCTTCCTGCTTTTCTGCATTGTACGGTCCATCCAACACAGCTCGTAGTCGTACTCGCCAACGTTGCTGCTGACGCACTTCCCCTTGAGAGCACGGAAAATGTCGTCCATGCCGTAGTCTTTCTCCAGGTCACGCTCTTGCTCCTCGAGGCTCGATGTCCTGGACGAGATGTCGGTCTTAACAGCGTTCAGCGCTTCCCTGGCTGCCGTGACCAGACGAGATTCGCCAGCGCCGCCGCGATTGTCAGCCAGGATGCCGTTGTCGATGGCCCAGATGCGCAAGACGTTGATTTTGTCGCGGATGAAGTCATTAACGGGGCTTGGGAGGTAGGCTTCCCAGTTGTAGACTACATTTATTAGCCAAACTGTTGGAGAGGGGCTTAAGGTTAAGGCAGCTTTGGGTTGGGGGGACATACCGATATCTGCATCACTGGCGTCCGAGTTCTCGAACTCCGCCCAGTTAATGCCGGAAGTCTCGCCGTCTTCTTTCAGCATCTCCATGACATCAGCGTCCGTTAGCTCGGGCTGCTTCTCGCCAGCTTGGCCAGCCGCGTAGTCCTCCCAGCCCTTGACCGCGGCCTTGACGCCTTCATCATTGAAGTTGGGGTTATACTCTTCCTTGAACTTGGAGAGGATATCCTCCAGCTGGTCAACCCTGTCCTGCAGGTCATCACGCTGGTCCAACAGCTTATCCAGCGCATTGCGGAGCTCGGAAACCCGGTTTTTCGCCAGACCGACAAGAACACCAAGTTTTCCTCCTTGCCCATCAACCTTGACAACCTTGTTCCGCTCGGAACGCTCAACCTCCTCGTATTTCTTTTGCATTTCTCCTTTTTTAATTTCGAGTCCCTCAATTTCCGCCTTCAAGGCGGTGACCTTGGCCTCCACTCTTCGGCGTAGTTCCCTGGCCTCCTTGGCCATAGTTCGCCTCCGCTTAGCCGACCGCTCCTTACTCTGCCTGCGTTCCTCTTCGAGGCGACGGTGCTCTTTGCCAATCGCGTCGCAACGATTCTCGCATTGGACCCCGCCAACGTGTCCAAACTCGTCACTGCCATCGCAGCATATATCGTGGTCGCATACGCCATCATTGACGTACATGAATGGCACATAGGCCCCAATGTGGCCTGCATTGGCGCACCAGAAGCCGGGAAGGGCATTGGTCGTGTTAGTGGTGCCCGTGATCGACCCAGGGAGTGGTTGCTCGGGTGAAAGTGCGTCGATATGCGAGCAAGCAGCCGTGCCTGGCTCGTCGGAGCCATCGGGGCAGTCGCACGAGTTGTCATTGACCTGGGACGACTCGAGCGTAACGGAGGGGTTGCCGATGCATGTGAAAGTTGACTTGCTCGCGTAGAACTTGGCAACTGCTCAGAAGTTATTAGTTGACCTTGAGGTGACGTCCCTTGCAGTCATGCGCATTGAGCCCTCCGGATGGCCCACGCTGCAGCCATTGACTGCTGTAGTAGTCACTCGGGGAAGACGACGGCAACTTACACTCGGGTCCGACGCCTCGCGGCAAGCTGTCGGCTGCGGCGAGGGTACCGTGAGCAAGAGCGCTCAAAAGCGCCAATGCGCCTGCCCTTCGCATGATTATCCTATTGGCGCCCTCCCGCATTAGTCAGACACGAACATGAGAAATGTGTACGTCTCTCGAAAGTTGAAGCATCCGTTGATCTCTTGGAAGCTCAGGGACAGGACAGCTTGCCAACTTGAGACAAAGCAGCCAGCCGGCAGGGGCCGTCTTATCACGTGGGATTGGAGCTGTCTGGCGCCAAGCGGCCAGGGCTTGGCAATGAAAGTACTTTGTACACAGTACGTACTCCAACTTCCCCAGGAAAATTCGCTGCCCCACCATGAACCCCTCCAACATTGCCGTGGGCACGGCTGGACATAACGGCGAGTTTCCTCCCTGCCAACTCCAGATCTACGAAGATAGTTAGCCACCTATAATGTCGGCGTCTATCGATTCCCTCGAAGCGCTTAACTCCGTTATCGGCAATGCGCTTGTTCTTGTCAGTCAACTCGACACCGTAGTGTCCAACATTGCGACGCAGAAGCAAACCAACCACGAAAACAAACCCGAGCCCGCGGACGAGCAGCTTGCTGCGGCAACTGGCCCTCTCGATGCATTATCTCTCGCACACGATTCAACCGCGTTAATTAAGGCTCACTCCACCAAGATCTCTCTCCTCATAATCAACGAGCCGTTCACCCCAACAGCGATTGCAAAGGTCCTTCGAGAGCTTGCCGATGGCCCCGTGCCCAGCTTGGCCGCTGCAGTCGAAGTGTGCACACCGGAACGGTACACGCGCACCATACAGCAGGACCTAGCTTGGCGAGCCGGTCGGGTACTCAAGGAGGTGAAGCAGCTTTTGTCGCGGATTCCAAAAGACGGCAAGGTTCTTTCCGACGCTAAGAAAAATGCTTCGGCCGGGGCGGCAGGGGGCAGAGGCAGCATTGCCACGACGGGCGTGCTGTGGTCCGCTTGTGATGACGTTATGGCCTTCGCTAAGCGCGGATTCGCTGGGGCCCTAGCATACAAGGTTGAGCAGCTTCGGGACACGCTCAAAGATGTGATGGAGGAGCTAAAAGAGTGGGGAGAGGAGACGGACGATGGCGACGACGACGAAGACGAGGACAGCGAGGATGAGGAAGGCGATCCGGTTTCCGAGGCCACTGCACAGCTTGAGTCCACCTCGATATCTGGGACGCGAGATGCGCAAGACATTCTAGACGACCTGATGAACTGCCAGCGGCACATCCCACGCGACGACCCAGAGAAAATTCGGGAGCGTCTAGACTCATGCCTCAAGCGGCTGCGCCTAACCACCCTGCTTTACCAAGCTACGGTGAAGCGCAGACTCAAGCCATTGCCACACCTGCCCCCGGATCTGCGTTCGGAAACCCAGGGTCGACTAGACGAGATTATGTTTGTTCTCAGAAGGATCCCCGAGAGATTCGGCAGCCTCGCTCTGGCATTTTACGAACTGGACCGTTCTGAGATTGACCGGTTGATGGACGACTGTTTCTTTGACGCATTTGCTGCCTCGGAGCTACTAGTCAAACCGTGGGAAGGCGAGAAGGACGAGTTCACTGACTGGGCGTTGCGCTTTCAAGTAGAGATAAAGAAAGGTTAAAGTAGGGGTTTGTTGCGGCTCCAACCCCTCGTTCCCATGTGATGACCCCCGATCGCGCAGCGTACGAACTGGCCCTGTAACCTAGCCCATGGCAGAGAGTGCGGACCCCGCGGGGCAAATGCATTGATGGTTGTGTTTGTGGATAAGTATTTAGTAGGTGCAAGTTGGGTCTAGCTCCTATACTACGAGGTTGTAAATCACCATTCGCCTTTGCGGTTTGGCTCAACTCGTGATAGGAACATTCGGCAATAAGTGCTATCGAATAGGTAGACGCTCGCTTCCCGGCTTCCGTTATGCCCGCCTGTTGGGGCAGCAGAAATCGTGTGTTTTGTTCGAAGTCACTCCGCCGAACCGGTACGTTCCCCCCTCGAACCGGAGAGCGGATGCCGTTTTACAATGGCTACAAACGAAGATATTTTCCTTGCGGTGCTAACTATGCCTACCCAATGCGGCCTACCCAATGCGACCCTCGACAGAGAATGGTCAAAGGCGGACGCGAGTTCATGGTAGGGACGGGTCGAGGGGTTGTGTGAGAGGGGAATAACTATTGCATGGCTAGAACAGTCTCACGGGTATCCGGAGGGTGTGCTGCTGGGAACGTTTGGTCCTGGGGCTTGAAAGGAAAGTGAACATCAATGTTGTGCTTACTAGTAGCCTTCAATTATTTAATGGTCCTTGCTCGCCAGACTTCCTTCTGGTGTGCCTCTCGTTCTGACACCGTACGTTGCTCTTCACATAGAACAACAAATGGTTCATCGAGGACCTTGCTTTGTCCATGCGGGTAATAACTAATTAATCGAGGACGTCGAGACGACTCGAATCGCGTGCGTTGCTATGATGGCCCAGGGTCTGGCGATTATTTGTTTATTCAGGAGCTCCAGGACAGCAACACTGCGTAGAAAGGGATTCTTGGGATCGAAGGAAAAATTGCAAAACAAACAAAAGGGTAGTTTCCGTACTTGAAATTCGAGCCTTCTAGCGCCCGCTCGATTCCTCCAGGGCCTTTCTAGGTTGGCCATCGTTGCGCTGACACTTATTGTGCTCTGTTAACAAACTTCCCTACTCAACCAAGCCCGGTTTGAGAATCAACCTTTGGTCTTTATTCATTGTGTTCTTCTTCTTTCCGGCGACTGGCCTTGCAATGGAACCCCTCAGCCCGATCTTAAAAACACCAACTCGAATACCTCGACCGACCTTCGTGACCGCGTCACCCCGAACCCCTTCCATCCGCGCAGTTCCCTACAGCCCCATGAACGAAGTCGTTACTGCTTCGAGGATGACTGGGGGTTACTCGCCGACAAGCTGGCCGTTCCCTAAATCGGCCAAACGCTCATCACTGTATGACTGATTGCATTAGCACCGATCGACTTTCCTCGCTGATCGCATCCAGGGACCTTTCGGAAACAACCACACAGCATTGCGATGCGCCCGATGCTGACCGTAACAATATTAACCGAACTGAGAACACAAGACTCAGTCATCAGGCTACGGCCTCCGGGGCGAGCGAGGCGACAATGACCCGAAGTTTCCAAATGCCGAAAAGCGAGGTATCGACAGCCCGTATCCGCGCCGATGTTTCCCGGGATTCGGTCGAAACTCAGATATACGCACCTAGGGACGACGAGAGAAATGCGACATGTAAGGACATTTCAAGAAGCTTAACGCATAGAAAGTATCATCGCTAACCTGTCCTGCTTCAGCGGAACTTCCTCGACCGAGCAGCAGCGGGCACTTGCTCCAACCTACAGCAGAGGTTTTGGAGCGACCTATGACCCCGACCCCGTATTCATTATTGCGCAAGGTGTCTGAAGTTTCCGAACCTGGAGATACTGGAAACGGGGACGATCATAGCCCCAAAGACGACGCGCAGCAGTCGATTTCTGCATCGCACTACCGAGAAGCCATGCATCACCATCGGTCGGCAACACACACTCCGCTGGACACGGTAACGCAGGACCGCGAGTTCGACGACATAAATGCTGAGCGCACGGAGACCTCCAGCGTGATCCATTGCACGCCTGTTCCGCGGGATGAGGAAGGCCGAGTGTTGTCCCGTCTGCGTCCGCTCTTTCCGACAAGCATCCCCAAGAACGAGCCCCAGAACACCCAATGCCTCGCGGCTCCCAGCAGCAGTGTGCAGGCCGAATACGGTGGTTCCGATGGCGGTAACATCGCCGGTACACCCGAGGGGATCATCATACTAAATTCGGCTGGGATGCCAGAAGCCACGGCCAATGTCGGGATCTCGGCGCGAAACAACAGTCTCTACTCGCGGAGACCGACGACAATGCAGAGCGAGGTCCCCGATCTCGAATCTCTCCGCCTCGGTCCGAGACTGCGCCATAGCCGTTTGCCACTGAGCCCCAGCATGGCCACGAACGCAGGACGGAGTGTGCCGAAAAGCACGAGGAAGATGTGGAGTGCCCTTGCCCGCTCGCGCAAAATGATGCTCGCCGCGGCCATTCTCTTGGAGTTATCCATTCTCAACGTGGTTGCTAGCGTCACAGCCGTGACTGCCAACCACATCGAGCACGGGTATGCCGGCATCGGGCTGGTGGCGTGGGCCGCCGTGAGCGGTGTCTTTGTTCTGACCTTCGGTGCTCTCCTGGGCGTTACCGTCCTGCAGTACCGCAGGATGAACAAGGATCTCGTCTCGGGGGAGAATTGGATCGAGATGCATCTTCGGTCTCGACCTCTCCCTCCCCGACCCCAGGGCGAGGATCGCAAACAAGACAGCGGTGCCACAGAGGCCTGGCAGAAATTTGTCCAGGATCACACCCAGCTTCGCCATTATGTTGAGTTCCTCGAGAGCCGCATTGGCATACTCGAGGAAGGCCAACCGAACATTGGCGAGCAGAACGACGGCCCTGATACTGACATGACGGGCGTTGGGAGTGGGCCTACTTCCGGCAATATGGAGAACGCCATCGGCCAGCCCAGCGGCACGAATGCGGACGGCGGCGCCGGTAACGATACCCCGAACGCGAATAAATTGAACGTGGGCGGTTCCTTGTCACGTCGCCAACTACTTCAGCCAGAGGACTCGGTCACGGAGCCCGAGTCATGGCAAGGCAGTGATGGCAACGCTACCATTCCCAAATCGGACACCAAGGCCAGCATCCTCACCGAGCTGTGTGAAGCGGTCACCGAGGGATACAGCCCCTTGTCTGGGATGCTCCCGGGTTCACCCCAAACCCCACAGACCCTCAACAACCACACACCCTCGGGTCGCCGCGGCAGCACTCTCCGCCACCTGGCGCTGCCTAGCAGAGCCGTCTTTCACCGGCATGAGGTGCAGTCGGTCGACATTCCAAGGGGTACGAAGGATGGGATCTGAACAGTTTTCAGTTCTAGACCCATCACCTTCCTAGTTGAAAGGGGGAAGAGGAATGAACTGTGTTGGGATTGACAACCTAGTGAAGTCAAAGGAGTGGAACTTTGTTCAACTACACTAGACTACCACCCACTTTGGGGCCCATGTGTGTAATACGAGAGCGCTTGCTCAACGAACGACCTTAAGCCACGCTCGTAATTGTAGATGGTTTTAGTTAATGAATATCGTGCACGAAAACGCTGATTAGGGATGTGGAGATCAGGGAAGTTGAAGGGTCTTGAAATGTGAGAGCCATAATTCCTGGCCACCAGGCTTTTGTACTAATCTGCCGAGTATCGAACGTTTGCCTCGGTGTCAAAGGCTGCCCGATACTCAGATGACCACAACCCCTAGGTGACGGGTGCCATCTACCGGAACTCACCGGTCTTGGCGGTCAGGTTCGGTATATGTTGGTCTCGGCGAGTCGGCGGTGACTAGATTGCTCGGGCCATGCGAGCCTTATTCTCTCTGTATCTTTTTTCCTTGCCCGCAACCTTTCTCCGCTTCTTCCATGACCGATTGAGGTCTCCGCGGTTCTTCCAGAACCAATTCTGGAAGTCGCTAGCCGGCTTCCCATCACCCTCCCCGCCCTGGGTTGTTGGGCTGCTCGGCGCAATCTGATCATCGCGGTCCCCGGCCCCCTCCTCCGTCCCCTCTTCATCTTGCTCCTCATTATCGTCCTCGCCTTCCCACGGCGTGAACCTCCGTTTGGGATGTGCCGTGTCAGGGGTGGGTGCGGCACTTCGGATGCCGCGCAATTCAAGGTCGTGGCGGGTGTAAGGAGTCAATGGCACTTGAACACCCGGAGCTTCGTCGGCATCAACATCCACCTCTTCTCCCGCGCTTTCGTCGTTGGCGCCAGCAAAGAAGCTGAAACTTTGACCACCTGCGTCTGCCTTGGGGGTTCCGCCGTCTTGCTTGGCGCGTTTGTACAAGGCTTCTAGTGGGTGCACCTTGGGCTCGTTTGGGGTTGCTGGCGGGATTTTGATCGATAAACTGCGGGTTGAACCAGACGACCTGGGCCGCGACTGATCGGGTTTGGACGGCGGTGAAGGAGGGTCATCCGCCTCTGCAGGCCCGGAAACTGGTTCGCTGTCCCCAGCAGCACTTGGGTTTTCCGGCTCGCTTTCCTCATCGGATTCCTCGTCACTAGAGTCTGTTGTAGTCTCCTCGTCCGGTTTCGTCTCCTGGGCCTTGACTTTGGGTTTGCTTGGAAGCAAGATTTTGGCTTTCGGAGGCGGCCTGGTCCGCACGGATTCTACCACTTCCCCATCCTCGTTCACCCAACCCTTGCCGTCTACAAACTCCAGGGGCGCAGTTGACTGGCCGGTGGGCGCTGCCGCTTTGAGGAAAGTCGGGAACTTGGTAGTCTTCTCAAACTCGTGAATGACCACCTCCCGTGACTTGCCCTTCTTTTTCGTCGGGGTGGACTGGTGTGTGTCGGCCAACGGCGTGGCATTTGCGGGCAAAACGGTCTTGACTAAACACTCGGCATGGTCGGTATATTTCGATTTTGTGCGCTTCTTCCTCTCTTTTCCGGCTTTATCTTTGTCTTTTTTAGACCTCCTCTCCTTGGGCTCGTCGGCGCTGGTCCATCCGCGCTTGATTTTTCGGTCGTCTTCCAAAACTATACCGCTGAGTTCCTCGGCATCACGCTTCCTCTTCTTTCTCTTGTCCTTTGGCGGGAGCGTGTCGTCGACCTTGCTCTTGGGTATCTTTTCTTTGGCCATTGCAGCTGGGCCGAGTGGAATGGCAAGACAGGGCGGTCTTGCGCGCTCAATGCGGATTTTGACGCCTTTCAACACCGATCCGTTGAGTTTTTTGCTTAGTTTTTCTGCGTCCTCGTGAGGCAGCTCCAAAAAGCCGTACCGTTTCTCCGGGAAGGTCTCGAGCACGTGGTAGGAAATGTTGCGAGCCTTGGGGAGCAGGGTCGATGATAGGGCGAGTTTAAGCAGGTCGGCGTCTAGCGGGGTGACATGCAGCCGGACATAAGGGGAGCCGTCAGAAGCCGGCGCGGATGTGGTGGATGATGCCTCAGCTCCTTTGTGGTTTGTCATGGCCGTCCTGCCATTTAGGGTGCTGGCAGTTATCGAATGCAGACCTTAGAGGTGAAAGCTGAACGTGATTGGGAAAGTTGACCGCCTTTGAATTCTGCTTGCAGCACGCGGGCCGCCAGCTGCCTGTCAGCTGTTCCGCCAATTCGACCGCTGGCTTTCATGACCCACTTTGATCGCCTGGACAGAACGAGACATTTGCTTCAATGATCGGGATACCCAGCTACATTTCTCTACGAACACTGACTTCTAAAAAGAGAAGAGTGACCACCTTGCAGTGTGTGAGTTTACTAATAAAGCCGCTCTAACAATTTTACGGTCATGATGACGGCAGAGTCACGGCGAGAGCTCAGGCTGTGGAGAGGAGAATGCTAGATTAACTACGAGCGAAAAGGGTAGGCCATTTGTACATGTTGGTCTTCAGACCCTGTTTGCATGTACTGGTTAGATATGCTATGCCGTATGCTCTCGGGTTGGTCCACGGCCATACCCGGCGCACAGCCGACGGACCCCAACCCGAACGGATCACGTTTGCTGATGAAGATACGAGGAAAGAATAGCGAGACGGAGACCGGGAAACGGAAACGGAAAGGAGGTGACCCGCACCCACGAGCTGTGTTTTAACAGGCCCCATGCTCCCGTCTGGGCGGTGATCACGGACGCCATGGAAGCCGAGGTAGGCTCGGCCCTCAAAGGGGCCTCTATTGGGGTTTCTGGCCCCATGCGACGATTCTTGGCTCGCTTGTTAACAGACCACAAAACTTTGTATCATATGGCGGCATGGACTTACACAGTGATATATCCGTGGATGCTTCGATCCATCAGGTCTTTCTTCACGTCGACTAGCAGTTGCTCCACGTCGGCCGGGGTCCAGCCAAGTGACCGAGTAAACACAGTCATGGTGATTCCATCGATACCCTCGAGGTTGTTGGCCATTTGCATGGCACCCACTGCCTTTTGCTCGTCACCTTTTGCCCAAGTGTTCATAGGGACGGCAAACTTCTTCTCCCCAAGGTTGACAAAGCCGGCCTCGGCCAAGTAATTTTTGCAACGCAACGCCTCTGTGGCGCTGCGGCCCATCATTTGGATTCCCCGGAGCAGAAGTGCGTTCCATCGCTGCAGGGCTGTGCCTTCGATGGACCCGTCGATGGACTGGAAGTAAATGATGGTCTCCTGGGACTCAACCCAGCCGCCGGGGTTCAGATTGTTGTAGATCGACTCAAAGAGGAGACCCCAGTCCTTCTTGACGAACGGAAGTATGTAGCGGCCGTGGATATAGTCGAACTTATGGTTGTGGACCCAATCGTCATCCACATCGTCAATCTCAAAGCGGCAGTTCGTTGGCAGGTAGTCGGGTTGGATAGGGCTAAGATCAGTGCCCAGGACCTCCGAGTTGGGGTTCTGCTCGGCTTTGTGAACCCACGTTAGATGTTGCCCAGTAAGGGCCGAAGACACAGGGAGTATGGTCCACGATCTCCTCAGACTAAAAGACACACCTACCAAACTCGATAGCCCAGACACCTGTTCCTGTTCCAAGATCGAGCACACGGCGAGGCCGCTCAACCGGCGCTAACCCGAGCTTCCCTTTAAGTAAGAACTTCGAGATGGTATGCTGGAGATCTAGCAGAGGTCAGAGCTGGGACTGCCTAACAGGCGAAGGGGGCATGGACTTACCTAAGCGGTTCTGCTCTCTCTATCGTAAAGATGGTCAGCTTGATGCTTTAGTTCTGTGAGATTCTTGAGCAAACCTTGTCATTGGGAAGGAAATACTCTACCGCGAGAGTTAGCACAGCTACAGATTTCTTTGCCAAGGGTCCACTTGACTTACTCCCTTCCTTGTACTTGTGAAACGTTCGGCCATGTTCCTGAACGAATTTGTACACACTGGAGCTCACGGAAGCGCTTGTGGCCGACCTAATATAAATTTAGCAACCGAGCTGCAATCTGCGTGCCGAACCGTATGTTCTACGAAGTATGACTGACGCTCCAGAGTCCGAGACAAGCGGGCTGGTAGTACCGCCGTCATGATCGACCTGTTGTCCTCAGTTAACACAACCCTGTTGCTGGTTGCTATTCGAGCATACACTCAGATCAACCGAGAAACCACTAAGCCCAGTAACAGACACGGATCCTTCGTCTTGGTCTTGCGACTCTGTGTCCGGGTTGGTGGTAGACGAGAATGCTGTCGAGCTGGGACCGTGAGTCTCGGCGCTTCGTGTTTCGGCTGGCAACGGGTGGGAGTCTGGGTCTCTCGGGTTGGACATCATCACTGTATCCTCGGGATTTGTCATGGCCAATATGAGGGATAATTCTGGAAGGTTGGTATGCGGAGGTGTATGTCTCCTTGGCGAAGTATGAGCTGATTATTTTGTGGTAGCGAATCGCGCCAAGCTCGAACCAATCATGCTGGACAGTCCCGACGATACGCCCCCTTGACTGAGGGCCGAAGCACCTGAGATCCAGGATTGCAAGATACGAGGAGCATCTAAAACAGCAATGACACCATTATACAGATGAGCAGAGAGTTAGTAACACGTACAAGAAGCAAACCAAAACCCTATGTAACCAATTTCCCCATGGCGCCATCCCATCCCGCAAGTCGACCGGACCCCATCGGCGCCGCCATATGATTCAAGGGAGCTCTGTTGTTAATTCTGTTGATTACGGTTGTTTGGCTGCTCCCGGACATCACCACCCGATGCTCGCCACCAGACATCGCCGCCCCATCGCATCAACCGCTCCGCAGCTCCGGTCGGCGTTACGGCGGGTCGGACGTCGAGGTAGAAGACTGGTTCACCGGTCGGTTCCGGAGGTGCCGAGTAGAAATCGATCACGTAGCGAACCTCCTTCTTCTGGCCGTTGATATTGCGCGAAACGAACCAATCGTGGCGATCAAAAGGCGGCTCGGTGCTAAACACAGGAGTGTCAGTGATCGGTCGTCCCACAAACATGTTCGGATCCGACTTACCCAAATTTGGATGGATATACCCGCCCCAGAAGCTGTAGCATCGCTGCTTTTGGTGTCATGTCTTTTGGTCTGCCTTGGAATCTCACGAGGGTCGGTTGCGACTGGCCGCCCTCCTGAGCCTCCAGCCGTCTCAAGGCCATCGGCGCATTCTCTTCTCCGCGTTTGCTGACTTCCCAACCCCGGTATAAGCCCCTGCCGAACCTGCGCTCCCAGTCAACGATTTCACCCCAGGCTCCCTCGTTCAGAAAGTTATGGACTGCGACCATGCTCTCGACGGCCGTGACGTCCGTGTCCGTGTAGCCCTTTCGCAGCAGCGCATTGTACATTTGCTGAGGCGAAGGGTACTCCCAGTTGCTATCACCGGCGCCTCTTGGGATGGAAGACTCGTCTCGACTCGTCGGCAGCGCATGAGTCTGGTCTGGGGCCCGGTCTTGAGAGATGGACTGAAACATGTAGTTGAGTGGGTTGAGCTTGGAGAGCATTGACGGCTCTTGTCGCTGCTCCGAAGACGCGCCTTGACTATCATGCGGAACGGGACAGGCGGATAGCGCTGCGTTTGCGGCGGGGTTGCCGTGCGGAACAGGGCAGGCTGGGGGCACTTGGCTCGCGGCACGGGCAGGAGCAGTGAAGGCATCGGCGGTGGACTTGTGCATAGGGCATCCGGCCTAAAGGGAGGATTTGGTATTAGTAGGATCATGGATCGACCCGGCCAGGTCCTGACTTACGGGCGGCGTGCCGGCCCCAGATATGTGTTTGTGCGTTGGATCCGCCTGAGGGACAACCGGGGTGCCTGAGGAAGTGTCGGCCCAAAACCAGCCCATGGCGAAGGTAGTTCGTGGTTTGAAATACGGAAGTCAGGGGATAAAGTATAAGAACCTTGGAAATGGCTTAACCTGGAGCCGTCGGGAGTGCTGGTTCGACTGCGGAAGGAAGAGGGATGATGACGATAGGGCGATTGCGGGCGATAACGAGAGAAAAAAATGACGGGGATGATACGGACCGGCAAGGATGACGCGCATTTCAGCCCACGCGCCAAGCCGGCTGCCCCGCCCAGCACTCGCAAGTCACATGCAAGGATAGGAATTGTTCGCAAGCTGGGTCCAAGTCGACCAAGCAGCGAGGCATTACGACTGCATCATTGTCAAGTATCAAGGACCGTTGAGGGGTATCATCATTTAAAAGAGGTGCTGAAGGGCTATCGTCTAAACCTCGCCCCTCGGAACTGATATCAAGCCTCACTGAACTCGCTTCGCAGGGCGCTGTAAGTTTAGTTAGACATTCGGGGAGAGGAGATCGTAGCGGACGCATCTTTCGACCTGTTCTCGGAAGTCAGTGGTGTGGCTTTAAGGAAGATGATTGGAGACAAAAGACCTACGTCTTCGGCGCTGGCCTGCATGAACCTCCTCGTCTCTAGGCCTACCCAAACCTTCAGCATATGGAAGTCGCCCTCCTTGACCATGTCCTTGCCGCCCTGGGTGCCGAGTTGTCTCAGGATAGGGAGCGAGCTGCTGAGGAGGTCCACATCAGGGTTTAAGCTGCGGCCAATACCCTCGAGCAGCAGCATGCTGATAACCACATTGACAAAATCCCCTTCCAAGCGGACATGGTGCTGCCTCACCATCGCCAGAACCTCTTGCAATATGTCCCCAATTTTGACGTTTCCCAGTGCGAGTGTTCGGCTCTTTACGCCCAGCACTAGGTGCTGCATCTTAAGGGCGAACACCTCGCCATCGAGAACCGCATCAGGTTGCCGGCACCGCTCGCACATGAGGTGACCCGCCTTGTAACCGTCGAACTCGGCCACGGCGCGGAATAGATCGAGGAAGTTGCGCCGATTCGTGCTATTGAGCTCCGTCACAAGGCCCGTGTCGATGAAGACCAGCTGTGGCCTGAATCCCTCGCGCTCGATCTTGGCCAACTCGGCGTCCCAGAGTTCCTTGTTGTGGTGATGCGGGCGCAGTCGTGACAAGACCTGCTCGGTAACGTCTGCCTGCTGTCCTACACCTGGGTTCTCAGGCGCACGTCGAAGCCGTAGGCTGGGTCGGTCAGCTTCGTAAAACCGCACCATGATATTTCCAGGGTGGAGATCGGCGTGAACAAAGTTGTCAAGGAGAAGCATGCGCAGAAACGCGTCGAGACCTTCGGAGGCGATGTCTTGCTGAAACATGCCTCCCCCGTTTGCGATAAAATCGGCGAGGGGTATGCCGTACGCGAACTCTTCGATGAGCACATTCCGCGTGCAAAATTCGGTATAGGGGAACGGGAACCAGGCCGTAGTTCTTTCCTTGAAGTTCTTGCGGAACCTGGATAGGTTCGCCGCTTCAATGCGCAAATCCAGTTGCAGTTTCATCATTTCCCCAAACTGGTCCACTTCGTCAGGCAAAGATAGCCATTCCATGGTGGGCACCACGTTGAGTACGGAGGCGAAGAATCGCATGATCCGGAGGTCGCGCCGCACTGTCCGCTCGACGCGGGGGTGCTGGACCTTGATGGCAACATAGGAAGAAGGGACGCGCTTTGGAGTGCTTTTGAGAACAGTGTCGACGTTTTTGCGGACGTTATGGCGGAGATCGGTGGGGTGCTCGGGAATGTCGACGTCTCCAGGAAGGGCGAGGTCAGGCTTGAGCTTCGCTTTGTAGACCTGAGCAATGGCTCCAACACCGATTGGCTTCTCGTCGAACTCATCAAAAATGTCGTCGAAATCACGCCCGCCAAAGGCATGTTGGAGTATCCGCTTGGTCGCATGCAAAGAGTGGGCAGGAGCGTTGGCATGAAGTTTTGACATGATGTCACACAGTTCATTGGGGAAGATGTCGGACCTCGAGGCAGCCCATTGCCCAAGCTGTCGACACTGAGTGTCAGTTACCGGGTCGTGATCATAAACGGGGATTGTATTACCTTGATAAAAGCCGGCCCTGCCCACTCCATGGCCTGGACTAAAAAGTTATACCACCACAGAGTCCCCGTCCGCTCGTTATCGCGCTCGGGTAAACGGCGCCCAGCCCACATCGCCGGTACCGTTAGTATGACGGGTACAAATATGGCGACGAGTTGCAGAAAGCGAAAGCCAGTACAGATTGGCTCCCATATGTAGAGGTCTACAATCAAGACCAGTCGGCGCCGCAGCGAGCGCAATGTCCCATCACGTTCGCCAGCCGTCTTGCGAATCTCGGCTCGGGAGACCTCGAGCATGCGCTTCTCGCCAGTATCGTTCGGGCTGGCGCTACCTTTCTCGGAAAGCTCGACAAATGTAGCAGCGGCCAGCCCACTGCCTGCGGTCGCCATTAGGGTTCGTGGGGCAGCGCGGTGGGTCCTCCATGATCGCGGTCGAGCTCGAGGACTGGTATGGAACAGGAATGTGCGAAGGTTTGCGCGGGCAGGTCGGAGAGGGTGTCTCAGGACCTTGGAGGCTGGCCCATGGAAGATTGGTGCTTCTGGGTGGGAGAAGAGCCGACCCAGAGCGAAAGCCAACCTCATGTCGCCGCGGCTCATCGGAGGGGGGGTTCTAAGATATTTGTGTTGATCGACCGGGCAAAGGCATTCTCATCGTCCTCGGAACCAAAATATGGTGAATTGTATTGGACAAGCCGCGCGCGACATGACGATGTCAAGCGCTGCTTAGGGAGTGTAGATTTCGAGGTGGTAGCGGATCGGTTGGCGCACAGAAAGATTGGCCCGTGACGTCGTCGAATTGCCGCGCAGACCGGAAGAAGCGGGCCAAGGCCGTTTACGGGAGCGCCCGGGCACGCGGTCGCATTCAACTTCGGGAATGGATCGCCGAGATTAACCGACCCAAAATCTAGACCCACACTAACAGAACGACCTACGTCATCTTATCTGCAGCGTACATATGTGCTCTGGCACGTGTTTTGTCCATCGGCAAGGGGGTTCATGAACTGTACTGGGGAGTGGAAGTTATATATAGCGTACACGCGAAACTACTCGTGTATGATGCCCGTCTTAACTCCTAGTAATGCCCGTTCTAGAGAATCTGGTCTTCCAGGGCCGATCAATTTGGGCAAATTCCCTAGTCTCCCTCGCAAGGTTCATCGGGCTCCTCCCCGGCAGTAGATGAGCTGCCTCGTCGAGTCTCGACATGAATAGCAACTGCGTTGAGAGAGGTCTACAAATGGAGCGAGTTAGTCTCATCGCACGGATTTCCATGTCACTTTCCAAACCTATCACTTACTTTGCCATTCCCGTGCCAGACCTCTATCTCCGGCCCTACTGCGGTCTTCCCATTCAAGGTCAATGACACAGGGCCTGTGATGCGATGATCGTACGGCACTTCGAAGTACGAAACAGGGTTTCGGCTTGTTGTCTCAAACGTCACTCGACAGGCGTTTCCGATCGTGACAGTGATACATGCGACCCCCTTCGTTACTGCCATGACAGAGACGACGTCTTTGGCCCCGTGAGTGGCCGAAACCGTACCCCCTTGGCCCCAAACTGTTGCTAGGAAACTTTAGTCTCACCACAAAAAATGGAGAGGAAAAGCACAAGCTCACCGGAATGTTGCTGGCCACGGATCGGGACAGTGCGGTACCACGCAATAGCGGTGTTTTTTCCGTGCCAATCAATGTCGGCAGTTCCGGACTTGAAGGCGGTAATGAAATAAGGTAGAACCGCCCTAAACGCAGCGTGGCAATGCCCAGAAACGTACGTTTCTGTGCCGCTGACTACCTGTGCCGACGACGAGTCACAAACGTAACTTGATTCACCAAAGTCATTCCCTTCCTAGTGTTAGAATTGTCGTAGGGATGGATGGTGGTGTAATTCTGTAGAGCGTACAGGTAATGATCTGGACAAAATCCGGCATGACTTCTAAGACCTGCTGCCAACGATCATGCCAAAGAGACTCGCCGGAACAGTACCAGTTCTTATTCCACTGGGGGAGATCTGGGCCTGCGATTAGATAAAATAATGATACAGATGGGGATGTAAACTTGCCTGTATAGAACCAGGGACTGACACCCATCATGTACTTTTTGCCGCGGAGGCAGTCTTTGTAAAAGAGGTCCTCGACGGTGGTCATCTTGGATTGCCCAGGTTTCGGCCAGGCATCCCAGGAAACTTTGCGTTTCTTAGCTTCGTCACACCGGACTGAGAACGTAGGTACGACTCACAAGCCCCTTCAATCAGATCCAATTTGTGGGCAACCCCATGCGGTCCCAGACTTGACCAGTTTGGGATAAGGCAAATGGCTATCTCATTGCGCACAGTAAGCCAGTTGGGAGCCCAGTCGGAACCTTCGAAAGTCGAGACAAGGGCTTTTCCGTCGACCATGGTTTGTGCAGGGGATGTCTGATACCGGCTAATCAAGCTGACCACCTGAGGCACTGACCAATATCCAGCCGCCATGCTGCCCCGTCGACGGTCAGCGTCCAACTGATGATTAAGGGTGGCGATGCAGTAACGACTTACTCAAATGAAATGAACATGGAAAACCCTCCACACTTCTCGGCTGCTTCATAAGCATGGTCGAGTTGTATACTAGTCCAGTGGTCCGAAGGGCCAATATTGAGAGCAAACCCGTCGATGCCGGCCGCTTTGGCTGCCGCCACATCGTGAACCCAGCACTCAGGTGGATGGTCGCATGCGAGGCCGACCTAAATGCCACGGAACGATCAGTAGCGGTCTTGGACGCCACTTCAACGAGGTACTATGTGAAACTCGAACCATGTAGTGAGCAAACACTCTACGGCCCGAATCAGGCACCACCGGCCGATGATTGGTATCTCTGATTTCAAAGGGGTGTCCCATCACGTCCTCAAGTAGCCTGCCTCGCCGGGATGTTAGCGTAGGTAGTCGCCAACTATGTGTGGCCTCGGCGCCGGCGGGCGTACCTCGGGCTGGGATCGGCTTTTAATAAGGCGAAACATCAAGGTCCGAGAGACGTGAATGTGTCGGGCCCAGGAGGGAAGATGGCTGTCTTCAACGGCAATATCACAAAACTGAAATTATAGCATTCAGTTCAAGTCCTGTTGAGAGTACTGTAGTCATACGAAAAACGACCCGCTTGGTCACTCCCCACTCGCGGAAGACTCGGTCCGCCCAGATTCTCATGCCTTGGCTCGGAAGATGGGGTCGAGATTCGTGTTGTGTGCGAGAATTTTGGAACCGAGTTGAGGTTCAGTAATTGTTCTTTTCAGTTACTCTGAGGGCTGTTTGCTTGAACAGCCTGGTAGCGTTCAACTTTGACAAGCTGGGTTGGAAAGCTTTGAGCCGAAAATCGCCATCAATTTGACAAATTATGAGGCTTGCATATTTCACCGCATGACGGAAACGTGTGCATTTAAAAGGTTCTGGAGACCATGACCGGGGGTCTTTACGGGGAAATTCCTATTGCAGCATTTAAGTGTACTTTTGTTTATCAAGTCAGACCAATTTGGCACAAGCTGCGTTGCAAGAAGCTGTTGACGGTTTGTGAGGGCTTGCCCCACATTTCCGTTCCGGGTCGCACCGGACCGGAAATAAGAATATCCTACAGCCCTGCGATTTTGGCTCCGCACAATTCAATCTTGGTGAAATTTCGCAACTCCGCAACCTTCTGCATCACGACCCGACGACCGATTCTCCCACCCATCACACCAGTCGATCAGTCGCGAAAATGGATTCCTCGAAGGCCCCCGTTAAGCTCGTCAAGGTCACCCGTGTCCTCGGCAGAACCGGTGCGGATCACCCCGCGATCTAGCCCCTCAATCCGCGCTCGGTGCTGATTTGGAAACACAGGTTCTCGTGGTGGCGTCACTCAGGTGCGCGTCGAGTTTATGGACGACACAACACGTTCTATCATCAGGAACGTCAAGGGCCCTGGTATGAACCGAAACTACGTCCGGTTGATCGACGAGCGACTAATCCCACATGTGTCCAGTTCGCGAGGACGACATCCTGGTTCTTCTCGAATCCGAGCGTGAGGCCCGCCGCCTCAGATAAAGTACGGTTGTTTCTGGGGTTGGGTGAAGATGGGAAAGTGGCAACAGCTTTCAGCTCCCTTGTCGGCCTTTTTGGCGCGACCGTCGCCATAAGCTGCGACGAAGGAAGGATGGGATGTCAAGGACGGGCGTTCGGTAGAACGGTATCACCATTATTGCTCTCCACAAATTCTACACGGCGCTGACGCTGCGCCAATTCCTGCGGATACCACGGTGCTACGGCTCGGTTTGGGTGATGATGGGCGCCGAAGGACATAATTCTAGCGAGTTTTCGAAAGCATGGAGCCCCGGTACCTGCAAATCTGGTGCCTGTGTTATCCGGACCGTATGCTCGCTAGCACGCCCGCCAACACCCAGTCTGAACCGCCACCGAGATGGGTGATACATGGCTCAGCGGAGTTCATGGACATTTGGGCAAGCCGGCGCTATGCGGGTAGAACTGGTCACTGCAGCAGTCCGGGGGTGCTTTGGAGGCAAGTTCTGACAATTCAATGACTATCCCCCCGGGCTTTCGGTGATATATCTGAGCGGTACCTTGCTGGGTACTCAATGTTGGCTCACAAACCTTGTTATCGCTGTGGATTATTCGACTTCTCGCTACAAATGCCATGGCCCAAGCTTGATATTATGTCCTCGAGGCATACCACTTAACAGCGCAGTAGCTCCTCATAGACCGCTTTCAGGGTCTGGTCCTGCTGAGTGCTGACAGTTTATGGGATTTCGCCCTATGACGACATGTTTTACGCGTTATATCAAACAATCAAAAGAAGGAAGGACCGACGCTGTCATCCTCGCGTTTTCTCTCACCTGTTTCCAAGAACCGGGTCGTATCCTTCCGGAAGCGAAGCCGCTCTCGGTGGTTGAACCCGTTTGGTGTTCTGCGCCTAGCGTCGCGGGATCCAGGGGCACCACCGCCGCCGTCTTGGCAGATCCAAAACACACCAGAGTCCCAATGGATGGCTTGCACCCCGCTGGATACGACCTCGGGTGGCTTGTTGCGACCTGGGAGCTGGGATTCCGGGGTCCGGCTAGAATTCCTCCAATCGCATGATTCTCATGTTATTGGCGCGGCAGCGAACTCTCCTTGAACGGAGCACCCCGAGATGCCAGGCCCATTATTCAAGCACTATTTATATATTTGGTGCCAGCGGTAGCAAAAGGTCAAGATGTCGCCGTCCGGACCAAGCACGTCTCGCCTCTGCCACCTTTCTTCGCCGCGCTCTGGGTAACCAAGCCTTGTTTGAATGCCCAAGATGGCGCTCCGATCCATCGTCCGCTTGTTTGCCCTGTCCGCCTCCGTTTTCGCACCCAGTGTTCTTGGTGCTTTCGGTTATACTTCATCTGGTGGCAATTATGTTGTTGATGCCGGCTCCGCCAACCCCCTGGTCTTCTCCGTGAGCCAGTCGAACTGCGACATCAAGTCCATCAAGTATCGCGGAACCGAGCTTCAGTATGGCAGCACCGGTACCCACATCGGCTCTGGCTTGGGCTCGGCCACTGTTTCGATCAGCCAGATTAGCGGGTCGTCCCGGTATATCAAGGTGACATGTGTGACGTCCACGTTGACGCACTACATGGTGGTTCGGGAGGGCGAGAGCATCATCTACATGGCGACCTACATCACCGCCCAGCCGTCGATAGGAGAGTTGCGGTTCATCGCCCGTCTGCTTCCTGACAAGCTGCCCGGCGAGCACCCCTACGGCGAGGTCTCAAACACGAACGGTGCCAGTTCGACTGTCGAGGGCTCCGATGTCTTTGTGGTCAACGGGCAGACACGATCCAAGTTCTACTCGTCCACGCGGTTCATCGACGAGGACTCTCATTGCGTGTACGGCGGCAGCGACTTGATGCACGTTTGCATCATGACCCCCCAGCAAGAGTCCTCGTCTGGAGGTCCCTTTTTCCGGGACATTGACTCCAACAACGCCGGGGCTTCGACAAACCTCTACAACTACATGAATAGTGGTCATGTGCAGACGGAGGCATACCGCATGGGGCTGCATGGGCCTTATGCCATGCAATTCTCGCGGTCCGGGATCCCCAGGGTTAAGAGCCTCGATGTTTCTTGGTTCGGAGAGGTTTCTGTCACCGGATACGTGCCGGCTTCTGGCCGTGGAACGGTTCAGGGAACCGCGAGTGGCGTGCAGAGTGGCCTTGAAGGTGTTGTTCACTGGTACAACAGTGCTGCGCAATACTGGGCGAGGACGTCGTCCACCGGGGGGTTCACCTCGCCGTTGATGAAGCCAGGCACGTACACGATGGTTCTATACCAGACCGAGTTCAAGATTGCCACCGGCACTGTCACTGTCTCTTCTGGCAAAACCGTCACCCAAAACATTGCCGGTACTTTCAACACATCGCGGAAGACTCTCTTCCAGATCGGCGAGTACGACGGCCAACCGACAGGATTCCGCAACGCCGACAAGTTCCTTCGGATGCACCCGAGCGACAGCCGCATGGCGAGCTGGGGCCCCCTGACGTACACGGTGGGCACCTCGCAGCTTTCAGACTTCCCCATGGCCGTCTTCCAATCGGTCAACAACCCGGTGACGATCCGCTTCAACCTGGACAGCGCTCCAGGAGCAGCCACGCTGCGCATCGCCACGACCCTGAGCTTCGCTGGAAGCCGCCCCCAGGCGGTTGTCAATAGCTGGAGTGGTCCTATCCCGTCAGCGCCGCCCAAGATCGACAGCCGCGGTGTGACGCGGGGCGCATACCGCGGGAACGGGGAGGTGTATACCGTTAACATCCCTGCCGGCACGCTTGTCGCCGGCAGCAACACCATCACGATTAGCTCCGTCTCTGGCAGCAGCGGGGCGACGTTCCTGAGCCCCAATTTTGTGAGTCTTTCCCCCATTCCTGTGCCATAACTTTGCATGTCTCTAACCGGTCTACGCTCGGGATAGATATTCGATGCTGTTGAACTCTACACAGCTTGATCTCGGGTTTAGTTAACTGGGTAGGGATGGTAAAACTGCCACATCGGCGTAGCCTTAGCCTAACCTTACTCCCCGCAAATTAATACTCGAAGCGCTGCTTGGTTTTGAGGCCACGCTAGAGTCAAAAGTGAACTCGAACTTTGTAATATTGCAGTAGACGAGCTGTGCTGGTATTAATACAGGGATATCAAAGTGACATGATTGGGCCGTATTGTCCAAGACTCCCCATCGATTTTACCTCGCCAGAATGCTGAGAAGAGTTCGGATGGCCAAGGGATGCCAAGCACTTGATACATCTTCGAGCACATGTATCTATTCCACTCATCCGAGGACTATGCATTGAAGCCCACTTCAACACATGCGGTTGGACCGTATGCTATGGGGTGGCGGCTAGACGATGTTGGCACCCCTAGTCTGCTTCCGGCAGTTGTAAAGATGAGGTCGGTTTGCATCTGCGGCCCGGGGATCGACATCTGCAAGATAGCGGTCTTGGTGTTGCGGGCCATGTACCTGCCTGATCGAGGTAGTGCGTAGGGGGGTCATCCAAGCAAACTACTCGATCCGGAAATACACCCCGGCGGAGAACACCGAGCATCGCATGTGGAAGGACATGGAGAGTCTGTTTCAAATCCACTACTGGGCAACTGGGGTGGGCCCCCTTTTGCAGTCGAGGGGTATAAGTTAGCATGAAGTACTTAGTAGCAGCGTCTGTTGGTGCACACATTATCGTCAGACATCCGAAGGGAACTTGCCACAGTCCTTTAAGCCACCCTCTGCACGACCAATCATGCATCTCCCGGTGGTTCTCGCTCTGCTGGCCGGTTCGGTGTCGTCGGTTGTCGCTGCACCTGCTGCTGAGTCGCAAGGGGCGGATACTGGCCTGCGTCTCATCAAGACCTCTCCTGAAGATCCCGGGAAATGGGTCACAGAAGAGCAAAAGATCAGAGACTACAAGTCCAACGGCATTGGCTTTGTTGATATTACCGACATTACCGACGACGATGTACTTGCGGCACTGTCCGCCCCTGACACTCAACAGGAGAAGGCACTCTCAGCGCAGGCTGTCGATTATCCCTCCAGCGTCGGGCATGAGGGCGAGGCCAACCCCCTTCTAGCACAGGTGTCGGTTACTAGTCCGAAGGACTGGCTAAAGACCTTGACTGAGTAAGTTTATAGCTACACTCGACCAACTGGGAAGTCAACTAGTATGATGGAGAGATACTCTTACTGATGATTCACCCTCGCACACAGGTTCTACAACCGCTATTACCAAAGCTCATACGGCACCGAGGCAGCGACGTGGCTCTTTGACACGGTCAAGAGCGTTGCCGCAGAGAACTCAGCCATCTCTGTCACGCAGTTCGCCCATTCCTTCAAGCAGCCGTCCGTCATTGCGAAGGTTCCCGGTACCACGGAAGACTTAGGTGATGACCCACCCGCTTTGAAAAAGCACTCGACAGGGAGCGGGTTTGCTGACTTTGCCGTTATGGCCGATATCAGTCATTGTCTCGGCCCATTACGACTCAACCGGTGGTTCCTCCAGCGCGCGGGGGCCCGGAGCCGATGATAACGGCTCCGGCGTCGTGGTCCTTCTCGAAGCCCTGCGCGTCTTGGCCAGCGCCGGATTCAAACCGAAGAACACGCTCGAGTTCCATTTCTACGGCGGGGAGGAAGGTGGTCTGCTCGGCTCCCAGGACGTCTTTTCCGATTACAAGTCGTCCGGAAAGACGGTGCTCGCCGTCCTCAACCAGGATATGACAGGCTACTCGCCTAGCGGGAAGATGTCCATCTTCACCGACTACGTCGACTCGGCTCTGACGGCCTATGCCCGGGTCGTGGCCACCGCTTACATTGGCGCGACCACTAGTGATGCCTGTGGATATGGATGTTCGGACCATGCATCGGCTAGGTCCAACGGATTCCGTACGTTTTCACGTCTTTTACGCGGTTCTGTATGGATTATTAACAACTGGCTTCTCTAGCGGCGGCTTATGTTTGCGAGGACAAGATGGATGCTTCCTCGCCGTACATCCATACTTCCAGAGATGTAAGTTGCGGGCCGTCACACGCTCAGGGTGCTACTTTGAATCTGTGCTAATCTCAAATATAAGGCTTACTCGACCATTATGTGGGATGCCGTGCTCCGACACACCAAATTCACCGTCGCCTTCCTGGTTGAGGCATCGTTCCTCTGAGGGATAAACGATATCTTTGGAACAGGGGAGCTGGCTTGGGTCCTCGGCCGGTCAATACTCAAGTGGATGGAACGAGCGGGAAGATATCACGGGTTTGGGTAGGGCGGAGATCACATGCAGAGATTGGTAGCATCTATTGGTTGTTGCTGATGAGGAGCTCGATGGTTGTCCTTTCCACCCCTGGATAATTACTGCAATTGTTTCCATTTATCTAGCTCCCAACTTTGATACGGCCTTGAATGTCACGCTCTGGGGAGGTCAAGTGCTTCTTCTCTATCGGCAAGAAGATCATCAGTAGAACTCCCAGCGGTGGCCCCTCCGAAGAGGGCATCCATTTCCTCAAGCGGGAGCCCCTTTGTCTCCGGATAGAGAAGGTAAATAATAGGCACGCTGACTAAGTTGATGGCCATGAAGAAGAAGTAAATCTTGGAACCGATGTTGGCAATGCCTACGGGCCATATCTGTGCAACGATGATGGCACCAGCGGCGCCACAACTAGCAGCTAGGCTCAACCCACGGGCGCGTACAGCGGTCGGGAAAATCTTGAGGGAATGTCAGTCAGTTGCTCTCATAGCAGCACTATTGTTGGGTTTCCATACCTCGGCGCCGTAAACCCAGGCGGCGGGACCGAAACCCATGCTGAAACCCAGCGCGTAGATAAAAATGAAGACGACACAGGTGTAGTCGGCGGCTCGGTTGATATTGTTGGGGTAGGCCAGCGGTAGTGCGCCGTTGATCTTAATGTTAAGCATGGATTAGCATCAAGGCTGATACGTAGGTAAGGTATTCATATTGCCCAGCCGTGTGGACGGACTTACCAACAGGGCGAACGCCATGACGATGGCCCCAGCGATAAGGGTGAGGCGGCGACCGACTTTGTCGATGATGAGCATTTCGATCACGGTACAGCCGGTCTTTAAGGTGCTCTCAATACCACCAGCAAGTAGAGACACGCGGTGACCGAAACCCAAAGCCTTGAACAGGACTGGGAGGTAGTATTTCATAGCCATAGCGCCGCACATGTGAGCCATGAACTGCAAAAGCGCCGCTCGCCATAGACGTGCAAAGAGGGCGCGATCGGAGAACAGCGAGATCCATGTGAGGCCCGATATCCTAAACACGGCGACGGAGCGTTCGATCTCGGAGAGTTCCGTCTGTACTTCATCCGCGGTGTAGTAACCTTCTCGGTAGAACTGCAAGGTTTCGAAGGCTTCCTCGACCTTGCCGTGCTCAACGAGCCATCGGGGACTGATGGGGTGGAAGAGGGTCATCAGTGAGCATGTCCACGCTCGGGTTAATGATGCCACGGGGATGTACTCACGACTCGCGCATGAACGGAAGCGTGACGATGAAGACCAGGGCTGGGATAAATGATGCACCGAGGGAATACCGCCATCCCACGGACTGTCCCCGGCTGTTGTCCCAAAAGGTCATGACATATCCGACCCTATAGCCCCGTCAGTACAATAATAACCTATCTAAGCTTTACTGGACCGGGGATATACAAACCAGAATCCGCTAGCGAGGCCCGCAACAAAGCCAACATGGTTCATCACAACGTATCGCCCACGCTGTTTTGGCGGGGCTATCTCGCTGTGATGGGTTGATATATCAGCAACAGGATCCCATATACCGGCCCCCCGTAGTAGAAGGTTACCTTTGGTAGAGTGGGACACTCGTTGAGATGATGGCGGTCCCCATGCCAGCGACAATGCGGCCTGCAAGAACCATGCCTAGCGCATGCGACCCGGAGGCACCGGTTTGAAGTGCCTGGCCAAGGCATATAACTACCATACCCGCGAGAGCGGCATAGCGGCGACCACACCTGTCGGCGGCGGGGTGGGCGAAGAATATGTAGCTCAGCCAGGAGCCGAGATAGTAGATGGCCGTGATGAGACCGCTTCGCGGCGCATCAGGTGCTTGCAAAGCCTCCTTGAAGCCGGGATGGACGAGTACAGACGCTAAGACGCCAACATTGTATCTGAAAACGGTATTTGTTAGCCCACAGGGAGTGAAGGGTCGAGGGGGGCTATCATGGGCGCCGAAATCAAGATTCTGACCGCTCCTGGTGAAAAGGGGTGTTCTTTACCCCCAAACAAAGGACCCCAAAGCTAGAATCAAGCAGAAGGAGTGCAGGCGCCAGTAGGCCTTTGAGAAACTAGTTCTTGCCATGGTTAGGCGGTAATAACGTCGAGGCACCTTGACTGCCTTGCGTAGACATGGAGTCGTAGACCGTAGTTGGTCTGCTGTATTATTACGGCGGCTCGGCGGATATCCAAAACAAGAGAATCGAGCAGCACAAAAGACGGTGGATGGCTCTCCCCGTCTCGCAGCGGAGGGGACACGGAAGCCAACTGCACTAGTACGTACTAAGGTTCTGGGCACCGTTCGTTGCAACCCCCGCCCCGGGTTGCACCAGTGTTGGCGGGAGGCGGCACTTTAACTGCCGAGGGCGGGGATGCATGCAGCATGGTCCCCTCACCTACCCACCATGGGGTAGTTTTGTGATTCCCGACGAGTCACCGAGCCACACACGACGCGGCGACGACGAACCTAGTATTGTAATTAGGTGGTGGTAACAAACGAGCTCAGAGGAAGTAGATGGCCGTATTGAATTGTTGTTATATAATTTCTGGTGATAGTTTCAGTAGGTGTTGAACATTCGGGACCTAATAAGGCAAAGCCGTGTGTAGTTGAGCAGCGGCCGGGTATTACATATATTGACAAAACGTGGATTGAACGGAACGGGAAAAAAACGTGTCGGAGAATTCAAGTTGCAGGAGAATCGGACGGGACGCACACTTTTAATGGACCAATCTAGAGAGGGGCCATCTGTCTGGGAGCTGCCACACTCAACAGCACTGACATGATGACGCACACGCCAAGAACATCATTGGTCTTTCTGTGCTCGTCTATCCGACACCCAGCTTCGGCAGAGCTGCGCCGACCCGTGTGCAAAGTGGCGATCTACGTAGACACGGATGTATACGCTCGAGGAGCTTTTTCTAATGGATGGTTTTCCAAAGTTTTTTGAGATTGGAAATGGGAATAGCTACTCCGTAGGTACCTACTCAATTGACCATTATGGCTCCCGAGAACAACAACCTGCCAACTTGTGCTGGCCGAGTTCTCACGCCCAGTAAATGGGGCATATTTCAGGGATGCGCCATTGAAAAGGGAATTCAAAGCTCAGGCAAGAACGAGTTCAGCTGTCGCGGCCCGGGTGTGGCGTGTAAACTCAACACGTCTATTTGATACGTCTCCGTTTTACGCTATCTCACTTCTTCCAACTTTTTCCAAGCGAGTAACGTCCCCAAGGTAGGTACATAGGTATCGTACTTAGAGCGCCCCCACGATCTCGGCAAAGTCGGCGTTCATGCCGGTAGCCAGGTCGTAGATCGGGTGACCCAGGCTGTCGTGGATGCCGAAGCTGCTCGCCGGGTCGGCGGGGGTGTCGACGGGGACATCAGAGTAGGCGAAAGCCACTGTGGTCTGGGCCGACGGGTCGATCTCGGTGTAGCCCAGGTCATCATCGCCCCATCTCGAGCACCCAGTGCACTTGGCCGTGACTTGCCAGTGGGTCTCGTTGGCGTGCGTTCCGGTCTCGAGGACGGTGTACTGCGCATCCGGGTTCTCCGGAGGGCTGAAGTAACCGCTGTTTGGAGGTTAGTATTTGATATTGGCTTGGAAATAAACCATGGGGACGACGTACTAGGCGATCCGAGACGAGAGGACGACGCTCCCGGCTCCGTCCGCCCAACCAATGGCGAGGGGGTTGTATGTCATGTGGCCACCCCAGGCGAACCCAGCCCAGCCAACATCCGCGGGCGACACAATTTGCAGGACTGTGTCGAAAATCTTGTCCTCGGGGACCGGGTCCGGGATGGCGACCCGGAAGATGATCCCACGAGGGCTGGTGTACGAGGCGAAGGTCAGGCCGGTCTCCGCGTCCTCATAGGGAGTAGAGTCGGGCTCGAGCTGCCTCTGGGCTAGAACATGAAAGGATAATGTTAGTCTCGCCGATACGATGGGTTTGTGCGAGCAGGGGCATCGTACCGAGGCCCATGAAGCCCGCCACACGCGCAAGAGTCTGGGTAAGATGCATTTTGAACCTGGCTTTCTGCTGTAACAGGCTGTTGAACCAAGTGTGACCTGAGAGCGGAATCACGGACTGGCCACGAGGCGGGGGAGATTTCTTATATACAAGTAGGACTCAACCGGGGGAACCGCAATAACGGCCTGCCGGGGGGTCATCCACCGGGGGCTGGGTTACTGGTACAGGCCGTGACGCACATCATTCCGCAAATCCGGAGTGGGACATTTCTAATCTGCAGCATGCTCGGGGGGAACGACCCAAGCCGGAGTGACGCTCCTCGCTGGACAGGTACCCCGGCACGACGTGGCCGACGGGCAAATGAATGAGGCATGGTTATGATCCGGGTAGCAGCAGTTCGAAGCTTAAAGCCAAGCCCCAATGCGGGCCCTCTCGACAAGGTCACAGCTCGCAAGGGGACGACGCGGTCATCTGTTTTTGGTAGCCTCTGGTTGGTCCATCCGGCGGCCGTTGTTGTGAGACTGCACCTCCTTGACTGCCGGAAGGCACGCCAATCGCTCCGGAGTGACCATCATTTCCGGAGAGAAGCGCGGAGACGCATGGAAGGACGTGGAGAAATTCGGTGCCGGCGTTGGCGGGCGATGATCCGGGTCCATGATTGGAAGGGGTAAAGCAAGGTGTTTGAGGAATAAATGATTGCGGGGTGCGATGAGATATTAAACGGAGGGAGCGGGAAGGTCATGCGGGTTCTGGTTAGGAGATCAGCATAGATCCCGAAACAGGGCAGCCCAAGGAAGGGTATACCGCAGTTGAAAGAGGATGGTTTCTTTAGCCTAAACCTGATTCGACAAGGAAAACGACACTGGAAAGACATGCTTCGTGCCGATGCAAGGGGCAGAGATCCTGACTCTTGGCACCGCGAACAAGACAGCATTGGGACATGTCAAGTTGCCCGCCAAACCGGACATGAGGGCATCGCCGTGGTGCATCTGGAAGAGACGTATGGGTCTCGCATTTTCAACGCCAACCTTAGAGGCCACTTCAAGGCAGAAGGCGATCATTCATGGAAACGAGGGGGTGGTATTGATGGATACTGGGATGACAAGGAGGAGTATGGGGGAGCTTTTCACAGGGAATGCACGTGTAAGCAAGGTGCTCTTCCTGGATCGTCATAGAACGACAGTGGTGTTCTGGCTGACTTGAGATGCTGTGCCCGTGGCGCCGCTGGGAGAACCAGGTACCTATGTAAGAGGAAAAGAGCGGCCGGCACTTGGCGATGCCGCCCCCCGATATATTGGGTCGAGAAACAGACAATATAAAACAGGCAAGGACTGGTATGTTCTCAGGATCGTCTTTGAGATGGCGGTTTGCGCTGCCCGCTTATCATGGCGAATTAATCTGTAGGTCGGTCGAAAGAGGTCGTTTCGGGAGCGACGAAAACTGGCCGAGAGCATTGCATACCTCGCAGATAAGGGCGGTGGGGAAAAGGGTTGGCTCGGACAACGTGTATCGTCTTACTTCGTCTCGGTTTCCCTTTGGGGGTTGGTTGTGAAGAGAGAAAGGCCGAGCCGGTGAGGCGATCTTGAAGTGATCGCCCGTCGTCTCCATTGCCAAGGCGGATGCTCTGAACCTTATTCCGAACGCCGCCCCCACCCCTCAGCATCCCCCGAGCCCATGTAAAAGAAACAAGGCCCCTGACGATCCAGAGCGGAGCAATATGCAATCGAGAATCATTGTGGCTTGCGATTTCCATGTCGTCCTGCGGGAACCTCGGGAACCTCGTTCGTCATCCGGATATGCGATCTCGTCTTCGCATCAGGCACCAGGCATTGGTGCAGACTGCCTGGAGCTCATCCCGTCTCAACAATGCTCTGAAGGAAGGTAGGTAGGTCGGCACCTAGGTGGGTAGATATGGATGTACCTTCGTACCAAGGAATGGAGGTCGGTCTGTCTCTTGGACTCGGCCTGGCCCGCGATCTGATACCCCGCTTCGGATGACGACCCCACCAAAACTTCGAAAGAAACCGCCGACGAAGCCGGCGATGGATGCCCCGATTTTCCCTCACGACCCTTCTTTCGCAGATCGAAGGTCAGCGGGGATAGCGATAACCACAATTTAACCATCACCGCTATCATGGCCGAGCCAAGGAACCCATCTCGCCCGCCACTCCACGCCGTGCTCCCACCCCTCGTCCTCGGCACGGCGACCTTCAACACCCAATATGTCTCCGACCCGCACTCGATGCCCTACCGCGACATCGTCGCCCGCGCACTCTCCCTCGGCATCAATGCGTTCGACACGAGCCCCTACTACGGGCCCTCCGAAACCCTCCTCGGCACCGCCCTCGACGCCTTGATGAACCCCCCCACCACCACCACCACCACCACCACCACCGAGACCACCAACAACACCGATACGAACACCACCGCCACCCCCCCAACCGTCCCGCTCCCCCGCTCGAGCTTCTTCCTCATCACCAAAGCCGGGCGCATCGCGCCGACCGAGTTCGACTACTCGCCGTCGTGGATCCGGTACTCCATCCTGCGCAGCCTGCAGCGACTACACACTCCCTATCTCGACCTGGTCTACATGCACGACGTGGAGTTCGCGACGCCGGCCGAGGTTGTGGGCGCGGTGCGGGCGCTGCGGCGGCTGCGCGACGAGGAGGGCGTCGTGCGCTACGTGGGCATCAGCGGGTTCCCCGTGGCGACGCTGTGCGCGCTGGCCGAGCGCGTGCGCGCCGAGACGGGCGAGCCGCTCGATGCCGTGCTGAGCTACGGGCATTTCACTGTGCAGAACCGCGTGCTGGGCTTGCCGTGGGTGGGTGGGGAGGGGGAGGAAAAGGAGGAGGGTGAGGCAGGGTTGGCGCCGTTGACGAGGTTCAAGAAGGCCGGCGTGGACGTCGTGCTGAATGCTAGCATACTCGGCATGGGCTTGTTGACGAGCCGGGGCATACCTGCGGACCCGCCGGCGCCGGACGAGGGGGGTGCTGGTGAGTCTCTGTTGGCGAACTGGCATCCCTCGCCGCCGGAGCTGCGTGTGGCTTGTAAGACCCTTGCGGGCATCTCAGCAGCGGCAGGTGAGCGCCTGGAATCGGTGGCGATACGCTGGGCAATAGCCGAGTGGGCGCGGGTTGCGGCCATGGCGGGTTTGGGCGTTGACATCACAGCCCCGGGTGTCGGGCCCCAGAAGGTTGGCGTTACGGTCTGCGGTGTCAAGACCATCGCGGAACTGGAAGAAACAGTCGCGGAGTGGCGCGGCGTCCTCTCTAGCCTTACGTTTGGCCCCAGCGATGAACTGTATGGTTCAGTACGCCAAGAAAAAGTGCTGAACCTGGTTCGGAACGAATTTTGGCCTGCCTTGCAATCATGGCTAGACTATGTCTGGGACAGCCCGGGGCCTGATTTCGTGAATACCAGGCAGGAGGTTGATCGGGGAACCATACCGGATGACGGTATAGTTGCCGCATTTGAGAAGGCGAGACAAGGTACACAGCCCACAGCCAACACCAGGTAGCACCTGCCATGGCCTGTCACAAGAAGGGAATACCCGTGCGGTAACCAGGTCGCTATTCGATCTCTAAAAACATAATCAAGCAGTACTACTTAGGGCGCCAGTTCTCCAGACTCCGTTCCATCCCCCATGTCGTGGCCTCAATTTCCCATCCTCACCTCATCGCGCCTGATACCTCCTTTGTACGTACCACTAATGTCTCGGAAGGGAAAATGCTGGGCTTGAACTTAGGGAAGAAGACAAGACGGTAAACAGGGAAGGGAGGTGGGGGGTTGAGGGAAGAAGGGATGTACTGTGTAATGAAAAAGAGAGATTCCCGCCGCCTTCAAGCACCACAAGCACAGACGGAACAGCCATCGTAGACCGCTGAATCTGAGCTTCCGTCGCTGGGATGCCTAAGCCGTCATCAAATGTTACTCCCGGAACTGGTCCCTGCCTGGACCTCTTAGCAATTGCGGGAGGATCGAATCCTCCCGAACCGTCGTCACCGGCGGCTTTCCCCCCCGTGACGAGAACGAAAGGATCGAATCAGATAACAGCGCCGCTACTGCGTCGACTAATGCACACGCTCCACGGCAGCTTCGCCGGCAGGATGCTTCAACTCATCGTCGGCGCCGGGAGTAGCGGGTGTCTCGGGTGTAATGGTGACTGTTGGTGGCGACAACGAGTCCGATGCGCCATGCGTGCCTTCCTGGTCGCCCCCATTTTGTGCATCTGGGGCCCCATTGTCCTTGTTCTCCATCACGGTGTCTACTGACAGACCACCCGAGGTCTCATCTTGTGGTTTTACGTTGGCGTGGTCACTAGCCATATCGGTTTCGGTGATCTCTACCTCGCCAGAGCCGGCAGTGTTCTGTGACCCAGCCTCCCCGGCCTCCCTGGCCCTCCGCTCGGCCTCGATCAGACTGAGACGCCTGCCTGCGTTCTCCCCGTCCAGGCTGACGCCGACTACCTCTGCCAAGCTTCGGAAGTTGAACATGGGCTCTGTGCTAGCGCTGGGATCTCGGTCGCGGTCCGGATCACCACCATCTTCGCTAGTGCCAGATCGGCTCCCTAGGCTGAGGCCACTGTTGCGAGGATTCTGGAGGTGGGTGGGGGATGTATAGCTGCCGTGTTGACTGTCAAGAACTGATGACGATACCGATGAGGCATTGCTCATCTGCCGGAGGTGAGACGGGCCGGCAGGGAGATGAGGAACTGGGCGCGGGCTTGATGCATCGGTCGAGCCTCCCGGCACAGCCGGATCGGTAGCGGCGACAGGGGCGCTTTCCGCATGCGCAGAAACCCCACGGTCAACACCCTTCCCTTTCTCCTTGGGGTTCGCTTCCGGAGACTCGGTTGTCGCTATGGCGCTGGCAACACTGGCCTCGATTCGGAGATTGCTGGCAGCACTATTGCCCCGTTTCCTCCCAAAGCCCAGGCCAGGGAGACTGAGAGTACTCCCGCTTGCTGAGCTCTGGCCGCTACGGCCGCTGGCGCCCTCATAAGGCCCAGTTTGCTTCGCAGCCGCCTTGGCCGCTTTCCGGTCCTCCTTTTCGCGCTTTTTCGCCTCTTTCCGCTCCTCTTTGGAAACCTTGCGTTTGCGCTCCTCCTCAGCGGCGAGTGATAAGCGAACGGCCTCCGCGAGCATCATCTCTTCGAGATCCTCGAGGCGATCTCGGTGGTTACCACCACCACCTCCAGACCGGCCGCGCCCTAACTCTCCTCTGGGATTCTGATCGGGGCCACTTTGGGAAGGCGTTCCGGACCCGCTATCCCCGTTCTCACCTTCCCCGTGGTTGACTCCGCTGGGGGAAGGGAGTGCAGATGCCGACCCACCATTGTTTCTCCGCCCGAACCGACTGCGAAATGCCCGGTTCTCGGAGCCACTCACAAGAAATGCCGCAGTGTGTAGCGCTGTCGCAGCGGCGGCTCTCCTGGCTAGATGAGCCCGTGCTGCCTGCAACTTTGTCGCCCACTCGGGCCGGATCCGATCCGTTAGGATGACGCTTGGGCTGCTGGCGGAGACAGACTGGTTGCGCCGGCGGCCGGTGCCATTGCCAGGGGACGCGTTGGTTGGGGAGAGAGTAGCTGAGTTTATTGAACTGCTCGAGGACATGGCAGCGTTCGAGGCACCTAGAGCAATCAAAGATATGCTGTACGATAAGCCCCGTCGGAAGGGTGGCGGCTCGTAGGTGACGCCGAAGTCGGGTTGCGTGCAGTATGGGCAACACGCGGGCTCTGATACTAAGAGTCCTGCGGTTTCCTCCGGATTGTGATTCGGGTCGTTCTCGTTGTGGCCCTCTGGGAAGTGGGGGTCTGGCCGCTTGATCTGCACAAAACACTCGCTGCATATCGGCTGATCGCAGCACCGCGTGTGGTTCAAGTACGGCGGATAGGTCAAGAAACATATGGGGCACTCGGTGGCGTCCTTGTACAGAAAGACCTCGATGGGCTGTCCGTTGACGAAAGGGTCATGTGGTAGATTGATTTCGCGAGGCATGAGCTCGGTAGTGGAACCATTTCGCGATCCTCCCCCGCCCAAGACGGCGGCGATAGCTTTCCCGCGGGGTTTGAAAGGAGAGTTCGCTCGTGGGGCTTGAGCTGAAACAGGCGACGACAGCGCGGAGGAAGGATTAGAGGTGGCGTGTTCTGAGGCGGTCGACGGTGAGCGACCACTAATCGGTACTGTCAGGCTATCTAGGTTTGGAGACCCCCCTGCGCCGGGGTTCGTTGGGAGAGGCCGCGGAATGAGCTCTTCGGGAGGGATCTGGTCGGCGGGTGGAATGGGCAGGCCCCGTGCGGCAGCGATGATTTGTGGCTCAGTCCACTGGTCGTTAAAGTCGTTCAACCCTCGCCAGAAAGGGGCAACCTTCCGTTCAATCTACAGAGGGAGAGGGAGTGAGAACGGCACAGATATAGACGGTCCGGGGGAGCCACTTACTTGAAGTTGTCGGACAATCGCCTTGTTGAAGTCCTCGGGGCTTGTATATGTTCCCATGGTGACCAGGTATCCCCCATCAACGTGCTCTTCCTTCATGCTGCGCTCCCTCTCTGCAATCCTCGCAACACGCTCCCTCTCCAGTCGCCGTGCCTCCCGTTCTTGTTTGGTCTCACGGCGTTCGTATGGCGGTTCCGCTTGAGAACCTCCAGATCCTAGCCCCAGGATTCCTCCCAGATCTCCGCGACTGACTCGGTTCCTCCGATTCGATGCTCTCTCGGACTGCAGGGAAGCACTACCGGGGTCGCCATGATGGATGCGACTACTCCCATCGCCGGCGCGCGATTCTTTTGTGCTTGAATTACCCATGGCGGCGATACGATGCCCCTCAACGTATCACCCGTATTCGCAGTCGTCGTCGATCGAAGGGAATCGGTAAGAATGGGGTTGGGCGGCGCGGATCGGATTTCGAAGCTTGATACGCAAACGGCCGAGATAAGGCGATCGGCTGGCTGTCTGGGCTTTGGGGGAAATCGGTGACGTAAACAGTTCGGGGCGAAGTGGGATGGGGAGATCAACGAGGGACCTGCACAGGGTTTACAAGACGAATAAAGTGAGGGCGGCGAGCCTGGACACGGATCGCTGATAGGGAGGTCGCTCCTTTCATTTATTCTCGGCCCTGCCGGTATATCCACAAGTGGTGTTGTCAACTGACGGGAGTTACTTGGTGCAAGGTCCACGGTTAGGAACAAGGTCCAGGTCGCGGCAGGCCTGGCAGTCGCGTTGCAGCGATGCAGAGGTGCAGCAATAACCGGATATGGCGGGAGGTTGGCAGAAGGTGGGATTCAGCGGGGTTTGGCGGCATGACACATGGTCACGCTATGCAGTCGGGAAGTAGGTCTGCTTGCCTTGCACAACAGGCTCGATGTGGGCGACGATGGTTCCCGGGCCTAGATGCGGTGACCGAAGAGCGAGCGACGATGTGCACAAAGGATGGCAGGTGAGAGATGCTTTCGAGATGGCGAAGGCAGATGCGTGCCAAGGAGCAATCCCAAGCCAAGCACGCCCGAATGCCGCCAACCGAACCCCCGTTGTTTGATTGTTAATGCGGGGCAGGCTCGAGGCGGGCATTGGTGCAGCCGCCCGAGCCGCCCCGGTAGAGAGATGTTCAATGGTTGGGCCGGGGTTGCTCCCCGCTCGCCCCACTTCTCTTTACACAGGACTGGCACCTTTGAGAGATCTGACACGTGCCCGACCTCGGGCTTCATGCTTCATGGGAATTCGCGACCGAGGAAAATCATGGATTCAAATGACATGGGGGACAAGATAGCCTGGTACTCAATTCCCAGCAGGATTTTGTCTATTGTAAAACAGTAGGGAAACGGTGGCAACCATCCGAACCAGAGCCAAGAAGAAAACTAAAATGCTACAAATGAAGCGACGGTCTGTTAAGGTCGGATAAACGACTTCTCATCTCCATTTCCACAAAAGTTTGATCCATTATCATATGTACCTAACGACCCTCCGTACATGGTGCTAGTTCTCGGGGTTGACATCATGGCCATCACGGACAAGTTCGGCATTCGGGCTTCGCAAACTGAACCTTGCGTTCCGCGGAGAACATCCAATTGCTATGAGAAGGCCCGAGAGCTCCGTGGCTCATTGGTACCTACACCGGGGTCGAATCTGGTCTTTTTGGGCCTAGCCTAGCCTACTCCTAGTGTAGGTAGGTAGGAGAAGGGCCAGTGCCCCTTGTATTGTGTTCGGGTCGCTTTACGTGGGTAGGCACCTCCCTAGCCAGCTGAAGCCTGAGTCGACATATATAGACCAAGAAACGAACGACACCGAGCTATACTTGTAGCCCAGTACTGGTATTTTACGAAAACTCCCAGTTGGTGACTCTCAGCGAAACCATTCGCGCGGCGAGCTATATCAATGACAAATATTTATGTCAGACATCAGTTCTCATAACAATAGCCGATACCAACAATGATGTTGTAAACGACGTTTGGTTGCGTACAGGAGAAAGAAGCACAGGGAGTGATCTACCTAGACAGATAGGTACCTAGGTAGGTTACCAAGAGGGGGGAGCCCCAAAACCCAAGCAGAGATAAATTACCAGGTACCTACCTCGATAGGTACTTCCATACTCCTAATTAGTACCCGAATGCTTCCTCGCAGTCGACATTGCAGGTTTCCCTCTTAGGTTTCTTCATTTCTATCCCTGTGCAATGCAGTAATCTCCCCTGAAGATATCTTAAAACCACTTTCCCAAATACCGTAGTTTACTAGAAATGCAAAGAAGGAAGATACACTTAATGATTGCGAACAACAAGCCCCGGAGCTAATCTTGCTCCACAATTCCGAGATGCAAGTGCGTATACACCAGCCTCGCGATCGTACAAAGGAACGACCTACTTGGGTAAGGTATGTGGCACAGACTGAAACGACTCCAAATCCTAAACGCAGCTCCACCCATATCAGCTGAATAATAGAGGGCATCACGGTTGCATTTGTCATCCCAGATTTGCAAGTCAGATACATTTCCCGGCATCTGTGTCGAATTGTAAGCATCGTATATGCCACATCGTCAATATCATTTACGCTGTTAGGTTTTGTATTTAAACCAACTCTTTGTTGCTCCTCAATATTTTCGCGGTCGCCTTCCTCACCCTCCTTACATCTCAGCCTCCGTCACTATACCACCCTCGCCATAATGTCTTCCTACAACCTCACACCTCCCCGCCGGATCACAGCGTCCAATCTCCCCCTGCCCTCCAACCTCCGTGGAGATGAGCACGCCGAGCCTGGCGTTGAGGTCAAGGTCGACAGCCTGAAGGCCGACTCCCTTCTCGACGGCACCTTGATGCGTTCTGTGGTAGCCACCAGCAAGCAAATTCCCACAAGCAACGACGGCCAGTGAGTCGCAACAAATCCCTGCCTTCAGCCCCTCGGCGCGAATCCGGATTTTAATGACCCCCTCTGCAGTGGTGAACTGCCCCTCGACAAGGTCCCAGGCATGGGCATCGTGCTCCCGGGCGGGCTGAACATGTACTACATAGACCTGGCGCCCAACACCGAGGGCACCATGCACCGGACGACGTCGACCGACTACCTGGTGCTCATCTCCGGCACGCTGAGCCTCTTGACACCCGCGCCCGAACCCTACCAAGTCAAGGATGGGGCGGCTACGTACGGTGAGGCCGTTGAGACCGTGTGCCATGCCGGTGACGTGGTGGCCCAGCGAGGGATGATGCACGCGTGCGTTTACCTATGAAAGCTACGAGAGTTCATTAGTCGCTGACGTGTGTGGTAGGCTCTCTAACCGCACGGACGTGTGGGTTAGGCTGCTTGCTGTTGTGCTGTCGTCCGACACCAACAAAGTTCCTATTGAGGGCACTGGCGGCTACAAGGAGCTGCATGATGCTTGGATTGGATAGCTTAGATGGAAATGGAAGGGCGACACAAGCAATTTGGCGAGGGACGATTTGAGCATACGAGAGCTAAATATTTTGACTTCCCAGCATGTTCGACAGAAGACGTCGACGAGTTTTAAGCGGCGTGGAATATGTGTGCAATCTAAGCGGCCTCATAAAGTTTGAAAACCTTATTACCTGGCACTGAGGTGCGGCAGTCGTTCTCGCTTTTTGACACACGTTGTCCCTCGTTCGAGGAGAACTAACCTCCTTATGTGTTGTTACAGACCGATGAGGATGGCTTCTGAATGCCGCGATCTCTAGTTTTGTGATATTGGTGCGATAGGGTCGACGACGATTGGTTAGGCCAGGCGGTTGATACAAACACGCAAGGAAAAGAATAACGTGTGATGATTAATGAAAACTTCTGCTTGAGAACTATGTGATTAATGATTTGGTCGTATACCTGGTGTTGTTCATTTTCAGAGATTCGTGAAACGAAGCTCGGAGTAATGGGCACGGTGTTGCTCATCAATTGTAGTACCTATGTTGGGGTATGGCATATTTGAGTTGACATTCCGGGTTACCACATCTCCACATCCGGACGATCCCGCGGCGTGGGGCCGATTCGGCGCGGCATAAGTGGGCCCCTCTCGTCACTCCGCCGGCAGACTTACCACAACCCCACGGAGTTTTGACTATGTGGGTGGAGGGGCGATCATGTGGGGGGTGGAACTTGAGCCAACTTGCCAACCTCGACTCCTTCGAGAGAGTGAGCAGTTAGGTATGTAGTAATTGACACTATTAATTTGGGGTTTAATCTTCCACTGGGGCAAATAAGAGGCCTTGACATGATCCCGAACTTGGGTACCTCTGAAGGAGCCGGGCCATCCGGGTTGTTGATCCTCGCGCCGGGAAGATTCCACTCCCTTCGACATGTTGATTGCGAGGTCGTTGTGGGATAGGCCCCGCATCAACTGAGCATCAATCGAGTTATCAACTTCGTCATAGACAGGTGCTGAAAGCTGTTCTCGAGATTTGGGCCGCCCAGGAAATGTTGTGAGAGCTGGAGTGCTGGAGTCGAGCCAACGGGCCCACGACAGGAGGGTCATGATGGAGCATGTATTATTACTTGTTCTGGATGATCAGCGCGCGCCACAGAAATAGAGAAGATCGAAGAAATTCGCCTTCTCAAACCCAAGGCCAGAAACCTCAAAGGAATAGTTAGTCTTTGGCCTTGCGGATAAGGTAATCACGTAATGAGGTCGAATCCGTATTCGCCATCGCGGCTCAGTCGAGTTTGGCGAGATCAAGGTATTGGTATATAACTGCCTAGGACGGAAACATGCGGCAGGTTCCTGCCCCCCGGAAACAATGGCGGCATTTGTGGCCGTGATCTTCCCCGTTGTGGTGACAAATGATCAGCCGAGAGCACGGAGGCGGCACGGCGCGGACGGTTTGCGGGTTGTCGGACAGTCCCAGAGCCCGACTCGAGACCCACAGAAATCCGGGATGACGGGTTTGCCTTCGGATGACGCTTGGCCGGTCAGCCCCTGCAGTCTGTCTTGACTTTAGACGAGCTCATTGGACGATTGCGTCTCTGCCAAGAGCTGACGAGATTGGGGGTGTTGAGCGGATCGGGCACGCCAGACGGGCACAAGAAAGAGAACAACGGGCAGGAAGCGAATGCCTCCCTTAAGTACCTGCCAGCTCAGCTCGTCAGAAATGAGGCACTTCACTCCTGCTCACGCGCAGGTACCCTTTCGAGCCTTCTAACAGGCTGATTTGAACATTCGACGAGCGGTGGCGGCGGTTTGGGTTTTGGGAATTTCCATGTCGCACTCATTATTATTGGGCACTGGAAGGGTCGGTTTCGCTTTTTGCACTCTGTCCCGATTACGGGAAAGGGGAGCGGGGCGTTTGGGGGGCAAGCCGGGTCCAGTCGCTTGAAAATTGGGCAGAGGGACCCACGCGTGCGACGGATTCATTTCGCTGCTGGTGCCGGGCCAAGCCTTCCCTTCTCAGAATGATTCATCGATCTCAACGGTCGAAAACCGAGACTGTTCATCCCTCGTCAGACGTGAGGGAAGTCGCCGGTGACTGAGCGGCATGGTTGTGCGGATTCAGCCCAATGGGGAGGCGTGGATCGAGTTCTGGTACGGGCGGAGGGTTCGGTTCTGGGCGAGAAGGCGCGATTGAGGTACATTTCTTTTTCACTCAAAGGCCGAATCGAGACTTTTCCCCACGACTGTTGGCTGCGCGTCGATGGGAACCCCACATTTCCATGCCGAGCCTTCTGTCGGGAACTTTTCCTGTGCGCTTCCCGCGAAAGGGTCCCACAGCGCATCGATGCGGCGCCCGAGGCAGTGCGCAATCCCGCCAGGAGGGTCCAACTCCACTCGGGCCCTGCGAAGACCCCGTCTCTCCAGCAGTCACTTTTATAACCCGAGAGGGCCCGGTTGCTCAAGGGGCTAATTATTCTGTTGTTGGTTTGTAGGTTGCTGTCCGTTATCGCGTGCCACGCTTGCATCTTGAACCTCTTTCTTTTCCTGCCACTCGTTCGCCATTTTAATCTATTTCTCATACTACTATCGAGTACTATCTCAAATCTCCACCGATACCACCTGCCCATTGGAAGCCACAAACCCCCGTGTGAGTGAGTGCGGCGCGCCGATTCCTGCCTATTCGACGGCCCCGCAACGGCACTCTCCGTGTTGAAACACGTGGTGGCGCGTCAGCGGGACGAGTAACCCATGTCCTTTACGGGCGCTGGTTCCTTCGGGAACTACGATCTGACGGCCCAGATGACCGGGTCGCCGCTTGCCCGGCAGACGACACACGAGCAGGAAGAGACGGTCACACCTCCCGGGTCTTCGCCAGGACAAAATGAGAAGGCGAGCGGGACCCGTGCCACCTCGACGACGGAAGTCGCCGACGGCGAGGGCGGGTTCGACACCGGCGCCGAGGACGGTGATGATGCGGTCGAGCAGGACCGCCGCCACAGCATCGTGCAGGATTTGGCGAGGAAGTACACGGCCCAGTCGAACGCAGCCGTTGAAGGAGTGAACCCCTTTTCTGTCGCTTCCGAGGACAAGGAGTCACCATTAAACCCCAATGGCCCCAATTTCAGCGCCCGCGCCTGGGCCAAGGCCGTGGTCAAGATGGTCACTGGGGAGGGCCACCAGTTTCGCACGACTGGTGTTGCCTTCCAGGATCTCAACGTCCACGGCTTCGGGTCGCCCACGGATTATCAGAAGGATGTCATCAACGTGTGGCTCGAGACGGTCAGCCTTGTGCGCAAGCTTACCGGGCATGGGAAGCGTCGGATCGATATTTTGCGCGACTTCGATGGTTTGGTTCGCAATGGCGAGATGTTGGTCGTCTTGGGCCCTCCCGGCTCGGGCTGCACCACGCTTTTGAAGACGATCGCCGGTGACTACAACGGCATTTTCATGGACGATGACTCGTACTTCAACTACCAGGGTATGATCTCTACCCTGCAGGGGCGACGTTTGTCTTGAGATTTATTTTGCTGACCTTGCTCCAGGCATGACCGCCAAGGAGATGCACACCCACCACCGAGGCGAGGCCATCTATACTGCCGAGGTCGACACCCATTTCCCCCAGTTGAGTGTTGGCGATACGCTCACGTTCGCTGCTCGCGCCCGCGCCCCACGCCAGCTACCCCCTGGCATCTCCAAGACCATGTTCGCCAACCATCTGAGGGACGTGGTCATGGCCATGTTCGGCATCAGTCACACCATGGACACTCGCGTCGGTAACGAGTACATCCGCGGTGTCTCGGGTGGTGAGAGGAAGCGGGTCACGATCTCGGAAGCCGCTTTGTCCAATGCGCCACTGCAATGTTGGGACAACAGCACCCGTGGCTTGGACAGCGCCAACGCCATCGAGTTTTGCAAGACGTTGAGGTTGCAGACCGAGTTGTTCGGGAGCACCGCGTGCGTGTCCATCTACCAAGCGCCCCAGAGCGCCTATGACCTATTCGACAAGGCGATTGTCTTGTATGAAGGCCGCCAGATCTTCTTCGGCAAGGCCGACGAGGCCAGACAGTACTTTATCAACCTAGGCTTCGACTGCCCCTCTCGTCAGACCACGCCGGATTTCCTCACGTCGATGACGAGCCCTCACGAGCGCATTATCCGCCCCGGTTTCGAGGCAAAGGCTCCTCGCACACCTGACGAGTTCGCGGCGGCCTGGAAGAACAGCTCCGAATACAAAAACCTACGGGCCGAGATTGAGGAGTACAAGCAGAGCCATCCGATCAATGGCCCCGACGCGGAAGCTTTCCGTGCGTCCAAAAAGGCGCAGCAAGCCAGGAGTCAGCGGTTGAAGTCACCCTTCACTCTCTCCTACATCCAGCAAATCCAGCTCTGCCTGTGGCGCGGATGGAGACGGTTGGTTGGCGACCCGAGCTTAACCGTGGGTGCCCTCATCGGCAACTTCGTCATGGCCTTGATCATCGCCAGTGTTTTCTACGACCTTCAGCCGAATACCGCCAGTTTTTACCAACGCGGCGCGCTCCTATTCTTCGCCTGTCTAATGAACGCTTTCGCTAGCGCCCTCGAGATTCTGACCCTATACGCCCAACGCCCTATCGTCGAGAAGCACGATCGTTATGCCCTCTACCATCCCTCTGCTGAAGCCATCGCCTCCATGCTCTGCGACATGCCGTACAAGGTTGCGAACACGATCGTGTTCAATCTCACTCTGTATTTCATGACCGGATTGCGTCGGGAGCCCGGGGCATTCTTCTTCTTCCTGCTCATCTCGTTCTGCACCGTTCTGACCATGTCCATGATATTCCGGACGATTGCGAGCTCGTCGAGAACCCTGTCCCAGGCCATGGTGCCTGCCGCTCTCATCATCCTTGCCTTGGTCATTTTCACCGGCTTCGTCATCCCCATCGACTACATGCTTGGTTGGTGCCGCTGGATCAACTACATCGACCCGGTCGCATACGCCTTTGAGTCCCTCATGGTTAACGAGTTTTCTGGACGCACCTTCGAGTGCACCCAGTACATCCCGGAGCCCGGATACCTGGGCGGTGGGCCCATGAACCGTGCCTGCTCTTCGATCGGGAGTGTTCCGGGCGTGGGCTTCGTCAACGGCGACGATTACATCAACTCGGGGTTCCGTTATTACCACGCGAATAAGTGGCGCAATCTTGGCATCATTTTCGTCTTTATGGCTGGCTTCCTGGCATGCTACATGTTCTCCGCCGAGAATGTCGCCGCTCAAAAGAGCAAGGGTGAAGTGCTGGTTTTCCGCCGCGGCCACAAGCCGGCATCGTTTAAGGAGAACAAGGGCGATGCCGAGTCCGGCGGCACACCTGTGGCCGGCCCGGTCGTCAAGGCTGCCGATGGCAATGTTTCCGACGGCCGCTCGTCGAACAAGGAGGCTGGCATGTTGCAGAAACAAACTAGCGTCTTCCACTGGAACGACGTCTGCTACGAGGTCAAGGTCAAGGGCGAGACACGGCAAATCCTCAACAACGTCGACGGCTGGGTCAAGCCCGGGACATTGACGGCTCTGATGGGCGTATCGGGCGCCGGAAAGACGACCCTCCTCGACTGCTTGGCCGACAGAACCTCCATGGGCGTTATCACCGGTGAGATGCTTGTTGACGGCAACCCCAGGGACACCTCATTCCAGCGCAAGACGGGCTATGTCCAACAGCAGGATCTCCATCTTCAGACAACGACCGTCCGCGAGGCCTTGAATTTCAGTGCACTCCTCCGCCAGCCCGCTCACGTCCCGCGCGCCGAGAAGCTCGCGTACGTTGACGAGGTCATCAAGCTCCTGGAGATGGAGGATTACGCCGATGCCGTCATTGGTGTCCCCGGCGAAGGTCTCAACGTGGAGCAAAGAAAGCGCCTCACCATCGGTGTCGAGTTGGCTGCCAAGCCCCCTCTGCTCTTGTTCGTTGACGAGCCGACTTCTGGTCTTGACAGCCAAACATCGTGGGCCATCCTGGACCTGCTCGAGAAATTGACCAAGAGCGGCCAAGCTATTCTCTGCACTATCCATCAGCCCTCTGCCATGCTTTTCCAGCGCTTCGACCGACTCCTCTTCCTGGCTAAGGGCGGCAAGACAGTCTACTTTGGCGACATTGGAGAGAACTCTAAGGCTATGACGTCCTACTTTGAGCGCAGCGGTGGCTTCCCTTGCCCACCGGAGGCCAACCCGGCCGAGTGGATGCTCGAGGTTATCGGCGCTGCCCCGGGAAGCCACAGCGATATCGACTGGCACCAGGCGTGGCGCGACAGCCCCGAGTACGCCGGTGTCCAAGACGAACTGCAGCGCCTCAAGGCCGACGTGAAGGAGTCCACCCCGGTCAGCAACGACCCCGGCAGCTACCGCGAATTTGCCGCTTCTTTCTCCCAGCAGCTTGTTCAGGTCACCCACCGTGTTTTCCAACAGTACTGGCGTACCCCGTCCTACATCTACTCCAAAACCGCGTTGTGTGTCTTGGTTGCCCTCTTCATTGGTTTCGTCTTCTTCAAAGCACCCAACACCCAGCAGGGCATGCAAAATCGTACGTCAAATCTCCCACCGCCCTCTTTTCAGCCCCCTTCTCGTTACGAAACAAACGGCTAACTTGTTTGCAGAAATGTTCGCCATCTTCCAAATTCTTACCGTGTTCGGGCAGCTCGTCCAACAAACCATGCCGCATTTCGTCATCCAACGCTCGCTGTACGAGGTCCGCGAGCGGCCATCCAAGGTGTACGGCTGGAAGGTGTTCATGCTTTCCCAGATCATCGTCGAGCTTCCATGGAACACGCTCATGGGGGCGCTGATGTACTTCTGCTGGTATTACCCGGTCGGTCTCTACGCCAACGCTTCGGATGCCGGTCAGACTGCCGAGCGCGGCGCCCTCATGTTCCTGCTTCTCGTCGCCTTCCTGCTGTTTACGTCGACCTTCACCGATTTCATCATCGCTGGTTTCGAGACGGCCGAAGCGGGCGGCAACATTGCCAACCTCCTTTTCATGCTGTGTCTGATTTTCTGCGGTGTCCTCGCCAGCCCGGACACCATGCCCCGCTTCTGGATCTTCATGTACCGGGTCAGCCCCTTCAGTTATCTGGTTAGCGCCATGTTGTCGACGGCCGTCGCCAACACCGAGATGTACTGCGCCGCCAACGAATTCATCAACTTCAAGCCCACCGACGGGATGAACTGCGGGGATTACATGAAGACTTGGATGGAAAAGGCTGGCGGTTATCTCATGGATGAATCCGCGACCGACATGTGTTCGTACTGCACCGTCAGGTACACCAACGACTACCTAGCGAACGTGAATTCCGATTACGCCGACAGATGGCGCAACTTTGGGTATGTATCTCATCCGACTCCACTTCCTTTTTGACTCGAGGTCTAACACGGCATTACAGCATTCTCTGGGTGTACATCATCTTCAACGTCTTTGCTGCCCTGGCGCTCTACTGGCTCGTCAGAGTGCCTAAGAATAAGCTGGGCAAGAAGACGAAGAAGGAGTAAGCTTGTGATGGGGACAAATCCGTTTTCATCCGCCTTGACACCTGATGTCATTCACGACATGATGACTTTCAGAGACCATCCGTCGCTGCCGCTTGCTCGGCGTGTCTAGTGGTTTTTTTCTTCAACTTTATTTTCTGACACTTGATGTCTCATCCATAATGAGCTTTGCTCTGTACATCCAACATTTATTTCCTTATAATTTTAGAATAGATTCAGGCAACGGAGTGGGACGGCGCGGTTCGGATCCTTCGTTCCTAGTATAATCACAATAGATTCTGCTTGGATGAGAGACACCCATATAGAACATCACTTGCACTTGACCCCTGGACTTCCTCACCGCCCATCATAGCTGGCTTGCTTGTTATGAAGTAGTAGCTGGGCATTTTCACACATTGCCCACAAGATGGTGGTGACTGCCTTTGGTTTACTCTGCTGTGAAATACAATGACGCCAGTTCTTCCTCATGTTCCTGGAGGTTGGCGTCTGAACTGAACCAGGTGCGGGATGGAGTCGAGTAGCACCATCGAGCAAACAAAAGTGAGACCGTAATGTTACAATTCTATACAAATGGATCTAATGCCTCATCATGCAGATCGATTAAAGGATTACAAGAAGTTGATACCCACACCAACCTGCAACCCCTTCCGCCCCTCCTCTCCCTTTCGTAGTACAAGCGGCAGGCTAAAGTTCAGCTCAAAGCGGGCCACGGGGTGGGCATAGACCAACCCAACACCGGCAGCCAGACTCGGCAGCCCGTTTGCGAGCTCGCCGACGGCCGACGTGACGCCCTTGAAGACGGTCGCCGAGTCCATGGCCAGCCCCCCTCTCCCTTCCTTTCCTGTGCCCTTGCTGTTGAGCGCCACCAACCGCCCAGCATTCGCAAAGAGCTGCAGCCTCAACGGCGAGTCCGGTCCAGTGCGGGGCAGCGGGAGGAGCGCATTAACGCCCCCCGCGGCGAAGACGTCTCCGCCAACCGCGTCGGCGCCGTCGTGCGGGCCAACACCGCCGATCTTGAAGCCCCGGACGTCGGTGGGGCCGCCGAGTTGGAAGCGGTCGTTGATCCGACTCGGCTGGGCCGCGCCGGCGGGCGAATAACCCAACGGCAGAGGGTACAGGAGGCCGAGACGCAGGCCGCCGCCGATGGAAACGCCCGACTTGGCCAGCAGGGGCAGCGCGCCAGATGCTTCGACTTCAGTCTTGGCGAAGGAGACGTCGCCGCTCAGGGGGCCCCAGCCGGCCAGTTCGGAAATGGAGCGGAGCAAGTAGCCATTTTGTGGCAGCATCGGGTTGTCGCGGCGGTCACGTGTGAAGGTGTGCGTTATTGAGCTCTTGAGGGAATCACCAGCATCAGCACGGACGGTGGGCGAGGCTGTGGCGGCCAGACCGGTCAGCTGCCTCCAAACGGTCGAATATGCCAGAGCATGAGTGTCGTTGTTCTCCGACAGCCAGGCAAGCCGGAGGTTCCCCCCAGTCAGTTGTTCTTCGTGTGATGCCCAGGGCTTTTGTGTTACCGAGCGCAGCGCTTCGGCGGAGAGTCGCAGGTCTGGATTGCCGTTGACCGGGGCGGAGAGGGTGGCGTTGTAGGCGGATCTCGTCCGGGTTCCGGCACTCGCGTTGACCGAGAGGGTTTCGGCGCCGCCAAAAATGTTGCGTGCCACAGCATTGGTGTAGGCAGAGCCTTCGGTGTTACCAAAGTCGGTGCCGGCACTGAAGACCAGGCGCGACTTCTCCTTCACGCGGATCGAGACGTCGAGCTCGGTTCTGTCGGTCGGCGGCGCTGATTCGGGGCGCGGGGCCTCGGACAGAAAGACGCCGAAGCCTTCCTCCTTGAAGATATCTTTCAGATCGCTGCCGTGTTAGCAAAGGCCCCCCTGGTAACGTAACGCACAGGGGGGTAGGGATATCGCGCACCGAACCGAGTGAGCTTCTTCGTGGCTGCGGTAACGCGGTCGAGGACTTGGCCCATGGTAGTCCCGGCGGGCGCGGTGTCCTCGAGAACAGGCTTGAAGACGTGGTCAAGCAAGCTCTTTCTGGTGTTGGTAGCGCCATGGACCTCGAGGGAGCTTATGGAAGCCGGTGCCAGGGCGTGCTCATCGAGCTGTTGAACGGAACTCGGGTTAGCAACTTGGGCAGTTGCGGGAGTTGATGGATTGATTCCGGTTTGAGATTACCATCTGCGTTAAAGCGGCGTTGGAAGGTCGCTCCGTACTTGTGCTGGCGGTAGCACTGCCATTGTTGGCGGCCTGTGACCGATGTCAGCCGGTCAAGCTGGAATTGGACTGGAGCTGTCTGCAGTTCTACTTCGGGTGGGATTGCGATGGGGGGGTTCACATTCCCGTTTCGCTGTCGCCTGGAGTCTGGGAATACATGCTTTGCAAAGTACAACTTACATGGCTGCCGCCGAAGCCAAGAGAGGCGGTCATTGCTGCTTCTCTCGGCGTCAACAATGGTGAGAATCACAGGTCGGAGGGGGGTAACTTGCTCCTGCTGCTGCTGCTGCTGCACAAGCCGAAGTTCTTTGTGAGACCCACCTTACACAACCGGCCCCATAATTATTTCTCGGACGGAATGGGGCCCGCCGGTTGTTGAACCTCCTGGTCAAAGCGCCCTTCCAGCTGACGGCCAAGCAAGCCAACAGGGTGGCTCGGGGGACTTCCATGTCGAGGGGCCCGCCGTCGTCATCCACTCCTTGCATTCCATTCATCCTCTTCCCAGATTCCTACCTCTCAAATTCTCGTCACGTTCTCGCCTCGCCTATCAACATCCGACGGCTCACATCGATACCCTAGGGCGATTTTCGCTTCACTCCTTTGTTTTCTTTGCTCTACCGCCCTCGTTCCCTCCCTCCCTCGTTTTCCCGTTTCAACCGGCTGTACGAAGTACCCATCCGTCAATCCGGACAATCTCCACAGACATCATGGCCAGCAGGGCGGCGCAAAAGCGCGTACGTATCCGCAAACCCACCTACAAGTTTTATGGGTTAGAGCGCTCAACTAATGTTGTGTTTGACATGTGCAGTTGACGCGCGAATATAAGAGCATCACCGAGAACCCCCCACCATACATCACGGCGCACCCCTCGGAAACAAACATATTAGAGTAAGCAAGGAACAAATTAGTGCATCGGCAGGCGTACTGACGCGGAGATTTCAAAGATGGCACTATATTATCACAGGTCCCGAGAACACACCATACCACAAGGGCCAGTACTGGGGCACGCTCATGTTCCCTCCGAACTACCCGTTTGCCCCGCCAGCGATCCGAATGCACACGCCTTCCGGTAGATTCCAGCCATCCAGCCGCTTGTGTCTCTCGATATCCGACTTCCACCCTCGATCGTTCAATCCGGCCTGGGAAGTGTCAACAATCCTGATCGGCCTGCTTTCATTCATGACATCGGAGGAGATGACGACGGGCTCGGTATCGGCCAGCGAGGCGGAACGGAAGTTCCATGCGGCGCGTTCACGGTGGTGGAACTCGACGGGCGGCGGGTCGCACCTCAAAGCCGAGAATGGCGCGGGCAAGGGCAACATCAAGGCCGGGGACGGCGGGGCCAAGTTCAGGTCGGAGTGGCCGGAAACGGACGAGATGAACTGGAAGTTGATGCGGGAGCAAAACGTCGATACGGCGACGGGGAACAAGGTGGTCGAGACTGGCGGGCCTTCGTGCGCACCCCAGCTTGGCATTGCCGCGACCAGCGGCCACCAGGCGCACGCCGTCGTGGATGCTGTGATTCAGCAGAGAGACGCCGGGCAGGGCTGGCTGTTTAGAAACAAGCTCTTACTAGCCAGTGGGGTCATATTCGTCTACGTCTTGATCGCTCGGCTGCTAGGGGAGGGGAGCTCGTGAGGACAACAGACCAAGCTAGACTACGCTGGTGATCGGGGCGGCCTCAGCATTGGACCTACCGGACATGGCCAGGGTGTATAGGCTGGGCGTCGGGCGGCCGTTGACGGTGGTGCCTGGATGGATTACTTTCGGACGGATTGATGGACTGGGTCGCCAAACCTGGGAGAATGGGCGACGTAATCGCAACCGATGGGTTGGGGCACTCAGGTAGAGCACCCACGTCGGCGCTAAATAGGGGATTTGCCTAGAGTGGCAAAGAGCGCTTGAGATTTGTACAATACCCTTCTCCATAGATAGCTTTCAGCATGTTTATCTACCTTCTGTGTGTCATCTTTGGATAGCAGGATCGACGTCTACCCTCTCCGATGGTCTTGGAAGCTAGCATCCACATTATTAACCGAGCATGTTGCGTATTATTTGAAATGCTAGTGGGGCGTATTAGGGGAGCGCAAGTTCATCAGCTTCACATCAAGTTCCAGGTCCTATTTTCACTTGACTTGTTCTATTTTTGGCTTGCATAATACTGCCTAGGTAACGGCTTGTTTCGTTGGACTCGAATTATCATATCACACAATTCTCCGGCTCCGTATTTTCGTCCGATGATCAGCTGTTGGCTGCAAACTCGACGGCCTTCTTTTCCATCATTTCGTGGTATTTGTTGTCCAAGTCCAAAGGGCCACCGGGGATTGGCTTCCTTGGTTGACCGTCAGGCTCCCAGGTCTCGACCTCCTCTTCGTACTTGTTGATCATGACGCAAGTACATCCGTTGAGCCGGCGTGTTATCTTGAAGTTGTGTATGGCGTCTTGATAGTCGAGTGCGTGGCTGCAGCCGTGGCCGCCGGGTTCTCTGAAGGTCGAGATGTCAGTGCTATGACCGGTAGTGTGTTTGTTCCGGCACCCTCTCTTGCAGCATTTCATCTTGTAGGCCCTTGTTCGCTCGGGGTATAGGTTCTTGCCGCCCAGCGTTTGGATCTCGTCCATTTCTTTGTTGACAAGAACGGTCGCCTCGTTGACCTCGTACTTGCAGCCTTCCACTTCGCATTTTCTTCCCATTATCGATCCCTGTTTGAGAGCCCGTTTGATGAAGCTGAACCTGTCGTACTTGAGGTTGGGATGGCTGGAGTCAACGTTATCTCCGTCTTCTGGCGACTCTGCGAGGCATTTGTGCCGCCAGTAGTGGGCTACAAACTTTGAGTTTCCCATGTCGAGTTGCAATATGGCCAGTGTATGAGTGTACGGGCGAAGAACTAACCCGAGATATTCGCTGGGACTTAGTATCAGTTATCGCGTCTACCTATACAGCGGGAAGAGGGACCTCGCTTCTTATGTCACCCAAGCCTTTGTCCGCTCATGTACTACCTATGTAGCATCTAATGACCAACACCGGGTCTCATGGAAAGGTTCGACTTGGTAAAGCAAAGCCATACCAGTGACAAAGGCCTGACCCCACTTGATCTCTTTCAGTCTTTGTTAATTTGTGAAAGAACTAGTGGCTTGCCCCCTTTATGTCTGTCACCCAAGTAATGGTACTGCAGTTGGCCTTGAGTGTTTACATTTCCATTCCTAGGTACGCTAGCAATGGCGAGTAATATTCATTCGTATACAATCTTGGGTCAGCAGACCGATTATAAACGTCAGTTCATCACAGGGCTGTTTCAACGCTGTCACATCGTAGGTCACGTAGCAAATACCAACTATACCTCTTCTCATTGACAATGGGAACAAGTTGTTCTCCTCAAATCGCGTTAGTTCCTCCTCAACAAGCGCGCCTTGGTGGTGGAGTTCAAGGAATCAACACCGGGCCTTCGGGCACTTGATTGGCGATTCGGGTAACATCGCCCCGACGCTCGGGTTATAGATGGTCCAGCGTGGAGGAGTGAGGAGTCGACCAACTTAAATAGTCCTGCATTCACCTGATCTCCCCGACATCGGATATCGTGTTCCCTATCAACCTCCGAGTAGGTTACAGAGCCGACAACACGCATTCCAGTATGGCGCAAGCCGCAGTCCGAATTCTTTCCTCCGGATGGGAGTTCAAGTGCGAAACGGATGAGAGATGGCTCCCCGTCTCGCAGGTCCCGAGCAATGTTCACACGGAGCTTCTGCAGCACGGGTTGATCCCAGACCCTTTTAAAGACACGAACGAGTTGGAAGTCTCGTGGGTTGCCGAACGGACATGGTGTTACCGGACCCGTTTCGTGACGCCGAGCGAGGGGCGAGTGCAGGGCTCAAGAACCGATTTGGTGTTTGAAGGCCTCGACACTTTTGCGACGGCCAGGCTTAATGGAAAGGTTGTACTGGAATCAGACAATATGTTTGTCGAGTATCGAGTCGACATTGGCAAGCTTCTTGCCGGCGGGGCTGAGAACACTCTGGAGATCACGTTTGAGCCAGCGCGGCAACGTGGTTTGGAGCTTGTCAAAGCTCACCCCGAACATGATTTTATTGTGCACCAGACTGAGGTCAGCAGAGGCCCCGTCCGGAAAGCCCAGTATCATTGGGGTTGGGACTGGGGTCCGATTTTGTTGACGTGTGGACCGTGGAAGCCCGTGAGGCTCGAGTCCTACGTCAGCAGGATAGAAGACATCAGAGTGGACTACGAGGTTCACAAGAACCGAGGAGTGCCGACGATCCTGGAAGCCACGATCCACGCCCACGTCCTGGGCCCTGCAGCAGAGCTCGAGGTGGATCTGCTCTTCCCTGGAGGACACGCCGTCAGTCTCAAGGGCCGCAACGACACGCCTGCAGAGCCGTCATGGAAGTACTCATCCACCAAACTTAGCATCGAGGACCCGGACCTGTGGTGGCCGCGAGGTTATGGCCCGCAAAACTTGTGCGAGTTGCGAGTTCGCACTATTGGCGGTCCCGGGTCAACATTGCTAGCCGAGGAGCACCAGAAGATCGGATTCCGCAAGGTTGAGCTAGTTCAGGAGGAAGACAAGTTTGGACGATCATTCTACTTCCGCATCAACGGTGTAGACGTCTTCTCGGGCGGCTCATGCTGGATCCCCGCCGACAGCTTCCTTCCCCAGATTACCCCTGAACGCTACCGAGACTGGATCCAACTCCTCGCCGACGGCAACCAAAATATGATCCGAGTATGGGGCGGCGGCATCTACGAGCCCGACGTCTTCTACACAGCCTGCGACGAACTAGGCATCCTCGTCTGGCAAGACTTCATGTTCGCCTGCGCCTCGTACCCAACCTACCCCGACTTCCTCACCTCCATCACCACCGAAGCCCGCCAGAACATCCGCCGGCTCCGGCACCACCCCTCCATCATCCTCTGGTGCGGCAACAACGAAGACTACCAGCTCGTGGAGCGCTACAACCTCGAATACAACTTCGCCACCGACAAAGACCCCCAATCCTGGCTCAAGTCCACCTTCCCGGCCCGCTACATCTACGAACACCTCCTCCCCACCCTCACGCACACCGAGTCCCCCTCCACCCCCTACCACCCCAGCAGCCCCTGGGGCAACGGCACCAGCACAACCCTCAAAGTCGACCCCACCGTCGGCGACATCCACCAATGGGACCTGTGGAACGGCGAAGCCAAACCCTGGCAGGCCCTCGCCCAGATGGGCGGCCGCTTCGTGAGCGAGTTCGGCATGATGGGCTACCCACACACGGCCACCCTCGAGGCCTTCCTCACCGACCCGGCCGAGCGCTATGCCGGCAGCCGCACGCTCGACTTCCACAACAAGGCCGTCGTGCACGAGCGCCGCATGCTGGCCTACGTGGGCGAGAACTTTGGCCTGGCGCGCGCGGCTTCGGGGGGCGGGGGTGGTGGTTTGGCGGCGTTTGCGCACCTGACGCAGGTCATGCAGGCGGATGCGCTCGCGGCCGGGTATAAGGCGTGGCGGAGGGATTGGGGCCGGGAGGGGGCGCGCGGGTGTGGGGGGGTGCTGGTCTGGCAGCTGAATGACTGCTGGCCGGTGGTGTCGTGGGCGGTGGTGGATTACTATCTGGTGAAGAAGCCTGCGTTTTATGCGATCAAGCGCGCTATGGCGCCGTTGGCGGTGGGTGTGACGCGCAAGTTTCATGACTGGACTGCGCGGCCGGCGGATGAGTTGTGGCGGAGGAATACGGGGCATGTCGACTCGCGGAAGATGTTGACGGATATTGAGTTTGATGTGTGGGTGGCGAGCTCGAGGCTGGAGGCTATGAAGGGGAAGGTGGTGGTGAGGTTTGTGTCGGTCAAAACGGGGGAGGAGGTGAGGGGGAGGATCGAGGAGGACATTGAGGTGCAGCCGAATGGTTGTACTGAGGTGTTGATGGGGTATAAGTTTGACTGGGGCAAGGCAACGGTCGCCGAGCCCGAGCACTTCGTCATCCAAGCAGCGTTGTTGCTGGGCGGAACTCAGGTGAGTAGCGATACGTCGTGGCCCGACCCCATCAAGTATCTCGACTTCCCCGATAGGGGTGTTGCGGTGAAGGACCTCGGTCAGGGGTTGGTCGAGGTTTCTGCGGAGAAACCGGTGAAAGGGTTTGTCTTTTCCGAGAAACAGGGCATGAAACTCAGTGACAACGGATTCGATCTTGTACCTGGGGATGAGCCAAAACTGGTGCAGGTTGAAAACGGGGGTGCTGAGTTGGGATGGACATTTGTTGGTCGTTAAGAGGTTGGCATTGCTATGGACTATTGATATAGACTGCATTGCCATATGGTGGTTATCAACTCTGCTCTGCTTGGACTTTACGAATGGCCACTGATAGCCTTCGGCTGGTAAAGCTCCTCGAGGTATTTCTCCTCTTCTTCCGTCAGCACTTTCCCCCTCGCAGAGATGGCTTCGTCTATTCTCTCTACTTTGCTAAAGCCAATGATGGGGCTTGAGACACGCTTATTGATCCAGGCCAGGGCAACATGAGCGATCTAGTTTATATTAGTAACTGCTTGGGGCCACACTAGTAGAGTATCTGAGGTAGGGTAGAAGACACTCACCGGCCACTCGTGCTTATCCGCAATCTCCACCGTGCGGTTGATGATGCTCAAGTCCGGCTCGACCGTTCCATGCGCTCCGGGCTGGCTATCCTTCTCCCCTTTGCTGCGGGTGGTGCTCCCGTATTGGTCTGGCCGGCGAGCAAGATGTCCTCTGCACAGCGGCGCCCAGGGGATCAAGCCGACGCCAGTGTCATTGCAGAAGCGGTTCATCTCGCGCTCCTCCTCGCGGTAGAGCAGGTTGTACTGGTTCTGCATGCTGATGAACTTGGTCCACCCGTTGCGCTCGGCGCAGAACTGCATGCGGGCAAACTGGGTCCCCCACATGCTGCTGGCGCCGATGTAGCGGACCTTGCCCGACTGGACGAGGTCGTGGAGTGCCTTCATGGTCTCCTCAATGGGCGTATTCGGGTCGAAGCGGTGGATCTGGAGAAGGTCGATGTAAGGGGTGTCAAGGCGCTTGAGGGACGCCTCGACTTGGTTGAAGATGGCAGCGCGAGACAGGCCAAAGTTGTTGATATAGTCCTTGGAGGCACTGAGCTGCTCCTTGAAAAAGAAGGCGCGCAGTCCAGGCTCCTCGCCGACGGCAAAGTAGCACTTGGACATGATGACGACCTTCTCACGGGGGATCTTGTACTTCTTGAGCGCCTTGCCAACGATGACCTCGGATGCGCCGTTTGAGTACATGTTGGCCGTGTCCCAGGTGTTGAGGCCCCTGTCGTAGGCGGCCTTGAGAAGGGGGAGCGCCTCCTCCTCGCCGAGGGCCCAGTCTATATTCCTCGGGTCACCGAAGCTCATGCAACCGAAGATGGGGACCGAGACCTGGAGGCCACTGTTTCCCAGGCGCCGATACTCGCATTTGGAGTTTTCAATCGACGCCTGGAGGCCAGGGGTCATGCTAGGAGCCATGGCTTCGGGGTTGTTTGTTTGTTTTGGTAAAGGGCTCGGTTGTGCTTGGTGTCTCTCTCTCTCACGTCGTCTTTGGTCTCGGCTGCGGCGGGGGCGAAGATCAAGGGACTCAACGAAAGGGACTAAACTATCCAATATATACACTCGCCTGTCGCCCACGTCCTTAGCCTCCTGAAGATGGAGTCATAACCGACCCTACCCCGCAGCGGGGATAAGGGGTGTTAAGAAGTGGGAAGTGGGGGGAGAAGGGGGAAAAGGGGTTAAGGGCTCGGCTCCGGTATGGGTTTGGGGGCCGCTGCGACTGTTGTGTGGAGCTTACGACTTACTAATTGCTTTCTTCCTAGCGAGCCGGACTCCTACTTCCGAGCTGGTTTGTCATGGTGGCCGGGATCTTGCGGACTCTCCTTAACTCCGGTGGTAGGTCAAAAACAGGGGGGTGATTATCCGCGGAGAGACAATGAGTTCATTGTGGTAGATGTACATGCATTTCCAAAATGCTACGAAGTAAAAGTAATAGTATATATACAAGAACCGAAATCGCTACCCTCGTCGCGATTAATTGGCGACCAATCCGGCAGCCTTATCATCCCCCGTTTATGTCCCCCAGGCCTCAGTTGCAGGCAGTAGCCGCAGCGGTCACGGTGACAACCCGCTCGGTAGTCACGGTGGAGGTGATGATCTGAGTGACGGTGTTGGTGCCGCTTCCCGTGGCGGTAGCAGCGGCAGAGGTGGAAACATCCTTCGCACCCAGGGCGGTGGTGGTGGTGGCAACGTCGTCGCCACCCTCGCCATCATCAACGGGGCACTCGGCCTCCTCGGTGTCATCGCCCTCTTCGGTGTCCTCCTCCTCTTCCTCACCATCCTCAGCCGGGCACTCGGCATCGCCGTTGTCATCGCCTTCTCCTTGATCCTGGTCCTCCTCCTCCTCCTCCTCATCACCGCCGTCAACAGGGCACTCATCATCACCGGAGTTATCGGGGACGGCGGTGCTGGTTGTAGCCGGGGCCGTGTCAACCGAAGTAGCGGTGACAGCCGAAGTCGTGGTGGCAGCCGCGGTGGAGGTCACAGGAGCGTCCGACGGCGAAGTGCCACTCCCGCCAGCCACGACGAAGTCGGCGCAGGCCGCGTAGGTTTGGTCAATGTCCGGAGCATCCCAGAACCATTGCAGCACGCAATCGCCGGCGGTTGTGCAGTCGCCGCCCAGGGTCTCCGGCATGGTGACACTGAAGGCCGTGTTGTTGGCGTCCATGCCGGCGTTGGAAGCGTAGTTCTGGAACTCGATCAAAGGGTTTCCGATCATGGTGTTGGTGCTCGTCTTGACAACCGAGACGTTGGCATAGCCGGTGTGGGGCGCGGCGATGTTGACGGTGATGTCGATGGTCTGGCCAAGCGAGTAGCTCTGGACCTGGTCCGGGTTGTCCTCGAGCAAGAAGCCCTTGCAGAGCCAGAGGTTGCAGTCTTCCGTCACGTCGTTCCCTACAACCTGCTGGATGCCCTGGATGTTGCCATTGATGTCGGAGCTTTGCTGGTTGAAGGGCTGGTCACCACAGGTGGCACGGTAGCTATCACCGGGGCGGCGTCCTGGAGGGGAAGAGAGAAAGCCGTGCGCAGCCACCAAGGGCAGCAGGCTGACGAGGCAAGCGGAACGATGCATGTTGTTCGGTTGTAAGGGAATCTGTCGTTTTCGGGTGCAAATCTAGATGTGTCGGACGAGAATCAAGGCAATGCTTGAAAAAGTAGAGCAACACCAAGGTCCGGGGTGCAATCAACAGGCGAAAAGACCGTCAAGGCCTATGGTTGAAGGAAAGTAATGTAAAGAATGTACAAAAGAATGGTGGTCTCGTCCCTGTTCTCTCTCAAAGGAAGGATGAAGAAGATAGGGTCCCGACCGTTGGGTTCCTGGGCCATGGTTGATATATGCCATTCTCATTCAGTTATCTGAGCCAAGCCCATGTTTAGCGGAAGGATTTCGGAGGGACGGAGATGAGGGGATAATTCATTGTCGAGACCAATGCAGGGGCTGGTGGCCCCCTTGACGATTTGACCTGGCCTCTGAGGGTCTCGGGGTCTGGGCGTGATGGAGAAAGGGGAGCCTCCCTCTCAGCCCATGTGCTTTTCTCAAGCCAACCCACACAAAAGTAGGGCCCCTCTCCCCTGTAGTTAGTGTATGTGACGGGGACGAGGAATTATCATGAGAATTGTAAGATGGAAATCAAGGTCAATTCTCAGTTGTTTCTTTCAATGTGCGATGGTCCGTAAGGCTCAAGATCCTCGTCTATACACACACCCAACACGTGTGACACCCTTGTGATACCCTTGTGATGTGCGTGGATCATGCAACAGTACTTCAGACGGAGTATGTACATAAATAGTTATACGGCCTTGACGGCCGGTGCCAGCGTGGGGGTTTGTTCAAGTCGTTCAGGGGCAATTGTGGTTATGGAGTCCGCCCCCATGCTCTTGGGACGACGGGGCTTGAGCCGCATCCCAAGCGAACCCAAGACTTTCTCGCTCCCGTCCTGAAACATGCGGCGGCTCACTGGTGAGGCATGACGCCGCACTCCACTGCCCTGACCACAACCCCCTGTCTGTGTGTTTTTGAGTCTCCATCTCTTCCGATATGCCCACGTGGATCAGCGTGGTGGGCCGGCCCGGCCGTAAACGTCCCACCCGCTCCCTTGATAATATCCGACAGTCTAAGCGATGTCCACAAGGATGAACTACGCGCCTTGGCAAACCGGACAAGTCCCAGAACCAGAAATCACCCCGAGGCCGAAGCGACACTTGAGAAACCCAAAACACCACTCGAGTCGTGTTTTGCTGCTATACGCGCGCGCTAAGGCACGAGAAGACGGTTTGGAAACGTCCATCTCCCTACCGAAAGCGGGGCTATGGAGAACAGAAACATACGACACACTTGGGATACTTCTGTTCCCATTTATCCACATGTTCCAGAAGGGCTGCTTGGGAGCGCGAGCTCGGATACGCTAAGGGCGGCAAGCAGCGTTTTCATGTGCCCTCGGGGCCAGCACGTCCTTCAGAGATGACACTTATTTTGCGTCAGAACTACTGGGTATTCCGGATGGTATGATGGGTCGCACATTCGAACTGGCACGAGTACCCGGCTTTATCCAGGAAGCATAAGCTAGGTACCTTAATTAGGTAGGTATTACCTTGGCCATCTGGGCCTCTCACCCACAACTCCTTTCCCTCTCTCACCACGCTACTTCCCCATCAGAGTAAACATGCCCCGAAACACCTATCAGCTCTGAGCACATGTGCAGTCTCCGGCCGCTTCCAGTCTCCGCTCCGCTTTGAGCGGGAACTTGGCAACATAGGTAATAGGGGTCATGGAACTGCTATATCGTTATCCCTGATGTGAAGCAAGTACTGTTAAGCCCTTGGCACCCCTGTCTGAATACCGTTGAATTACTTTAATGAATATCGACCCTCCGATACGCCAAACAATTGCAAGCTGGAGTTCCATTGCTCATCTTACCGTTAATGACCCCATTTGTCACAACCAGACCAACACCCTGTGGAACCGTCTCATCGTATAACAAATTTGGGATACGGAAGACTTCGGTCACCCCTGATTCTGGTGGTGTCCAGCAAAGCAGGCGGAACAACGACCGTCGTTTGCAGTACGAACACCAGACCTGGGCGATGCCGTCGACAGCTAGACTCTTCTTGCTTTTATTCCCCTCGACCTCGGCCAAGGCCATGTTGAGTCGTGAGTCGGCCGAGTGCTTGCCCTTGCGGTCAAGTCGTGTGGCGGCAATGAGAACTTCCGCAAGAACGGCTATTTGGTCCAGCGGTAGAGGCGACCCGTCGAGCATTTCGATAAACCGCTCGAGATAGGGTGTGATCAAAGAGTAGTGGTATTGGGCGCGATCGTCAGGTCCTGTTGCAGTTTGGTCGCCGTCCACATAACCATCCCACCTTGTGTACAGGGCCTTGTTCCCATCTTCAGGGAAGATGCGGTCAATGGCAGCACAAAATGCCGAAGCTGATGCGCCGCTACCCTTGACGATCCATGCCACCACGGACTGGAAGAAGACCTTAGGGTCCACGTCGACATCGATCCATCTCCATTCCTCGACGATGCCTACCATCTGGAGCTGTGGCTGGACGCGACTGGATCTGAGTATTTCTGTGTAGTAGGCCTTTTCGTGACATGGGCCGAGATCCCATATTTCTTCCGTCATGCTGGAGTGCCCATGCAGCCAGCGTGCGGCGGGATAGCTCTGCTCCCCGACTATAGGCGTAAACAGGAGAGGCGTGTAGTCCCCTCTCCCGAGCGCAGTCTTGGCCAGCCGGAAGAACCGTTCGCTGTCATCGTCCCTGTCGTGTCTCTTGTTGATGCGCAGTCCGATCATGCCGGCCAGAGCAAAGTGATAATCTCTCATGTCGCGGCACTGTTTCTGCCCGAGAATGTAGACAGCAGACCCGAGTGTGCGGTATTTGTCGGGCCACTTCTTCCACGACTCCATGTCGGTCCAGCACACCTTTGTGGCGTACCGGCAGCCCCTGGCGTTGGAGTCGTCGTGGAAGGCGGTTGAGCCTTTTTGCTTGATGTATTTGGACACAGCGTTGTCGGTCCGTTCAAGAAGCTGGCCGGCTTCCACGTCAAACACCTTCCAATCGCCCGTCAGGATGGAAACAGTCTCGGCCTGTAGGTACTCGAGCGTAACCCACATTCGCTCGAACCAGCGGGATTGCGTCACCCGAGACAGTCCCTCCAGGAACAGGGGGTAGTCTCGGCTGTTGTGCAGATGAGCGAGATCGACAGCAGTCACGTCGTCCAAATGCATCACCATGCCAGGACACTCGACCTGCATTGACCCGGAGAGCGGTTCTGGTGTTGTTTCCCCGGGCCAGCTGTAGATGTCGGGGATGGCCTGAAGAAGCTGGGTTTGGAAGCCATAGAGCCACTGGGGCACGCTAAGGTAGTCGTGCCAGATCTCCATTGCTGGGCCAAACCTCTCGGCGATGGCCTGCAGCGTCTTGACGGGCGTTTGGTACACGGCGCGCACCGCTTGAAAATGCACCGACAGATCAATGGTGTCGGGGTGGTCGTTTTGGAGCTGGGAGACCTCCGGATGCCAGGCGTGGGAGATGGGAATGTATCGGACGTTTCGATCCTTGAGACATTGGAAGTGTCTGTTGAAGATCCGGATGGGGTGCACCGTCAGGGGCTCCTGAGTCATGTCCATGGCTCCCGTTCCGTACAAGCCGCACTCCGAGTTGTCGAATGTAATTGTTCTGATTAGTGTCTTGGCCGCATCGTCGTCTTCAGAACTGAAGCCAAGACCGCACTCATGGCACTCGGTATAGAGCCCATCGGTCCAGACGTGTTGCAGGAGTTGGGACTGCGGTATTTGCTGCACCTCGTCCCCGAGGCAAATCGTGATAGCAGGCTCATACCCCACCTGCAGTGACCGGGGAAGTCGCCGGATTGTCAGAGGTGGCATATCTGGAGCGTGGTACTCCGGAGTGCGAGAGCCCTGATGGCCCTACGACTGAGGTGTCAATTTTGGCGGAGCGTAGGCGCCGAGGACTATGAATAAGGTGGATGTGATGGGGTCTGTATGTACCTAGTAGGAAGGCACCTCAGCCCCCGCGCCAGGCTGCGCCCCGGGGAAACGCCTTGTCTGTCTGCCTCTTAAGGCGTACGGTCCCTCCCCGTGATAGGTCCAAACTCCCGCTGCTTGCCTTGAGTGGCTCACCCGGCTCGCTTAAGGCGCCCGGAGCCCCGGCGGGAGCCAACCGCGCGAAAGTAAAATATTCTGGGGGGGAAGGGGTTAAGGACTGCGTTCGGTATGGTATGAACTCGGAGGTTCACTATCACGTACGTTGTATCTTACTATGGATTCATGATGGGATTGTTGTATGGAGCTAATTAGCTCCCTCCCTAAGGTGCTGAGCCGGACTCTCACTTCTAAACTACCTAATTTGTCATGGGATAGCGGGTGAGATCTTACAAAATCCTCTTCACTCTGGTCCTAAGTTAAGACAGGCCGTTGGCTATCCGAGGAGAGACGCTGAGCCTTCATATTCGAGGACATCGCAATGCAAAAATACTGAACACGGTTCAAACCTGAGCCGTCTATATCGGCCGCTATCTGTCCAAGGCTTGCGATTGACACTGGTACGGAGTGTTAGACTAAACAATAAAAGCTGAAAAGGATAGGGAGTCGATAAACTTACCATCTGATAGTAGACCCCCCGCCTGTTCAGCAGCGAAGAATGATCCCCCTTTTCTGCTACCCGGCCATCCGCAAGGACGAAGATCACGTCGGCATTCTGCACCGTCGCCAGCCTATGAGCCACCACCACCATCGTCCTATTCTTCTTGTTCTTTTCGAAGACCTCCTGCACCGACCTTTCAGTCTCTGCATCCAGATTCGAAGTAGCTTCGTCCAGGAGAAGTAGCCGAGGGTTCCGGATCAGTGCTCGGGCGATTGCAAGCCTCTGCTTCTGGCCGCCGGACAATGTTACGCCTTTGGTTCCGACCTGGGTATTGTAACCCTCTGGAAGTGACACAATGAAGTCATGGATCTCTGCGTCCCTGCATGCTTGCTGAAGTTGTTCTTCACTCGTCGTTTCCTCGTCGACTCCGAGGAGGATGTTTTCTCGGAGGCTTCCATCAAACAGATTTGGCTCCTGAGACACGAGCGAAATCTCTTTTCGGTAACTTCTCAGGTCAAGATCTGAAATGTCCAACCCGTTGTAGGCGACTCGGCCCGAGTTGGCGGTGTAAAATCTGGATTTGATATTTTAGTTAGCGGCAATAAAGTTTGGTTAACGTCACCTACTGCTCAAGCAATGAAATAACTGTGGTTTTTCCGGATCCTTGTGATTGTTAGCCCCTGATTGTGTGAATTATCAAGATGTTCGTGGGTGGTGTACCTGATGGACCGACAATCGCTGCAAATTGCCCTTTCTCGATCTTGTATATGGACCGTCAGTAGGCTTACTTCGTTGAAGAGTGCGGCTTGCTTACCGTCAGGCTGAGTCCGTTCAGGATGGACACATCTCGAGTGGGATACTTGAACCACACATTCTCAAACTCGATCTTGACTCCCATGTCCTCCTCTCCAATATTTCCAACGTCAAGAGAGAGGAGCTTCCCATTAACTTTATCACTGCCTCTCATACCTATGATTCGATTGGCGGAAAGGGAGGCTTTTGCGAGGTCTGTTTCCCCGTCAATTTGGTATCCAACAAATAGGGGGGTAAGAGACATACTCGGCGAATGACTCAACCATCGCCCTGTTCCGAGAGCTCCCTGGAAAAGATTAGTAGTCATGTGAAGGGGCATGGGCAGGGGACTTACCTGCATAACGGCAATGTAAACAACCATGTATTGAAACGAGGTATACTCGCCCTTCAACATGAGACCGCCTCCGTACCTCCAGAAGGTTAGTCGAAACTCAAGGACAAAAGTCGTCCCGAACTTACCAGAGCACAAATGCCATGCAAAGCAAGATGACGCTGTCCGCTGCAGCAAAGACTAGGGTTGTCCAACTCGACTTCCAGAATGCCTTCTTGATATGTTCCTGGAGGAGTGTCTTGTATCGCTGCGCGATTGTATCTTCAAGTGTCAGGGCAGATACGGTTCTGAACGCCCCAATGGATTCGGTAGCGAACTTCGCACTCTCCTCAAAGACGTCACTGTTCATCTTCTCGAACTGCCGTTCATGTCGGATCCTGAAGAACGCCGCGGCAATGATAAGGGGCATCGAGGAGCAGAGGGTTACGATGGTGAGTTTCCAGCCAAAGTAAAACGCGATTGCTAAACAGCCAATGACGTTAAGAATGGAGATGACGACAAACGCCATGTTTGTGCCAAGAAGCTCCTGTAGTTGGCTCGGATCCGTGGCCAGTTGAGCCGTGAGAGCGCCAACAGAGTGGGTATCGGTATCGAAGAATGCTACCGGCTTGGAGAGGATGTTGCTGAAGTATTCGCCGCGGTAGTGGTGGGTGATGTGCTGGTTGAGTTAGCCAGTTGTCCTGAGCTAACAACATGGGGAGACTGGAGCGGGTTACAAAGGCAATGGTGGATGAAGACCATCCCAAGGCAAAGTAGCTGGTCGCCACGAAGATGGCGAGCATGACAAACATCAAACTCCAGAAGTTTGCGGCGGCGTGGACCCAATCCTCCCGAAATTGGAAGAGTATAAGCTCGGTTGCGAACAAGTATGACTGTATCGGCTGGCTGGCTGAAAAGCAAGTTTTGTTAGTTTCGTTGCAGCAGATCGAAAGCCAAGATTGAATAAACCTACACCCGCCACCTATGGCACTAAGGAGAAGTATCGTGTACCACATCCTTCGGTGTTTTTGCTCGCCAAGCAGCAAAGCGAAGCTACCCCAGAGACCGCGAGCCTTGGGCTGGCCTGCCGAATCACCCTCCGTGTCGAAGGCTGACTCGGCCAATGTCGTCTGCGTGGTTATTGTTGCCATGCTCGTCTTCTCAGTCACCTCTACATCACTAGTTGGCGACATGTCTCCTTGGTGTCCCTCGGATGCCGCTGTGAGTTGCTGAGCGGTGGCCAAGGCGAAATACGCACCCTCCGCCTGCGTCATGAGATTGTCGTGAGTGCCTTGTTGTACGGCGGTGCCCTTCCGAAGAACGACGATATTGTCCGCTTTTCTAATGGTGGCTAGGCGGTGTGCAATGACGAGCGTTGTTCTGTTTTTTGAGACCTTGTCTAGAGCAGCTTGAACCATTTGTTCGCCTCGAACATCAATGCTGCTTGTTGCCTCGTCTAGAATCAATATTTTTGGCCGCTTGACAATGCTTCTTGCAATGGCCAGCCGCTGGCGCTGGCCACCGCTGAGCTTAATACCAGCGTCTCCCACCGTGGTCGAATATCCCTGCTGTGTGTTAGGGCCGGTTGACTACGTGGTTATACGGTAGGGTTATCGACGTACATCAGGCAAGCGGTTGATAAACTCGTCCGCGAAGGCCTCAATGCATGCTTGTTTCACTAGCCGTTCTTTCGTCTCTGAATCTGAGTCCTCCCACTCGGTGCCGATAAGCCCAAACTCAACATTGGCGTAGATGGTGTTGTTGAAGAGACATGGTTCTTGTTGCACAAGGCCAATTTGATTCCTCCACCACTTCAGATCGATCTCCCTTATGTGTCGGCCACCGATAGTGATGGAGCCGTTACGCGAGGATAAACTCTTGAGATTAACGTTAGACGTTAGCTGAGTCGGGGTGGGGGGGTTTAAAGGGCATCCATCTTGCATACCTGGTGGCCACTGTCCGGTAACTCGATCTCATACCACCGTTCCAACAACCCGACGATTGTGCTCTTTCCAGAACCGGACGGTCCAACAATCGCCGTAACCTTTCCAGCGGGGAAACGAAGGCTTAGCTCGTCTAGAATCTTAAGACCCGGCCTGGACGGATAAGCAAAGTTGACGTGATCGAGGACAATATCCTCTGATGCCGACACTTCAGGGTGTTTGATGCCAGACTTGTCAGGTTTCGGGGCGTCGAGGATGGTGTAGAATATTGTGGCCGCACCCGCAGCTCGTGCAGCGGCGGATAACGGAGGTGTGATGCCGCTGATGGCGGTGGTCATGAGCATGACCGACATGAGGACACTAGGCAATGGAGGTAACACTCGTTAGATAGTGACTAGTTAGGGGGGTAAGATAATTCAAACTCACACGATCAATGTTTCCGCGCTACTGATTTGCCGGTCCATGTGCATTTTGAGGGCGTACCAGAAGGAAAGGGCAAATGTGCTGCAGGTTGTGAGTTTATGAGTTGGGGAAAGAAGCTTTTTATTCAATGTCACTAATAACAGGGAGCAACGATAAAAGGCCTACCTGTATACGGCGAACTGGACTGCAATGTTACCCTCGTTAGCATTTGTTGGGAACTCAAGTTGATGTGCCCTAGGTTATGGAGTTTGCCTACCTGGCGCCTGCTGTAATGCAATTATCGGGGACATCCTCAAACCACGGCGGCGAGATTCATCCACCCACTTGCCGTACCTTCGAGCCATTTTCTCATCTGCCCCACAAGCAGCAACCATTCTGATGGAACTAAAGATCTCGTTCGCCGTGGTCGATGCCTGAATGTCTGCGTGTTGTACCTCATTCAGCCGCTTCACCAAAGCAGGAGTAGTCGTCACGTAGGTTCCGATGATCAAGACCAGACTACTGCTAGTGATCAGGGCTAGTGACCAACTGTAGCACATGGCAATGATGAAGGCGGAAATGACAGTTGATATCGCCTGGAGGAGAGCTGATAGTTTCTCGGATATGCCAGTTTGTAGCGTGCTGGCTGTGAGGGTGATAATGGCGGCCGTCTGCCCCGGCGGGAGGACATCGAGTGTGGAGACAGGCTGTGCGAAGAGTGATTTCATGTATTCGAGTCTGATGGCGGCTGAAATCCTCATGCTGCATGTTCGGAAGCCAATCTTAAACGGTAAATCAGTTACCGAGAACGATGAGATTCGTGTAAGCCTAGGACACTTACATATGCTAGGTAGTCGAGGGCGAGCCGGATGCCGAATAGGCCAACAAGATATAACCTGTAGAGTTTTAGCTGGGATAGCCTTTGTCTTCGGGTAAGGCAGTGGAACTTACGCGCATGTATTTATGGCGTCCTTGAACATCTCATAAGTTGTTGACGGATCCGCGCTGAAGTATCCGGTGAATGCGCCCACCATCCGACCTGCAGTATGCTTAGTAGGACCCGCAAACCGCAGATGATTGTTATACATACCAAAAATGATGTTCATGACGGGCATGGTAACACCAACCCCCAAGGAAGAGACGAAAGCAACGACGAGGACTGCTTTATCCAGCCATGTTGAGAATGAGAATATGCGCTAGACTGATGTAAGTGCATGATCAATGACGATATACAATACGAATGAGAACTTTACGATGAAATCCCGCAATGCTGTCTTGCGTTGGGACTTGACGGGGCCCGGGAGTTTCTCCTCTGTTGTCTTCTCCCCTGTTGCCTTCTCCCCTGTTGCCTTCTCCCCTGTTGTCGGGGGAGAGCCTGGCTGGGCCATTGTCTGAGTATCTAGTCGATTATGATTTCGAGCCAACTGTCTCTACTAGCGTTGTACTCTCTCAACACTGTATCGTCCGAGGTCAGTATGACTTCCTCATAGACCTGAGGCTGGAGTGGGACCCAAAGTTACAGTTGACGTTGCTGATGAGCCAAGTAGGTCTCAACATGGAGGTGACGTTGAGTGGCTACCTACTAGGCACGGGAACAAGTCGCCTTGGAGGTGGTTCGTGGACGGGATGTGCTCAGCGCCTGGAAGGAACCAAGACAAACGGGCAGGAGCCAATCAAGGCCCAAAGTCGTCCCTATCTCCTCATCTGTGTTTACGGGTGAGGTGCAAGGAGAGCACTGGACCTCATACTGATACGCAAAGCTTCAGCGCAGCGTGGAGTTGGGAGAATGAAGCGGCAACAGCGAGAACGGCAGAAGCAAGGACGTCACCGCGAGCACTGTAATCGGCATGGGTGTCTTCGGGCCAACTCCTAGAATCACCCGTTGACAGTAGTCGGGGCCTGGGGCTCCGAAACCATAGACATGAGGAAAAGAGGCGGCGTGACATGTGTCTCTTGTGGGGCCGAAGCCGCCCCAGACACACTGGGAGAGGGTACAAACGACTAGGTGGAAGACTTTGGCGGGAGTGTGGAAGCATGGTGGAACTCACTACCCGCTCCGCTTCCATGACGAGGCCAATATGCCGGCAATCAAAGTGTAATTTGACCTGGGGTTTGATGCCAAGGGGACCGAGGGGAGCGTACCGATTCGCCAAGCGCATCACCCGACGGTATTGCCGTGATAGGCACCGTTCAACACTTCAACTCGCAGGAGTTGCAAGTCTCAGGGGCCGAAATTGATGAAAACAGAGGAAGAACACTCACGGAGCGGTGGTTATTTCTCACCTAGGGAGCAAACGGGCATGGGCCTGTATCGTGCTATTTGGGGACGGATCCGAGCCGCAACGGTTCGTCGTTCCCGTCGTTGGAGGGAGGCAAACTTTGGACTTTGTCGACACTCGCCGGAATGGGCCGAGTGCCGTGACCACAGTCGGTCAACCGCGGGGTTGCAAGAGGCATGACTTCTCTTAATTTGGGTCTTCAGGTGATCTTTCCCGAGTCAAGATAGACCACCCACTTCCCGATCATCTGGGGTGCATTATCCTTAGCATGGAGTTTGTTGAACACCCCCCGAAGGTGGAAGGTGAAAAGTCAACGAGCCCTGGGTCTCACTTGACAAGCAACGTAGAAGATAGAAGATCTGCCCAAGATGATTCGCCGATCCTCGGCTGAATTAGGAAGTGGATGTGTCAGAATAAATGCCGTCGTATGCCCTGGCGCCGGCTTTCAACTGCGTTTCGGCTTTCGGATAATAAACCGGCACTCCCCCTGGACCTTAAACCTCCCCCGTGCCTATAACCAGCGGGTACAAAATGATATCCGCGCTGGGGCTGATTTAGCCGTGAACTCAAAACCGTTGATACGGTGAGAGCACACGGAAGGGCTTGAGAGCCCAGATGAGTCTGAAAGATAGGAGAGTAGGTGACGCAATCTTTCTATCCTCCCCTCATGCCCGAGGAGTTTGGAGCGTTTCCATCTCAGCGGATCTATGCCGCGCCCGTCACCCCGGACATGGGGTACATACATACGTTAACCATGTGTGTGGCGCGACTTTATCTGAAGCCCCACCTGTATATCGTGCCCTCGCAATCAAAACGGCCTGCACTAGGCTACCGCAGGTGTGTTTTGGGTAGTCTTGTCTCACGGGTAGCGATGGCATCATCACCGCTATCCCGGAATTGCCGCATCGACTGCAGAATATTATAGTGAACCCGTTCATCTAGACCAGGACAGAACGCTTGATGACGAAAGTAGCAGTAGCCTTTACCGAACGTGCTGTTGCGATCCGGGCCGCTGGAGCCAAGGTAACGTTTAACGTTCCAGACTCGAACTAGAAACCCACCCCGACATTCTTCGTGGCTTGGGGTAGTATGTTCGCTTCAGGACCACTGTCGGCCGCGGATTTGATGTTTCACCCACTAGTTTTATCAAAGTGTAACGCACGCGGCAGATGCTCCATTTGTATCAGCTAGAATAATGACTTCGATTCTATCTGGGACCCGAGGTCTGGTGGAATGCTTTGGTAGCTTAGGAACCCGACAATCGATAACAATAAATGGCCAAGAAAATCAACGTAGGAACACGTCAGCGGATACCGATGCTGTAGGTCTCGATTGCTTCCCGGACAACATCCCCCAGTTCCTTGACGGTATCCTTATCCCGAGGTAAGGTATGGCCTTTCGCGTGATCGAACATGTAGGCAGTATCTGGGTCGCAGACGTTGAAGAGGGCCATGGACCCGTGAACATAGGGGTCAAGGGAACCGACTGAAGCCCCGTTAGCATGCCGCCTGCTGTAATACGTTCTCAGGGTGGAATACTTACTGATGTGGCACGTCGGGATCTCGATCATGGTATCCGTCTCATCGCTCAGAATCATGTTGTGGAGGTCCGGGTCCAATGGTGGCCACCCGGCGAAGAAGATGGCATACTTGAACATGGGTTGGATCTTCTTCTTCTTGAGCCTTCGCTGCTCGTGGAGCAGGAGGGTGGCGGCCACTGTTGCGCCTTCTGAGTATCCGATGATGGCATCAAATGGGCCCTGCTCCTGCATGACCTTGAGCAGAAACTTGAGCGCGTTGTTCGTGCTACGGTGCGTCGTCGAAACACCCTCCCGCATCAGCTCCCGCATGGTGTCTTCGGGCGTTTCGCAGTCGGGGAAGTCTCGAATCCTCGCCAGGATATCATCTTGATTCGGGTTTCCCAAGTCCTTGTCTGGCTCGATAAAACGGAAGTATGGCGCGTTGCCAAAGTAATCCTCAAACCCCTCGGGAGGGACGGCCTTGCATGGCCCATGGATGAAGTGGAAGGTCGCAGTTCCGTCTCCCGTTAGTTCCTTGACGAGAGGTGCTTCACATGGTCAGTAACCCGAGAAGGGGAAGGGGGTGCCTGTTTGTGTGGACGCGGGGACGGACTCACCCAACTGCACCTGAAACTTCTACGGCGACTGTCAGCTAATGGCATCACTGGAAAGGTCGAATGGGTGCTTATGCTACTAACATCGGAGCTGCCATAGGCACCAGGAAGACACAATATCCTCATGTTGATGGGGTAGAAATAACTTCCGGGGTAGGAATATCGAAGAGTGATGTCTCGACTCGAAGTTTTCTTGGACTCGAGAAGGTAAGAAAAGTCACAATCGTGGCGAGGATCCGTGTATCTGTAAGTGGCAGCCCACAAAACCGAAAGGTGTCTGGTTTCGTTTTCCCGGTTGCCACTTGATAGTCGAGCTCGGCAGTTGATCTTTACCAGCATGCAACGTGAACTCGGACATGCGTAACCTAATCACTCCTTTGAACCGAACACAATGACACGGGCTGCGGTGATGGCGGTCGGAAACGGATGCTTGGGTAAGGGTAAAATTGCAAATATTTAACTCGAAACTTGGAAGTGGACGAAAAGCTACCACGAGACCAGGTTGAGGCGAAATACCAAGACATAGCTAGATTAACCGTCCTTCTGGAAGCAAAATGACATACTAGTTGTCGAGGTGATGTTGGGACGCGCAAGCATGTGACAAAAGAGCCTAGGATCGGGTCCGGGACGAACCTCCGAATCACAAAGTGGTGATTGTACATAGCCTCTTCGGCCTCGAGCCGAGATGACATGCTGGAATGGGAAGTTGAGGGTTGCTATCGAGTTTGATTGATCCGCTTGCTCGTCTGAGATAAATGATAATTGCACGTACATGTACCTAATAATCTCTTCTTTCCTTCAAGGGCATTTCATGCTGATCAGAGTGGATCAGCCGCGCCGGACCGGTGATGGTATCCTTGTATGAACGGCTGCGCGTGTCGGCAGGTGTAACATGTGGTTGGCCCCCCACTTGCAGTAACTAAAGTGACTAACTGACTGGATGGTTGCTGCCAGTGTTGTCCACTCGGGCTCCTGCTGCTGCTCCTGCTCCTGCTTCTTGACACGGAAATGGAGTCGGGATCTTGACAGCGGAAAGTGGGGTTGGGGAACCCGATTCCCCAGAGAAACCCTAGAGGCTCGAGCATAAAATGTAGAGGCAGGTACGGGAATTCATACATCGAGACTGAGGAAGTAATGGCCCCTTCCCGAAGAGGGTGAACCTATCCGAGAAAGAAAGCTTGATTAGGGCCGTGTTCTGTTCGCACTTTCCATCATCGTATGATTCGTCGAAACTCCCATGCTCGTGGTGTCTGCCTGCTGATTGAGAATTAGGCTGCTTGGAATTGATAACACCTCATGGGTTAACTGGGGTGTTTTACTTGCTCACAACCAAAAAACTTCATACCAGCATAACCCCCAAGTATCGACTTGGAGAATTGAGTATTGAGTTAGATTAATCGGGACTTTTGCCGTCGTCATGCCACTCCTTCCCCACACAGTTTCCCCACACAGCCCGTGGCAGGTACCGAGCGCTAGTGGTGGGGATCAGCACCCGGCCCAAGTACCGATAGCCCCCATGCAGCTCTCGCAGGGGGGCGGGAAGCGCGCTCGTTGGCTGGTATCGATAAGGAGTGCCGCTGAACGTCAACCGCCCTTTCCCAATTATCGGTACTTCGTTGTGATGCCACATGCCACTGCCATCTTTCTCGGCAGGCGCCGATCGATTGCTACATTGACATCCCTCTCTTTCTTCCCTTCGCCGCCATCGACTCACCTCAACTTCTTCACAACAACGCACCACTATCGACGACATTAGCCGCCGCCGATCCGCCACCAGCTGGCCCTCGTGAGGCTCCCAGTGGCTCCCCAGAACCCAGCGGCTCGGACAATCAAGCTCAATTGCGTACCGAAGAAGCGTCCCCGGATTGCCGCTCTTTTTCCCCGAATTGACCGTTCATGGGTGACCGATCGTCGCTGCACTCCCCAGGCCCCAGCCGCAGGACCCCGGCGTTGTTACGTTGTTGGCGCGGAACCTCACGTAAGGTACGGAAAGGAAGGATGAGCCCCCCCCCCCCACCCCCGTGCTCCGAACTGCTTTCCCAGAGAGGTCGAAATTACCAACTGCGCAGTGCGGTGCAGTTTGGCGGAGTGACATGCTTCCATTATTCCATGGCAGGGATGTCAACCCCGATCTTCGGCGAGGTGAGTGAGGACGATCTGGAAAGGTTCGAGACCCAGAGCGGCGAACAGGCGTGCGAGCCGTGACTGTTAGCCGATAGTGTCGTCTAACACGGACCATATTACCGCGCATTATTGATGATGCTGCCGAATCGGACGTTGCAACCCCATATAGCAAGAATGTGACTGTCAGTCTGTCACCAGGGGGTCGGCGACTATCAAACCGACACGCTCGGATGAAGGGCTTGCGTGTAGCCTTCAATATGTCCCTCGAAGCGAGGAGGCGATCAAGCTCGTTAACTCGCTCCTTGTTTGGACACTTTGCTGGTCCAAGTGGCCAGGTTTTCCTTTGGGTGTCTCTCTCACATAAGAAGCAGATGTGATGATCCGCATTTCCTGAGTACTCCTGGTTCGGTCGATGAGCAAGCCGTTTATCTGCCAACGCCAGTACACTCGTTATCATATGTGATACACAACCACTAGGCACTGAAGCATCGCCGTGGCTGCAACAGTTGTGCACATACCGTCCGCCGCCTCGGCCCTTCAGAGTTCTCGGCCATGGCGCCTACTGCCGTCACCCCGGACAATAGCTCCACCGCCAGCCCTTCGGCGGAGAGTGTCAACGGCTTTTATCATGTGAACGCCAACGGGGACGGCTACACCAACGGACACACCAACGGCCACACTAATGGGCACACCAACGGACATGCCAATGGCTATACAAATGGCTACTCAAACGGGTATTCAAACGGAACCACCAATGGCTTCGCCAACGGCGCCAACGGTGCCCCTGAGGGTTTCTCGAACCCCCTCAAACCGATGCCCGTTGCCATCGTAGGCATGGCTTGCCGCATGCCGGGAAACGTCGCCACTCCCGCTGAGTTCTGGGAGCTCTGCACCCGTGCCCGCTCGGGATGGACCGAGATTCCCAAGGAAAGGTTCGATAACGCTCGATTTCACCACCCGAACCCGGGCAAGGGCGGCGCCTTGAATCCAGTTGGTGGCAGCTTTCTCAACGTCGACCTCGCCGCGTTTGATGCCCCTTTTTTCGGGCTCACGGAGAAAGAAGCCATATCCATGGACCCCCAACAACGCCTCCTTCTTGAGTGTACCTTTGAGGCCCTCGAAAGCGCCGGGATTCCGAAGCACGACGTCGTTGGAAAGAATGTCGGCGTTTTCGTCGGCGGCTCATTCCCGGAGTACGAATCACACCTATTCCGGGATTCTGATACAATCCCTATGCACCAGGCAACTGGTATGTGGCCCCATATGCCTTCAAACTACCGAGTAGGACCACTGACAGTCTCCGCCCGCTAGGATGTGCATATGCCATGCAGTCTAACCGGATCTCGCATTTCTTTGATTTGAGAGGGCCAAGCTTCACATCAGATACGGCATGCTCGTCTAGCATGGTTGCTGTGCATCTGGCATGCCAAAGTCTACGTTCTGGCGAGACGAATTGCGCCCTGGTCGGTGCCTGTCATCTGAACATGCTGCCCGAGTTTTGGGTCTCGTTTTCCACTTGCAGGTAAGAAACGCGCAGGGAGCCCCCCCCGAAATTGGGTTTGCCACTGACAACGACCCCAGACTACTCTCAGACACGGGCCGTTCTTTTGCCTTCGATAATAGGGGTACTGGGTTCGGCCGTGGCGAAGGCTGCGGCATGCTTGTGCTGAAACCGCTGGATCAAGCGATCCGGGACAATGACACTATCCGGGCCGTCATTGCTGGGACCGGTTTGAACCAAGATGGAAAGACGCCTGGCATTACCATGCCCAACGGGACAGCCCAAGGTAGGGTTTACCGTCTTGGTTATCCGAGAGATAAACTAACTTGGTGCCATAGAGGATCTTATGAGGCAGGTTTACAGGAATGCGGGACTTGACCCCCATGCGTGCGGTTTTGTTGAGGCGCATGGAACGGGTACAAGAGTCGGGGATCCGATCGAAGCCACCGCCATCCGCAACGTGCTCGGTCTGAAGAGGACAGTACGCGATCCGCTGTGGATGGGCTCTGTGAAATCCAACATTGGCCACCTTGAGGGTGCTTCAGGTATGAATGAAGATATGGATCCCAGTTTCCGAAAACACTCCCTGACATCAAAAAGGAATCGCGGGCATCATCAAGGCGGCATTGATGCTTGAACGTGGCTTTATCCTGCCCAACTACGACTTCAAGCAACCAAACGCAAAGATTTCCTGGAAGGAATGGCATCTTAAGGTCCCTACCTCTCAACGGCCATGGCCAAAGGGTAAAAAGTACATCAGCGTCAACAACTTTGGCTTTGGTGGGACGAACGGGCACGTCGTCCTTGAGGCCCCGCCGTTCCGCAAACAGAAGCCTTCGCCGCCACCTGGCATCGCCACTCCCGACGACGAGGGTCAGGGACGCAAACTTTATGTAATCACGGCCAACGACAAGGCGGCACTCTCGGAGGTGACCAAGAACATCGTCATCTACCTCGAACAACGCCCGGAGATCTTCCAGAAGGACCTTCCCGCGAATTTGGCCTACACCTTGGGCCAGCGCCGCTCGCTTCTGCAATGGAGAGTTGCTATCCCCGCTCTCAATTCTTTTGAGCTCATCGAGGCGATCAACGGCGAGAAGTTCACTCCTGGAAAGGAGACGGAGCCGTTAAGGATCGGCTTCATTTTCACCGGACAGGGAGCACAGTGGTATGCCATGGGGCGAGAGCTCTATGATCAATACCCAACATTTTCCAGCAGCCTTCACCGAGCCGATCGATGCTTAATCGAGACTGGCGCCGAGTGGTCACTCATAGGTAAGGACTAATTATGACCTGTTCCATAGACAATTGGCTGACCTCTTCGCAGACGAATTGGATAGGGACGCAAATGACAGCCGGGTTAGTGAAGCTCATATCAGCCAGCCGTCATGTACTGCTATCCAGCTGGCGCTCGTTGACCTCTTGCGGTCTTGGGGTGTCCGCCCGACCGCTGTCGCCGGCCACTCGAGCGGTGAGATTGCGGCAGCGTACGCCGCCGAGATCATCGATTTCGAGTCCGCCATGACTATCGCATACCACCGCGGAAGACTTATCCCGATTCTCAAGGGGAGGCACCCGGAGCTTCGGGGCCGGATGATGGCCGTTGGCGGGAGCAAGGAAGAGTTTCAGCCCATTCTCGACGGTCTCAAGGAGAAGCAAGCGCGTATTGCGTGCTATAACAGCCCCTCAAGTCTCACCATCTCCGGGGACGAACCCGCTATTGCCGAGCTCGAGAAGATTTGCCAGGAGAAGCAAGCCTTCAATAGGCGCCTCGTGGTCGACGTTGCCTATCATTCGCATCACATGGACCTGGTGGCCAAGGAATACGGAGCATCGCTCGCCCACACTCGGCCTCCCGTCCCCACAGACATCAGATTCCATTCGTCACTGCATGGCCATCTCGTTGATGGCACCGAACTGCAGTCCAACTACTGGGTGGATAACTTGACCTGCGCCGTGCGTTTTTCAGAGGCACTACAAAGCATGCTCGAGCCGACCGGCGAGCACAAGCATGGGGTCAACATGCTCGTAGAACTTGGGCCGCATTCTGGGCTCCAGGGGCCGATCAAGCAAGTCTTGAAGGAACTCGGTGGCAGCGCCGTGAAGATCCCTTACGCCTCCGCCCTGGTTCGGAAACGGGATGCCGTAGAGACGGCGCTGGAACTCGCGGCGAGCCTGTTTGCCAAAGGTGCAAACCTTGACTTTGGCTCAATAAACTTCCCCACACCAACGAAGCCACCCATGCTGCTCACTGACTTGCCTCGGTACCCATGGAACTATTCATCCAAATACTGGCAGGAGTCTCGTATGACGAAGATGCACAAAACCGCCTCGGGCGGTAGAAACGACATTCTAGGCACCCTGGCCAACTACTCCAACGACTTGGAGCCAACTTGGCGCAACATTGTCCGGCTCGATGATATCCCGTGGTTGGAACACCATAAGATCCAGTCCTTGACCATCTTCCCCATGGCCGGATTCATTGCGATGGCACTTGAGGCGGCGGCTCAGCGAGCAGCTACGAGAAACACTTTGCTCGACAGGTTCGAGCTGAAAGAGGTTTCCATCACCAAGCCCCTTGTTATTCCGGACAAGGATACCGAAATGACCATCACTCTGAGGCCCCGCCAGGAGCCGACCGCGGACACCTGGGATGAGTTTCGGATCTGCTCATGGTCATCTGATCAGGGTTGGACAGAACACTGCATCGGTCTCATTGCTGCGCTGGAAGCGGACGAGAACAATGTGGACGGCGCAAAGCAAGCCCGTGATGCCGAGTCTCGCCTCAGGTCGGCACTTTCTGGTGCCGGACGGCCGGAAGCCGCGTCGGTCACCACCAATGTCATGTACGACAGCTTGGCCGAGCTGGGCGTGGCATATGGATCTCTTTTCCAGGGGATCACCAACTGCCGCGCATCCGACACACATGCAGTAGGCGATATTGTGATGCCAGATGTCGCAAAGGAGATGCCGAACGGGTATCTAACGGATTCGGTGATTCAACCTGCCTTCTTGGAATCCCTCATCGAGATGTATTGGCCCATCGTGGGTGCCGGTCGACGAGCCATCAACACAATCTACCTACCGTCGTCAGTCGACCGCATGACAGTCTCGCTCAATGTTGGGCGTTTCACCCAAACGCCTGGCAGCGCTGTGCGCGCCATCTGCGAGGGAGAAATACCCACTGGCGCCCCTAAGCCAACAAAGGTCAGCATGACTGCTGTCGCTGGCGATGACAGTCTTGAGGCAATCATCTCCCTCGAGGGACTCACGGTGTCTCCGATCTTAGACGGCGAGCCGGAAGCAAACATAAACGCCCCGAGAGACTTATGTTACAAATTGGAATGGGACCCGGTCCTCCAGGTCAAAGGCGAGAACCCACCATTCTCTAGCGGCACTGAGGTCGTCATTATCCACGAAGATTCTAGCTTCCAGAGCCTCGTGGCCATGTACGTGGCCAACTCCTTGGAGCAAACCACTGGAAAACTGCCCGAGTTTGGCACACTGGATACCGTGAACGCCACTGGGAAGATTTGTGTCTTCTTGAACGAGCTGCACCAACCGTTCCTGGCGACACTCACGCCTGCTCAGTTTGAGAGTCTGCAAAGGCTCTTGACGTCTGTCGAGGGCGTCTTGTGGGTGGTGCGCGGAGCTTACGAGAAGTCCATAAACCCGGATGCCAACATGGTTACTGGGTTGAGCAGAACCATACGATCCGAGACTGCCATGAAGTTTGCGACTCTTGATCTGGACGCTGAGTCACAGCTTCCTGACCTCGACACGGTCGACACTATCATGGATGTGTTCGACTTCGTATTTGGCCCAGCCTCATCAGCGACCGGAGAACTCGAGTTCAGGGAGAAGGCCGGAGCGCTTTTTACCCCCCGGATCGTTCTCGATCTTGATATGAACACATATGTGCACAACCAGACCAACCCATCCGTGCTCGAGTTGACACCATTTGGGGACGACAACCGAAACTTGAAGATGGAGATGTCAACACCAGGCGCCTTGGATACCATTCACTTCGTCGATGACTCGTCTCTTGACCAACCACTGGGGTCTGATGAGATTGAACTCGAAGTCAAGGCCATTGGGTTAAATTTCAAGGATGGCATGGCCGCGAAGGGTTTGGTTCCTCTCGCTAGCAGCGGCCTCGAGGCAAGCGGAGTTGTCACAGCAATCGGGTCCAACGTGACGGGCTTCCATGCTGGCGACCGGGTAGCGGCATTTACACAAGGTGCTTTTGCTGCACGGGCAAGAGCAAAGGCATATTTCGCCTTCAAGATTCCCAGATACATTTCCTTGGAAGCGGCCGCCAGTCTGCCCCTCGCCTACTCCACGGCATACTACAGCCTAGTAGAGCTTGGCCGCCTCGGCGAAGGCGAAACGGTCCTTATTCACTCCGCAGCCGGTGCCGTTGGTCAGGCGGCCATTTGCGTTGCGCAGATGATTGGCGCCGAGGTGTTTGCTACCGTCGGAAACCCCAAGAAGAAGGCGCTGTTGGTGAACGAGTACGGGTTACAGGAGGATCATATCTTCTACAGCCGCAACAGCTCCTTTGGGGACGCGATCCGGCACGCTACAGACGGCCAGGGCATAGACGTCATCCTCAATTCCCTCACTGGGGAGGGGCTCCGTGAGTCCTGGAAGTGCCTCAACAAATTCGGCCGCTTCATTGAGATCGGGAAGCGGGAAAGCGGCTCGAAGGCTCGTCTGGACGTTGACAGCATCGACAGCAACGCCAGCTTCATGTCCCTTGACATGTTCACTTTGATTGCCGAGCGGCCGAGAACGGTCAAACGCCTCCTTGCAGACGTCGCCCAAGTCTTGAAGTATGGAAAGATCCGTCCTGTGACTCCTGTCATGCAGTTTGCGATCTCGGATATTGAGGCCGCGTTGAAGGCGCAGCAGACTGGGAATATGATGGGGAAGCTTGTCGTTGTGCCTAAGGCGACTGATGTTGTCAAGGTATATTCAATTTGCCCACGTTTTATATCCCTGAAATCACCACTGACACTCGAATCCCAGGCGGCAAAGTCGAGGAAGGTAAAGGCCCTTCTCCGTCCCGACGCAACTTACATCCTTGTTGGTGGCACCGGAGGTCTTGGCCGAAGCATGGCCCGCTGGATGGTGGCCAAGGGTGCCAGAACCATCGTCTTGGTTTCCAGGAGCGGATCTGTGACGGGCCGGGTAAAGGAACTCGTCGACGAGCTCGGAGCTGTTGGAGCTAACATCGTCGTCCGTCCCTGCAACGTGGTCAACAAGTCCGAAGTGGACGAGCTCATCGCCTCTGGTCTGGATGGCCTACCTCCCATTCGTGGTGTGGTTCATGGCACGATGGTGCTTAGGGTACGAATTAACCCCCCAAGTGATACAAACCAACGAGGCAAATGCTAACAGATACGTAGGATGTGCTGTTCGAAAAGATGACGTGGGAAGAATACACCCAGGTCATCGAGGGCAAGGTGCAAGGTGGATGGAACTTCCACCACGCGCTAGCAAACTCCCCACTTGACTTCTTCGTTGCCATCTCTTCCGCTTCCGGCGCCGTCGGCAACCGCGGCCAGGCAGCTTACAGCGCAGCGAACTGCTTCCTCAACGCCCTAGTCCAGCACCGCCTCGCCCAGGGTCTACCCGCGTCGTCCCTCGACCTGACCGCCGTGTCCGACTCCGGTTACCTCGCCGAGGACCTTGAAAAAGCCGCCGAGGTCGCCCGGAACCTCGGCAGCGACAGCATCTGCGAGAACGAGGTACTCGCCCTGCTGAACGCCGCCATCGACGGCACCCTGGGCTCCACCTGCAACAACCACACCATCACCGGAATGCGCATCACAGCCGCGATGCGACCGTTCTGGACGGACGACGCCAAGTTCAAAGCGATGCGCCTCGCGGCCGAGGAGGAAGCCGCCAAGGACGCGTCGCTCAACGCGGTGGTGTCGTTCAACGCGGCGCTGCGGGCGGCCAAGACGCGCGCCGAGGCCGAGGACGCCGTGTGCCGCGGGCTGGTGGATCGTATTGCCTCGGTGCTGATGATGGACGCCGAGGATCTCGATGTGGCGCGCTCCCTGTCGCATTATCCGCTGGACTCGCTCGTGGCGATCGAGATTCGTAACTTTATCACGCGCGAGTTTGAGGCCAACTTGCAGGTGCTGGAGTTGTTGTCGAGCGGGTCGATCCAGACGCTGGCGAAGGCTGTGTGTGCGAAGAGCAAGCTCGTTCCTGCTTCTCTTGGGGAGTAGAGTTGGTGATATATGGGTTGTGGATGTGGTGTTGTCGTTTCTCCTATTGTGGGCTATGTTGTCTAGCGTGTCTTTTAGCTTTTCCTTAAGTTGTCATGGGCCTAGGAATTATTTCTTTGTTTTTGATTGCTTTCATCCTTACCGTTGTACCTTTTGGATATTTGATTCTCATCATGATTTCGTCCGGGTTCCGGTCCTGTTTGTCAAGTTGATTAGTCGTAGCTAGTACATACGCTAGAGCTGTTTGCGCCTACATATTGAGCATTTTCCAAAAACGAAGGACACGATGCTCAGCCACATGTTCATCTTCCACGGCGTTGATCCCGAACGGACATGTTCCTAAGTACTGGTTTCACGAGGACTCTGACCAACACTTTGATTCCAGATAGGAGTATTGACAGCAGCTAATCGCCAATCTAACACTTGAAACACGTGCATTCGCCAAACATTCCCGTTGCTCAAGGAAGTCGTGTACATATTACGTACCACCATTATCCCACCAAGACCCATGGAACAACCTAAGACGTAGTGGCCGCCTGCTCTGGCTTCTTCTCAGACTCTGTCGCCGCCGGAGCAGCAGTACCACTCGCAGCTGTGGTTTGACCGCCCACAGGAACATCAACCTGCATCAAGGTCAGCAAAAGGCGCGACAGCAAAGCGGATCAGCTACCACGCACCTTCAAATTGCCCGCCTCAATCTCCCTCTCCAACTCCTCCAGCCGGCTAGGCTTCTGGTACCTCTTCCACGCCGGCAGGCCCGAGTTGAACACGTCGTCCATCTCCTCGAGCGTAAAGCCCTTGGTCTCGGGAGCCATCAGCGCCATGTGGATAAAGGCGGCGGCGTTGAAGGCGCCAAAGATGTAGTACATCTTGTACGAGATGTTCCACAGCAGCGGCGGGACGGCGAAGGCCAGCACCATGTTCCAGAACCAGTTGGTGGCGGTCGCCAGGGAGACCGCCTTGGCGCGGATCTTGCTGGGGAAGATCTCGGCCGGGTAGGTCCACGACACGGGGCCCCAGGTGGTGGCGAAGGTGGCGACGAAGAGGTAGGAGCACGAGACGATGGCCGACGAGACCGGGCGGTTGTCGTGCACGACCCAGGTGATGTCGCTGGTTTCGCGCGACCAGACGTCTCCCGTGTTGGGCTGGCCGTAGTACTGCTGGAGGGCGCCTGAGGTTGCGTTAGGGAATATTGGATGCGAAGGGAATGGGCTCGGTAGGTAGGTAAGCAGGGTTGAAAACGTACCGGAGATAAAGAGCCAAGTCATCATGCCAAAGGAACCGAAGATGAGTGAGGGACGGCGGCCCCACTTGTCGAGGAAGACGATGGCGGGTAGTGTCAAGACGACGTTGATCACGTACTGGATGGATGCGGTGGCAAGCGGGGAAGCGATCTGGGCACCCTGCATGATGTAGACGATGTAGTACATCATGATATTCATCCCGGAAAGCTGAGACCACCTGGTTGGATCCGAGGTTAGCATCCACTCCTCCCCAAGCATAATTCATCTTTTTTGCTTGGACTCACATCTGGATGCTCATACCCAGGAGCACGCGCTTGTACATCCTCGGAGCAACAAGGTCCTTGATCGACGACGTGGCCTGCTCCCTCTCGAACCGTAGCGCTTCTTCGATTTCCTGGTACTGCGCAAGAACCTTGGGGTGATTGATATCGCCCCCGCCGTGGAGGCGTGCGAGCACCCGGAGGGCTTCGTCCATGCGGTCCTTGGAAGCAAGCCAGCGGGGGCTGTAGGGGAAGAAGAACAAGCCGACCAAGAGGATGACGGCAGGAACCATTTGGACTCCCCAGGGGATGCGAAAGGCAGCGGTTGGCTGGTTCGGGTCGGTCGGTCCGCCGCCAATGCCCTCGGCTGCACCGAATTGAATAAAGTACTGGCTGGAGGTAGGAGAGAGAGGTCAGAACATGAACACCCTCGGACTCCGCTAGACAAGGGAGAGGGGAATGCGGAGAACAACACATACATCAAGATTCCCCATGTGATGGCCCACTGTTGCAGGGAAACCACTCTTCCTCGAATCTCCTTGGGCGCAATCTCGGACTGGTAAACGGGCACAATGGCCGAGGCAATGCCGACACAGAAGCCGCAAATGACTCTCCCGACGCAGAGCATGGGAATGTTCTGGGCGGCGGCCATGAGGATGGAGCCGATGATCCAGAGGACACAGGAGAACTGGAGGGCGACTTTACGCGAGTACTTGTCGGCGATGAAGGACGACAACAGCGAGGCGACCAGGCTGCCCGCCGGCATCGAAGCTGTGATACCACCCTGGGCGTACGAGAGCGGGTTGTTGAAGTAGCGCTTGTATGCCTCGGTGCCTAGGACGCCTGACATGGAGCTGATGTCGAAGCCGAAGAGACCGCCCGCCTATGGAGTACCGAGAATGTGAGTGTGTAATTCTCGACGGAGGAGGGGTGCACAGTATGGACGTAGCATTGTGAGGCGTGTGGTGTACTCAATAGGCTTTGATGTCTCGTGAGCGCAATGTTATGACTTACCGATGGCGGCGAAGCCGCAAATGAAATAGACATTGCTAGCTTCGTACATGGTGGCGAGATGTCCCCTAGTGGGTTGTTTCTCAAGTGTTAAGGTGAGTGGGTGAGTAGCACCGGGGAGCCAGGGGCAACACGACGGCCCTGGCAATACAAAATGATGATGAAATCTATCTGTCCAAGAGAAGGACGTGGGACCCGTATATTGTGTTGAAAAGGGGCGAGTCAGTTGACGAGGTAAGGGATCAGGACATGGGAATGCAACACGGCCCTATATAAGCCATTCAGAGATGCCACCCTCCAAAAGTTCCTCCATTTACTCCAAACCTGCAGCAAGGGTTCCAGCTTCCAGAACCGTGATGTGGCGCTGGCGAGTAGGATTTGGCATAGGCAAGGTTTACTGGGCATCATTGCCTGACTCGGAGAAGCAGCCATGGTGGGGTTGCACGACCGAAGGTCACACTACCCAGCCTGGCGCCAGCTCGATGGTTGCATGGCACAGCTGGGAAGCAACCGTCGTTGGAGGAACGGGGCATCTCCAAGCCGATCGTCCTGGTTGGGTGAGTTTCGACACAGTCTGTGTAAGTATACTTTGACCGAGACCGTTCATTGGAGCTCGAAGGGTTTGACAGCAGGCAGGGCAGAGTTCCGACGCGCCGGGTTGACCTAACTTACGGGCCGATTCCTTCTAGAGGGAACGTCACAACCCAGAAATCTTTGTCGGGCTGCCACCGCGTCCCTCAACCTCAAGTTTGGGAGGTTGGGAGGCGATGCATCCAAAGTTGGGGATGTGACTTAAACATGCTAGACAATTGAGGCTCTCGCTGCGATTGTTTTGAGATGAGAAACACTGTAAATAATGCAAGTCATGTCGGACAGACTGAGACGTTGTCTTGGTATCTCGGCCGTGGTTCCTTTTTTGAACTTTTTCGGTTTTTCATTTGACTCCATCCCCATTATTCTCCGCTTCGCTGCCTACGGCTTGGCACGCAACTAACCTTATCGTCCGTCCTGCCTCAACAACTGCTGCCAAGTCCATTCCAGGAAGGAGCGAGATCGGTGGCGTTTTCATTTTTTTGCTTGGGAGACGAGCCACATGGGACGTCATTGGGCTTTCAATCTCCAACCTCCGGGGTGATCCAACGGCTCCCCGTAGGATGGGACGGGAGACCAACTTGTTGCGGAAGTTGTTCCTCCTCGTGCCACGGCCGAGCAGGAGCAGGGGTGAGACCCCTCACAATGACCATGCCATGCAGACAGCCGTGATTGTCGAGTCCTCGAGGACAATCGGGATCTGCCAGTTCGTCGGCCCCGAAGCCCTGCAGTGAAACGAATCAAACCGACGGGAACGTCCATCACCTCTTAAACCGGCATGGCGGGCCGCAATTTCATTGCTTGTTCATCTCTGAGGTGCCGCAGAAACATTGTGAACGTAACCGAGACGAAACGTTTGCTGCCGTTCCAAGCAGTAACACAAAACCTCGGGTTATTTCCGCCCGGTGCCCTCACAGCTCGAGGCCCGAGTGTCGTATTCGCCGAGCTCGAGTTACCATGGCTCGAGCATGGGTGCATGGCCAAATCCCAAGTCGCATGGCAGCGGCAGAGCAGCGGCTTTGGGTGCAGCTTTGGGTGCAGCTGACGCGAATCCGGTCAAAGTGCGGCCGAGGCAGCGCCGCTGGGGCCAGTCATCGATCGCCGGCACTTCCCCGCAGCCAAGGCGGGCTCGCGGGGTCGGGGGTGTTAAGCTCATCCCTGCAGGGCGCCAAGGGAGCGCCCTTCACTCCCCCGTAACGGTTGCTTGTGCTGCTTCTGGAAAATAAGGGGCCTGTGAGGGAAGCCTTTACCTCCCACGCCTCCTTCCGAGGTCGATCCCTCGCCGCCGACATGAATGGAGACACCGTCCTCATGTGACATCAAGAGCAAACACTTTAATTTCCCCTGAAAATCTTCAGAGACAAGCAGCCCGAGAGTCCGTCGATTATCCTATTGCGGGTTCACCCGACTCCACGACGGCAAAGTCATCGATCAAAGATAACCGAAGGCCAGGCCAATCCTCTCCGCAGCCGAACGTAGAAGCCCAGCATGCAGTGAGAAAAGGAGGGGGGTGGGGAGGGGTCACTACCATGCTCATGCTCGACATTGACAGATGCATAGACGAGTCCACATCATCGACCAGCGCCCTGGGTTTGGGGGATCCGAGTGTCGAGCTTGCTTCTGCCGACGAGATGAGCATGCGTAGCTCGCCATCCCAATCTGTTCGAAAGTCAGTTTACTCGGCCATGATGACCGGAAAGTTAGAGTCCCGCGTCGTCGCTAGACTTGAATGCGCCTGCAAATGTTAGTTCACAGAATAAAAAGACAAGGAAATGGAAGAATGGTCGATTGAGCAGCCAACTCGGCCTATGGAACGAGGTGCCTGTCTCCAACGAAAAGGAGAGGCCTGAAAACGTTGCCGTGGCTGCCAACGGCGGCAACTTCGACATGAGAGCGTCGGGCTGACCACCGTCGCTCTAAAACTACAAGACCGGGTGAGTATGCCCGGTCGAATAAGAAAACGGGGCGACTGCCCGACGAGATCGCGGGCTGTCGTCACACCCCCGGATTGTGATAACCCTCAATGGGAGGAAGAAGATGCGGAAAAGATAACCGAACGTGGAAAAGGGATATGGTATCGCGATGCATCATGCATCCACTGCTTCAACTCCGTGTCGCCATTCCGAATCCGTCCATCGGATCGCCGCCGGACCGCGCGCAATTCCTCACGTCCGCCCAGGAATAAGAAAACGCCGCCCATAACCTGTATGCCATTCGTCGAAGCTCGTAAGTGCGTTGTGCGGTGAGTGTGCATTGTGAGGTGAGTGATACCTCCGTTTCGAGGTCGGGGATATAAACCCCTTCACCTCTTCTTACGGTAGCCGCCGTTCCCGCCTCGAGAGGGTCTCTGTGGTGCAGACTGGTTCCTCGACGGACGGTGGCCCTGGTCACGGCTGCGGTCCGACGACCGGTTGCCTTGCCTCGTTGTTGGCCGGTAGCCCTCTTTGGCCAGTAGCTCAAGGTAGTTGCGCTGATTCTCGAAACTGGAGTAGTTCCCGCCCATGATGACCTCCAGGATGCTCTGGCCCGCCTTATTCGGGTCTTGTGCTAGTTGTGCCATGCGTTTGGTGATTTCCTGGTGCGCGTTCGCCAAATGAGCCAGGATATTCCTAGTATTGCTGGAACCCCCGGCGATGTCGTTCGCCGGGTTGTTCGGGTCGATGATGGAGAGCCGGTCGTGGTTCTTGTAAGCGAAATCCGTCACTTGATGCTACAGGGTTTCAAGGAGTCACGGTTAGCTTTGTAAACGCAGAGAAGAGGAACCATCCCGAGCGACTACTGACCTTTGGAATCCAACGAGGGGGGTTCAAGCTGATGGCGATTGTCTGGTAGTTGAACTTGTTGCCGTAGAGGTCTAGGAAGTGAAGAAGAAGCTGGCCAAGGTGATGTCTCGTGTCCAGGTTCCCGCTTTGCACCTCAGGCATCATTTGCAGCATACTTACTACCAAGCAGATGACTGAGAACCCTCCGATGCCTCCGTTGACGGGTTCATTTAGACCACGCATGAGTAGAAAGTGCTTGATCAACGTGACCAGCGCTGGCATGCCGGGGTATTGGTCCCTCCATGCCTTAAATGTGGCGATAGCCGTCACCCCGGAATCGTTCTCGAAAGACACGTCAACCTTGAGGCCGGTCTTGTGTTCGATAAACTTGACCAGCGGCACCTTGGCGTGGAGAATGAGTTCAATCTCATCCTCCCAAGCGACCTGGTGGTTGATCAGTTGCGCCTTGAACCGATGGAGAGTTGCCTTGGTGAAGTACTTGGCAACACCACCGCCTACGTAACCGTCAGACATGAAGGCCATGTCCATATCTCCGGTGGGCAAGTAAAGACCCGAGGGAAAGGAGCCAAAGGGATACACTTCAGCGTCCCGGAACACTTTGCGGCAGAACTGCTTCAGATCCCGAACCAGTTCACTGCGCAGGCGCTCCTCAAAATCTCTGGGTTTGATGTACTCATAAAAGTCAACCACCTCCTTGTGCAACCTAGTGGTGGACGAGTTAGCCAGTGCCACAGAGATACGAACGCTGGATTTGGCTCACCAGACAGCCATGTTGGCGGACCCAGAGTGGTCCAGTTCCATCCACGGAGTGGACTCCAACTCCGGGTCCGGAAGCCATTCTTGCGTGATGCCGCCCCCGGCGGGCGCTTTGGTGACTTTCTTAAGCCTCGTGTGCGGCATCTTGATCTCGTCGTCATGGGTCCGTTTCCGGCTTCCCAGAGCAGACGGTGTGGGGTCCTGGAAAGGCACAGCTGTCTTTCCAGGCTTGGGGGGCTTCGGGGGCAGCTGTAGGTTTAGTTGTGCGACAGGCGCGGCGGAAGCCGCGGATGGAGCCGTTCCTACTAGGGACTCCTGCTCCTGATCGTCCTCACCCTCGTCGCTTACGTTGCTATCCGAGTCAAAGGAGATGAAGTCGGCTGAACCTGAAGGCAGCGAACTTTTAACTTCCTTTTCCTGGACGCGGGACTTGCGAATCATTCGCACAACGTCCTTCTTCTTCTCCTGCGTTGCAGACTCGGGAGGCAGGGCCGTGTAAGGGTCAGGGTTGGACCATTTGGGCGTGTTGTTATCCGACGCCGATTGTTCGACACCTGAACGAGCGCGCTTGCTCGTCGGTTCCTCATCCGACCCCGCCTTTTCGTCTCCCGAGATATCCATCTCGGCCTCGTCACTATCCGATAGTTCATTAAGAGGCCGATAAGTTACACCGCCCGCTGTGTTGAAGAAGGCAACCTCTGTGTTGGTGTTGTGGTCAGTCTTCAACAGCTCGCGTTCCGCAGCGACAAAGGGTCGCCACGGCCGGTTGCCAAAGTTCCGACCATGCCTATTGTTCTGAAACGGCCGGGCGCCATTTGCATTCCCAAAGGAGCGGTCGTGCGGGCCGCGGTTTCTCTTGGACGGGCGCGAGTCGCGATCGGGGGAATGAGGCTCGCGCCGGTCATTGCGAGACTTCCTATTGCCCTGGGGCCGGTATGTATCGGCATCTTGTACACCGGCGGGTTTGTCGACCTGGAAAGTAAAGTCGGCTTGGGGCAGCCGGTAGTTGTCCCCACTAGGCGGACCACGGTAGTTCGCGGAGGGAGGAGGTCCTCCATCGCGGTTCCAACGCGCGCCGGGATTGTGTTCATACCGGCCGGAATACGAAGGCGCCCGGTAGGCGTCCCTTGGGGGCGGGCCATTCCGATTCCTCGAGTCGCGATCGTTGCGATACTCGCGTGGCGGGTGGTGGTTTTTACCCCTTGAGGGGTATCGCGAGTTTTGTGACATTATGCGCTTCTCTATTCATAAATAGTGAACGGCCTCCTGTCTGATCTCGCGCTTTTATGGTGGTGTGGAAGACTAAAAGTGTATGAGCGCAAGAGCGGCGATATTTTTTTGTGGTCGCTCGTGGTTTGGGTTCCGAGAGCGCATCCGGGACTCAAATACAAGGCTATCCTATATCCGGAATAGCGTGTTTCTGGGCCCCGCGCTGCACGCGTTGAATGGAGAGCAAAGAGTATCCACGTGAAGCATCATGTGATCTGATTCTCTCCGTGATAAAACACGGTTGTGAACGTTAATGAATTTGGGTCCGGAATATACTATATATGGAAGAATTGCAGGAAGAACCCTTCGCTCCAGTCACCGGGAGTTTTCTTCCAGAAATCCTGAGGACGGATTGGATACCACTGCACAACCGCGTGGATTCGCGGAAACCTCGTGGAAACCGACCTTGTTCGTTCATGCTCCACACCACAGAACCAGGGAGAATTGGTATTTAGTGATATGAAGAGGAAGCCGGCTATCTATAGGATGACTAGGGATTAAAATATGAGGCCTCTTTTCCGGCTGGGTGGGGTGTTGCAAGCGAGAGAGTTTGTAGGTGGTGGTGTGGCGTTATGGACTAAGTGGCTTCACACCGGGTGGCCGTGGTCTTTTGGCATTTCGCGGAAGCGGCTGAAGCAAGTCAAGCATTTGACGCAGTTGAACACTTCACTTCACACTTACTGGGGCATGCGGATAACCATGGTAGCCAGTGTTTTATTGGGGATGCAGCGTGGAGCTCTCGGGTTCTGTAGCGGCGATGATGCAGAGATCGTGTGGTGCGACGGCCAAGTCTGCCTTCTACACAAGTTTCGCGACACTTGCTCCCACCGTGGTAGTCATATAAACGCACCACTTGTTATCCAGTCGTAGGCCCTGTGGTGCAGACCTCGGTTCTCAGCCACTAACTAGATCAGGTGGTGGGAGTGGCTTGGCTGAGATAGTCTTGTGTTAGTGAATGCGGAGGTAGGTAGCGCAAAACTCATCAGGCAGATAATTGACCTTGAGCGTTTTGAGCCGAAGGTTTCTCAGCCGGCGGCACCTTAACCCGGAGTAAAAGGGCTCAGAAAAGGCCTTGGTGCATGTTGCCAGCTCCGGAAAGTCTCTCGGACTCTTATTAGCCGTAGCACCGGCCGGGAGGTTGCCGTTACTGGTAGAGATGAGAGATGAGAGACCCCTACCGGCGGTGCCCACCCAGGATGCCGAACATACCATTGATTAGGACGCGGGGCCAATGGCATCGGACGTTGCGCTGTTCATTCCGTGTTCTGCCACACCACCTCAAGTCTCAACCGGAAGGCCGGCAGCAAACTTTCGAGCAGCCCACCCAGCTCCGTGCTCCTCGTATTCTTGCTTGGTCACTGTCAATCGCTCAACATGCTCGTGTCGAGCGAAATTGGCAGCTCCTAGCCAGGTGCTGGTGATGGGATCCTCAGGGCGGGCCACTCGGACAACGCACTCGTCCGGTACGCGTTCCAACAGTTCCATCTGTAGTCGTTGGATGAAGTTGTCCAACTTAGCGTTGCCCCCTACTACCACGATGTTTGCGAGCAGCCCGGGCCACAGCCCGATAGGTAGTGCCGACAGTGATTGCATGACCAGGTCTGCGAGCCCAGGCTGGCGCATGCCAATGTCGGAAGGGTTGAACAGCAACTCTGGGACCACGAAGCGCTCGTTGCGCAGGGTAAGGATATCCTCAGTCGACACCGCCGCCTTGCGAGCGCGAGCGGAAACGCCCGGCTCATAATCTCGGACCACGCCATGGAAAGTCGTGTGTGAATCTGGAAGGACGTAGTCCTTCGCGATTCCGGCACCGCTCAGGTATTCATCTCGCCGTTCGCCGCGCGTCCCCTTCCATGTCTTTTCGAGATCGCCCTTGAAATCTAACGAGACATAGCAGACGGATTCCCTCATCTCATTGGCGATGAATGTCTCGTTCCGCATGTCGAAGTGGCGGACCGAGAGCAGGCGCGTGAGGTAGTTGGTCATCAGCCGCCCCCCAACGTCTAACCTCCGGATGGCCTGGTGTAGTGGTCTGCCTTGCACAATCGGCGTAACAGTGGTGTGGGAGTATCCGGAGTCAATCACGAGTATGACCTCGGCTGGAATGTCGACCGGAGTCTCTGGTGTCCTTGGCGTGTGAAAGATCGCTTGAATGTCCTGGTACGCGTTGAAGGCCGGGCCTAGGGGGAGGTGCGAGGTCAGCGAGAGCCCGAGCGAGCAAAAGGTAGGGGGACGGACCAACGCCACGGCAGTAACTGGCAAAACCAAATTCCTCAAACACCATTTGATCGCAATGCGTCTGCAGGGCCGGAAGAGCGTTCGGTTGCTCGGTGAGAACCAGGCGGGTCTCGGAAGGGTCGCATCGTTGGGGCGCCTTGTCGTCGAAGAACTCGCGGTCCCATATCTCTTTTTGAGCCTCCCAACTCACGACGAATCCCTTCTCGACCGGTCGGCGGAAAGCTATCTCGCCAAAGTCCCTGCACTTCTCCAGCTCGGACCCGACATATGTTTTTCGGTGGCGGTCTCGAGCAAGGCAGTTTGGAATAACGCGCGGCGCGTGGGTTTTGTCGCCGGTCACAAATCCGGCTTTGATAGTGTCGGCGCCATTGTCGAGAACTAGAGTAGTTGATGGTCTCGGCGGACCAGTCGCCCGCGACTTTCGACTCGCTGCCATATGACGTCCTTCGCTGTTGAGCGTTGAGGTCTTCACGCATGCAATCGAGTGGGGCGGACCTTGCTCTGAGGTTCTCGGCCGTCGCGCAGACGGAGAGCGCCAAGCGGGGGAGTGGGGCACAAACCCAACCCACGCCCAGTCTTCGACTTTATCAACACCTTTCGATTATGGAGTGTATTCGATTATTCTCTACCTTCTATTATTATCCCTTGAACCAAGATTCATCACGAATAACCATTTCCCCTGGAATTTACTTCTGAAAATAAGGGTCGAGCTGACGTCTCCATTGTCGCCCATGGTTTTGTTTAATGTTAACGAAATGGTCTATCGCTACGTTCTCTGTTGACCCAGCCCTGGAAACCTAGAAGGTCTACTGAAGCTTTGCAACACCCAGTTTCTCCGCTTCTCTGTTCAGGGCATCGATCTCAGCCTGCACGAAAGGGATACCTTCTTCGAGTCTCCTTTTCTCGGTCAGCTGCTCAATTTCCCCAGGCAAGTATATCCTCTCCACCCCCTCCATCCTATCCGACCCCGTGACGCGCTGGTACAGCACATCCATCCGCTGTCTGAACTCATCGAGGCTCACAAAGAGATCCGGCTTTATGGCAATGATGAAGTGACCAACATCCCCGGGCTTTGACATGTCGTAAGGCCCCGTAACGCCCCCGGCAAACGCGGACCCAGACAACACGCCGGAGAACACGTCCATCATAATCGCCAACGCCGAGCCCTTCGGGCCGCCCATGGGCAGCATGACTCCTTTCAGAGCTTTCTCGGGGTCATCTGTCGGTTTCCCGTCTTCGTCCAACGCCCAGTCCTGCGGGATCTTCTCACCCCGCCGAAGAGCCTTGTAAATCTTCCCCCGAGCGGCGACCGAGGGCGCCATGTCCAAAATAAAGGGGATCGAGTTCTCGCCGCCAGGGGCTCCGCAGGCAATGGGAGAAACGCCCATCAACTGGGACTTGCCACCCCAGACGGGCAGAGCGGGAGAGGAGTTGGTGAAGACGAGGCTCATCATGCCGGCATCGGCGGCTTGGCGGACAATCCAGGCCGACATGCCGAAGTGGTTGCTGTGCTTGACACTCACCATGCCGATACCGAAGGTTTGAGCCATGGTTATGGCTGTGTCCATGGCTAGGTGCGCCGCGGGGAAGCCAAAGCCGTTGTTACCATCGACCTAACAGAGGCATTGTCTGAGTCATCTGCGAAAAGAAGAGATATTTGTAAAAGGGTCGAGTGGGAGCTACCTGAGCAACTACAGGTGTGACCTGCTTGAGGGCCGGCTCGGCCTTGGGATCTAGCACTCCATTTCGAATCCGCGCCAAATATGATGGAATCCGGTTGATACCATGACTCTCAACGCCGCGTAGGTCTGCCTGCACGAGCCCGAGAGCAACGGTCTTGGCGTTCTTTGGGGACACTCCGGATGCTTCGAGGAGGGCAACCACGAATTCCTCCGCAGCTGTATGCTTTATGGTGGTTTTGGTCTCCTCTTGAGCCATTGTGAAAATTACGGGTGGTTCAATTGTTGAAACTGTTGAGTTCTCCTCGATCAGAGGGGTTCCGTTGTGGAGTTGATGGTGAGAGTTCAATTGGGGAAGTCAGCCCGGACATAATAAGGGTTAGGGTCTCCCTCTTCGCCGGCGGCAGTTCTCGCTGGCTTCAAATTTCCCAGCTTGGCAAAAGCTTCTTCCGACCACCCCACCATCTCCGAGATCACTTCTCCGGTTGCCGAAAACCGATCGCGGCGCTTCGTCTCTACCTACTAAGCAAGAACATCAGTTTTTATCAATTCGTGGATATGACTGAACATAGATTTTCTCTTTTTTGCTCTGCCGCCCACTTTTAGATTCTATCTTCTGTGTCGAATGTCTTTTTTCCCTGCCCCTCTGCTCCTCCGCCCCTCTGTTTCCTGGTTTGGTGCCAGTGCCCGCCCGCCTGCCCTCGAATTCTTCTCGAAACCCACCGACCCCCGGACCTCTTTCGGGGTTTATTTCCCTCTCCATCCTCCATGTTTCACCGCTAGACTCTTTTCGTCTCGGCAAACACCAACAACCCGCCACTGGATGGCTGCTTTCCTGTTTTGATGTTCCTGATTGGCACCCTTCATGGTCTCAGAGGGTCCAGGATGCAGTAACACGCGACTTCGAGCGGGCTTCTCCAGATTTACGAGATTCCGAAGGCAAACCCCGCGAACCCCCGACCCGTGTCGGTCCGAGTCCGGGGATTTATCCACCACTTCCCCATGGGATCATGTTTGTCTTGCTGCCACCTGACGGCATGAGGTCCCATCTCCCGAGTCACCTTCCCAAAGCGGCGGTGATGTGCGGGATTGCTGCTACGCTGGAGCTGGAGATGCTGTGTTGCCACAAGGGGCACCTCGCACAATCACGTAACCGGTCACCGATTGAGGAGATATCCTCCATATCGTGAAATATTTAGGCCTTCTAGACGTATTCTTGGTGGGCCGACTATCCCCGATACCCTAGTCCTGGGCTCGTTTGCGTCAGTGTTTCTCCGTCACGGCAGTCTTCACGGCAGTCAACAACATGCCATATCGGGTGCTGTAGGGACCGAGCCCGGAACTATCAAACAATATTCAGTTCTAGCCTGCCGCTTCCAAAAACTTGATAACTACCACCGGGCCCCTCTGCATGAGTTCCAACTGAGACCAGCACTTGTGGCCTCCACACACCGCCGTTTTTCTGACCGCCTCCCCACAAACCGACACAATGGCCGGCGGGGTGAAGAAACCCGTAAATGTGTTCAAGTTGAAGAACTTGGACGTGCCCGAAGGAGTCTTCAATTGGAAGCTTTGGTTTGCGGTCCTCTCCTTCTCGCTCCTGGGCGCCGCCCGTGGCGTCGACGAGGGCCTCATCAGCGGCGCTTTCAACAGCCAGCACTTCCAGCAGACCATCAACTACAGCTCGTACAGCAAGGTCGAGCAGGCCAACATCAAGGCCAATGTCTCAGCCATGGTTCAAATAGGCTCGGTTGGAGGCGCGCTCATGTCAGTCACCTCAGCTCCACACCATGCCTTCTGTGCATTTTGAAAACATCAACTGACTCCGAGACAGTGCGTTTCTCATTTGCGACAGAATCGGCAGAATCTGGGCCACTCGTCAACTATGCCTCCTGTGGATTATTGGTATCGCCATCTTCATGGCGTCCAACGGAAATCTCGCTGCCGTCTACGCAGGCAGGTTCATCGCAGGTCTCGGCGTGGGGCAGACGCCCGTCGTTGGGCCCGTTTACATTGCAGAAATCACCCCTGCGAGTATCCGGGGTCTCTGTACTTGTCTCTTTACCGGCTTCGTCTACCTCGGCATCGTCCTTGCCTACTTCACCAACTACGGGTGCCAGATCAACTTGGGCGACACTACCGCCGTGCGATGGCTCGTCCCGACCAGCCTTCACATCATGTTCTCGGGTCTGATCTGCCTCCTCACTCTCTTCCAGTCCGAGTCCCCCCGCTACCTCATCATGAAGGACCAGCATGAGAAAGCCCTCAAGACCATGGCCCGTCTGCGCAACCTACCCCCAGACCACGAGTACGTCGTGACCGAAATCAGCGCCATCACCGCCGCCCACCGCGAAGAGACCGAAGCGACCAAGAACACCGGCTGGCTCGGCATCCTCCGGGAGGCCTTCCTGGACCCGAGCAACTTCTACCGCGTGTCGCTCACCATCGCCGCACAAATCCTGTCCCAGTGGTCCGGCGCGGGCTCCATCACGCTCTACGCGCCCGACCTGTTCCACCTGCTGGGCATCGCCGACACCAACACCAACCTGCTGGTGACGGCCGTGTTCGGGCTGGTCAAGCTGGTCGCCGCCGTCATCTGCGCGCTCTTCCTCGTCGACGTCATCGGCCGCAAGCGCTCCCTCCTGATCGGCATCACCTTCCAGGCCATCTCCATGGTCTACGTCGCCGGCTTCCTGACCGCCATGCCCCAGCTGAGCATCCACAAGACCGACAGCCCGGAGAAGCTTGTCGGGTCTGAGCTGGCTGCCTCCCGCGGTGCGGTGGCGATGATTTACCTGTCGGGCTTCGGGTGGGCGTTGGGGTGGAATAGCAGTAAGTGGTGGCCCTGACGGTCCCTGATTGGCCTGGGCGAATTGTGCTGACCACGTTGCCTCTTTTTCTAGTGCAATACCTCATGACGGCAGAACTGTTCCCGCTGCGGATTAGGGCGTTTTGCACGTCATTGGCGATGACGTTCCACTTTGCAAACCAGTACGGCAACGCGAGGGCTGTGCCGAACATGCTGTTGCATACTGCCGATGGCGGCATCTCGCCGCAAGGGACGTTTTGGTTCTTCGCCTCCGTCACGATCCTCGGCGGCTTTTGGGTGTGGTTTATCATGCCGGAGACGGCGGGGAGGAGCTTGGAGAGCATGGATCGGCTGTTCAGCCTGCCGTGGTACAAGATTGGGAGATATGGTAATCGCGAGGCGGATATGGAGGATGAGAGGGAGAGGCGCAATGGCAAGTTGGACGACATGGGGGTGGCCGATGAAGTTGAGATGACCGCGGCAAGGACTCAGGGAGATGGCCACAGGGTGTGATGCCCCCGCGGCTCAGCTTCAAGACGGTGTCTTGAAACTCAAGCTTGGTTTGAATCATTCGGACATGCGTGTGATACCCGGGTAGCTAGGCGCCTAGAAACTACTCCAAGTTTGTTCATCTCACCGTCTTCTCATAATCCCGCAATGCCCGCGTTGTGTTTCTACCAAATTGTGTACTGCACTAGTGCATAACAATTCGTCTTACTTCACAAAGTTATGCCCAACCTTGTTACCTCGGATTGAGCGCAGATGGTGCGATTTACTTGATATTTTGGTCTCGACAAACCCCGAAATTATTCAAATGCACAAGCTCAAGCCGACGGCTGTGACTGGGGCCTTCGAATACAGACAAGAGGGTGATGGTGGCTGCCTGAAAGCACAAGTCCCTCATCACAGAGCATCGCCTTTGACTCTCAAACGTCCCTTGCGGCGGCGGTTACAACGTCGGGCTATCCGGAAAGATGTGATTCCGTGGGATGTTCCGCCGGGGGCTGAAACTCGATTGGTTGCCTGCAAGCTAGCTGAGCCAAGGGGGAGAGGTTGCATCCCGGGGCCTTGTTGCTCGCAGCTGAGGGACACAGCCCGTCTGTTGGAGCTGCAATGTGCCCTGAATTCGGCTGACGAGGCAGATTCTCCACCGTGACTGGAGCTCCTTACATGCAGGATGGACAGATATGCCGGGCTGATTTTACCAACTTCCTTTCCAAGCTCCCACTGCTTCCCACTCATCCCATCACTTCCCCACACCGAAGTTGGACGCCACAACCCAACATGATCCTGTGTCGAACACCACCTTTGCCGTTTCTTGACGCCGGATGACCCCGCAGAACCCCCTTGGCGGCTGCAGAACCTGGCAGTCACAACGCACGCCGTCAATAGTTTGCGGGAAAGGTGGGATGAGGGCGGCTAAAGGGGCCGGCATCGCCGTCAGCCCTGTCACACCCCACGCTTCAGTGTAGTATCCGAATCCTCAGCACTCCTCGCACTGCTACACTGCTACGCCAGTGCCGGAGCACACTTGTCGTTACGAGCTCTGCCGCGACCGGTATGCTCGCCTCGGTATACGCGCGCCCCATACGGGAATAGTAGGACGACCGCCCGACCGCCGTACGCGCCACCTTGGCATTAAATACTTTTGGCTTCCGTGTTCCCATGTGTCATAGTGCCCTTGATAATGTGCATCAGATGGTCCGGCTGACAGGAACGTTGCGGCACAGCTCCCACCTTGGCGTGTCTCGCTGCGACGTTAGAGTCGGTGCCTGCGTCGAGCGCCATGGGATGGAAGCAGGGACGAAGGAATCGAAGACTCCTGGAAACCGTATCTGTGGGGAACCTGTGCATTGAGCTTTTTTTGTCTTGTACCTCAGACAAGTAGTAGGCGAGTAGCTCTACGTCATGTCATGGTGGACTCACCTACCACACTTGTTACCCCGAGAAGTCCGGTGACAACCAATGACCATGGATTCAAAGCCGCTAGAGAGCAGAGATCATGTGTTGCCCGTCCCGCCCCCGGACTGCTGGAGGTATCATGGCGGTGCAAGTGGCACGCGCGCCAACCGCAGTCTCTCCTTCTCTTACTCTGACCACCCCTCGCTTTCTTACTCACTCACGTTGACTCAACGACAAGGCCGCGCCTCGGGCTCGCGTTCCCATATCACATCCAGAGACCCAGTCGGGCGCGAGAGCGCTCGTGTCATGTGGGGGAGCACAGCATCCCTTCTCCCCTCTTGGAAGAGGCCGAGGACAATAGGTCTGAATGCGGAAAGGTTAGCCTAGGGGGCGGCACACTTTCCCTGATATCTCCGAGCTCTTCCTGTCCAGGTGTGGCTCTCGCCGGTGAGTATTGGACGTCTCCTGTCCCAAAGCGAATGGTGGTGCACCGCCGACTCTGCCTCCCTGAGTAACCCTGCCGCGGCTTCTGCGGAGATGGGGGGAGACAGCTCTGAACATTCCATCGTCGGGGGACTAGATAAATAAAGGTCATCCGAGCGTGTGGTTTGCCCGGAGGTAATCCCTACAACTTGGTATTTCAAACTGCATGAGCCACGCCCCCCGTCACTACTATCCAATATCATATAGTGCTTGGCCACTCACACATATAGCACCTCAGATATTACACAACCACCCTCGTCCTTCCTAGCTCTCACCATGCGGTGGACCCTTGCGGCACTGTTCGGCTCGGCCCTTCTGGCCAACCAGGCCCGGGCAGAACTCACCTTCACGATAGAGGGCACACGGAACGGCGTCCCCATCCCGCAATCCGACATTAAGCTGGAGCCGTTCGAGTTCGGCCGCACCCGCATGGGCCATTCCAACCCGCCCAAAGGCCACAGAAAGCTCCGGAGGGCCAACCCTACCGCTGACAGCGCCAACTGGTGCGGCTCCGTCAACACGACACCCTCGACCAACCAGATCCAAACTATCCACGGCACCTTCCAGCACCCGACATGTAGCCAACGAGCCGGCGTGACCACATACCCTCAGGCGGCCGCAAACTGGGTGGGCATCGACGGCGACTCCTGGACGTCGGCCCTGTTGCAATCAGGGACGGTCTGCAAGGTACGCTGCGCCTCCCTATGGAAGAGAAGTTTTGATTTTAGTGCTAACGAGAAGCCTTAGATTGATAATTCCACTGGTATCGTCAAGTATGTGGTCTCGTATTTCCTCTCCTCTAGCACGCCATTCACTCACACCTTACCTTCAGAAACGAAGCCTGGTGGCAATGGGTCCCGTCTGCCGCCTACACAATCGCTTCCATGCCAGGTACGCCGTCCTACTTCACCCAGCCAATCTGTGCTATGACTAACCCCAGCAACACAGTGTCGCCAGACGACTGGTTCGAGATCACCATCGAAACGACCTCAGCCACAGCAGGCAAAATGTACGCCCCCCCTTTCCCCTTTCCCCCTTCCCCCACCCCCTCCCCAACGCAGACACCCAGACACCCAGACACCCAGACAACCACTAACCCCCCCCCCCCCAACAGCACACTCACCAACCTCTCCCAAGGCCACACCTTCACCATGCAGGTCAAAGACGGCCCCGCGCTCGCGCGGGTCAACGCCGACTGGGTGGTGGAGCGGCCCTACTACGGCTCGACGCTGGCCGGGTTCGCCTCCTTCACCGACGTCTGGTTCGACGAGGCGTGGGCGACGCGGGCGGGCACCGGCACGCTGGGCATCCTGGGCGCCAAGCAGTACCAGATCCCGGGGCTGTGCAACTCGCAGGAGTTTGATGATTCGCACGAGGTGTCGTGGTCGATTTGAGGGGTTTGGGGTTGGGGGGGTTGTTGTTGGGTAGGTAAGGTAGTTTGGGTTGGGTTCGGGATGGCGTTGGATATGGGGTTTGACCTAGTCTTTGATTTGTTGATGTTGGGCTTTGCGAGGGCTTGGTTGTCATTTTATTATTGTGAAGGCTTTTCTTTTGCGAATTATATTGAATGCTTTCAATGTACTGGAGGGGTTGTTTAGTTCCGTACTACTCGCACTTGTAGCGCTGATCCGTTGACGTAGTGCTTGTTAAGTCGTCACACCTTATCAGAGTGAGACAGAATGCGTGCCATCGACATGGCCTCGAGAATTGTTTCGGGGCTGGCTCCTGTGGGGGAGTACAAGGCATCCACATACTGGCTAGGTAGATTCGCTAGGTACTACGAGCTGTCATCTTTTAGCCTCGTGAAACCCGCTTGGAAGCAACCACCACATAAAGCCCAGGACATGGAAGCCGCCCTAGAAGAGAAATCCGAGAATAGGAGGCGTATACTTTATTAGGACATACGGTACTATATCAGCTAAGCTACCTATGCATCCTTTTTGTGTTGAGTACGGGTATCGATATTCATTGAAAGACCGGGAGCTATTCGAAATAGACATGATTGTAAGGGAGATGGAAATAGTACTGTGTTACCCGACACCATCGTAGTGGAGATTCGCAAACCAAGAGGGGAGTTTAACAAGGAACTGTCCAAAAGGTTGAACTCGGGGACGCGAAAAGGCATTGGCCGGTGCGCGGGGTTATCCATTTCCGGTGCTGTCATGGAGCTGGAGACCTGCGTCGGCATGAAAGGGGAGGTGGCTGTTTGAGCTGGTCTGGGGCGGAAATGATAAGACCGCCGCAGCGGTGAGACAGTGAAGGCTGAGGCTTGCTCAGTAGAAGTCCCGAATATAGCCCCTGCTTCTTCCTGCGCACCCTGTTTATGATGGGTTAGTACACTGGCAACGGGAGGGCCACAGCAGGTGATGTGGGAAGAATTTAAGAGCCTTACAGTCACACTAAATGCCATACTCTATGTTAGCCGCGGTGCTTGATTCTTAGTGTAGATGTAAACGTACCGCGACCATGTTTGAACCTTCGTTATGGATCAGGCAGTAACCGCCGCTGCATCTCTTGCATGTGCGTTGAGTGCGATCAATGCACTCTTTACACTAGTGTAACGGTGCGCGTTAGCTTGTAGTCGCAACCTCGTTGCGAGCCCATGAGAGCTTACGTTCATGCCGCACTCCCAGCAGCTCTTGGACACGTGGGCCTAGTGATAACTCGATCAGCATCCATGCCGGGACGGAGTAAGTATGCGTTCAGCGAACATTCCAAGCCTGTCCCAGTAAGAGCGTAAGCCCACCAAAGGGACATGGACCTTTTGAGCAACTTTAGCCAGACCGAGACCTGGTAATGGCACGGCTCGTTCGGCTTGGTGTATCAAAACCGGGTCATACGCTGAGGACTGGGCCCCGGCTCGTTTCAATCTGCCGCAGGGGCGCAGCCCCTTCAGTGTCGTGGGAGCGAACAACCCGCATCCGTGCAGATCCCGTTTCTAATCCTGCACACTGACTCTACGCTGTCGTTCACACCCATCACACCGGGGGCCGGAAATGGGGTTGCTTACAGAGTTAGGCCCCGAACCTGATCCTCCATGGTCCGCGGGGGATGGCGCCCGGGGTCCAATGTAACACGACTCACACCACCATTTATGGCACCCTCCACAGTAGCGGTCTCGGATACAGTCGAAACACCGCGGAATAAAACGCGCCGTCTGCTGTTTGCCGCTCGGGATGAACGGTAGGCGTGACCTCACAGTCTGGCCGGCCGGGCACATGGCAACTTGGAGGCTTGCGGAGTGCATGGGTGGAGGAGCCAGCAAGGGGAACCTCGCTAGGTCGGCCATGCAGCTCTCACTCGTCCGCCTCCCGTCAGAATCACGCTGGGAAGCAATCAACTGTTGGCCCCAGACAGTCCAGCCCTCCGGTGCTGAGCCACAGGAGGCACATCCGTCTAGACTATGGCTTGCAACGGCAAAGTGAGGCACGCTCGCTGCCCCGGTGGAAGCGGCAGCGTCGAGAGCCTCGATATTGACGGTTCCCCATCCGGGAGAGTTGAAGTGTCGTGGACCGGTGCATAGGACCGAGTCAAACGAGATGATGCCCGCACATGCCATGAGCGTGGACGCCCATTCGGCGTGGATACGGCTCGGAAACTGGCCACCACGGCGGGCATACCACGCCTCCGGTTCCTCAGCAAGGGCAGCCGTCAATGCCTCCTGACTCTTTGTGTTCCAAGCAGCGGCAACGGCCGCTGGGCTGGTCGGAGAGGAGCTGGACTTTTGCTCTCGGTGCGCCGATGTCGACGTCGTATCCTGCGGTCCAAAAATATACAACGCTTTCACGCGCGGCATCCCTTCGGGCCTCGATTCGCGGCAGGCATATTGCAAGGCGGCACGGAGTTTCCGCTCGTTTAGGTTCTTGACGCCGCGGGCGGACAAGATACGGACAGAGAAGGAGGGGTCGTTGAGGATCTCATGGATGAGATCAGCTGTGACGGACAGGCCGTCAAGGGAGAGGACCTGCACGTCCCTCAGGATATCGGCGCGGCGGAGGTTGGAGAATATGCCACGAAGGGGGCCCGAGTAAAAGCTGTTGTGAGACGGGCGTGTTAGAGGCATGTAGCAAAGGTGGCGGGGTGGGTATCGGTGATGCTGGCTTACTCGTCCTCGGTCAAGTTCTCATCTAATTGGACATTGCGCCAGACCTCCCCGCCGCGGTCGATGGCATGGGTATCGAACTGTGCGGTCTTGACATTGCCCAGTTCTAGACGTCGGAAGACGTTGGGTGTATGATAGACCAGAAAGCGGAAAGCCCGCGCGGTGGCTGCAAGATTCAGGACATCGTAACAGGATAAGTAGGGTGCTGTCTGCGACAGCACTAGCGAGTTGGCGAGGAGTTGTAGGAGAGCAGAGTGCTGGATTTCGACGGGCAAAGCGTTGTGAGACTCAGAGATCTGGGTCATCGTATTGCACAAGGCCTCAGATGGTGCAAGGCGGGGCGCCGTGTGGTCAATATCTCCTGGAGTGATGACCTCTGGGTGGGTAAAGGTGAAAGAACAAAGGTGATGTTCGGAGCTCGGGGAACACCTGGGTCCGAACTAAATAATTATACCTGATGGTGAGTTGTCTTGGTGGTACCAGAACGGGAAGTGCGGATACCACGTCCGGTGTCTGACAGGACGGACTTGACGGGATGTGGGCCAAGCGAGACGGGGGACAGCCGGGTTGATCGGCGAACCGGGGTGTGTGGTGTTGCAGATTGGGGAAGCTTGGGCGACCAAAGCAGCTCATCCACGCTCTTGGTAGGCTGGTAGGATGGGTGTGTGGGATGCTTGCTGGAGGATCGGCGAGACAGCCAAGAGGTTCGAAGCACAAGTACGAATACATACAACAAGATGTGAACCCAGGGTTTCAGAACTAACACCTTCCTCACCCAAGCAGAATAATATAGATAAAAACCAGTTCTGCTTGAGCCGTCGACAAGGCGGCGCCAGAGGTGGAAGGGTGGTGTTTAGCCGGCCTTAGCGGTAGCGTTGAGGGAGCTCCTTCCTCCCCCGCCTTTTGACCCCAATCTTTGCTGCAGACAGAAGCTGCAGCGTGGGGTAACATCCGACCTCGTTAGCTGGTGGCGAGTCTAGACGGGAGTCGCACAAGCCGTTCCAATGGTTGGGTCGGATGTCTGTTAGACTCTGTCGTACAAAGTAGTAGCTGCAGCAAGCCGTGAGACGCGCTGAACACGTGTTGTCGGCCAACTCCCAGCACTGCGGCGCTCTGGCTCCACCCCCATCACAGGTGTCATCGCCAGAGCTAAAACCCCACTTTGCTCTGAAGTTGGCGGGGCATGTGTGGGGGGCACCAAGCACCCCGCGGTTGAACGGGGTTGATACAGGGTTAGGGCTTTGGCATGTGTTGGCCGTAATCTGTATTTTTATCGATGAGAAGCCCCAAGGGCGGGATTGCAATACCTCGTTGCCTAGAATAGGATGCAATACAAAAAACAACGAAGGCATCATCAGAAACCTCGACCGCCATGTGATAAAAGGCCTCTCCGAGGACTACTCGAAACCCCGCCGTAGCTAAATCTGAATAAACCGCCATGAGTCTCTTTGGCAAGCAGCATAACAACTTGGATGCTCTCCTCCACCGACCACGACCAAGTCTATGGGATCAGTTCCTAGACCAGCCATGCATCTTCCTCGCTCGCAAGCTTTACACCTGGCGGCAAGCTGTTCCCGCCCAGCCGCTTGTGGACCCGGTATCCGTAGTCTGCGTCTCCGACACACACAACACCCAACCACCGCTCCCAGACGGGGATGTCCTCATCCACGCCGGCGACCTCACGCAGTCGGGGTTGCTGCTAGAGCTCCAGGCCGCGGTAAAGTGGCTGCGTGCCCAATCGCACCCTGTCAAGGTCGTCGTTGCCGGCAACCACGACCTGCTGCTGGACACCGGTTGTGACGGCCAAAAACGCACCGCGAACGAGAACGCGGTCGCTGAGCGCGGAGCCATCGACTGGGGTGATATCATCTACCTGGAAAACGCCGAAATAACCGTCACTTGTCCCAACGGCCGCCGGCTTCGTGTTTACGGTAGCCCCTGCTCGCCTCGTCATGGTAATTGGGCGTTTCAGTATCCTCGCGCCGAGGACGTCTGGGCAGGGACTGTCCCGCACGGCATCGACGTGCTGGTGACGCATAGCCCGCCGCGGGGACATCTCGACCTGCTAAAGCTGGGCTGCGAGCACCTGTTGCGGGAGCTATGGCGGGTTCGCCCGAGGCTGCACGTCTTTGGGCATGTCCATGAGGGCGCGGGCACCGAATGGCTGCGGTTTGATGAGTTGCAGGGCGCGTACGAACGGACTGTGCTCGCTGGTGGTGGGGTCTGGAATCTGCTGTGGACGGTGAAGGCGTTTTTGCGTTCGCTTTTACGCCCGGCTGCGGAGGCGAAGTCTTTGCTCGTCAACCCGGCCATTGTCGGCGGCTTACGAGACAACGAGCGGCGGCGGCCGATCAAGGTGGTAATATGATGGAATACTAATTATACTTGCAGAACAGGGATTCGGTTCGGCCTCCCGGGACGGTGAGGAAAGGGCCTTCTATTGTTTATACGAACAATACATGGGGTTCCTCCGCAACGATGTTCATCTTCAGAAACCGCTTGCCCCTATCATGGCCTTGTGGCGCGTTGTTGGATTGATCTGGTATGACCAAAGGCTGGGGCAGCGGTGGGACCTTAGCTACCCAACTCGGTTCCTCCTCGAGCACTACCTTCCGACTCCTCAGTGCATTCTCTACCGCGTTGCCAGCAATAATCGCCGGACTACCTCTTGGTAACCCGCGCCCAATCAAGCGGTTGAAGGCCGTCACCAAGTAGTATGGCAGGACCGCGAGGATGGCATACCGTTCCGGCTCCGGGTCCTTGGGGTCGGGTATCGCTGAGACGGCCCATGAGGGCTGGTTGAAGAAGTATTCGATCTCCGTCCGCAGTCCGATGATGTAGCCGACGACAAGATACTCGTACATGCGATACAGGGATGCCGTGGGCGTGTTGCCTTTGGTGTGCGCTGTCTGCCCCATGCGCTCCTTGCGGTGGGCCAAGAGCCATGCCACGTCGGGGGGCCGTTGGAGAGTTTGCTTGGAGTTTGTGCCCGACCCTTGCTTTCGGAAGCGCTCCGAGACGAGGCGAGAGAAACCGGGCATCGTGGTGGAAGTTGAAAGCGCGATTCAGTTGGGACCACGGCGATAGTGTGGTGGTTCACGATGCAAGCAGACGCTTGAAGGTGCGGTCCACGTGCTCATAAAGGATGTTGGGTCGCTTTCGAGCTACCTAGCTGTGCCTCCATCGGAATATATGGCCTCCACCCCCGTCAGCATTTCCATCAACCAGGAACATGGGCCCCCACTTGTATCAACGCCTCTGGTCTCTGCCTATGCTTCCATCGGGGCCGTCTGTACCCACTTGGGATGGCCGTATCCGGTCTCTGCTTCTCTAAAGGGTCCCAATGCCGGCCTTTAGTAAGATTTCCGATCTATGTTGCCTTGTAACCTCTGTCCCGTGCTTCACAGCAGGCACCAACATCGTAGGACTCGGAGCTTTGTGATGGCAGCCTCCCGGCTCTGTAAACACAGACGGGCCTTAGCAAGGCTCGGAAATACTGGAACAGCTGTCGCCTGTGAAACACGGCTGAGTGAATCCGTTGATGGCGAATACCGTGCTGCTACATCAGGTTACTCTCTGAATGCCATGACTCCTGTGGCCGGCATTGCATAAGGCGCCCGCCTCCGCATAGGCTCTGTTGGTACCTCTGATCCCTTATTCCATCCAGTATACCCACGATCCCTTTCTAGCAAACTACACCACGCAAGGCATTTCATTACACTCATTAAAGATTCTACCAAGATGGGTCAGTCCTGGTCCCAGTTTCAGCAACGCAACAATGCGAGATCTCTGCTCGAACTCGCCCCGGCGGGGACTCCGGGCAGTGGCGCCCCCATTCCGAACCTCACGCGTCCCACGCTCGAGACGGCGCTGACGAACGTCGGAGATTATCTCGCCAAGAAGAAGAAGACTGTCACGGTGATTGCCGTCGGCGGCGCCGTCAACACCATCCATCTGAGGAGCCGGCAGTCGACGCACGACGTCGACTTCTACAACAGTCGGCTGACGGTCGCCGACTATGGGCATCTCATAAAGGGGGCCAAGGAAGCCGCCGGGCGCGATCCCCAGCTCAATGAGGGGTGGTTCAACAACCACACCGTATTCTTCATCCCGCAATCGCAGCGTGACGCCCTCACGGACCAGGCGTTCGCCCAGAACGAGGTCATCTTCCAGCACGGCGGCCTGAAGGTGCTAGCGGCGCCTTGGAAGTACGCCTTCTGCTGCAAGGTCGACCGTCTCGCCGGCGGCGGAATCAACGCCGCGCAGAGCTATGACCTTTCGGACGCCGTGCATTACCTTGCCCGCCACCTGGCAAGACATAACTTGACGACGATGACGCTGGCGACGGTGAAGCAATGGTTCGCGGGGTATGGCCTACAATGGACTGTCGGCAATGACGTGGTGATTGGACGTATTAATGCCGCTTATAAGACCAAGTTCGGTGTGGAGAAGGTTATTAAGTAGACGACGTGTGGGCGGGTGGTGAGGCCGTGAGATGTTGAGTTGGGAGTCGGCGTTGTGGAGTGGAGGATTGCGATGAAACACATGCTGTTTGTATCGTAGAAGTGTAATATTACGCTTGAGTGCTGAGGTGGATGTATCATGATTCCTGTAACGTGAAACTTGCCGTGCCCCAACTTCCAAAAAGAGCATCTCACCCCAACAACAGACGGCTACTTTCGGTACCTCGTCTTGTTGACCCACAACAATGGGCATTCCTCAACTCCGGAGGCAGCTGGAGCGCTATGCCGAGAGGGCCGTCATTGAAACAACAAATGTCGTGCTAGATGGTCCTGCTCTGGCATACCATGTTCTCGCCCTCTGCTCGAGGACAACGCGCAAATCGAGTCCCTTCGAGCAGCCATCCTATGAGCTGCTAGGCAAAACTGCGATAGCATGGCTAGGCCAAATCCAAAAATATGGTCTTTCAGTGTAAAGTCGGGTCCCTAACCATTAGGATGACCCCGAGCTGACAACTCCTCGTAGCTCAGCTATCTATTTTGACAGTTATTTGCCCAGTTCAAAACGGCCCGAGCGGATACAGCGCCTCATCAAGTTGACTCGGGATTTGATCAAATACCAAGTGGCATTCCAAGCCGGAGTTCCGAGGCCCAACTCTCATCACACAGTGGACGCCAATGTTGATTTGTTTCCCGACGCATGGCCCACGGAGAAGAAAACAAACTTGAAGCCACCAGTCCCGCCATTTCTCGTCCCTGCCGTCATTGATGCGTTGAGAAATTCACCTGAATTTGGGTCTCGGATCAAGTTGGTCCCCGGGGAGGCAGACGGTTTCTGCGCCCGTCATGTCCGTGAACATGGCGGAATGGTTCTGACGTCCGACTCCGACCTGTTGGTGTATGATCTGGGTGAAGCCAGTGGCGTCATATTTCTTACAGACATCGATGACGATACGGAAACCCAAAAGCTTAGGGCCCCTCAGTACCGCCCCGCGGATCTCTGTAGACGGTTGTCCATCAAACCGGATACAGGTCTTCAGCATCTCGCGTTCGAGATAAGCAGAGATCCTTATTTGACATTGGAACAGGCAGTTGGGAAATCGAAAAGGGGAGAGACAGCCTCGACGTCTGAAGAGGAATACACCGAGTTCATGGGTCAATATCTCTCCCCAGAGGTGGGGTCGACACTCAATACAACTCAAGTTTCGGCCCTCGACCCACGGGTTTCCGAAATTGCACTCCGATCACTCCCAACCTCAAGTGTTGCGACGTCCTCACCATCTGGGGACCTCAACGACTCAAGACTGGAGATGTATTTGCCCTTTCTCCTCGATTACCCATCTCGGACAAGCGCATGGGAAGCCAGCAAGCCCACAAGACAGTTGGGGTACGCAGTCTTGCTGTCCAATCTGGATCATTGCAACAACATCCCCGCGGTATTTGAGATGAGGAGGCTACAGTCCATATCCTCAGGCTTGGATGTTGGCGTCCCAGCGCCAACTGAGATTGACGGCCTCGGTACTTCTCTGCTCGCGCTCTTGTCCAAGATCGAGGCAGGCATGGGCAAACCCGAACTGGTATGGGTAATGCTGGCCATTTACCAGGACATTGTCATGACTATGGATCGTGCGAAGGGATATCCCCTCAGTCTCGAGCTGCTTCGTCAAGATGCCAGGGGCAAACTAGACTCGTGCTCATGGGATTTTCTCCACCTCCTGGCACAGACCCAAGGAACCTTCTATTCGCTAAGGATGCTTCACCAAATCCTTGAGTTCTCAGAACACCGCACCGGGGCCCCGACGGCAATATTGTCAGGTCTTTCACAACTTCTGTTGCGCCTCCCGCCGTTGTCTGACTTCCCCACGGCGAAGACTTTCGCAAAAACCATATCGTTGGTGAGGGAGGAAGGGGGGCTCTCTTGTTTGGAGACTCTCTGTGCGGACTATGAGGATGTCATCCCGCTCATCAAATCTGCCCGGGAACCACAAAACAACAAGAAGTCAAAGAAGAGGAAACAGATGGCATCGGATGAGGGGAATAGCAAGGTCCGTTTGAGCGACCCCCGCTCGAGCAACCCCTTTGACCTCCTGGCAGGGGCCGGGGACTGAAGAGCAACGGCGGCATTGGCTCGTCGTTGACGGTTGTTCAACACCACACGTGTCAAACCAAAATGAATCCGCGCCGTCTTCTCTCGCTAAACCACCCTTTCCTCTCCCGATTCACTTGGCTTGCCTGTTGTTGACAAGCCCCTGAGCAGTTGGCCCAGCAAGAACGAAAGGGGTTAGGGTTACACAAGAGCCCCCCTTATCGCTATCAGCCAAAAGTGCCCCTCCAAAATTTCGACAGCCCCGCGCTCCAAGCGTGTCTCCGTCGGACGACTGTCGGCTCCTCTGGTCAGCCAAATTCCTTCCCGTCCCACCCTCCACAGTCCCTAAAAAGGGCACAAGCCTCGTGGCCTCCAACCCTCAACACCAAACCACCAATCCCAACCCCACATCCACAAACCATCCCAAGCCACCTACCACCAACAATGACCGCCCCAACAACCACCATCCCCCCCGCGGCGGCGGAGGAGGGCACCACCACCCTCGCAAAGATCAGCACCCTACGCCAATCCCTCACGACCGAAACCACGCCCCTCCCGGTGCGCTTCCGCGCGCTCTTCTCGCTCAAGCACGTCGCCGCCACCCACGCCGCCGCGTCGGCGGAATCGCTCGCGGCGATCGAGGCGATCGCGGCCGGGTTCGCGTCGCCGTCGGCGCTGCTGAAGCACGAGCTGGCGTACTGCCTGGGCCAGACGGCGAACGGGGCCGCGATCCCCCACCTGACGGCCGTGCTGGAGGACACGGGCGAGGACGCCATGTGCCGGCACGAGGCGGCCGAGGCGCTGGGCGCGCTGGGGGACGTCGCGAGTTTGGAGGTGCTGAAGCGGTTCAGGGATCGCGAGGGGGAGGAGGTGGTGGTGACGGAGACGTGCGAGCTGGCGGTGGAGAGGATCGAGTGGGAGAATGGGGAGGGGAGGAGGGCGGAGAAGTTGAGGGCTAGGTATGTTCACGCAAGTTTGCTTTTTTGTTAGTTGTTGTTGTTGTTGTGTTATACTGGGAAGAGTAGTTGCTAACTGCTGCTGCTGCTGCTGCTGCTAATCTAGTGACTTCTCCTCGGTCGATCCCGCACCGCCTACGGCCCAGGGACAGGAGGAGCAGACGGTGGAGGAACTGGGCAACGCCCTGATGGATACAAGCCTGCCGCTTTTCAAGAGGTACCGCGCCATGTTTGCCCTGCGCGACTTGGCGTCGCCGCCCGACCTTCCCACCGCCGTTCCTGCCGTTCTTGCCCTGGCCACGGGCCTCGCCGATTCCTCCGCCCTATTCCGCCACGAAATTGCCTTTGTCTTCGGCCAACTAGCGCACCCGGCGTCCATCCCTGCGCTCACCGCGGCCCTAAGCAACACTGAGGAGGCGAGTATGGTCCGGCACGAGGCCGCTGAGGCGCTTGGCAGCCTGGGAGACGAGGAGGGCGTCGAGGAGACCCTTCTGAAGTTCTTGCACGATAAGGAGGCGGTTGTCCGCGAGAGTGTAATCGTGGCGTTGGATATGGCCGAGTACGAGAAGAGCAACGAAACCGAGTATGCGCTGATTCCGGAGGTCAGGGGGACTGCTTAAGTTGAGTTGTATTTTGGCGTTTGGGTCGTTAAAAAGGGTATTAGACCGTCCAGGTAGCACAGGAGCTCGGTATAGATCGATCGGATCTGATTTCGGAAATCGGAAATCGTCGTCGTATGGCAATGACCCTCAGTTGTTCATAGCCCACCTGAACCCCACGTTAGCAAACTTCCAGAGAGGCAACCCCGGTATCCCGTACCTTTCGCCGCAATCGCAGTTGTAAATGATGGTTGAGCCTTCATCAGCACTCCTCTGTTGCACCTCGGAGTACCGTATTCCGGTCTTGCCGCACTTTGGACATTCAGTATTGGAATCGATGCGCTCTGTTTGCACCTTGTGCCTTTCGACGGTCTGAACGATTGACAGTTTCTGACGTAATGCCGAGGGGAAATCAGAGGGTTTCGTTCTCGTTGTTACTGTCTTCCAGGGGTGATCTGCAAAAGTTAGCAATCCCGCTCGGTGGTGGTTCAATCCATTCAATATACGCCTCGGACTGACCTCTGTTTTCCGCTCCGCAGCAGTCGCAATGGAGAATGTTCTTCTCACTGCCCTTAGACGCAGGCAGGAGATTGCCGCAGTCAGTGCAAAAGATCAAGGAGCCAATTGCGGCCATTTTGTCGCTCTTCTCAGTTGCGGGAGCCCTATTCGGAGAAATTCGTTGTCAAGAGTGCCAGTGCACCAAAGATCAACCGGATTTCTTCAGCGCGAAAGCGCGCCCACCAGAAAATTTAGCGGGGCCTGCTCCCCAGAGAGCAGCGAGGCACGGGCCATGTGTACCCCAAAAACCGGGCAGGCTCATTGGGCCCAAAAAGGATGGGCTGCTTGGCGGTCCGCTTGGCAGTGCAAGGCTGCCTGCTATGGTGGACCCTGGCCCGGTTGCAGTTGGGATAGACTTCAACAACCCTCTCGGAACATTTCTTCGACAGAAACACCAAACGCCGACATCAAAGGCAGCCGTGTGCCCGACAACACTGGGCAAAGGGAGCCACAGGGGTAGGGATTGCCGCATGGATACAACACTGTCCAGCTTCTAGCTACCGATCTCGAGCGCCAAACGAGGAGATTAGTTGGTCGAGCCAAGTACCGGGCGAAGTCCAGCGAATCCAACGACCATGTCCCGTCCTCGATCGTGATCCGTACTTTTCACAATGGCAGACCCGAGGCCAGATATCTATAATGGCCATCCTTACGGCGCCCCGAACCCCGCCCCGAGGGGCGGGCAGCCGCCGCCAGCAACGATGGGCTTCACGAGACCCTTCACCCTCGACGAAGCACTCCCATACACGCCCTTCTCTTCCATCGTGCCCTTCAACTCGGGTAGGCAGACTTCCACGACCGCGCAATTGCAATGCGACTAGATTCTGGAGCATATCTAACCTCTAACCAATTTATTTTCTTTTTACAGGCGTACTTCCATCACCATCAATTGGTTCGGCTACACCAGCGCCGCCAGTGACCGACCTCATACCGGCCCACGACTTCGCAACATTAAACCAAGAGGCTGCCGCTCAGAAGCCACCCTCTAGGCGCCTTCAACAAGCTGTCGGCCAAGTTCAGCATTTACTAGAACGAGGAAACATTCCCGAGTTGTATGTTCTATTTCAAATCGGGCAGGAGCATCCCTAACAACCTGAAGCAAGTTCAAGACAGGCCCGAAGGCTCCCCCAAGCTCGACCGACACTCCGAGGCCACCCTCGCTTGCCGCCGCCCTTATGCCCTTTTCCAAAATGGTTCACGATCAGATTTCGATACCCTTCAGGTATCCGACACCCGATACGCCCTCTCTCACGACAGACGGTCTAGCAGACGCGCTCAACACTCCGGTCCCGGCAAAAAAAGCGCGCCCCCGTTGCGCAGAAACCAGCGCAGCCCAAGCAACAACAGAGCCCCGTAACGCCAATTAATCGGCAGGCTCATACTCAGAACAAGGCGCGGTTCGAGATCGTCTTGCCGACCAAGAGTCAACTTGAAGCCGCAGCCGCGGCGCTCAACGAACCCGCCGTGGATGCGAAAATTGCGGGCGCGCCCACTGCTATCCGGCTTGCTGACATCCCGCCATATCCCCAGCCACAGGTGCCACCGTTAGCGTCGTCTCATCCGGCCGACAGTACGAAACAACCGGTCCCAGATGTGCCAGCGAAAACGCCATCGTCCCAGACGCTATCTGCTTCCCAGAGGGCCGCCATAGCTATCGAGCTTCCGAACGCGACCAAGTTCAACAAAGAGGAGTATTTGGTGGTTCCGGATGAATCTGACGAGCCGACGAATCTATCACTAAAGAGGGGGAAGCGGGAAGACCTCGACGGCGATGACCTCTACGGAGATAGTCTAGACATGCGTCAGAGAGCGGATGCGGCTCTACACGAATTGAGGCTCTTCCTCCACAATGCATTCCAGGCTGAAGGCCACGCCCTGGCGCAGCAATACGGTAACGAGATGGCCATACTCGTGGCGGACAACGAAGCCACCCTGACGGCGGCCGCCCAATCCAAGGCACAAACTTTACTCGCGAAAGCTATATCGCTGAACTGCTACAAGCGGGTCCCGCTTGACCAGCTTCTCCGTCTCCTCCGGCTGTCAGAGGGTGCGCTGAGACAGGTTGACTCACTGGAAATCAAGGTGGACGAGTCGTGGGGCGCTGCTGAAGTTGATCAGTGGTTCCAGCAGCTCCCGCTCCTCGAGACTGCTATGCGGGCGGCGCGGACGTCGTTGAGGATGATGTGCGGTGACCGAGAAGACAAGCAGCTTTACCCGGAAGACGTCATCGAGCGATGCCTCAACTTGTGCAAGCGCCTGATCGACGGCGTCGTCCTCCCCATCGTGGAACTGAGAAGTACTCAGAACACGGCCGAGCTATTTAGGGCGATATCTTCAAGTAAAAAGAAGATCATTGCCCTCTTTACGGACTGCCAGAAACTCTTCTCCCTCATGTCGACTTTGATTTCCAAGGTCGACACTTCTGATACCGTTACCAACACCCTGGAGTTTGCCGCATCGCGGCTGATTTTCATGGAGACCGCCAACGCCGAGAAGGATTCTGTCATTGACACGCAAAAGTTTGACGGACTCCGCTTGGTTGCCATGGACATGCTTTCGCAGATTTTCCTACTGAACCCCTCCCAGCGCCAAGGGATCTTTGATGAGATTCTCACCTCCCTGGAGAAGCTTCCTCTCGGAAGGCGGGCCCGGACGTTCAAGCTCGTTGATGGAAACAGTATCCAGCCTGTTTCCGCCCTCATCATGCGCCTTGTCCAGACGAGTGCTGGAAAAGTGGATGAGGGCAAAGGCAAAACCCGGCGCGGTATGGCTGCCGAGGATGAACAAGACCTAAACGGCGCCCAGCATACGACGCAAGAGTCCTTCACGATCCGTGACGAGGATCACGGAGCTTCGCAACACTCCACCGCCATCCAGGAACTTGATAGCATCGCGACATCGCTACTAGACACCGCCAAAGCCAACGCTTCGTACGTTATCAAGTTTATCGTTAACAGGGCACTCAAGTCTACCAAGTCCGGTGATACGCCTTACCGAAATCTGCTCGATCTTTTTGTCGAGGACTTCACAACCTGCCTCGACAACCCGGATTGGCCGGCCTCTGAGCTGCTCCTTCGGCTGCTCATGGTTATGATGGTCAACCTGGTGGAGAATGACAAATCAGGTGTTCCAGCAAAGAACATGGCTCTCGAGCTTCTGGGGAGCATGGGCGCCGCAATCTCCAAACTTCGTGGTCACGTCAGGAAGGTTGCAAGTGCTCTGGATGCTAGGGATGCGGATGAATTGGGAATGTTCCTCTCGGAGCTCGCAGCTTCAGCCCTAGAGTTGAAGTCCCGCCCCGACCACATGGTGGCTTGGACCGGTCCCTATCGAGCCACGCTCGAATATCTCGAGAGTCGCTTCTCCGAGGACCCGCACTTGGCGAGCGCTATCGCGTTCATCATATCTGACTGGGGCGCCAAAGTCTGTCTTTGCTACGACTCCTTTGAGGACGATTTCCGTGAGCGAGATCAAGAGTTGGGTCGGCTGGCCTACCGCCTTCGCGAGATGGTTCAGGACCGCCGCTGGTTATCCAACGAATATTCGTTCAAAAACGTCAGAATCAGTCAAGCCAAGCTGTCCTATTCCATCACACTACTTCGATCCCAGCTCTGCGAGGCCTTCAGCGGTATCTTGAACATCCTCCTGAACTCGATGGCTAGCGACCAGCCGACAGTGAGGAGCAAGAGCTTGAAGAGCATTAACCAGGTCTTGGAAACCGATCCTTCTATCCTGGATGGCGACTCGGTGGTTGTGCAGCTGATTCTTCGGTGCTCTAATGATTCGTCCACCCAAGTCCGTGACTCCGCCCTGGGGCTCATCGGAAAGTGCATCGGCATGCGGCCAGCACTGGAAGAGAGGATGACGGAAACTGTGGTCGACAGGTTCTCTGATGCCGGCCCGGGCGTACGGAAGCGAGCCATGAAGCTCGCGAAGGACATTTACCTTCGCAACCACAACAGGGTCCTCCGCAGCGCGATTGCTAACGGCTTACTCCACCGCGTTCAGGACCCGGAAGAGAGTGTTAGAGACCTTGCCCGCCAAGTAATCGAGGAGATTTGGTTCAACCCCTTCCACAGCGGCGAAAACTCGACGGCGTCTCAAATCTCACTCGCCGAGCATGTTTCTCTCATGGTCCAGACCGTTAAAAGAGGGAGCGTTGCGACCGTCCTCGACAAAGTTCTCCAAACTCTCTTGGCGCCAGAGTCGAAGGCCGCAGCGGCATCCATGGAAGTGTGCACGAAGCTGGTCGCGAGTATGTTCGATCTCGTTGACAACGGCGATTCCAACGACCCATCCACTCCATCCGGGCGTGACGTCCTCCAGGTCCTAATGATTTTCGCCAAGGCCGAAGCAAGTCTCTTCACATTCGAGCAGTTGCGTCTCCTGAAGCCGCACATTACGAGCATTAGCAGCAGCGAGGATCTGGCAGTGTCTAGGGCAGTAGTGGTCATCTATCGCCGTGTCCTCCCACAACTTTCAAGCGCCCACGCCCAGTTTCTTGCGGATGTGCGCAAGGAGTTACTGCCAGTTGTCTCCAAGGTTACCCGGGCTTTGCTTGACGATGTCATGGCGTGCTTGTGGATCATCAGCACTCTGCTCGAGACTTCGGAACATCTTGCCCGGTTAGTGCTGTCCAGCTTGACCGCCATTCAGAAATTGCGCATCATGAGCCAGAGAGATCCCCTTGACCAGCTCAAGACCCGCCAGTTCGACCGGTACTCGCTGATTGTGGGTATGGCCGGGAAGCACTGCAATCTTGATAGCCACCTGGAACTGTTCAAGAAAGGGTTCCCCAAGTGGAACGGAGATACCGCATCAAAGCTCATGGTCGATATCGTGGTGCCTTTCGCTGCTCCCGCCCAGCCTTTGGACGTTAGGAAAGCAGCGCTCGATTCGGTTGGCCTAGTCTGCCAGGCATCGCCGCGAAACTACGTGTCTGCCAACATCTACACCACGTTCCAGCAGGTATTTGACGACCAAGTTCCAGCTTTAGAGTCGATGATCCTGCGGTCTCTCAAAGAGTTCCTCTTCACCGAGGAAACACGCTCTGAGCAGGCATCCGAGGCACCTACGATCAACGGCTCCAAGTCTGAGAAGAAGCGCGAGCTTACCGTCATTGGAGGCACCAACTATGACGACGTTGCAAGTGCCACGACTCATCGATTCCTGAGAGAAGTGACTCGTATTGCTACCTCGACGCAGGATGACCATGCCTTCCTCGCCGTGGAGGTGCTTGCCAGCATTAACCGACAAGGTCTGGTGCATCCGAAGGAAACGGGCGTGACATTCATCACTCTTGAGACCTCGTCAAACGCTCGTATCTCAGAGCTTGCCTTCCTCGAGCATAAATCTCTCCACGGAAAGCACGAGACAGTTGTCGAGCGCGAGTATGTCAAGGCGATACAATCGGCATTTGCGTACCAGCGTGACATTGTTAAGGACCCACGCGGCGCTACCGCCAATCCTTTTACGCCCAAACTTCATCTACTGATGGAGGTGCTCAAAATCAGCAAGTCGAAAAATCGCCAGAAGTTCCTCGAGAAGTTTTGCACTCAAGTCGACTTTGACATCTCCAAGCTCGACATCTCGGAGGAGATCCCGCCTCACGTGCAGTACTCTCGCTTCATCGTCGAGAACCTCGCGTTCTTTGAGTACGTTACCGTTGGCGAGCTGCATTGCATAGTCTCCGCAATGGAGAAGCTAGTCACCTCGACCGGCGCCACCATCGCGCAGGCAATCGAGTCTGAAGTCTTCCAAGTGCGCATGGATGTCATCGAGCCGACCCCCTCCCAACAACAACCTCAACCTGAGCTTACTCAGTCTGCCGGGGAAGCTCAACCCCCACCGGAACCGCTGCTTGCTACCCAGGCAGAGCCCACCATCGACCTGCCCCGCCTACGCCAGCTTACGGCCGGCTCTATGGTCCTCCTCGCGCTCTGGGAAGTCCGCACCTACCTACGCCGGCTCTACGGCATGGGCACGACCAACCGCCGCGAAGGGAAGGGCAAGCTGCAGCCCAAGGACCTGTCCAAGACCCCCGTCAAGGTACAGGGCATTACGGGCGACAAAGTGTGGGAGGAAATGGCCACCATCATGACCGCGCTCACGGACCGCGCTCGGATGATGGGGACGTGCAAGGCCCTGATCGAGCTCATGAACGTGGACAAAGAGTTTCTGGTACCCGCAGAAGAGGAGGATGACCTGGATGCGGATGCGGATGCGGAGGCGGATCCGCTGGGCTTGGAGAGCGGGCTGGAGGACGATGACATGGCCGGACAGCAACAGCCCGCCGGCAGGGGCAGGAAGCGCAAAGCTCAGGGTGGCGCCGGCCCGAAGAAAAAGAAGGCGCGATCGAGCTCGCAGGAGCCGAAGAAGAGAGGCCGCCCGAGAAAGCAGAGCGGCGAGGCGCTGCAGCAGCCGCAGGGACTGTTGCAAGATGGGGATGGGGGGTTTGATGAGGGGGGCTGGTTCTGAGATTGTTTCTGCGGAGCTGGGACCAAGATATTTTCGTGGTCTCCTTTCGTTCCGTTCCGTTTCACTTCGTTTCGTTTCGTTTCGTTTTGGGAGGTGGAGCAACCGACCGATCCTTTTTTTTTCACGGCGGATATTTCACCGGCGCGAAGCATTACATGGCGTGGCTAGATGGATGGGTGGAAGCTTGCAGGGGGCGTTGGCATTTATTTGAGCGCACGGCGCAACGGTGGTTCCCGCCAGGACGTAACATACTTACGATATAATCAGGCGCCTGGCAGGCGTGGCTTTTGCTTTGCTCGAAAGGGCGGTTTGTTGTCCGGCAAGGACGGTGGATGGGCACACGGCACAATGGCAAAACGGCGTTCTTGGGAGCTATGGGGCAGGGCGGAAGAGATGAGGTGGACAAATATGCATCTTTATTTTTCTTCAAGCTACTTGCTTCTGTGGAATGTTTTGCTCGGGCTGAGACATACTACTCTCTGACCATAGCTACGGTTGGCTTGTTTGAGCCGAATTGAACAAGTTGAGCGTGGTTATTGAGGTCCAACGTGGGGACGAAATCCGTTTGATCTATGCTGCCATCTCGGCCTGGACTACACGTATGGAAGGGTTAAATCACAACGCCTGGAAGCCATGCCTCATCATTAGCTCCCATTGTCAACTCATTATCACGCTCTGACACTTCAAACGGCCTCCTTCATATGCTCTCTGTCGAGGGACAATAGCATACAACCCAACTGGTCAGCTGCTGTATGTGGTTTCTTTCTGACTGTGGTGGCATATGGAGGGCGAGACCTGTACATACAGACATGCCACTAACCAAAGACAGGATAAGCATACTAGTAATCTAGCATAGAAAGTCTAAATGCCTAACATAAAGTAAATTAGTACTTTAAATGAGGAGACGTCAACATCATGGACTTCAAAGTTGACATTCCGATTGTCCACGCAGGGGTTACTCAGACATTCTTGAGATGGGTTACGAAGGCACAATTCCAACAATCCTCAGCCCGGTTAGCTCAGCTGGTTAGAGCGTCGTACTAATATAGTTCCTAGCGGCTATACTAAGTAATGCGAAGGTCAACAGTTCAATCCTGTTACTGGGCATTTCCTTTTGCCAATTTTCCCCACTTGCGGTGTTTTTCTCCCCTTTCCTTCTTTCTCCCGTCATCGCTCCTCTTTTTACTCTCCGACTTTTAAGAGGTACGAGGGTGGGAACGGAGCCTACTAATCTCGCTCCGGCGCTGTGTTGGTTGTTTGTTAGGGAGGGGATATCCCCATCCTTCCCCGCCCCCAGAAACAAGGGGGCAGCAGCACCGAAGCGAATTACCAAACCAACCAAGAAATGTGACCAACTTTCCAACCTTGCTGAATTCGCTAGGAAGACCGCCTGAAAGCGCTCGAAGTATGTGTCCAGAGTGGTTGTATTCCGCTGTATCCTAATCCCTACCCGACCCGTTGAGTGCCGCAGCCCGCCCATGACAGTTGAGGTATCATACATTCAGACATTATGAGATCTCCGTTTTCCCGCACATGCAACCAACACAATAACATGTAAGAGCCTAGTTCCAACCCATGCCCCCAAAGTAAAAACAAAGTGGTATCCATCTCTCAAAGCTGGTCCATCGGCATCCCGCCCGTCGCAACCCCCATGAAATCTCCCAGATCACCAAAGTCAAAATCCATCTGCATATCTTCGACATCCAAAGCATTCATCCCCGACGGCGCCGAGAAATCCATCTCAGTCGAAGCCGGAACGGTCGCCATCCCAACCCCCAACCCCAACCCCCCAGTCCCATCCACATTCCCATCCCCACTCAAACCCGTCTGCTGCTGCTGCTGCTGCCCCAACCCCAACCCCAGCCTCCGCCTCATAACCTCCGCAAACCGGCCCAGCAGCACCTCATCATCAGCAGGCGTCTTCTGGGCGTTCAGGAAGCGGCGCGCGCGCTCCCGCACGGCCTCGTTGGTGGGGAACCCCGCCGCGCCACCGACCAGCACGGCGCCCGTGACGAAATCCGCCAGGTCGCGCTCCAGCTCGCGCGAGCAGAACACGACGGCCGGCGGCTCGTGGCGTTTGGGATCGCCCAGTCCGCACATGAAGCGGTTCGCCGTGGCGCCGGCCGTGGGGATGGGCTTGGCACCTTCGCAGACGGCGACGTTTATTAGGCCCGGCCCGGCACTGGCTGTTGCGGTGGAGGGGGTGGGGTTAGTGGCGGCGGCGGTGGTGGTCGTGGTGGGGATGGCTGGGAGGGGGATCTGGGTAGCTCTCGCGGCGCTGGGGAAGACGTAAGGCGGGGAGAAGCCCGATCCGCCTTGGGCCATGTTCCAGGCGGGGGTATTGGGTAGGCCCGGGAGGGTGGGGTCGGTGAGGAGACCGACATCACGCTTGAAGCGGCGGAGCCATTCGAAATTATCGGCGGCGGTTTGATTCCATGGGTCGTCGCTGCGTGCAGTTGTTAGTGATGTGGGGAAAAGGGTGAGAGAGGAAAGGATAGGGAGGTCTACTTACTCCTCGTAAATGATCCATCGAGATTGGTGTTGGAGTTCCTCGTCGCTAGGGACATGGCAGTTGGGATTGTTGGGCGACATGACCGAGGCGACCCATTTCTTGAGCTCGCGCGCCAGGCGATGATAGCAGTTGGCGTCGCTAAGGTTGAAGACACTGATGCCGGTCTTGTGGGGGACTGTCTGGGATGCACCGGTACCACTATCGCTGCCGCTGCCGCTGCCGGTGGAGAAAGGGGACGGCGCGCGTCCGAATGAACCCCGTTTCGGGGCGACGGCGGACGGCCACCACAACTCGGCCGTCGTAGCAATGGGTAGCGGGGCGTTGCCCCACGGGTTACTGGTGGCGGAAGCAGCCATATGTCGCTGCTTGAAAGCTGAGAGCCAGATTGGATCGTCGGCAGCAGTTTGATTCCATGCGTCGTCGAATTCGTAGATGATCATACGGGCCTGCTTCTGTAAGTCTGCATCGGTGGGTTCCACGCCGAGCGTCCTCTCTACGCGCACGTACTCAGCGAGCTCAAACTCGAGCCGACTGAAGTTGTGGACCGTTGAGTCGATGGTGGTCGGGTCCTTGGATCGCTTTCCCGGGTCGGCCAGGTCTTCGGATCGCGGCAAATGAGCCCGCTGCCGGAAATCGGCCAGCCATTCGGTCGAACTCTCCGCAAGCCGGACCAGGAATTGGACGACGTGGTTGGAATTATCCTCCATGCGGCGGATGATTTTGCACGCCTCAGCCTGCAGCTCGCCGTCCATGGCGGTCAAGCCCAGCAGACGCCTCGCCTTGACGTACTCGTGGAGCTCGTTTTCCATTGGGTCAAGCTCGAAAATGTTGGTCTTGCCGTTGATCTTGAGCTGCTGCCAGCAGTCAATTCCCTTCACTTTAGTCCACCTAGCCTCTTGTGCCAGGGAGTCGGACGAGAAGATCAAGTCCCGCAGCCACGAAGCCTTAGGGTTTTCAGTGGCGCCAGACACTTCTTCTACGTCGTATATAAGAGTGCAAGCAGCGCGTTGCAGTTCTTCGTCGGTGGGAGGCTTGCCCTCCCTCTCGCACCAGTCATCGACGTAAAATGTCAATTCCGATTTGATGAGGTCGAAAGCATGCCGTGCTGAAGCCACCGAGGGCCGGGATGCTTCATAAGGATTTGGCGAGTTTCTTTCGTCGTGAATGAGGTCTTCCACAAGTTAGCCATTGCCATAACGGAAGAACGTGGAGGAAAACATACAGGGAGGAATCGAATTCTCGACCATGTCGAGCACAGGAAGGTCAAAACCCCAGTCACCCTTCCAGTCCTTCATGGATTTACCGTCCTTGAAATGCGCGGCGAGGTGGTCGATGCGGATGGACCAGGTATCCATGACGGTGCCGCAGAATCCGCAGCGGGATCGGATCTCGGGGGTCGTGGCCTTCCACTGTTCCATAGACCAGCTCGTGAAGTTGGTGCCGTGAACCAGCTTCAGGTGCTGGCGCAGGTGGTCCTTGCGATAGAAGGTGCGCTCGCCGAGGGTCCGCTCCTGACAGGCCGAGTAGTTGTGATTGTCGATATGTGCCTCATCCGGGTTCGGGTCTCCGCAGAAGACGCACGACATCTGGCCATTCTCGGGGTTGAAAGCCTGCGGCCCGTTGGGGGAGCACACCCATCGCTCGAGCGACAGGTGCAGCGACTTCTCGTGACGCTGCCAGTCATGCTTCGTCCTAAAAGTTTCGGTACAGAAAGTACATTGGAAGGTCTTGGCCGGGCCGGTGTGGGTGGTGGTTGCCGCGGCTGGGGCCTTTCTCCTCCTCCGCCTGCGTCCACGGGGAATGGAGCCTCCGGAGCCGAATGAACCGCGAGATCCATATGAATAGGCCGACGCGCTCGAATGGGAGCGCGACGTGTTGGCACTGCTGATGTTGGAATCGCAAAGTGAGCGGCCAGAACCGTCATCGGTGAAGTTGGCGCTGTAGGGGCTGTTGAGACCGGAGGAAACGCTCGAGGCGGAGTTGACGGCGCGGGCAATAGCTGTCACGGACGCGGGTTCGTTCTCGGGGGGAGAGTGTTGCCAACGCTGCAGCGGATTCATGTGTTCGAGCGACCCCGGCGTTCTCCGTCTCTGAGGAATGTCGATGGGGTTCGCCCAGCTTCGCACGCCGGGCGACGTTGATCTGTGGGTGACTGCGTTCTTGTTTCGGCGTCGAGTGTTAGCGAGCCAGTTTGTGATCTGGGTCTTGCTGAGACCCGTCTGCTTCTGGAGCATCTCCTTCTCCTCATCATTAGGATAGGGGTGCTTGCTATGTGTCGACAGCCAGTTCTTCAAGATCTTGACGGACTCTCTGGAGAAACGGGCACCGGCTTTGGTTTTCGGGCCTTCATTGGGGCATGCGTTGTCGGCGCCGGACGTCGAAGTCAACCCCGGCAGGTCGGCAGCGGAGGACGACTGATGGGCCTCACAGTGTTTCTCCTCCCGAAGCATCCTGGGATGGTCTCCCATGACCGGCCATGGGTTGGAAGGAAAAGCGCATGCCAGACCGAAGCTGCATTCACAGCGGAGGGCGACGCAGCTAGTGCAATAGCCCTTGTACTGACCCTCTGGGATCCGCTTGCACTGGTAACCACCCAACTGGCAGTTGTGGCACGGGGCTTCGGCCATCTCTAGGTGGTCCTCGAACGTCCGGGTGGATCTGTCCGTGGGCATGGGGATCTCCTCGTTGGCATTCATGGTCGGGGAGACATTGTTCTCAAAGTGCTGCAATGCCCAGAACGAGAAGTCATCGCCATCGACGTTGGCCAGCGCCAGGTCAATATCGTCGAGCTGCTGACCAGCGGACGACAGCATCTCGACGCCGGGGATGGGGGCCGGATCGGCCTGGTCCCAGTTGACAAACTCCATATCTCCGAGAATGCTGACGGTAGGGCGTGGAGCGGCGGAAGGGGCAAAAGGCGCGACTGAGCGGCCAACACTCGCTCACGCTGTGTTAACCAAGAGCGGGAGTACACAGTCGTCCTGTCAAACGGTCAGACCCAAGGGCGCACAGAGAGGGGCCGGGATGCATTACTAATGTCCAGGCGTCCCCTGATGCGGTCGCGAGTTACAGGTTGCTCGGGGTTGTCACCGGGCAACCTGTATATAAAGGAGGCGACGTTCTGCTCGTCGTCGGCTGACTTGAGGAACCGAAAACGATGGCAAGAGATGGATGTTTTCTCGATTGTCAAGAACAACGTAAGCAGGAGTCGGCCAAAACTGGTGGGAACAGTTTTTATTTCAGTCGCTGCCCCAATCCCGGACATGGACATGTGTTCTTGTTCCCATGTTGGACACCAGTTTCCTCCCCATTCAGCAGGCTTCGTCCAGCGAGAGTCATGGGTGCGGGAGAGGATTGCCAGGGTTGCAAAAAAGGTGGGCTCGCGCCTTTCGATTGACATGAATTGCCAGTGGAGCGAACCAGGCGAGACCAGCCAGGTTGGCTCAGGCCCACAAGCGGCCAAGGCAGGTGGCTTGCAGAAGAGGACCCCTGCTCTTGCCCTGTCACCGCCCACTCGGCCCCCGCCAACTACCCCGCCATCGTGGTCTGGGCAAAGTTCGTGATGCACCTTCCGCGTGCGAGGGCACTCTGTATTTCCCCGAATCTCACTGCTCCACTGTTAAATGTCATGGTTAACCCCGAGAGCGTTCCGTCTCTCGAGCCCCGACGCTCGGGATTGCGTAATATGAATACGCCAATTCGGCTGACCGGCTCCAGGAGCGAAGTGATAAAGACCAGGCTTGCCGCCGTTTCCCACGTGTCACACAGTTCGAGGCGGGGTTGTCGTCGTCTTGGGGTCCTTTCCTCGTCCGATGATAACGAGGCGACATCCGACGACGGTCCGAACAGGGGCGACCAGTTGCTGCATCATGAAACCAATCCCTCTCCCCGTCTACCTCCGTTCCCTCTCGGCTCCTTTGCGCAACGCCAAGAACAGGGACATCAGCAACAGCAGGAGACTCCCGAACATGAAATCAGCAAGTCTTCCCTACCGATGTCGGAGCACCCGACGACTTTGAGATACATTACGATGCCCAATTGCTTTCTAGATCAGCATGGTCCATGACAGAGCTGGGACGGGGAGAATGTTTGGTTGCTGGTCGAGACTCAATTCTGCCCTCCGTCAACCTACGCGGCACCCGAGTTACACCGATTGATGATGGTCGCGTGTGGGGGGCGGCCAAAGTGTATTTTCCAGGAACGGCAGGTCGCGAGTCGGCTGAGACTCCGGGGCCGGAGGAAGTCCACGGCGGAACCGAAGTCGGCTAGCATTGAATCCGCTCCGCCAGGACACTCGATTGCTGAGCCCCATCCAGTCGGTTATCCAGTCGGGAGATGATGGGGCTTGGTGGTCGGGGAAAAGAGTAAGCTTGACGTCGCTTGTTGAGTGATCAACGGGACAAACGCATGGGGTTTTGGTTGCTTTATTCGGGGAACCCGAGCAAGAGCGCCAAGCAGTTTCACTCGTCCCTCTTGAGAGTCGCCAAAGTTGAGAATGAACTTCCATCTCACTTTCGCGAACTCGCTACCAAAGTAGTAAGTTGACGTAAAGCCCAGACCGAAGCCAGTTTGTTAGATACCTACCTACCGTAACTAGGGAACTACTCACTAAAAGATATATCTATTCCGTCGGTGTTATTTATGGAGCACCACTCAGTATTCGCGGTCTGGTGCTGAGGCAGGATAGCGCCCAGCAAGTCGCTTACTCAGTCCCAACCCACAAACCCGCACGGTCGGTGATGCCTAGCTGCAATCCAACACAACAATCTCTTGAACTGAGTGAGAATAAATTAAAATATTCCCTTCTCCCCGATTCTCAAATCCCTCAAAGTTCATATCGGCATCATAAACGCAAAACAACACACAAGTTAGCCAATGCCCCAAGCTCCTTCGCTCGAAATAAGAATAATCCGCAGAGCTAAACAGCTAAACCAGCCTGCCGTCCGTCACCTCTTATTGCAATTCCCGACCAACCATCGATAGACGACCCAAAATGAAGTCGCAGTCTGCCCTCCCTCCCTTCCATCCGGTAGGTTAACCTCCCCGCGCTCTCAGCTTCCAGCTTCCAGCTTCCAGCCTCCATCCTCCGTCCTCCGTCCTCCGACAACAACCACAACCACAACCACAACCACCCCCCTCACCACCCTCACCACCCTCACGCCCCCGGCGTAAAGATCGCCGCATGACAATCGACCCCAATATCCGGATCCTTCAGCCCCGTCTCATTCTGCGGCCCGCCCTTGAGGTAGCAGTTCCCGGGGGCGCCGCCGCGCTCCGCCGTCAGCTTGTTGGTCCACGCGGGGATGAAGGAGACGGCCTCGCAGGTGGCGTTGGCGTCGGTGCTGTTGCCGCTGCTGATCATGTCCGGCGTGACATACTTGGTGTAGGCCGCGCACGCGTCCATGCAGGTGCCGAAGTTGGCGGTGAAGAGCGAGAGGAGGGGGTCGTTGGGCGCGTCTTTGTCGCAGTAGCGGGTGAATTTGAGCGCGCCGAGTACTGTGATGGGTGGGGGGGTTAGTTGGGGGGGGGGGGGGGGGGGGGGGGGTAGGGGGGTCGATGATGTTGGGGAGGGGGGGGGAACGCACGGGAGAAGGAGGTGTACAGCGTCTTGTCGACGCTGGAGGGATTGGTGGAGCAGCCGTCGTCGATGACGCCCACGGCCGTGGATGTTGTGCCGGGCGCGCTGGCCGTGGCTGAGGCTGCCGATGCTACCGAGGCGCTGAGGGCGGCCAGGCTGGATGATGCGCTGCTCGCGCGCTGCGATTCGATGCCTGTTGCTGCTGCCAGGCCGATCACGGCGGCCGAGAGGATGGCGACGATGCACGATAGGATGAAGACGAGGAGGCTGCAGCCGAATATGGTCCTGCCAGTTCCGGACTGGGGTTCATGCTGGGCCGCCACGGGTTGCGCGTCCGAATTGAAGGGTGATGCTACGGTTTGCCCACCGTACGACGACGGCGGCGGAGCTGGGGTCGCCGAAGGCTCTAGCTTAGGTGCCGGCACCGCCGGGGGATCGTAGGGCTGTGAGTAGTATGGCTGCGGTGGTTGCTGGTTGTACTGGTGGCCGTATCCATGCGACACGTGCGTGACTTCCGGGTAGTCTTGCCGAGCCGGCTCCAGGCCCGAATGGAACTGCCCAAGCTGTCAGCATTTGGCGGAGCCCCCGAGTCAATGCCGAGGCGGCCAGAGCCGCCCCCGTTGGTCTTACCCCCGAGGCCATCGTGTACGGCCCTTACGAGTATGTCGTTGGCATGGGCGGAGTAAAGATGGAAGCGTGGTGGATGAGAAGATGAGATGGTGAGTGAGAAGACGCGTGCGGAGGTGAGGGAAGTGGTGTGGCACAGGTTCGAGATTTACGGCGAATGCTCCCTCAATTTGGCTCAGAAACGAGACATTGTCACCCTATGAAGACAGGGGTTGATCAGCACGACCTAGCCAATCACCAAAACCTGCAGTCAGCCGCAGCAGCTCACGAGAAGGCCGTAACTCCGAGGAGTGAATAATGGCGCTCGAGTTTATTCCTCGTCTCTTTTTTTGTCGGGGTGAGTTGTTTTAATTTCCGTGTGCTCCGTGGGACAGGCATGGATAGGGAGGAAGTTACTTGATAGTAGCTGCTGTGTTGATGCCAGGTTGCATTTTGGCGGTGATCGAACACATGGATCATGCCGAAACACGCCGATTATGAAAGAGAGGGTAGTGTAACAATAAGCCCGACTCGGACTTCGCAAACCACGAACCGACAAGACGTATGATTGCTTAAAGTACTTGCGTAATCACCAGTGCAAGCCACACTAATACACCTGCAATTGCTTCCGTTCAGTTTCCTCGGCACCTAATACAACGCGTTACTCATGCCAGGTGAAAATCCGCATGTTTGAAAATACTAAGACTGAGCTATTCGCCTATAATATTGAATTATCAAGCACATGCACTCTCGAGTACCCAACGGTCCCCAATCTAACCAGCCCTACCTACCTAAACCTCGGCCTTAAAACACTATCCCTCCGCCCTAGTTACAACAAGTACCATGTAGACCCAGGTTAATATCCGACCCAACCCCTAAGTATGAAAGATCCGGATACTGGGCGTTTGGCAATGTCTAATGCAATGTGATGGAACGGGCTGACAATGACGAGGGGGATATGGACCAAGTGTTGTGAGCTAAGCATAACAGGGCCTCTCGGAGGTCATCCTGTCTGGTATGTGGCGGCATAGACACCAACGACGACATCCGTCGGACATAGCTCGAGCGCTACTGAGGCAGAGAGGTCTTATGATTTTTGTGGCTTGCAGTCGCAAAGTCAGTCGAACAGTTACCATAGGTATGGTTCACTTAGCGCGTCTAAAACACCCCCCCGCCTTTGTTCATGATGCCCAAGTTGGTAGTGTCGCCGACCAAGTTCCGTATTACTTGCCCCTTTTGTGTGTACAAAATCCACACAGCTCGACTATTGAGAACCAGACTCCCAACTAGAAGCCAGCATTGCTCTATATTTGACCCCTCGGCTGCTTGTGGAATAGCGGGTCTAGATCGTTCATCACATTGTTTTTTCTTTTTTGTTCTTTCTTTTTATTATTATATGGGTATCACTCTTCATTATTATAGTTTCATCGCTAGCCCAAATACATACAATTCCAATTATCATCCAGTCGGTGGCTTCCCTAAAACGACGGTTGAGGTGCGGTGGCATCAAGTAAATGTGCCCGTCCGTGCATGCCCACCGCCGCGGTGGACCACGAAAGCCCCCAACCCAGCCGTGTCCATGTCATTTCTTACCCGCAACCTCGATCTGATTGCCCGGGTCATCCCCGTCGCGAGGGGCCATGCTAATGGAGACCTCGCGCGGTGCGCGCGGCCGGTGGTCCTCCACTCCCCTGATGGCCGCCTTGCCCAGCCCGCGGATCTCGGTCATGGCCCGCTTCTCCACGTCATCGACGGCCTGGCCGACGGCGCTGTGCACGGCGTTGTGTGCGGCGTCGCGGCTTTCCTCGGCCGTCTTCCCCGCCTGCTTTGTCATCTTCTCGAGCGTGTCCTCCAGGCTCCGCAGCTTCAGCGCCATCTCGCCCGACTTCTCCTCGGCCCCCCCGGCGGCGGACGACGCGTGGCCCGTCAGCTTCCGGACGGTGTCGTCCAACCCCCGCAGCTTGCCGGCGATGGCGTCGGCTTTGGACTTGTCCACGCCGTCATAACGCGTTTTGGGGCTGCTGCTCTTGGCGTTGTAGGCCTCGGGGTTGTTCATCTCCACGTCGTGCTTGGTGGTTTCGTACATCTCCCGGACGGCGTCGATCTCCTCGTGGACATCGAGCGTGCAGCTCTCGAGGGAGAAGTCGCGCTCGCGGTGCTCGACGAACTCCCGGACCTTCTTCCACTCGTTGGCGCAGTACTTGAAGCGGGCGGGGTAGCCAGAGCCCTTGAGGTAGGTAAGGAAGCCGGCGATAACGGTGTTCATGGCGCCGAAGGCGGTGATGGCCCTGTTGTTGGCGCTGGCGGCGCCCATGGCGGTCAGGGACGCGGCAACGATGATCTGCAGGAAGTAGCACGCGTTGATGACGAGCGAGAAGACCTTGTAGCTGTCCTTTGCCGTCTGCTCGTTGCGCACGACGCGGGCGTAGAGACCGACGTTGTCGGCGGGGCGGTGGGCGGACAAGCTGAAGCCCAGATGGGGCGCCGACGTGATGCCCAGCGTCAGCCGGAAGAGCGCCAGGGCATCGTCGGCAGGGATGCGGTTGCCTGCGACGTGGATGTGACTCGGCGGCAACGTCGACGATCCGAAAACCGACTCGGCTGTTGTTGTGGCCTGCTCTTCGTCCGGTCCCTTTGTTGGGCGCCGACCAGAGTTGAAGAGGCGCAGGACAGACCGCACAAAAGACGCCATGTTGTACAGATATACAGTAATCCGTATGGTACCTGAGGTGGAGAAGGTAAAAAGCCCGCCGAGGACAACAACCTGGAATAAGACGAGGGCTCGAGGCTTTTCAACGATCTCCTCCCCTGCCAAAGACCGCCGCGATGTCGCACATTCACAGAGCCTGCATCCCGAACGCCATCCCCCACTCGATCATGTCGCCATCCCTAACCTGGGCAGATCGACAGCAAGCCAGTGGCTTTCTCGAGCGTCGGGGCCACCATTCGTGACTGAAAATCTGTGTGTTCGGGCTCATTGGACACTGGCACGCAGCGTCTGGCGACGATCAATTTCCTGTGGAGGATGTTCAGCTTGGCCTCTGATCGCCGGGACTACGGCATTCGGTTAGCGGGAAGGACTGTCCCGCTCCAGGACCCTGCAGGGTAGCAGCAGGGTTGGAGCACTGACCGCAGATTCGAAGGAAGAAAGGTTCCGCTATCTCCAGTGCATGGGGGAAGCACGGGAGGGAGTGTTTGTGGAGAGCTGAGTAGAAGACCTCGAGAACTTCCATCTGCTTTCGGCTTTCTCGAAGAAGAGCCCTGTGCTGGGATGTCCATGTTCCAGAAGATGGAGTCAGACACACAGTATGGAAACGCGTCCTCCGAGGTCGAAACGCGCCCAGGCATTTCAAGTGCCTGAGTTAGGGCTGGCTTAGCGCAAGTCGAGACCAGACGATGCAGGGATGGTGCTTTCTCGTTTTGACACGCAGGAAGCCACCCAAGCCACCCATGGCCGAGGCGCGCCGATACCGACAAGATGCCGCCGTAAATTAATTCCCACATTTCTCGGGTTCGCACCGCAGCGCGCTCGATCAAATGGACGAAGAGACCCTGGGTGAGACCCCCAAACTGGTTCCCGAGCGGCCCGGTACCGCTACCTAAAATTAATTTTACACCACACCCGCCGTCCAGGCGCTGCTTCCCCAGAAAAGCGGTGGAACACGGCGGGAACCCCGCAACGCGGTGAACCTTGCCGACCTGGCCGCGATTGTGAGACTGCCATCCTGGTTTCCTGTTTCCTTCCCTTTAACGGTGCTTCGTACTCAAGAGAAGAAGAAAGTGAAAAAGAAGAAACGGGGACAGCGGTCTGGCCCCTGCAGCACAGATCACGACTGTTTGTCCAAACGCAACTTGGAGGGCAATTACGAAGTTGGCAGTGGACGCTGGGCTCGGCGTCGCATGCAACCCCTTCCCCTGCCTGACGGCTGCGACAATCCACGTTTTGACATCTGTGGGCGTGCCCAGATGTGGTGCAAATGCGATTAACGCCTTGGATCTAGTTCGGCAGTAACTCGCGACATGGGCAAGGCACAGAGAGACAAGACGCATTAAGGTCCACCATCGCGCCGTTCCGACCGTGTTTCCCCTGCTCCTTCTTGGACTTTCACAAGCATCGTCAGGGACGGTATTTGTCATACCTAGATAGGAAGACCTGACAGACATCATTTGCCCCTGCAAAGGCCCGCCCGGGATCGAGATTCACCATGCCGACCTACCTCTGTCACGGCTTTCGCTGGCAGCGGCGGAGTGTGCGGGTCTATGTGATATTGCACAACCTCGACGACGCATCCCCGGAGTGGATAATCCCCGCCAAAAGCTCCCAGTGCATCCTCAAGTCTTTCTATGAGGTCTTCGAATTCCTCCCCTACTGCAGCCCAAAAAGGGGCCGTTACACTCCCACCCGGGAACTCGATAGCGGCGACGGGGACGATGAGGACGACGGCCGCGTCCCCAGCGCCTCCAGCGCCTCCACCAAAGCCCGCAGCCAGAGTCGCGGTCGTGGCCGCTCTCAGAGTCAGAGCACGCAGCAGAGCCGTAGTCAGAGCCGCGCAAACTATCAACAGCCATTACCCCCCTTACCCACGACCACCGACGAATCCAGCAGCGCCTCCATCTCTGCCGAAGACGACTTCAGCGCCCAATCTTGGTCCGCCATCAAGCTCCTCGAGGAATACGACCCGAACGACCTGACTGCCGTCTCACGACCCTACGCCTACGTGGCCGACTATGCCGTGCGCATCGACCTGTCCTGTTCTATCATCGACGAGATCGCAAAGTACGAGCAGAAACAGCTTCAGAGCGCCCACCCTGCCGTATCCATCCCATCCGGGGATACCCCACCCCAAAGCCAGGGATGGTTCGAGGGCCTTCGTGATGAACTACAGCACGGCGAAGAAATACGCTGGTATGTCGTCGTTAATAATGATGAAGTCCGCGATTGGGCGGATGAAGGGTCCGAAAGCACATCTTCCTCTGGGCCACCGGAGCGTGGATATCAGCATCAGCCGGACCAAACATATCAACCATCACATCAACAACAACAACAACAACAACAACCCTCTCAACATCAGTCCCAATATCAATCCCAGCAACAACCACCGCCAGGTCGCCCGATCCCATCTCGAGAGCAGAGGCAGCACCATGCACAGTATATCCACCAGCAGCATATTTTCGAGGGAAGCGATCAGGAAAAGGACCAAGTGCCGGAGAAAGCACAAAAAATAGGATCGAACGGTCAGGAGCAGAAACGGGGCGGGCAGCAGCAGCAATTGGTGTTTGGCGAAAGCGACCAACAACGGAAACACGACGAAGAAAAGCGACAGCAGCAGTTGCTTTTACAGAAACGAGAGCAGCAACGGAAACAAGAGGAAGAAAAGCGGCAGCAGCAGTTGAACTTGGAACAGAGCCAACGGCAGCGGGAACGGGAGCAGGAGGAAGAGGAGCAGAGGCTAGCTTGGAGGGAACTAGAGCTGAAAAAGGCACGCCAACGAGAACGGGAGCGGCAGCGACAGCGGGAGAGGGAGAAAGAGCTGGAACGGGAACGAGAACGAGCACTGGAACGGGAACGCAAGAGGGAAGGTGAGGAGCGCCGACAGAGAGATCAAATACCACCACCACACACGAATGGGACGGACATCAACGGACAACCGCCGATGGTACCAGAAAAGGATTTCTTCTTCCCCCGTCCGCCGACCGCAAAGCCAAATGCGAATACCCAAACAAATGCACCACCACTCCGACCGAAAATATCCATCGATTTTGGGAGACCAAAAACACCAGGAGGGAAGGGCGGCGGGCTGAGGAGGTTATTTTCGAGGGCGAAAATCCAAGTAGATGGAGGGGTTTCGCCTTGAGGGGAGGACATATTCATCCTTGAGATCCCCTCAGTCGGAGATCAGCAGTCAACAGACGCCATGAACCACTTGTAACACCGCATTAGGCACCGGCCATTGATACCCTATCATCACAAAGAATATTCACGCACCATTTTCCCATTCGCTATGAGTGATTCTGTGCCGGATAGGACGACCAACATGATTCCGTGTCATCGTCCCTCATTGGCAGCCCCCACTGATCCCCAGAGGTTGTCATGTCCCAAAAAGCCAGACGCCGACCATCCATAAAACCCCTGGTTATGCCAAATGCAAATACAAAAACCGAACAAGACGCCAAAGCCACCGCCCCAAGCCGTCCCCCCGATATGCAGCGCCCGACCCCCCAAGAAAGCCAACCGAGCCAACCCAGCGCGCTTCGTAAAAAAGAACAAAAAGAAAATCTGATCGACCGAGCCGGTTAATCATGGGTATCATGATGCACCATATCCTGTCCCATCCCTTCCGTCCCGGTTGCCCATAAACCTTCCCGCCATCCGTTCCCAACCTGCCTCCCAACCAACCATGCAGCTTCTGTTGTGCGCCAGCGGACAGATGCCATCGACCAACCAGCCAGCCAGCCAGCCAGGCAGTCAACCAATCCATCAGCAGCAGCCCTTCCGGCCCCTCCCCCTGCGGTCGCCGTTCGGCGGCCACTCATCATCCTCCTCGCCAGCCCCGCCAGCACCACCACCAATAACAGGCGAAAAGCCCGGCGAGAACAGCCAACTCCGCCTATCCCTCCCAACGCGGAAACTCGCCCTCGGATTCCCCCCATCAAAGTACCCACCACCACCACCACCACCACCCGCACCACCACCACCCTCCCCATCCCCAGCAAACCCACCACCATACTCCCCGCCACTAGCACCACCACCACCACCGGTCATAGCGCCCGTGGCAGCCAGCAGGGCCGCCTGCATCTTGCGGTTCTGCTCGACCAGCTTGCGCGTGACCACGCGAAAGACCTCCTCCACCCCCTCGCCCGACTCGGCCGAGATCTCGTGGCACGCGTCCCACCCGACCTCCTGGCCCCAGAACCCCGACGACCGCTTGCTGCTCGGGCTGCGCGGCTCACAACCGCCGCCGCCGCCGCCGCCGCCGGGACCACCACCGGCGGGTGTGTTCGCGCTGCCCTGCGACAGCCACCCACCCCCTCCCGAATGTAGTTGCGGGGTATCAGACGCAGTCGACCCCCCAAACGACGGCCCGCCCGCGGTCGGGGGCGGGGTGGAGCCCATGCCCGGGTTGAGGTTCTCGGCGACGTAGGCGATGCAGCGCTCGAAGGGGACCTCGCGGCGGGCCGGGTCGCGCGCGACCAGGTCGGCCTTGGTGCCGACGACGTGCAGGACGATGTCGGGCGGCAGGTTGCGGCGCAGCTCCGTCAGCCACACGCCCATCTCGGCGAAGGAGGCCGCGTCCGTGATGGAGTAGCAGAGGATGCAGGCGTTGGCGCCGCGGTAGTAGAGCCGCGAGATGGAGCGGAAGCGTTCTTGGCCGGCTGTTTTGGTTTTGGTTTTGGGGTTAGGGGTGGGTTGTTAGGTGGGTGAAGGGTGGTGAGGGTGAGAGTGGTGAGAGTGGGGTGAGGTCGGGTGCAGGTGGGTGGGGAGATGGAAAGTTGTAGGGTGGAAATGTTGGGAGTGGAAGTGCTAGGATCGGAAGTGCCGGGAGCGCAAGTGAAAGTGGTGGGCTGGTGTCGCGGGGTACTACATATGGAAAAGAGAGGAAACGCACCGGTATCCCATATCTGCAGGCGCACAACCGTGTCGGTATCCGTGTCAACAACACGCTTGGTCAGGAAGCTCGCGCCGACTGTCGACGTGACCTGCGAGGGCGCAAAGGCGCCTTTGCAGTAGCGCATGACCAGCGACGTCTTGCCGACGCCCTGCGAGCCGAGCACCACTATCTTGGCCTCGAGCGACGACGACATGATGTGGTTGTTATTGTGGTCGACAGCGATAGCGGTCCGTTGTTTGCGACAACAACACGCATGCGGGGAAGGGATTCGTTGGTTTATTAACGGCGCCTCAAACCTCAAAGAAGCCCAAAACTAAATGACGCCAAGATTTAATTGGTTTGCACCACCGTGAGACTCAAAACAAAAGAGGCGTGACCGCTTTGAACGATTATAAAGCAGCCACAGCTGTACGGTATACATTTGAAGTTTAAAGAGAGAGCCTCTCTACTTCGTAACCCTAACCTTTAACTAATTATCGAGGTAAACTCTTGCCTGACTGACTAGACCTTATACTCAAGGCGCAATTACAAGGCTGCGCAATAAGTGCTGTAACTGGAGATATTCGGGCATCTATTCGTACAATGTATATAACGAGGAATGACACACGGCATTGGGGTGAGCCTAAACCCAAATATTGTTCCTGGGACTCTTCGAGCTTTGGGGCGCCGTAGCCTACGTTGACGTCACCAGCTGCGAAGCAGCGAACAGGGGGTCGAACTTCCCCTGGTCTCAAGTTCACCAACACAATTTTGTCAAAGGAAGGCCTGAGAAGAGTCAACCCTACACTTGCTTTTTCGGCTAAGAGTCGAAGCGGCATGGAGTCTCGAAATACTTCGTCTAGGGTACTTTATATAGATTCCTACGTGTTGCATTGTGCAACTCTCAAAGAAGTTGGCCATGTTTGTACAAACACCGAGTCACAGGGTCAACTCAGCCCCTAATATTATTACATCACACAGTATTTCCTCAGAAGTGCAAGGCTCTCACCGACAAGGTTACCACAATCCCCCTCTCCCCTGAAACAGGAAGCTATTAGTTGTCTGGGTATTGGGAGTAAATCAGCCTTGAGAAATGACAATGAACGCGTTCTCTATACAACAGTAGCTATCCAAGGAAGACGGAATGTAATACATCGCTTTCTATACACAGGTATCCCCAAATCCCCGCCTAGATCTACAACTTCGCCTTCTCAGCCTTCTCCCCCGTCACGGACAACCTCTGGGACGGATTGACGAGCGGGTCATACACCGCATGGGCGAGGGTATCCGACGGCGGCGAGGCGTGGCTGAACAGGCTGCGGGCGTCGACCATGCTCGGGTTCAGCTCGGCAATGGACCGCGCGCCGATCAGGCGCATGCCCATCTCCATCTCGTCCTTGAGCAGCTGCATGGCGCGGTCGACGCCGTCCTGGCCGTAGGCCGACATGGCGTACAGGAAGGGGCGGCCGATGCCGACGCCCTTGGCGCCCAGGCAGAGCGCCTTGAGGATGTCGGTGGCGCGCCGCACGCCGCCGTCGACGTAGATCTCGATCTTGTCCTCGAGCCCCAGCTCGCGCAGCACGGGCATCGTCTCGGCCAGCACCTCGACCGCCGACCGCGCGAACTCGAGCTGCCGGCCGCCGTGGTTGGATAGGACCACCCCCTGCACGCCGGCCTCGGCGGCCTTGACGACGTCCTCGACGCGCTGCACGCCCTTGAGCACGATGGGCATCTTGGTGATGGAGCGGAACCAGGGGATGTCGGCCCAGCTCAGGGACGGGTCGATGAAGCTGCTGATGGCGCGGGCGGCGCCCTGGCTGTTGTCGGTGGCCTGGCCGCTCTGCACGTTGCTGCCCTGGTCGGTGAACTTCATACGCATGTCCTTCTCGCGGCGGCCGAGCTGGGGCGCGTCAACGGTGATGAACAGGCCCTTGCAGCCGCGCTTCTCGGCGTGCTGCACGATGCGCTGCGTGATGGCCCGGTCCTTGTTGACGTAGAGCTGGAGCCACTGGACCTGGCCGGGCGCCGCGGCGTCGACGATCTCGTCGAAGGCGCACGAGGCGAGGGTCGGGATCATCTGGACCACGTTGTGCTTGTGCGCGGACCGCGTGAGGACTACCTCGCCCTCGACGTGGCCGAGCTTTCCGAGCGCGGTGGCGGTCACGTAGAAGGGGATGGAGCAGGGGGTGCCGAGCATGGTGGTGGAAAAGTCGACTTTCTCGACGTCGATAAGTATGCGCGGGCGGAACCAGATGCGGTGAAAGGCTGAGTGGTTTTCGCGGAGTGTCTGGGTTCGGGGGGGTTAGTATCAACACACAATGTGTGTATGGGTGGCTGAGACCGGCTCACAATCTCGTCGTCGGCTGCGCTGGAGTAGTACCCCCACGCCGTCTTCTTCATCGCTCTCCGCGCGACGGCTTCGAAGTCGAGCAGGTTATAGCACTGCTCGAGGAGGGGCATCTCCTGAATGCGCTTTAATCGCTCCCGTTCCTCTGGCGATTCCTCATGCTTCTCCTTGACTACCGTCGACATGTCTACCGGGCCGAGATGTTTGGATTTGGGTAGGTACTTTTCAAGAGTGTCAGGGGGGTGGATCGGGTCGAACTCTTCAGTCGCATCTTTGCCCTGCGGGGGTCAGCAACAGTCAAGAATACTCATGTATCTGGGTGCACAGAGGCTCACCGCATATTTGAGAATGATCTTGGTCCCTCCAGGGTGTTCTATAAAGGTAAGCTCATGCCGTGACGCATAACACGCATAGAGTGCGCACCGGGTAGGAATTCGGTGACATCGTATGCCCTCCCCTAGAATAGGTCGTCAGTGGACATCAACCGAAGAAGTGAAGGGGGTGGCGCACATGCACAATGACCCAGCAGTCATCGGACTTGTTGTGTTGGGCGACTTCGACTCCTGTTAACTGCGCCATTTTGAACGGTCTCCGAAACGGCCGGTTCTAAAGATATTGGGATGAATTCGATGTCAAGAAGCGAGAGATGACGGAGTGTGTTACGTGAGCGGTGTGTACTGTGTAATCTGCACGCGGTGCTTGCTAGTTCCCCCAATAGCTTCAAATTAGGTAAACATAACTCTTGGGAATGGATACATGAGATTAATGTTGAGGAGCAAGTGAATCGAGGAGAAGAGAAGCCGGTCGTTTCATCAGGGTGGCGTGAAGGAGATCAATTGAGAATATCGGTAGTTCGGTGGTTCGGTAGTCAGGGACAAGATTGAATACACAATTCATTCTCGGGAACATCCCGACCCATTTGCCAATTCGTCTTGCATGTGTGGTCAGTTCGGCCAAGACTGCGGGGAGGGTGGGGTCAAGCAAGCCCCACAGTGGTACCGAGGAGTCCCGTTTGCCCGATAACTGCAGGGGGAGAAAGTTGGAGAAGGTGTAATTTACATGTGAAATTGAAAACGCCGTTCTGGTACGGACCTGGTGTCTGTAATCCAATGCCAGGTGAAACAACCTCGAATCCGATCACTCAACCCCTATGGCCAACCCTATCGGGCCTCATTCTCAAACTTTGTTTCACATCTCAGGCTTCCAGATAATATATAAACCCGACATAGGCATAGTTACTAATTGGCCTGTGATTACTCGGACTTCCTCGTCTGACGACGCCCCAACCGTATTTTCGCCTAACACAATCCGAGATGCTAAATCTGACCGCGGCCATGTGGCTGCCTATGACTACCTTAGGTATCGATGGTATAAAAGCAGCCACGGTGGCATGACTCTAGAGCAGTTTTGTTGTTACATCTCACAGCCTCCACATTCTATCAAGCCTTAGCCCGACTCTCCCCCAAAACCGGACTATCCCAACCACCCTCAGTAGCCGCCAAAATGCCCCACGGATTCAGGAAGCGGCCCCCCCCGGACAGGCTCGGAGCCGACGCGGAGGCGCGGAAGCAACAGCAGCGACAGCAGCAGCAGAAGGAGGAGCAGAACCAACAGCAGCAGGCGGCCGCACGCCCGAAGCTTCCCAACGAGTACCGGATCCGGCTGTACTGCACCGACTGCCTCGAGAAGCCGGGCAACGGCAAGTGCAACACGGCAGACCAGCTGACCGCCAGCCTGCCCAACCGCATGGCGTATCACGACCCTAACTACACCGGCACCTTCATATGCGAATGGGAGCTGGGCATCGACTTCTGCTCGGCCAAGGCCAAGACGGCGCCCGTCGTCGCCACCTCCGTCAAGGACGTGCTGGCGCGCGCCGCCGGGCCCCTCAAGCAGCCGGGTGGGACCGCGAAGAGGACGGAGCCGTTCAAGGTCGGTGATCTGTTGAATGGCTTGAAGGGGAAGGGGGTGCAGTACAAGACCAAGCCCACCGTTTTTGACTGAGTTGTTGGGTGATACATACGATTGGGTGCCATGACGATAGGCCCGGTGCCGCGTTCTGGAATAATAGAGCAAGACTCCATCTCCACCACCTTGATTTAATCCGCGTATGTGTTCTCGACGAGTTCGATGGCTCTCTTGACCATCTCCCGATCCATCTGGAACGTCAACTTGCCCAGCACGTCGGCGTAGCTGTAAAATTCCACCGCGTACCTATCCCTCTCCGGCGCTTCCCGCTCCTTCGGCGGTGTCTCCTCGTCCACGGCGGCGACAAACCACCAGATGAGCTTGATCTGCCCTTCACCCAGGCGGCGGACTTGCAGAGTAAAAGGCTCGCAAACACCATTGTAAAGGCGTGGCCGGTCGTCCACCTGCCCAGTTTCTACCGCTGGCGGGGCACGCGTCTGCATGTTCAGGGGAAGGAGGCGACAGGCAAAACCGGTCTCTTCGGTGACCTCGCGCAGGGCTGTTGCCTGGCGGGCCTCGCCGCAGTTGCGCCGCCCCTTGGCTAGGACATACTCGTCACGCTCCAGGAGACGAAGCACGCAGACCTCCCGGGAAGAGAGCCGGAACAAGACTCCGCCGGCGCTCTCGACAAACGCCTCGGAGGTGTACTGCTCGGATTCGAACCGGGATGAGGCCATGGCGACAGGCTGATTCATCAATTGCGAGTGGAAATGTGTTGGTTTGACAGAGATTGCTTACCTCGGTTCCTGATACTCGACGAGCTTGATGCAGACTGTGCAGCTCGACCACTGTTGGTGCTCACGCCCTTGTCCCCCTGGGCGCATTTTTGGTGTGTGTATTGTAATTACATTACCTTCGGATGGAAACCTCGTCTGGGTTCGAGGTGAGCTCGGCGCCCATTGCACCGACTGGCCCGAGTTGTACTGTGAGCTTGGCACAGTCTCAGGTCCTGCAGCCATGCTCAGCCCCAACACTTTTCTCAACACCAAACCCTCCTTATAGACCTGCAATTGAACGTCTAACCATCACATACGACCATACCTGCCAGAAAACACGGGATCCCGTCCGCTCTCCCCTAGTTAAACTCGCAAGGGCCGGATCAGTAGTTGGGTCGGTGACGACCAGCGAATCCCTGGTGTTGTATGTTTTTTTTTTTTTTGGTGGCCGGAGCAAGGAATCTACGTTGATAAGTGACACTTTCTCCTTAGACTGTCACATACGGCCATATCTACGAGAAAACACGGGATCCCGTCCGCTCTCCCCTAGTTAAACTCGTGAGAGCCGAACTAGTACTCAGGTCGGTGACGACTGGGGAATCCTCGGTGCTGTATGTTTTTTTTTCTTTTTCGCGTCGAGTATCTTCCTTTTTTACTTCCACCCCCTTAGTGACCTCGGATGCGGTTCAGTCAGTCACTCGGAAGAGATTATCCTCCTTAACATCCAGGTGACGAAGGCTCAAGTACATTAACACCTACTCCTACGTAGGTTACAACCTATTAATACTCGATGTTGAATACCAACCCCATCCAGTTCACCGCAGACTACTATGACAGGGGAAATGTTCAAATTACATTGGTTTCCCAATGCCTCCCTGTCGCCAACTCATTGCTCCAGTCTAAATGCGCTTTGCTCGTCCTAAACACGCGCGCTCAACCAATGCTACTCTTTCAGTCACCCAGACGAAACGTCAGGCCACCAGGTAGTTAGTGCTTGCCCTCGGTCTTGTTTGCGGCCGTCTGCGTAGTCGTCAGCATATCAATGCGCAACCCATCCTCACAGCATTCTTACCTCGGCAATCAAGGCCCGCCCAACCTGGATCGTCTCATCAGCACCTCGCTGGCGCTGCCAGAAGCTACTCGACATGTTAGCCACGCTATATTCCACCTCAGACCCCCTTAAAAAGCGAAACTCACAGCTGCTCCGGCCTGCCCTCTCCAACAACAGAAAGCTTCCTGGCCTCCTCCTCCAGCGCGGTCCGCGTGATCTTCTCCCCGCCGGTCACACCCGGCCCGTGCGTCTCGGCGGCGCTGACGTCCCACTCGACCATCTTCTCGAGCAGGCGCTTGCGGATGGCATAACGCTCGGAGCGCTCCTTCTGCAAGCCGGGGGAATCGAGCTTCTGAACGACGCCGCGGACGATCAGCTGGACGAGCATGTAGAGGTGCTCGGCAAACAGGACGGCCAACAGCAAGGCCCAGGCGCGGATGTCCCAGGGGGAGCCGCTGGGGGAGGCGGTGCCGTTCTTGAAGAGGAAGACGAGGGCGGCGCTGATGAGGCTGCCGAGCCACGAGAGGAAGCCGAGGGCGTCGAGCCAGGGCCCGATGGAGTCGGCGCGCCAGGGGATCGGGCGCTTGGAGTTGGACGCGATCTTCATGGCGTCGGACCGGGCCTCGACCCAGTTGTTGACCAGGAAGGAGCAGGCGGTCAGCGGCCACACGACCGAGAAGAGCGAGAGGTAGCCGAACTGCACCACCATCTCGCGGTAGTCGATCGTCACGTCGTACTCGTCCAGCTCGGCCTCCTCGCGCGCCCGCTCCAGGAACTCGGCCTCCTCGGGCTCGTCCGGCCGCCGCTGCGGGTTCGTCGCGGTTGTTGCTGCCGTTGCGCCGCCGGCGCTCTTCTCCGAGAGCCCCGTCTGCACGCGCTCCACCGTCCGGAAGACCTTGCGCTTGGCGAACGGCACGATGAACTCGGTGGCCAGGTTGACCACCTGCGCCGTGACGGTGAAGTAAATCACCTGCTTGGTGAGACGGTTGGGGTTGATTTCCCAGGCCTTGGTCGGCAGGGACTGCCCTTCGGCGGTGAAGCGTTGCACTGTGAGGTGGAAGACGTCGAGGTAGGGCACCAGGACTTTTCCGAACGGTACGTAGACGAAGGCCGTCAGGAAAATTCCTAGGTACGAGGTGATGAAGTTGATAACGAAGATCTTTTGGACGAATGACGCTTGGTGGGCTGGGGGGGAGGTTAGTAATGGTCGGTTTCATACACAGCACGCGATCTGTAAAACACATACCATCGTGAGTGCGGTAGTTTTCCAACTCGGTCAGCTTCTCGGCCAAGCGGGTGAGCAGCGTGGTGAGGGTCGGGTTGAGGATGGTCAGGAGGATTGTTGGCAGGAAGGTCTATCACAAATTAGCGGCGTTTCTCGACATAGACAGAAGCCGACCAACTCACCAAGTACTGCTTGAACGGCCCATTGTAGACCTCGTTGATGAAGACCTCGATGGAAAAGCAGCTGAAAATCAGGCCGCCCAACACCACCACACACGCCAGAGCAAACGGCCCCTGCAGCAGCTGCATTTGCAGCCGTTTGTAAGGCGAGTACACCTTGACCACCTCTCCCGTGACGGGGTCGATGCCCTCCCGGTCAAACTGGAACTGCGACCGCGGCAGCTGGATCCTGCCGACGCCCCTGACGCCCCACTGCACGGCCAGATCCACCTCCTTCATCTTCCAATGCTCAAAGAACACCACGGCCCACAGACAATTCACCACGGCATAGACCCACGAGAAGGGACCCAACAACAGCCAGGCGGCGAAGCCGAACGCGGCCGGGAAAACCAGAAACAGAAAATACGACTGCAAAAAGGCAAAGTAGAACGCGACGCGCTCGCCGAAGCGGTCGCGGATGTTGCCGATGTCGGACTCGTCCAGGTAGTACTTGCGGCTCCAGGCGCTGATCCAGGCGCGGTTGAAGGCGCGGTCGTGGAGGGGGAACACGCTGGCCACGAAGCGCCACTGGCCGCGCTTGGGCGTGACCCCCGCGCCGCCCTCGTTGCGCGGCCGAGTAATCAGCTCGTACGCCAGCCGCAGCCGCTCCGCCTCCGTCACGGGCTCCTCCTCGGCGAAGTAGCGGTTGACGGCATCGGTTTTGCTGGTCGTGGTGGTGGCGGCGGTGTCGTTGCTGCTGTCGGAGGGGGCGGGGGCTGAGGGCCGCACGCCAAAGAGCCAGTCCTGCACGCGGGCGCGGTAGATCTGCGACTTGAGCAGGGAGGGCGACGCGAGCTTGACGAAGACCAGGAGGGAGGACGCGGTGCGGCCCGGGCGGACTTCGGTCGCGAAGCCTACCGCCGAGAGGGCCTCGATGAGCTGGGTGAAGGCGGCTTCTGCTTCGGCGGATTCTGGTGGAGGGGAGGGGTGCGTTAGTGAGGTTGGTGGTGTAAGGGGGGTTGGTTAGGGTAGGGAGGGGGGATGGTAGTGGTGTCTGCGGGAGGGTGAGGAGCAACCTTTCGCGGGGATGTCATAAGCAATCACATAGTCCACGCTGGAGGTCAATTGATTTAGTATTTTATTCGTCATCAAACTATCAAGAGTAGCAGAAAGGGGAGGTTAACTCACTCGAAATTGCAGTGCGACTGCTTGTCCCTATCCGGGCTCTTGGAGGCCGCCATGGCGGTTATCTTGGGATGAATTAGAGCGCTGCGGATTCAGAAAATAACTGAATACCTACAGATCCAAAATTGGAGGTTGTCGTGATTTATCTGTTGCGGCTGGTAAGGTGGTAGCCGTGATGTTCCAAGATGAAAACGAGCGGAAACGACGTCACGATCGATGCGGCCATGTCACCTTGCAGGGGGCTAACTCAGGCCCAAGCTGAGCTCACTAACCCAGTTCGGACGAATATTCAGCTGGAGTGTGCTCCGTGGCGTGCGTGGGTTATCACCTTGGGTGAGGCGGTAGGGTTAGGGTCCAACAGAGCCGAGACCACCCGTTTTACCCCCTTTCTCCGCCCCTTTTCGAATCCACAGAAGGAAGACAGACTCCGGATTTCGGGACTCCAAGTCGGTAATACTGTGTATGTTACCGTTAGGTTTAGACCGGATATTGCCAGATAAAAATAATATACAACAGACTTTCACCCCGCAACACCATTAATGTGTACTCTCAACATACCCGTTCCCGCTTAGTTTTTCTTTTATGTTGTGAAACTGCAACTCAAACTTACTGTATAAAAATAAGCTTCTTACACTAAGACGCCGAGATGGATGCACAGGAGTTCAAAGAAGCGGCTAACGCCACGATCGATGACAGCAAGTCCTCCACTTTTTTGTTCAAACTTAAACACACTCATACTAACTACCCTCCCCAGTCATCACCTACTTTGACACCCTCGGCTCCCGCAATGTAGTCTCCACGGTTGAACCTGGCTACCTGCGCAAGCTCCTCCCTGATGAAGCGCCGCAAGAAGGGGAGCCGTGGGCTGCCATCCACAAGGACATGGAGGCCAAGATCATGCCCGGCATCACCCACTGGTACAGCCTTATACCCTCCCCTCCTTTTCTCACCCCTCAAAACCAAACCCCCAACTAACCCCTGCTCCCTATCACAGGAACCACCCCAGCTTCCACGCCTTCTTCCCCTGCGCCAGCTCCTACCCCTCCATCCTCGGCGAGCTCTACTCCGCCGCCCTGACCACCGCCGCCTTCAACTGGATCTGCTCGCCGGCCGTCACCGAACTCGAAACCATAGTCCTCGACTGGCTGGCCAAGACCCTCGGCCTCCCAGCCTGCTTCCTGTCCACCGGCCCGACGCGCGGCGGCGGCGTGATCCAGGGCTCGGCCAGCGAGGCCGTGCTGACGGCCATGGTCGCCGCGCGCGACAAGTACCTGCGCGAGACGGTCGCCGCCGCCGGGGAGGGGGGGCTGACCGAGGAGGAGCGCGAGGAGCGCGTCATGGTCAAGCGCTCGCGCATGGTCGCGCTGGCCACGACGCTGACGCACTCGAGTGCGAAGAAGGCCGCGCTGATTTTGGGCTGCCGCTTCCGTGCGATCCGCGTGCGTGAGGAGGACGGGTATGCGTTGACCCGCGAGGGGCTCGCTGCGGAGCTGGCGGCGTGCAGGGCGCAGGGGTTGGAGCCGTTCTTTTTGGCGGCGACGCTCGGCACGACCGATGTGTGCTCCGTGGATGACTTTGAGGGCATCAGCGCTGCGCTGGCTGACCATGTGCCGCCCGGCGCCCCTGGTGAGGTGTGGGTGCATGTGGATGCGGCCTATGCCGGTGCCGCACTGGTGTGTCCCGAGGTGCAGGAATCGACGCGGATCGGGCTGGTCAGTCGGTTTCATAGCTTTGATATGAACATGCATAAGTGGCTGCTGGTCAACTTCGATGCCAGCTGCTTCTTTGTGAGGAACCGCGAGTGGTTGGTGCAGGCCCTGAGCGTCAACCAGGCCGTGTACGGGAACAAGGCGTCCGATGGCGGGTTGGTCACCGATTACAGGGAGTGGCAGATCCCATTGGGGAGGCGGTTCCGGAGCTTGAAGATATGGTTCGTGCTCAGGTCGTATGGAGTCAAAGGGTTGCAGGAGCACATCCGGCGGACCATCAAGATGGGGGAGGGCTTTGCTGAGGCGCTCAGGGGCAGGTCTGATCTATTCGAGATCGTGGCCGGGCCGAGTTTCGCGTTGACCGTGTTCCGGCTGGCGGCCAAGTCTGAGGGCGCATCTCTGGAGGAGAGGAACGCGCAGACTAAGGCCCTGTATGAGAAGGTGAACGCTACGGGCAAGATGTGGCTCACGAGCACGGAGCTCGACGGCCGTTTCGCGATTCGGTTGATGACGGCCGTGAGGACTACCGAGACGGAACACATCAAGACGGCGGTCAAGACACTGGTCGAGATCGCTGAGGAGGTGCTCAGGGGGTGATGAGCTTAGGAAATGTGTACATGAAACATGATAGACTACATAACTATACCCAACAACGATGAATACCATGCCCGTTTCACTCACCCAAACTCTCGATATCGATGCCGCTTAAGCCACCGTCAAAGGTATCTTTAGCATCACAATCGACCATGTGACAATCTAATACAGATGCACATAATCGCCAGTCGAATAAACCACCCGCCATTATAACATCATTATAACAGCAACAGACAACATGCAGAGTACAATGCAGCGCTATCTATCTCTTCGCCTACCTGAACACCCGTAAATGCTACACCCAAACTTCGCATCGCTCATCATGCCTGACCAACACCACGAATAAAAAACAACCCCCCTAAATACTCGCCCTCCTCGGCGCCATCGTCCTCCTCAACCCCTTCTTGCCACCCATCTCCTCCCCGAGCGGCAACACACCCCTCTCCCTCAGCCGCCCGAGAAACTCCTGCCCATACTTATACCCCACCCCATAAATCTCCATAAACTTCCCAAAGTCCAGCGTCCCATACTCCTCAATCGGCGGGCGCATATAGATACAACCCGGCAGGGTCTTGGCGCGCTCGAGGGCGTCGACGCTGCTGACGTAGGCGAGGCGGGCCTGGATCTCGGCGAGGGTCGGGGGGTTGGCGACGGAGGAGAAGGGGTTCCAGCGGTTGAAGAAGGCCCACATGCCCGAGAGGGAGTCGCCAAAGGCCTGCGGGGTGCTGTCGTCGAGGGCGCCGACGTCGACGGCGAAGATGACGTCGGACCCGAGCGACTTCATGTGCGACACCGTCAGGTTGTCCACGTAGCCGCCGTCCAGCAGCATGCTGCCCTCGTCGCACAGCGGCGGCAGCAGGCCCGCCAGCGACATGGACGCCCGCACGTACCGCCACGCGTACCCGCTCGTGTGGAACTCGGCCCGCGACTTGGAGATGTTGGTCGTGTTGCAGTAGTAGTCGAGCCAGAAGTCCTCGATCTGCGTGTTGCCAAAGGCCTTGAAGATGCCGCGGTTGAACTCGTGGCCTGTTGTGTACGACGCCGAGGGGTACGTCAGGTCGAGCGCGAACCGCCACATGCTGGCCATGCGGCCAGAGAACTTCTTGGCCGCGCCGACGATGGGGACGAAGTCCGCATGCCGCGCGTACAGGGCCCCGATGAAAGCGCCGATTGATGTGCCGCCCACAATGTCGATTGGGATGCCCGCCTCCTGCATGGCACGGATGATGCCGATCTGCGCAATGCCTCTCGCGCCGCCACCACCAAGCACGAGGCCTACGGATTTGCCGCAGAGCCGCCGGGCCAGACGGTGGAAGTCGCCCTTGAACGGTGCGTCTGGAGAATAGAACGGGCTGTGGCGTACTTTCCTAGATGTATACTTTTGAATCTCAGCCTGTAGAATTTGCACTCGTTCTCTCAGCGTCGGACCGCCTGGTTTTGCTGGTGGATGGATCGGGACCGCGTTGGGACTGTAGGTCATCTGCACGTGAAAGTGGCCACCGTTGATCCATACCCGGTTCTTGAGCCACTTTCTGGTCAAGCCGGAGTTGGAGTAGCGTTCCTGATGGAGAAGAACCAGAATCTTCCTCGCCGTCGACTTCATGCCGAGCATGAAGCGCTCATACTCTCCAATTTCGGGGGAGCCATCAGCCAAGCCGACCATGAGGACGCAGTCAGCCTGGGCGACGCATGTTTGCGTCCATGGGGCATTGACATTCGTATCTAGACTCCAAGTTAGCGGCCGAGTGTGGTACGAGCTACCAGGGGCACTTACCAGCTACGTAGATAACGAGCCCGTACTTCTCCTCCAGGTCAGCCAGATACTGTGACAGCTTGAGCTTGCCCATTCTGTTAAATGCGTGCTTTCCAAGATGATTCAGAACAGCCGCGCTATTTAGCGAGGTGGCGCCGTTGGGAGCCCCGACCTCCGTCAGCGCGCTCAACAACCTATTGCTAAACTCGACCACGGGCACGCCCGCCGAAACCGGCAAGACGGCAACAGTCCTCAAGTTGAGCGTGGTGGAGCTCTTGTTGATCGAGCTCCTGCCAGACGAGTCCTTGATCCCCAGCATCGTTGACGGGTCGTTAATCAACGATCTCATACGAGAGGCAATGATCTTGGAGATCTTGATCGTGATGTTGGGGTGCTCCTGGGCTAGGCTGTTGAACAGAGTGCGGGGAAACTTGACGAGTTCTGTATCCCGGATGGCATGCAGGGTACCGGAACGAGAGGTCTCGGTCAGGACTTCAAGCTCTCCGATACTCTCGCCTTGACCAAACTCGGCTTTGACGTTCATCCCGCCGTCCTCCCTGTCCTCGACCAACCTCAGGCGGCCGTTTAGCACGATGTAGATAGCTTCGCTCTCGTCTCCCTCGTGGAAGATGACCTGACCGGCATTGACCTGGAGCCACTCCAAGGCGAAATCGATGTGAAGAATGAGCCGGGGGAGTAGGTTCGTGAGCCGCTTTGCCATGGTTAGGAGCACGATGGGATACCGGTCGACGATTCTCTCGATCGAGGTGAGCGGGAGGAAGCCGACATAAACATCGGTCTTTGCAACGACCTCAATAAACGACCTGTATGATGAGATAGTCCCAACGTAACCGGCGAGCCCACCGGGTTTGATCAAGGCCACGCTTCGCCGGTTGGACTTGGATTTAATCTCGGCATCATCAACATTGTTTCCACTGCGCATGGATTCCGCAAATGGGTGCGGCGAGCAGAGCGACTGGGCGTTATCCATCGCATGCAGTGATGTCCTGCCAGTAGCGTGGACGACATCAGACGGTGCGGTATTTTCCTGGGTGCAGATATCGAGAAAGCCGTCGATGACATAGTACAGACCGGGGTTTCTCTCACCCTGTTCCACCAACACAGACCCTTTCGGGAAAAAGACGATCTCCATCTCGTCTCTCATCTCTTGGGCGAGAAACTGAGGATTCGGAGACGTCGGCATAGATAGGCCAGCGGATGTGATAGATTCTGTGTCACCGTCGGCTGAGCCGTCGAGCCCGTCCATAAATCCGAATGCGTGATTTGTGAAGACGGCCTTTTGCCGCCGCTGATCGAAGGATATGAGCCGGGGGGAGGCCTGGTTTGAGTCTGTATCCTTATTCGAGCCTCCGCTGCCACTCAAGCCGATGGACCTAAACATGCACTCCAGGATCGACTCCCGGAAGAGGTTGTCCTCGTCTAGCGTCTCCCTCTTGTCGAGTGCTATGTGGACGTTCCTCGGAGCCGTGAACGGGTTGAAGGCGCGCTGAGCCAGAGGGGAGGCCGCGTCCCTCTGTACATCGAGATGTGGAGAAGGACCGTCGGTGAAAGCGACGCTTTGCGATTTGTTGCCGCCGCCTCTTGACTGCTGCAAATGTGTTACAAGGTCCCCCGCGTTGGGGACGGTAAACGACGAGCTCGATACCGAGAGATGGCGCTGCTTGGAGAAGGCTTGCAAAGCTGCCTCTTTCCGAAGGGTTGCTGTTGAGCGGCGCCTACGGCCAGCACTAGCATTGTGAAGCGCTATCCCTTTGCTGACATCATCCTCCTCCCCGATCCTCTCCCGCTCTCGCTTGAACTTTTCCTTGAGCCTATCCAGCGCATCTCCCCGGAGATGGTTAGGAAGTTGTTGCGTCGTGTACTTGAGCATCTGGCGCTCAATCTGTAGGACCTCGTTGGTAAGCCCAAGGTAGTTGTATGCCGTCGCAAGTGTGACTCTCTGAAATCTGGATAGAATGACGTGAACAATGTGTGCCGTGGCCTTGGGGTATATCTTGATTAGGCGCCGAAAGGCACTGGCGGGAATAATGGCCACAGTTGTGTCTACCGTTGCCCTCGCAATGATGTCCGGGTGAGCTGAGGTTGTGCTGCTCCTTTTTGGGATAGGTCTTTGAGGTTTGGCGAAGCCACTGCCATCGAGTGAGATGGGCGGAACGTGGGGTAGGCCACGGTCGAGATGCTCAGGCAGATTATCCGCCGAATTCGACGCAGACGCATCCATCTGAGGGGTATTCGGGACGGAATCCATTCTGACGCGAGACTTTCTAAAGTCTGCGCTGGCGGGATAGTTGGGAAAGAGGCCACCGTGGCCGGCGGTGCCGGGTTCTGAGTTGTCTTCGTCGCCGTGCCGCAGCGGGACGTCTTCGGTGAAGAGCGACATGATGGAAAATAGCGAAGACATGGGGGCACCGTTCCGGACCTCGGTCAATAGCTGGTAGCGTTGCTGCCCCGGAGCAGGGTGCTCGTCATCGCTCGAGGGGGCTTCGCTGTTGGGACTGAAATAGGGGCTGTGAGCATAGCGGCGGTTGTAACTGGACGATTTCACGAAAATCTCAACCAAGCCGTCTACGACAAGACAGAATCCCTTCTCTTCTTCGAGGTTGAACGACTCGCCGGCGATAAGCTTCCGGGTTTGCATGCTGCGGGTCAGCTCGTGGAAGACGGGCCGCTCGAGATAGCCGAAGATTTTGATGGCGCTGAGAAACTCGTCGAAGTAGTTTGACAAGCCCGATTTGATGCCTTCTTCGTGTGTATCCGGGAAGAGATCGACGTCCGGTTCCTTGCGTTGTGGTTCGGGGGGTAACCGCGAGTACATGTTGAGGTAGCGGTACCTCACCACCCAGCTGATGGCGCCCATCATGGCTGCCACGATGAGCATCCTAGGCTACATTAGAGATTCCCTGCGTGTTCAGATACTTGAAATCGGCTTACAGAGTAGTCGCGTTCATGGTGACGGTCAAGCTCGTCGAGAAGAGGGTGTACAAAAGGGTAGGCACCGAGATGGTCGCCAGCTTGATTGCGTAGTAGAGCACCATTGACACGAACTGGAGGAGCCATAGAACGACCCTCGCAAATAAACCGAGCCATGAGGAAGAGCCATGAGCGTTGGCAACATCACTCGCGGCAGCTACAGCCGAAGATAGCGGATTGGGATGACGGTCTCCGGTTCCTGTCACTGCCGTCGCCGCCGTGACCGCCGCTCGGGCGGTCGAGTTTACTACATCCATCACCGCGCGTATTTAATATCGAGCCCGGTCGATGTCATGGGTGCTGGAGTAAACTTCGTGTTTTTGCGATGATTTGAATTGCGCGGTTTGTTTTTGCGCCGTGATGGTTGCCGACTGAGACACGTCGGTTTGGCCTGTTCTTCGATTTTCTGGTCTTTCGCTGCTCTGTGTTGAACTAAGCGAGTAACAACTAGGTAGGTGACCAAGAAAACAGCAGATGCCCTGGCTAGGCGCAAAAACTAGGAAGAGGTGTTGCGTGAAATTTGTATTTGACGACGCATCCCTTGCCCTTTTAATAGTTCGTCAATAGGCTTCTGTCAGAAAGGTCTCGGCCTTCCTGCCGAGAGCTCCCTTGCAAGTTGCAAGGTGCAAAGAACGCGAGGGACCGGGGCTGCAAGTGAGCTCGCTGACGTCGGTCTCTCTTGAATTCTGACATGTGGTGGGGCATCCTGGTCACATTCGCCCCCAGGGGCAGGCAAGGGTGCCCGCTGGTTGCCGAGCCAAGCAGTTCGCTGGTCGGTTCAATCCATTTCACCCCGCCAAAAATGCACCAGCCACATCCCACTTTCTTGCCCGTGCACGCGGGCGGAATTTCTGGCGGGCTTCTGAAAATACTGCGGGCCCTGATGACTGTTCTTTGAGCTCAACCTCGACATCCCGCATTCGACCGAAACCACGAGCCACCGACGCCCACCGAGGACTCGACTTTACTGTATTTCTGATATCGGCCTTTTCCTATTATCGGCCTTCACTTCCCCGGATTTTTACACACCGTCCCGCTCGGTGCATCTGCCCGATACCAAACGAAACCACGCCCACATCCCACTTTTGCCCCGCCTGGGAACGGCACCCTCAGACAAGATGTCGCTCTCAAACTGCCGGTTCTACGAGGAGAAATATCCCGAGATTGACTCCTTTGTGATGGTGAACGTAAAACAGGTTAGGGTCTCCGGAGTACCGCCACTGCGACCACAGCGCTGACTGTCGCTAGATTGCCGACATGGGAGCCTACGTCAAGCTCCTCGAGTACGATAACATCGATGGCATGATTCTGCTCTCCGAGCTTTCGAGGCGTCGTATCAGAAGTATCCAGAAGTTGATCCGTGTCGGTCGCAACGAGGTAGTCGTCGTTCTGCGTGTCGACAAGGAGAAAGGTTGGATCCCGCCGTCGCCCACCTCGCATTCTGTATCAGCGCTAAAGTGGGGTTAGGATACATCGATTTGTCCAAGCGCCGTGTCTCGCCCGAGGATATTGTGCGCTGCGAGGAGCGGTATAACAAGAGTAAGATTGTGCACTCGATTATGAGGCACGTCGCCGAGAAGACGCAGACCCCGATTGAGACGCTCTACGAGACAATAGGGTGGCCGCTCAACAAGAAATACGGCCACGCCCTGGATGCCTTCAAGCTCTCAATAACGTACGTCTTGGGCGCTATACCGTTGGGAAGGGAATTTCGCTAAATCATACGCACAGCAACCCCGATATCTGGACCGACATCCAGTTCCCAAGCGAAGCTGATGCCGAGGAGCTCAAGTCCTACATTGGAAAGAAGCTCACCCCCCAGCCGACCAAGGTCCGCGCCGACATTGAAGTTACTTGCTTCGGGTACGAGGGCATCGACGCCATTAAGACCGCTCTGCGCACCGCCGAGGCCCGTAACACCGAAGAGACCCAGGTCAAGTGCCGGCTGGTTTCTCCTCCGCTCTACGTGTAAGTGCTTGCCGATCCCCCCGCTATTCGCTATTTGATTGGATTGAGAGCTTGGTTACTGATCTGCTACAGTCTCACCAACACATGCCTCGACAAGAACGCCGGTATTGCCCGCCTGGAAGAGGCCATCGTCGACGTCCGGACGAGCATCGAGTCGGCCGGCGGTAACCTCGTCGTCAAGATGGCGCCCAAGGCGGTCACCGAGTCGGATGATGCGGAGCTCCAGGCGCTGATGGAGAAGCGCGAGCGCGAGAACGCCGAAGTCAGCGGCGACGAGAGTGTCAGCGAGAGCGATGATAACATCCCTGCGGCGGTCTAAGAAAACGCCGTTTGTACAAGAATGGATTGGGACAGCACGCGGTGATTCCGGCCCTATTTTTCGTGGGATGACCAAATACCCCGCGAATGAGGTTGCAGGACAGCGAGCAGGTATATCGGGACCATTTGGTTTGACCGGCGTCTTCGGATTTCAAAAGGTCAGATACGGTAGACATTCCAGCTAGCCAGGGCCGCAGCGGGGTAAAAAAGGGAACGAAGTAATGCCTCTTAAGAATATTCGGCCTCTTGATGTGTCCCTCGAATTATGTATCAATCGAGGCCGCCTTATCGGCTTATCTAAACCACGCCGCCCAAGCACCAGAGTCCACCACTTGCATTAATCCATCTCACGTCCCCAACTCACCTCACCTCACCTCCCACATCACCAAACGATTCCCATGGCGGCGCGATGGGCATGGGGATCCGCCGCCGCCGGAGGAGTGGCGGGGCGGTCTAAGTTCCTCGGGCAAGTCTCGCATTACCTCATCCGCTACGCAACCTGGATCCCGCCTCTCATCTGGTTCAACGAATATGTGGCTCAGGTCACCTCCATCCGCGGCCCATCCATGTATCCTTTCCTAAATTCACAGTACAACGAATCACTCCGCCAAGATCTGTGTCTGGTCTGGAAAATGTATGCGCAGGAGGGGTTGAGGAGGGGGATGGTTGTCACGTTCAGGTTGGTCTCACTCATTCGCTCACCTTGCGTGATATGGCCAGACACATATATTAACATGCCAACCCCCAGGAACCCTTACAACCCCAATAAAACCACAGTTAAGCGCATCATCGGCCTGCCGGGCGACGTCGTCAAAACGAAGCCACCGTACCCGTACGAGCATGCCGTCGTGCCCGACGGGCATCTCTGGGTAGAGGGCGACGGCGACAAGAGCCTGGATAGCAACTACTACGGGCCCATTTCGGCGCGGTTGATTACGGGTCGGGTTACCCATATTCTGGCGCCGTGGGAGAGGGCCGGGCGTGTGAGGTGGTGGGAGCACCCGTTGAGGACGGGGGTGCATAGGGCAGCGTAGCGAAGGGGTGGAGTGGGTGAAAGTGGGTGAACTCTGGATGGGCCGGGTCACTCGGGTGTGGCAAGGGCAAGGGATAGGCTTGTATCATAAATTTTCGTTGTACATATAAAGCTCGGAGTCTGGCTTTGTATTTCAAGGGCAGCCAGGTTTCGCGCTGGTTTGTAAATTTCGAAATCTTGTTGAATCTCGTCGGGCAAATCGATGTACGAGTACAAAGTCCAGGGTCCAACCCAGGGTTATTGCTGGGAACTCAAAACTTCCATCACGCACGGACCACAGCCCTGCCGTAAAAACGCTTCGGACCGGCAAAGCCGCCTAGAAATTTAAACTTTGAATTATTTGCGCTGCGGTACGCCAACAAAATCCACACGGCGTGACGCCATATCTCGAAAACTTTGGCCGCTGCCCAGGCGGCGCTACCCTCTTATCCTCTTCCCCCCGGGGCGATGGTGCTCGGCTTTGAGACGGCCCAACGCACCCCGTCGACTGTCTTGCCTGCGCCCTCGCCCTCTTCGCACAGCGTCGTCAGCGCCGCCGTCCCCGTTCCGGACCTCGACGGTCGACATGAGGATCACGCGCATATCTTGTCGCACGCCCCCACTACCGCCGGATCGTCTCGCGCTCAGGATAACATGAGATCACAAGATGGAGAAGTCGAAGGGCGTCCGCCTTTTCTGCACGTGGGTCGACCTTATTCCATGTCCGTTGCCTCCCACCGGGGCTGCGTGCTGACCGCACATCCCAACTACAGTGCATGCTTGCTGGAGGACTAGGTGGTTCAACAGGCGATATGCTCATGCATTCGCTCGACACAGTCAAGACGCGGCAGCAGGGTGACCCCCATATCCCACCGAGATACACATCGCTAGGATCGTCCTACCTCAAAATTTTCCGACAGGAGGGGATACGACGAGGACTGTATGGAGGTTGGATACCGGCCCTCGCCGGCTCGTTTCCCGCCACATGTTTCTTCTTCGGCAGCTACGAGTGGAGCAAGCGGCAGATGCTTGACTACGGTGTCCAGCCTCACCTGGCCTATTTGCTAGCCGGTCAGTAGCCAACTTCGCCATTGGGGTTTTGTTTTCTAACGGGTTCTTGTCTAGGCTTCATTGGTGACTTGGCGGCGTCCACCGTATATGTCCCATCCGAGGTAGTCAAGACACGCCTGCAGCTACAAGGGCGACACAATAACCCCTATTTTACTTCGGGGTATAACTACAAAGGCACGACCCATGCTGTGAGGACAATCGTTCGAAGCGAGGGCATGTCCGCGCTGTTTTATGGCTACGGCGCTACTTTGTGGCGCGACCTACCTTTTTCGGCACTCCAGTTCATGTTCTACGAACAGGCACAGAGTTGGGCGCATCAATGGAAAGGGAGCCGGGACATTGGGTGGCAATTAGAGCTCCTGACAGGGGCGGCGGCTGGTGGCCTTGCTGGCACAATAACGTGTCCTCTTGACGTTGTCAAAACGAGACTTCAAACCCAGGTTCATCCGGAAGCCGGTGGGCTCGGCCCGGCGCCAACCGACCCACCACCACCGAGTTCGGGAACGACCAAGGAGGGGCAGGGCGCTAGGGCGACCTCTGAGACGTCCCAGCAGAAGCTGCAAAAGCGGTTGATATCAACATCCTCACCCTCGACACACACACCCAAACCCGGGGCCGTCACTCTTCAGACTTCCTCGATGATTACAGGCCTCCGATTAATTTACAGAAGCGAAGGCGTTGCGGGGTGGTTTAGAGGGGTGGGGCCGCGGGCTGCTTGGACAAGCATCCAGAGTGGGTGCATGCTGTTCCTCTACCAGTCCATCTTGCGCAAGCTAGAGGCGTACATGCCCATGGAGCGGCGCGAGCTTGTCTAGTGATGCGAATCTAGCAGGCCAGCGTCGATGTATTCTGTATATAGACCATTTGTACAATTGTTGTGTTCGATACCGGGGCTGGGGAGGCAAACTGGGAGGGCGTTGGGTGTCGGCTGGATAGATACGTGCTAGAGATTAGATGTGTACATGTACGAATCTTCATTCTTCAACTTCTTCTATCACGGCCAAAAAAAAAACTTCGAGGAACATCGTCAGACAGATAAAATAAATGTATGCAGCTATCCCCTACATTGAATGTGCTTTGATACGGAGCCTGAATCTTGGCGCACCAGCAGCCCGGTCCAAACCGCGATTGGCCCAAAGCTCGTGTGGGGTTCCAGAGGTCCATCTGTGTGCCGCTGCTGTATCCCACTCCGGCCAAGAAAATGGCACTGGAGCTCAATCGAACCATTCGTGCAATGGACGACCGACCACCGATTCCTCGCCAGTGACACACACGACAAGGGACCCCATCCGACTCGAGATGCCCTGACGAGATGGAAGGGCAGCAGACAGGGCCGCCATGTCATCTTCGCTCCCTGTCCCCTCCAAAGCGGCCTTGACGGCGCTGCGAGGACTACTCGTGGGCACCTCGTGCACCCTCGCCGTGCTCGCCGAGGACCGTCGACGGAAAATCAACAACGCGGTGCGCGCGATCGAAAATGGCGAGAAAATTAAGTCAGCCAGGAGATACCGCGCGGGAGCCGGGGCGCTAGCCGTGGCCATGGAGGAGGAGGCCCTTTGGGATCCGCGGTTCGGACCGCTTTCTGACTTTGGCCTGGAGCTGCATCGACATGATCATACCGCGAAAGAGTCGGGGGAAGCGAGGAATCAGCCACCTCAATGGCGGGCTGGGGAAGATGGGGTTGGAACTCTGGCAGAAACAACAAGGGTGACCTCGGTGAAGGGCCAAACGGTTGCGGCATCAACGCAGAGCAACACCAGCAACACCACAGATACAAGCTCCCCTGCGAAACCCGGACAACTCGTTAAATCTCCAAAACGCGCTCAAATCCAGCCTATCCCCAAGCCGACTGCGTCACTCAAATCCTCCCCGAGCTGGGCGTCAATGAGCACCGAGATGGTCAAATCATACTCGTTCCCCACAAATGACGAGATTGTGGTCCAAGTACACGAAGCCTGCAACACCAAAGATCCCGTCCATATTGGCACTGCATTGCGAACACTTCTCGATGCGATAGATCACAAACTTGCCCCAGATAACCTAAACCGGCCCTGGATCGAAGCCACTGCGCGACTTTGCCGGACGTGCCAAGAGGAAGGGCGGCTGGATGATGCCGCGAGGCTTCTCGATCGGATAATATCCCAGGGGTTGCTTCAAGAGAGTGACTATGTCGATCATGAACCCTTCACGTTGATCGAGTCACTACTCGCACGGGCAGAACTCAACCAGCAAGCGCAAGATGTCTATGCGGCAGACATCGACCTTGCTGTCAACTTGTTTGGCCCGAAATTCGTTGAACGGCCAAGAGGCGCGAACCAGCAGGTCTACAGTCTCGGGCGGAGACTCCTCGAGCTTTGCTTCGCCGCGGGACTTGTCCAAAGGGGTTTTGGCGTCTATCGGCGATGCATCATGTCTGCGGACGACAGGGGGAACGACCTCGCCGCTTGGTTCCTCCAGAAGCTCTACGAGAGGCAGGACTATACAACCGTCGTCAGAACCTTCATCACAACCTTTGCTCAGTCCTCTCCATTGAAAGCTTCTCTGGATACCGTCGGGGACATGGTGGTTGACAGCGTTGAACTCGCCCATGATCACAGGCCAAACGAGGTCTTGGAGACACTGCACAGGCTCTGTACCGGGCTCGGAAATACAAAGCTGTACCCGAAATGGGTCATGAAACTTTTAACATCACATTGGAGAAAACACCGCAAGTTCGAAGAGGTCGAGGTCATGTTTGAAAAGCTTCAAACCCCTCGTCTGAAGGATTCCGTGTTCCGCTCGCGCAACATTTACCGCATCATGGTTGAACTGGCTCTCGAGGCGGGTCAGGAGGCCAAGGCTGACTCGTACTTCGCTCTTGCCATCTCACAGCATCGCTCTCTAGCGTCCGATGTTAAGCTGCTGGGCGTCGTTGCGCGTTTTCACGCCGCGGATGGTGACTGGGAGGCCGTGCGGGCTGACTTCGAAGCAATGGACCAAAGTAGGGAAGCACGCGACCAAGTCCGTGGTCAGGTCTTTGTCCCGGTGCTCAAGGCGTACGCTGAAACGCATACGGTCCGAGAGACTGAGGCGTTTCTCAAGTTCTATGTCGACGAGCTGAACGTGCCATTGTCCAGCTTCATGGTCACACTCATGGCCAAGCAGTACGGCGCCATCCGCGACGTCAACTCTCTGATCGCCTGGCTTGACTATTGCAGTCAAGCAGAGTTCCCTGTCGATGCTGCCTTTTCTAATGCCATTCTCGTGAGGTGCCGAAGGCAGTGGAACTTTCCATTCCGGGACCTCCGCACACTCTTCCGGAAGCTTCAGGTGCTAAACCCGGACTTTGTGGACAAGCACACGGAGCAAGTCATGGCTGACGCCGCGCTATCGGACTCCAAGTACGGCGGCAAAGCAGCGAGAGGGCGGCTGCTCTCGCTACACATAGACCTACCTGAATCCCCCGGCCGGGACAAACATGTCCACGCTGAGGATGTGATATTCGCCATGAAACAAGCACTACGAAGCGGCTCATCTCGTCGCGCCGTGCAGATCTACCAGCGGGCTATACACTCGAATATGCCCTTCTCCCCGCACGCCCTGCAACTCGCCGTGCAGGCCCACCTAACATGGGCACCTACCGACTTCGACGGTGCATACACCATCCTCCGAAGAGCCCAAATCAAAGGCGAGGACATCACCCAAACAATCAACCACCTCCTCGCCAAACAGATCACCAGCGTCGCCTCATCCACCCGCAACCCACAACAAGCCGACCGCCTCATCCGAGCAACCCTCACCCACTACCACGAAGCCGGCATCCGCATAACCGAAACCTCCCTGCACCGCGCCGCCGCCCTCTGCCTCGCCGTCGGCCACCCGTGGGGAGCCATCCACTACGCCCTCAGCGCGGCCAACGAGCGCGGCACCGAACCCTGCTTCAACCTCCAAAACTTCAAAATCCTCCTCGCCGCCTACGCGGACCTCCTCGACGCCGACCGGCTGCGCGAAACCATCGCCCGCGGACTAGCCAGCTTCTACCGGGAAGACGGCGCCTGCCGCGCCGCGCTGAGGCAGGCGCGCGCGAGGGTGGCGCGCTCGCAGGCCCCCGCCTCGCGGGTGAGCTCGCTGGAGGAGCGCAAGATGCGGGCGCGGGCGGTGGTGGACGAGGGCATCGGGCGGGTGGTGGAGGCAAGGCGGGAGCTGAGGGCCGAGGGCAAGGTGCTGGAGGAGGCGGCCGTGCGCATCATGAGGAGGGCTGCGCTGGATGCGGGGAGGGAGGAGGTGGATTTTGCGGAGGTGCCGTGGTTGGGTGGGGGGAGGGGGAGGGTGGGTGTTGCTGGGGACGATGATGGTGATGGTGGTGGTGAAATTGGAGGAGGAGGTGGTGATGACATTGGAGGGGGTGGGATGGAGGGGGAGGGGGTTGGTGCTGATGAATTTTATGGGGATTTGGAACGGGCGTTGCTGGAGGTTCCGCCTCAGACGGCGGTTGAGGCTTTCTAGATGGGTAGTTGGAAGTATCCAGGGGCGATACCTACCTACCCAGACTAAGGGAAACGGGCCTGGGACGACATTGGACAGTTCTGACAGGACTCGTTCCCTAGCCATTGACAGTGTAAAAAGTAACTACCATGCATTACCTGTATACAAATCAAGTTCATTTCATGGGTTTTCCCATCAAATTCCTCCTTTAGATGCTGTCGTCAACAGCAACCTGCAACAGGCCACCGCTGTCCTCTTGGGCTTCGCCATCGCCTGACATGTGAATTTTGCGGCCAGGGGTGGTTTCCACAAAACCCCCTGCGCAACCTTGCTGATTGGTTTGACCCGGATCCACGCCAACGCGGTGCCTGCCGCATGGGACGATTCTCAGGGACACTGGTCTGGAATAATTTCAGTTTTTGGAACGGGAACGCGCAATCGAACCGGGAGGATCCGTTCTGTTTCGATACCCAACTCGGTGATCTGCTGAAAGAGCGGGAGATCCGCAGCGATTGGTTTTTAGGGTTTACTCCATTTATCTCCAGGAAAAGGTCCTAACTACCTCATCATCATCTCACTCAACAATCGGCTACAAGTCGAAGACATTGTACGACGACGACTAACTGCTTACCTCGTCCTGTCTAATCCCCACCCCGAATCTAATTCCGAGAACGACACGCCGACGTAACCAAACCCGAACGAACACCAAGCCCGTACCAACAACACACAAGCATGGCGGGCGCGGTCGACTCCGAGGCCGCTCGCAATGTCGAGCGGCGCGAGAAACACCACGAGGCCGACGTCGTCGTAGTCGGCGCCGGCGTCTTCGGTTGTGCCGCGGCCTACGCCCTAGCCAACCAGGGGCGGAGCGTCATCCTGCTCGAGCGGTGGATGCACCAGCCGGACCGCATTGTCGGTGAGCTGCTGCAGCCCGGCGGCGTCGAGGCGCTGCGGAAGCTGGGGCTGGAACACTGTCTCGAGGACATCGATGCCATACCGTGCTACGGCTATCACTGCCTATTAAGGGGGGAAGAGATATCGTTCTCGTATCCGCCGCTCGCTAGTGACGGGAGGGTGGTTTTGGGCGCGGGGAGGAGGAAGGAGGTGAATGGGTATGCGAATGGGGATGTCAAGGAACCGGCCAGGCCAGAAGGCAGGAGTTTCCACCACGGGAGGTTTATCATGCAGCTGCGCAAGGCGTGTATGGCGCACCCGAATATCAGCGTCTTCGAGACTGAGGTCACGGCGACCATCAAGGGCGAACACAGCGACGCCGTGCTCGGGGTACAAACACGAACAAAGGACCCAGCCACGGGCAAGAAGACCCCCGACTGCTTCTTCGGCCAGCTGACCATCATCGCGGACGGCTACGCCTCCGTCTTCCGCAAGGAACTCCTCGGTACCACCCCCATCATCCGCAGCAAATTCTACGCCCTCGAACTCATCGACTGCCCGTTCCCGCCCGCCAACCACGGCCACGTCGTGATCGGCGAGCAATCCCTCGCCCTCCTCTACCAAATCGGCACGCACGAGACCCGCGCGCTAATAGACATCCCCACCAACCACCCCGCCGCCACCACCCAAGCCGGCGGCGCACGCGGCTACATCGAGAGCATCGTCCTCCCCTCGCTCCCCGCGCACGTCCAGCCCAGCGTGCGCGCCGCGCTCGCCGACGGCAAGATCCCCAAGAGCATGCCCAACTCGTGGCTCCCCTCGACCAAGCAAACCCAGCACGACGGCGTGATCCTCCTCGGCGACGCCCACAACATGCGGCACCCGCTCACGGGGGGCGGCATGACAGTCGCGCTCAACGACGCAGTCCTCCTCGCCTCCCTCCTGTCCCCGTCCCAAATCCCCACCCTCTCCCACCACGCCGCGGTACGCGGCGCCATGGCGGCCTTCCACTGGCGGCGCAAGAGCCTGACGGGCATCATCAACGTGCTGGCGCAGGCGCTGTACAGCCTGTTCGCGGCCGACGGCTGGCAGCTGCGCGCGCTGCAGCGCGGCTGCTTCCGCTACTTCCAGCTCGGCTACACCGACGAGCCCGTCGCCATGCTCGGCGGCGTGCTGCGCCGCCCGGCCGTGCTGGCCTCGCATTTCTTTACGGTTGCCGGGCTTGCCATCTGGCTGCATACGGTGGATCTGTGTGGCGGGTCCGTGCTGGGGTGGCTGAAGCTGCCGTTGGCGATGGTCCAGGCGGTGATGATCCTCTGGACGGCGTGCGTGGTTTTCTTGCCGGTGATGTGGACTGAGTTGTGGTGAGGTGTGAAGGGTGAGCGGTGGGGGGTAATGGATGATGGATAATGGGGGTGTGAAAGGGGAGACGGTGGGTTAAGGTTCGCTGTATCAGCCTGTTGTTTTGCTAGGACTCTAGTTGTTGGGGTTCGGTTATGCATAGTAGATCTTTTGGTAATGGTAATGAGAGACGGCTGTACACGATCATATCGGACTTGACATTGCCGTGTTGTGTATGATGCTACTATTTTGAACACACACGCAGAAGGAAATGAGAAACCGGCAGAGCCAAGCACCGGTTCCAACTCCGGCATCTATTATTCTAAGTATCCTGCCTTCAAACAAACTACCAAATCAACTCTCCCAATCCTCAGACCGATCAAGTCAACCTTCTCCGATACACCCCCAACATCCAGCTCGCCCTCAGCACGGCCAAACCGATAGCCATGCGCACGCTGTCCTGGATCAGGCTCACCTTGCTGCCATCAACCTCGTGCCAGCCGATGGGCACCTCGGCGACCTTGATGCCGTAGCTGGTGCCGATGACGGAGCCGTCGCTGGCGAGGACGGGGGTGGCGGGGGCCGACTCGGCGAGCATGAGCATCTCGATGTCGAAGATCCAGCCCTCGGCGTGCATGTAGGGCACGACGTGCGGCAGGGCGGCGCGCGAGAAGAGCTTGAAGCCGCACTGCGTGTCGCGGATGCGCGACGTTGCCGGGGGGGTGAGGATCGTGAGCACGAAGTGGAAGGAGCGCATGAGGAAGTTGCGGATGGCGGAGCGCTTTTGCAAGGGGGTGGGTTAATAACGACGTGACGGGTGGGTGAAAGAAAGGGTTTGGTTTGGTGGGGAAAGTAAACATACCTTGACGACGGCCTCACTGCCAACCAAGTGCGCCCTGCTCCCGATCGCCACCCCGCGGTTGGACCCGTCCACTACGTCCTCGCACCCCTCGATCAACTTCCCCAGATCGCTGAACCGGCTCGCACCGTCGGCATCAGCAAACACGGCGTATTTCCCCCGCACGTGGCGCAGACCGTGGGTGACGGCGCCGCCCTTGCCGCGGTTCTTTGCGAGCTTGACCACCCGCAGGATGTTGTGCAGCCCGTGCTTGCGGGCGAAGGAGAGAGCGACTTCGACGGTGCGGTCGCGGCTGCCGTCGTCGACAATCAGAATCTCGTAGCCCGAAGGCTGGGTGGGCTCAGATGATGCTCGGGCTGTACCGGGACGGGACGTGGGGGCCGGCGAGTCGGGCTTAAAGACCAACCGGTGCGGCGTCGTGGCGCGCTTGCCCTTCTTACCACCCTTCTCGGTGGATCTCTCTTGCCGCTCGGGTTGGAGGAATTGATTGTTGGGGCGGCCGAATTGTTGGTCTAGATATTCGACCATCTCTTCCAGGGCGGCCGTGATGCGGGCTTCTTCGTTGTAGGCCGGGACCACCACGCTCATTTCCACCTCGGCCGGCTCAATGGCCCCTTGATCGGGGACGGGAAACCCAGCGGGGATTGTCGGGTATTCTTCACTGAGCTTTCCCTCGGCATGCCAACGGTCATACCAGCAGGCGAGCGGGCGGGGGCTGCTGACAGTACCATCGGGGTTCGTAGTGATGTATGTCTTCTCGGAGGGGTAAGGGAGTCGCGGTTTCGGGGCAACGAGGTGGAGGAGGATGTAGACCTGGGAGAGCCCGGTTAGTCAATGGAATAATGGAATCCCGTGTGCTTCAGCATAGGTAGCATACGCAAAATATGGCCAGTCCAAAAAGCGGGAGAACCACAGCCAACACAAAGTAGAAGGGCCTTTCCGAGGCGGTTGCCCACAAGAGCCAGACCAGCTGCTCCAGCGATTCAACTACGCCCTCGCCCGCCATGGCTGGCGCGTGGGGGAAAGAAGGCAGCGGCGATACCGCATGCAAGATGTTGGCTTCAGGTAGGGAGCGTGGGCGTCATGGGAGACATGGGGCGATTTGGGCGCTTGTCAAGTTGACAGTTCGCACAGTTCACGAGGCTGCCGCTTTCGATGATGCCACGGAGCGTTGAACATGTGGCTTGCAAGGCTGGCAAATCATGACGAGCTACCCCTGTCGATCTTGGCATCTCTCCACTCTCGTTCGTGTGGGTCCATCTCAATTCAAGAGCAAGAGCGGCGGAGGATGACAGAGATAATTACTGTGTAAATTTGAGTTCAGATAAAAGGTTTTGCTCATGTTCTTTTGTGCGCAGAATCCTGCTCTCTCAGTAAGTTCAGTTACACTCCTTACCGAATTGATAGCAAACGAGGGCGATGCCTACAGTTTTGGTGAGAATTACAGTTTTCTCTCGCTGTCTCATTGGTGTCGTCACGAGCGCACCTCGCAATCTACCGTGTAACACACATCTCGTCTATTTTTACTTTTACGTCCTTCCTCTCGAGTTCCACGATACAGCTTCACACCACCCAAACACGGTATTCTCCGAGCCGGGCCGAGACCAAGCCATGCCGGTCTTGTGTTATCCGCACCAAACTAATGTCCTCCAGCTGGCTCCAGGTCAGCCTCCAAGGCGCCGATGCAGAAAGAGGCGTAAAGCGCCCAATCCGACCTCGTCCCCTCAAATGCAGCCCGGGCAACATGCAGCTTCTGGGTATTGACGGTGACTGTGAAGCGCATGCGGGGAAAAGGCAGAGAAATTCGACCCTGCCCTATCAATTATCCATTATTGCAACGTGGAAACCGCTGTCAGCTGAGTCTTGCTCAATGGTACTGTTCCTTTCCGTCGTCAAGGGTCGTGGTGTAACCCAAGATTGCGGAGGTTGTGTCGAGCGAGGGTTTCAGTGATCCTGGTTGTCGATCGACACGAGTCGTGCCAGTGTTGAAGTTGGGGGGTATCACGACTTGAAGATGCTCTCCAGCTGTGTGTTGAAAAAGATAAGGCTCGAGACCTGGAAGTCCGGCCTTTCTTCCACTCCATCCACTCATGACCCCATCATCGGCCGCGCAATGCGACTGGGCCCACGCACGCAAAGCCCGCGCAGCGGTGATGCACCTCCCGTCCGGTTCGGGTAGGCCTTCGCGAGTGGCTAGCCGTTTTGAGGCGGATGCCAACATCATGACGGCGGGACCGGTCCAGGCCCCAATCTTCAACATTGGAGGGTAGGGAGGCCAACTCTCGACGCCCGCAGTGGGTTTCATTCGGATCGTGATGCTACTGTACCCACAGCAGGCAGCCCGCGAGATATCGGCGATAATCCCGCGTGGAAGGCTGAGAGGAAGGGCAGCTCCCAAGATTGACATGATCTCATGATGTTGAAGACGGGACCGAAAGGACTTCCTCCACAGCAAAGCCAAGACCAGGGACTTTCAGAGAGGTTGCGGCTGGTTGCGGTTTCGAGACCTTCTCCCAACCACCCATCCCTTGCGTCGACTGATCCTTCATGTCCCCGCCTATGGGTCACTCTCCCTTCCCGTTTGTCAGAGATCTATCTGAGTTGGAGGCGGAACAGAAATCCCCACAGGCGGCATGTCCGGGCCCGTCTCCTGCAATTTACAACTCTCCCGTCACTAGGTTATCCTTGCTCGAGCCCGGGTCCCTAAAACCGGGTTCCCGTGTGTACATAGGAGATCCTGTACACTCCTATGTACTTGGTAATTGCGTATGGATGTACGAGATACCTTGTCTCGCAGCATTGTGAGCCCTAACAACCTGCATGCTTGGCTCCTGAGCGGACCACAGCTCCCAAACACCGGGCGTGCCTCAGCCCTGAAACAGCCGGACTCCCTCGCCCGCACGCGGTCAAAGCACAGGGGAGCAGAAACGGCACTCAACCTCAACTTGAAGCTTGAAGTACTGCTTCAGATGTACCCGTCGATACAGGGCCCCAAGATGCCCATATACCAAAAACATGCAAGTCAACCAACCCCACCTCAAAGAGATGTGGAAACCCGCCCCCACCCGAACACGAGCAAACGAGATAAGTCACCTCACCAATCCCACTATTCCCTTCTTTTCCACCTCACCACCTGCCCGAGAAAATCCTTCAGCGGCGAGGGCAGAACCAACAGCCAACGCACGCATCCGTCATCACTGGAGTAATTGGTCCGCATCCCGGTCCCCGGGCACGGAACCCGGCATCAATTTCTCGCATGCTTGGCTTGCATTGAATGCAATCGCCGCAGGCCCAACAGGGCAGGAGGGAGTTCGAGAAAGTGAAAGCAGCGGTGTCTGCGGTGACGACTCGAGGCCGCGGCGGGTGGATGCAGTCAGCATGGGATGGCGAATCGAGGCGGGGGTCAAGAGGGCTCGAGAGCGGAATAGTCATTGTGAGACGACCAAGAAGCAGCAGTTGAACTTTGTGTGTAATTGAACCTGAATGTCCTCGTTGACTCTAGACAAATGAACCAGGTAAATAGATACCTTCGACTTGTCGTGATGCCCCCATCCAAAGGCGGCCGAGTAAAAGTGTCCCAATTCCAAGATGTCCCAGCCCAGTTCTATTGCATACCATCCGCTGAGCCCCCGCTTCCCGGAGCGAAAACCGTTCCCAGGGCCAACCTAAGTTTTAAAATGCCATCGTCATCAGAAGCCAAAAATACAGCAAACGCTTTATGACCCAAAAATAACCAACGCCCGGTGATAGCAGTAATAGACAAGCGCAGATGCTCCCCTGCGCGGGTGTGCTCATGATGGCTGATGTCGCTAGAAAACAAAGGAGATGAAATAGTAGCCAAGTATGCATCCAAATATTGACACCATGCCCAAAGAGAATGACGGAAGGCTAGAGGCTTCATACGGCCACCGCGGTACTCTTGCTGCTTCGTAGCGACCAGCGGGTCTTTTTCACCAGTTTCCCAGCCGGAGCCGGGCTCTTGGAGAGCTTGCCCGGCTTGGACGGGGGTGCGGCCGCGGGGACAACGATCTCCTTTGGTGCGGCAAAAGCGGCTTCATCAAAGCTCGTCGGGAGAGCAGCCACGTTTACGACCGCGCGCCCCTTCTCTTCCTCCTTCTCCATGGTAATGGTGGTGTTCGATTGGATGGGTGCAAGATCGGTGAACCTCGTCATTTTGGACGTTCTTCGTCCCTTCTTCGTGGGGGAACCGGAAACGGCGGTCGGGGCGACCGGAATCCCCGCCGGGGCGTTGACCATGGCGACCTCCTCTTCGCTGGAGGATTCCGCTCTGCCAATCTCGGCTTGCTGGGGTGCCGCCAGCCCCTCGGCCTGCAACACCGTTGGAACCGTAGCTGTCTTGGTAGAGAGTGATGCACTCGATCCAACAGGAACCATTGTGACCGAGCTGGCGCTCGATGCAGCAGACGAGAACACCTCCGGCGTCGTGATGGCAGTGCCAAACTGCATGGGTGGAAGCGCTGGGACAGGAGGGATACCGGGCGCGAGGGAGCTTGTGCGCGGTCCGGGAGGGCTTCGGGAAACGGACTGATTTGAGTCCGAGATTCTGCGTGACCGGCCGGGGTGCAGTCTGTGGATGGATTCGGTGTCGCTTGTAGGCCTACCCGGCTTGGGGACGTTCGCTGCGGCGCCGGCCGGAAGGGGGGTGGGAACGCTGTGTCTACTCGCCGGCTTCATCTCCAAATCATCCTGGGAACTGGTAGAATCACCAGAGCTCTCGACGGGCGACGGTGCAGTATCCATACCCCCAAGTGTACCCGCAGGCGGGAGCGGGATTCGGCCAGCCGACATTTTGCTCGATGACCGGCTCGTCCGAGATGAATCGACGATCCTCTCAACCTCCTTCCCTTTGGGCGAAATGCTCCCCACGTCGATTGGGCTGTAGGTCATCTCCCGTCCATGCGGGGTCCAGCCCGCAGGCATGCTGCTGTAGCTGTAGCCTCGCGGTAGCTGGACAACGGGGCTCGCGTAGGTGGATGGATATGAAACGTGCGAGAGTGAGCTGTGGACTCGAGGCATACCCGCATGGATGGGCGTGGCCATGCCGCTCATGCCCACACCGCTAGCCGTCATGGCGCTGCGTCGCCGGTTCTGTTCGACGATCCTGGCCCTGTCATTTTCCCTCCAACCTCCCGGCCCGCCCGACATAGCGTCAATGGCGGCATGTTTTGGTACGTGCTTGTAGGGGGGCTTTTGCGACTCCTCTTTTTCCTTCTTAGCCTGCTCTGCGCGGTGTTCCTTGGCAGCCTGCCGGCCCCGCTTGATCATCGAAAACATAGACATCGTGGATAGCTTGGAGTTGTCGATGCCGAGGCAAGCTGGTGCCGTTACTAGGCAGTCGCGGGATTCACCCAACGGCGGGATCTGATCGAGGTCCTGGTCGACGTCAGACCTGGCGGGGAGGGCACCTGACCAAACCGCTGACGAGAGATGGGCCGCCGAGTATAAGATGCGGAGGCAGTAATATATTAGAGCAAGTCGGGGTGCATGAACAAGCGGGATGTAGCGAGCGATGTGAGCCTGCCTATATTAGGCCCTTGGAAAGAGCCAGGGGTTATTAAGCTGAATGCACGCGCAGGCTGAAGGCGACAAAATGACAGGTGACGGGCGGAAGCAGTGAAACCCGACCCGCAAAGGACGTCCTGGGGCGAGGTGAAAGTTCGGAGAGATGCAGGAGAAGAGTGTCGTGGGAGTCGACGGTAGGTTTGCAAGGTTGGAATCTCCAAGCAAACGACTAATAACGAGCCAATCGATGGCCTTGCGATTGATGAGCGCGGTATTGCCTTGGGAGGACAAGATCACCCCACCAATAATTATGGTCGAGGTGTATAACGAACACGGAGGATGGCCGGGATTGTTGATGCGAGTCAACTCTGAGCAAGAGCAGTGTCGCAGACGGTCGGAGGGCTCGAGTCCGGCGAGAACTGGAACTCTCCTTCGCGAAGGAGAAGGGCTGCGGCGCCGTCAGGCATTTTAAGAGCCGCCAAGCAGAATGGAACTGGCACCCACCAAGCCAATGCAGCTTTCAGCCCTCAATCCACTGGGGCATGGCATCTGCGGCAAGGAGCAGGGGTGAGAAGCAGCCACGCGGGGGTTCGCCGATACCACGTCCATGTTGAGAGGGTGGTGCGGCCCAGCCCACACAGCCCAGGGCACGAAGTAACTGTTCCAAACCCGGGCCATGGCACACACGGCTGATGACACCGACCGGAAAGACGGATGTGCCAGGCTGCTAGCGAGCGGGGCTGCACCAAAATGGAAGCAGCGGGACGGGTTCTTGCTCTTGCCCAGAAGTCTCTTTCTTCCAGTTCCAGGCAAGCGCGTCCTTCGAATACCACAAAATGGATCTCAGGGCGTCTCTCGCCAATGCGGGCCAACCAAAACCAGTCTCATGTACACACACGAGGCAAACCCGAGCCTGTTGTGGCAGCACGCGGTGGTCTATGTATGTCGGTTGCGCAAAATCCAAGACATGAGGTCTGTCCCATCGAAGACGAGGAATCACTGAATCACAAACCCGCATGGTCGGGGTGGTCCATTCCCTGCCCTGCCTGGAGCCACGCACACACACCAGTGGAAAAGCGGGCCCTCGTATTGCTGGGGGGGAGGTACCTGACACCTCCTGACACAACAACGAACGCGCCTTACCGCCAGAATGGCTCGCAATGGACCAGGGCCCTGGGACGATCGCCGCCGGGTGCGTCGAATCGCCGTATCAGCCGCAGATAGCTGCCGAGAGGGAGCTTGATATCGCAACCATCTCCCGCACAGCCAAGGACGACAGCGCGGTATTTCGAACCAAGTGACGAGAGTCGCGATACGGAGACTGCGAGTTGCTTGGCGCGCGAAGACCGAAATAAGCCAGGCGCGAACCCAACACCACTTGGCAGGGACAGGGCCACGAACGACCTGACAAGGACCGTGCCGGCCGCGGCCACCAAGGGGGGCGATCGGAGATCACTCGATGCCCAGCCGTTTCCCAAACGCCTCCCGAAAAGGTTGTGGTGTCTCCTCGGCGGCGAGGCTAAGCAAGCTTTGGATTGCCGATTCCTTATAAATTTAAATTCCCAAAGAAAACTGACTGAATAAAAGGGAGGGATATTAGCGAATCTGCCTTTTCCAATACTCGTTTAATGGACGACTGGTTTCGGGTTAGTAACCTCCAACTCGGATCGACCTCGTTTGTTCAAACATTGATCACAAAACTGAGACAACTGAGTTGAGAACCGGTACTTTTGGCAACTCGGAACTTCTTTGTCCTCCCCTCTCGGCCCTTTCGATCCCCACCAACCCCTTGGAAAGAAAGCATCTCCGGGGAGATTGATTGGAGCACTTGGGCCGCTTGATGCCCAAATACATAAACTTCGGGTCCGGGCCCAGCTGGTTTCCGGACCTGGGGGTCGCTGCTTCTTGCAGCGAGTCTCCCCGTGGCGATTTCGATAGCGGCGGCTGGCCAGTCTTCTGACATGGCTCCTATCGATGCCGGGGGCGCGGGATGAGATGAAAACCGTGAAGGGCGCTAATCTGAATCAGGCGGCTCTGCTTCCCCCCTTGAAAGGGCTGAAAAAGTCCAAAGCGCCACACCAAACCCAACGAGGAACTCCTGATGGAGCCCTTCTTTTCTCTTTCACTTCATCACACGCCGTTGGTCGCGCTGGTTGCGTTGGTCGCAGGCGATCGCCGCGCCTAGGATCTCGTTGTCTCCCGAGACCCGCGGGCGGAAGACTTGCAGCACTGGCGCGGTTTAAAAAAAGAAGTCAAAAAGAAGAGCGGCAATATTGGGAATGCCGCCCTGCCGATCATGCGGCTCTTGGCCGATAAACCCCTGTCTCACCGGTTTGGACGAGATTTTCGAATGGACCCACTGATATTGATCCTCGAAATGGACCTCTCTCCATGATGAGATATCTTTATCTCAACACCCTCCGCAAAATGACAGGATGGGTCTTGACCGTCGTCGGCCTTATCAATGCAACATGATTGTGGTCAGGAAATGCGGTGTGAAGGACAACTCGGTCGGGCTTCTCTCGAAGACGCAATCGGATTAGCCACCGCTGAGCTGAACTGACGAGGGCCGGTTTAGGTATGGCGGGCTGCTGGTCTCAGCTCCGCATTTGTGGCTTCAGGGAAACCACCGACGATGCCTGCTTGCTGTTTATACACAGTAATGTGAAATAATGGTTGGTTATCAAAGCGCCCTGCATATCAGAGCTTGTTGGAACTTCTTCGAAATCCCCAAAGACTCTCAAAAACCCCGCTAAAGTTGTCTCACGTCGCAACTACCCGAAACCTACCGAGTTAAGGCCAAGACAACCCACCAGCAAGCGACGAGTTACCGGCGTGGAGGATTAAATCTCAGTTGATCATTTTTGAGTTCTGTAAACCAATGGCGTACGCGTTACCCAGGTCGCGTCCCCGGGAGTATTGGATATTGCATCCAAAACTACTTGGTAATATCTGAGCAATCACGCACAGCTAACGCCTCATTTGATGTACCAGCAGATTACCAAATATCGGGTCCAGCCGCGTGGTGTGGCGCCCCACGAGGAGGATACGTACCCCCGTGCCCGTGTTGTTCGGGCATCAATATAACGGCGTTTATTTATATGCATCCCGCCCAAGTCATATATTGCCCCGGGTTCCCCAACATTCCGGAGAGACGGGCACGTGGCGGGCTCGGGTCTGGCCACAGAATGCGCTGTGACCTGTTCATGTCGCCTCGGTGGTTTGTTCCGGTGATAAGATAACCATGTACATACACAGTACATGCTTTGAAGCGCTTGTGCCATGATGAAGCGGGCATCGTCTTACTGCTTGCAGGCGCTTGGGTCTTGCATTTTTCGCGCGCAACTGTTGTTGATTTATCACGCCGTTCAAAGTTAGGCAAGAGGACATGACATGTACGAATAACTAGTGCAAGTACCGTGTATGTGAGACACCTCGTGGGGTCAAGATGAATAAATACAGAGTACATGCGACCGAAGAAGTGAATTTGGCACATATTACTCCTGCATCTCACTCTGATCAGTGAACACGATGTGGAATTACTTACCCACTTAAACAATTGCACGCAGCATTATAGCCGGGAGTTTTGGACACTTGTAAGGTATCGGAGAAAAACATGGAAACAATGAAACGTCGTGTTGAGAGTGGGACCACGTTTTGGACTCGGCTTGAACCCGCGCCCGGGTTTGGAGTGCCGGAGAAAGCCGGGGGCCGTGGTGAAGCAGCGAATTTGTTTGCGTTCGTGCCTTAACTGAACTATTTAAAACGCGGTCCGGGCCGGCGAGTAGTGGACGGGTTTAAGGCTGTGCGTGTGCCGGGATTTGGCGTGTCCGGCCCGGTGGAAGGATGAAAGAAGAGAGGAAGAAAGTCGAGGTTCGTCCAAATCAAGTGCAGTGAAAAGGGCAGGAGTGGGGGTTTCGAGGGGGTCCCGAGGGTGTTCCCGACCTCGGCGGGGTGGCGTTGTGACATCAGGCGCGCTTATTTCTGGTTTAGCGCCTAAAAAAGCCGGGGGATGGCTTGCCGCTAGCCTGATTCTGGACCCGCCGCGGCCAGCGATCACGCACTCCGCCCGCTCTCCTTCCATCGCAACCTTGCGTCCCTGCAGCAAAGCGTCGGGCCCAAGAATTTCATCGCACGACCCATCGTCCGAAAAAAGCCATCGCGCGAGCCCGCGTTGCGCCGCCCATCTACACGCGCCACATCATCGATTACAGATGAATTTAGCTTGAAGGGGCAATTGCTGGTGGTGCTGCCGACGTCACTTGCGCTCTCTGCCCTCGTGGCTCCGTGGCTCGTCGCTCGTCGCTCGTCCCTCGCCGCACGCGCCTCTTCGAACCCTGACCGTTCCCCTAGCCCGACCACATCGGATTTTTTAAACTTCATCCTCGACGTCGCACGGCGATCGAGCGATAATAATCAACCCCACATCTCCGTCGCATCGCCCTACTTATCCGAGCGCCCTTTGCCGAAAACGCGCTCCCCTCCGGGAACGCGCGTCATCCTCCCGAGACACTGGCGGCCCTTGTTCTCCTCAGCCCGGCTGAGCCTGACCTGTCGCTTTCACCCCATCAACTCGACGCCGCACCGCTGCCTCATCTGGCCGACGAGGCCTGCGTCGTTCCTGAGGCGGCGCCCGAACCGTTGATGATGGCACAGTCGGTGCCTCATCAAACGCCGGACAAGAGGCGCGTCAAGGTCTACGAGCTACGTCACAATGACTGGTTCGACCGCGGGACCGGTTTTTGCTATGCCTGCTGGGCGCCGGTACGTCTCGCTCCCCCCCGGCGCATCCTCGCATGCGGTATCGCGCATGCCGTCTCTTTGCGTGCCGATCTGCCTACCGCCAGTTTGCTGACTGATGCAACCTGCGCATCCTGTAGCCGGAAGAAGGCCAGCCGAAAGAACCCCATGTGGTTGTCGAGTCGGAAGACCAGCCCAACCGACGGCTATTAGAAACCAAGATTGTCAAGGACGATGGCTTCCAAAAACAACAAGGCACGCCGTTTTCCCTCGCTTTCATCCTCACGTGCCTCGTCTAACATAGACTTTACAGAAACCCTCATAGTATGGACGGACAATGGTGTTGATATGGCGCTGAGCTTTCAGGAAGCTGAAGGTTGCACCGCAATATGGTTTGTCATGTCTGCTTAACAAGAGCTCCCTGTGTCGTAATCTAACCCCACATTCTCCAGGAAATTTATCGACCAGGTTCAACAGACCTTCCAGCCCGGCATGTCCGGACCGGACGACAGTCTCTCGGATGACCTGACGATGGAGCTGCCTCCCTCGGTCCAGCTTCCGCCAGCTGATTTGGGCTCACTACCCGAGTTGGACATGGCGATCCGGAACTTGTCGCAATCGCCTGCCGGCCGAGACGCCCTTGCGAAAACGATTATGAGCGAAGACTACATCAGCAAACTCATCCCGTTGGTAGAGATGGCCGAGGACCTCGAGAGCCTGCCGGATCTTCATCGATTATGCAACATCATGAAGACGGTGCTCCTCTTGAACGACACCAGCATAATCGAACACGCAGTCTCGGACGAGTGTGTCTTGGGAGTGGTGGGCGCGTTGGAATACGACCCCGATTTTCCGAGCCATAAGGCGAACCATCGACAGTGGCTGAACAACCAGGGCCGGTACAAGGAGGTGGTCAGGATCCAGGATGAGCACGTCCGTCGCAAGATCCATATAACATATCGGCTGCAGTATCTGAAGGACGTTGTGCTGGCAAGGATACTCGACGATCCGACCTTTTCGGTCCTTAACTCGCTCATCTTCTTCAACCAAGTGGACATTGTCCAGCATCTACACACCACCCCCGGCTTCATGATGGACCTCTTCGCCATATTCCACGACCCCCACCAGCAGCCGCTCCGGAAAAAGGAGGCGGTTCTCTTCATCCAGCAATGCTGTGCCATCGCCAAGAACCTACAACCGCCTGCCCGCCAGGGCTTGTACGTGCACTTCCTTAAGGAGGGCCTTCTCCCCGCCATTAACTTTGGCATGCGCCATCGTGACGTTTCGGTGAGAGTGGGCGCAACGGACATTCTGGTTTCCATGATCGACCACGACCCGTCGCTGGTTCGCCAAACAATATACGAGCAGATCCAAAAACGTCTACAGCCGCTAACGGACACCCTGATCGACCTTCTCCTCGTTGAAGTGGACCTCGGTGTCAAGTCGCAAATCTCCGAAGCGCTGAAGGTCCTCCTGGATCCGTGCCCGCCCCCAGTGCAACAGCAACAACAGCAACAGCAACAACAGCAGGAGTCGCGTGGGGAGTTCTCGGGCCAACCCAGGCTCCGCGTGCACCCGGGCATCGATCCACAACAGGACGCGTTCCTGACGCACTTTTACGAGCACTCGGCCGTCAGATTGTTCAAGCCTCTTCTCGAACTTGAGAAACGGACTGAGATGAAGTTCAGCCCGTCAGAGCAAGGCGTGTTTAGCTACCTGAACGACATCCTCTGCTTCTACGTTCAGCGACACCACCACCGTAGCAAGTTTTTCGTATTTACTTATAACATGGCCTCCCGGCTCGTGCAGCTGCTTGCCTGTAAAGAAAAGCATTTGCAGCTTGGTAAGTGAAGCTGTTTCGGCGTCTCTCGATATCCGTTAACCAAACCCTCAGTTGCCGTCCGCTTTTTCCGCCACCTCGTGATAATGCAAGACGAGTTTTACGTCAACCATATGGTCGACAAGCAGGTCCTAGGCCCCATCCTCGATGTCCTACTCCGGACCCTACCGCGGGACAACCTCCTCTCGTCCGCCTGCCTTGAACTCTTCATGCTTGTTAGTAAGGAAAATATCAAGGAGCTGATCAAACAGATGGTCGAGAACTACCGCGAGAAGGTCATGGCCCTTGCCTACATCCCCACCTTCAGCGAAATCCTTCACCGCTACGACCAGACCCAAGGCTTCACCATCAACATCGATCCCTATTTCGAGTCCGAGGATGAAGTAGGGAGGGGGCGCCCGCCCAACGGCGCTGCGCGCGGGATGATGGAGCATATTTCCGTCGACCAGGCGCAGGAGGACTACTGGAACACATCAGACGACGAAGAGGACTTCACATCGCAGCACCCCAGCGCCGAGGAGCTGCAGCGATCGCTAGATATGATGGCGGACAGGAGCCCGTCAAAACCACTAGTCGAGTACACCTCGGACGAAGAGGTAGACGAGAACGACGCTGTCATGACCAATCTCCCCACAGGACCAACAACAGGCCCATCCCCAAGCGACGAATCGACACCATCGCCGACCCCGTCCAGTCCCGCCAGCGCACCAACGAATGGCACATCCCCATCCGCATCAGCCACAGCAGCCGCCGCCGCAGCAGCAACAGCCCCACCGCCCGAGCGGCTCTCGGAAAAACGCCGCCGCGAAGAAGACGACGACGACGACGCCCTCGACAAACTGACGCAGCACAAACGACGGAACAGCAGCAGCGCCGCGTCGAATGCCGCTCTGCCGGTATCAACGGCCATTCTTCGGAAAAAACGGAGCTTCACGGGGCATGGGCACGGCGCATCAACAACATCAACAGGCGGTGGGAGTCCGAAAGGAGGTGGTGCAGGGGGTGGGGGTTTGAAGAAGATTGCCATTAGTATCTCACAGGCTGCCAAGGCCGCTGTGGTGAAGGCTGATGAGGGCGGTGGTGGCGACGGGAGTGGGCGGGAGTAGACGGCTGGTTTGGCTGACCGCTCGCCAATCCTCTCTCCTCCCCAAACCGGCGGCTCAGCGAGCAACATACTCCCCCACCCACCCCTCCTTCCCGTACCACGCATGTCTTGCGTTCAGCACCCCAGGCCCTGCACGGGTCCATATGACGGATAATGTCCCATCACAATCCCATTCCCATTCGCATTCCGGTTCTCATGGGCGGTGTCAGACTATGGGACGGCGTTCTTTTACCTGGCGGGGCGGGATGGTGTTTTTTTATCCCCCCCCTTTCAAACGGTTGTTGGTTTTTTTTTCTCGGTATGCCGGTTTTGGCTGGCCCCGTCTGGGACGCACGGGGCCGAACGGACGGTTGGAATGGAATGCACGGGTCGGTTAGCGGCGACGGTGGATGATGGATGGCGAATGGCGGATGCCGGCGGCGGGGGGTTATCAATATCCATATCCATACCTATCCATATCCCTGGGATGTCTACCTACCTACCTTTTACCCCTCGCTCTCCTGTCGTTTTCTTTCTCTTTGTTTTTCATCCACTCCCTGGCCTCTTTTCTTTTTCTTTTTCTTCTCAAACGCTTCGCTGCCGCACGCCCGGTCTGCCTGGTTTGGTGCCGGCCCCGGTCCTGGTCCTGGTCGGGAAGGGTGGGGGATAAATAATGGTTTGCATGGCGGGCTTGATGGGGTTGATCCGAGGGTGTTATCCCACAGGGATGGCGTGGATGCCTGCTGCGGGCTATGTGGTGGAGGGCGATGGATAGTGAGCTGCGAGGTGAGGATCTCGAGCATATTCGGGGGATGGATTGAGCGTGGTCAAGGGACAGACAGCGAGCGGCGCCGTGCTGTTTTCAGTTGGTTAGGGAGCATCGGCATACCCATGTATAACATACCGGCCCTACCTCACCCCCTTTACTTTCCTAGCAGGTTAGCTGCTTGGGATGAGGTCTTCCTTGAATGGAAGTGGTTGAACGCCTCCCTGAGATGTAAATCCAGGTTTTTACGATGAACGAACCCGGCTTGGACCCAGTCAGTAAACCGACAATATGCTTTCGTTTTTTGTTCGTAGATCTTTTCGTCTATGTACAAACCCCCCAAATCAACCCATCCACCCCTTTTTAACCCCCTTCCTCCCCCGCCCCGCCCTCAAAACTTCCTAAACTGCCTCTCCCACGCCTCAAACCCCCTCAACATCTCGTCCGTAATCTGCCTCTTCTGGTTCCGAATCGCCCTCTCCAGATCCTGCATCATGATCGCCGGCTCCCCGCCCGCGGCACACCGATCATAGGCGGCCACGCCCGCGGCCGCGCAGATGCCCTTGATCTCGGCGCCCGAGCAGCCGTCGGTGTCGCGCGCGAGCCGCTCCACGTCGGCGTCGGCGTGCCACAGCCGCCGCGCCGCCACCTGCGCCAGGATCGCCCGCCGCGCGGCCTCGTCGGGGGGGCTGACGTAGATCAGCTCGTCGAAGCGCCCGGGGCGGAGCAGCGCTGGGTCGAGCGCTTGCGGGCGGTTGGTGGCGGCCAGCACGACGACGCCGTGCAGCGCTTCGAAGCCGTCCATCTCGTTGAGCAGGGTGGTTAGGACGTTGATGCCGCCGTGGCCGCCGCTGCTGTTGTTGTTGGAGGAGGAGGAAGAGGAGGAGAAGCCGCTGCGCTGGCCGGCGATGCTGTCGATCTCGTCGAAGAAGATCATGCTGGGGCTGACCTCGCGGGCGCGCTGGAAGAGGCGGCGCACGGCGCGCTCCGACTCGCCCACGTACATGTTGAGCAGCTCGGCGCCCTTGACGGCGAAGAAGTTGAGCCCGGACTCGGTCGCCATCGCCTGCGCCGCCATCGTCTTGGAACACCCCGGCGGGCCGTACAGCAGGAACCCCTTGGGAGGGCGCTCGAAATACCGCGATAGTGTCTCTGGTGGCTCTGTTGATAGCCGCACCGCCCGCCGCAGCGAGAGCTTGACGTTCTCTTGCCCGCCGATGTCGTCCCAGCGGATGGGTGGCGGTTTGAGGTTGATGTCGTGCATCGCTGAGGGCCGGACTAGGCGGAGGGCCTCATGGTAGTCGGCGGGGAGGTGGTAGACTGGTTCCGGTTGGGGTGCGGTTTCGGTCTGGGGTTCTGTGTCGTCTGAAGCAGGGGTGGGGGAGTTGGAGTCGTCAGGTTGGGATATCTGACAGTGGCGGACCCGTGCGATCAAATCCGCTTCGTCGACTAGGCGAGAAAGGTCCTTGCCGTTGTAGGCGTGGGTCCTCTCGCTCAGATCGCGCAGGAGATCTTGCTCCTGGTCGGGGGCGACGTCGAGGTCGAGGGCCGCCAGGATCTCCCTCCGACCCTGTACATCTGGTAGAGCGAGGTAAATTTCGCTGGTCAAACGGCGGGGTTCTTTGAGATCATCGGGTATGTCAGTGGTGTAGTCGAGGCATGTAGCTATAACAACCACCTTGGGAAGCTCCCCTTTAGTCGCGGCATCTACTGCGAGAGTGTCGAGTGCCTCACAGAGGGCAAGAATGACGGCCGCGCGGTTGCTACGATCCTTGTCGATCAGCCTCTCGAGCTGATCGATGAGTACGATGCTCGGCTGTTGCAACCTCGCCTTCTGAAACACCTCTTGGATCTCAGCCAGTTTGTCCTTGTACTGAATGCGGAAGACGGTGCCCCAGCCGGTGCCCGCGATGTTGTTCAACAGCATCGTCTTGCCCGTGCCGTGGCCGCCGTGGATGACGATACCACGGTAGGACGGTTTCTTCCTGAAGGGGATGTTGGCATCAAAGCAACCCAAGATGTTGTTCAGCTGGCGAATCTGCGGATCGAGCCCCCTGATGCCTGTCACTCCTAGTTTCCGCGCCGACGCCTGGTCTGGCTGGTTGCTGTTGGTGGGTGCGGTAGTGGCAACCTTTATAGCTGTTTTTCGGTCCTGGTAACGAGCGTTCCCGGTATTCCTCCCGTTTACTGATGCCACTAGAAAAGATCTCTCAGGTCCCCTGGCGAAGAGGTTCTTAAAAAGGAGGCCGGCAAAGACATGCTCCACCTGGGACAGACGTCCGGCCAGAACAAACTCCCAGCCTGAAATATCCTCAGGAGCAAGTGGACTAGGAGGAGAGCCATCCTGACCGGGGGGCTGTTCTATGATGACCTCCTCAGCGTCGGGCAGCGGCCCTCCCAGTGATGTGATGCGGACCTGCTCGCCCAGCTTGTAACCACAGGCATCCCGGAAGGCATCGTACATCTGCGTAACCGTCTTATCCAGCTTTTCGGGTGCTTTCCAAAGGGTGGCCTCTCGTCGAACTGGAGGTTCGTCTAGTGAGGCCGAAACCTTCTCTAAACAAACAACCTTCCCTCCATCCCTTGAGCCCGTCAACTCGATGAGGGCTTCCTCATTGACATAAACCCGCGAAGGCTGCTTCTTCTGCAGCCTCTTGTCGGTGTCAGTGTTGACGTGCAGTTTGCGAATGCGAAATTCGAGTGACTTCATTGTGTTTCCGCTTTGGGGAGGCGTGATCTTTTTTTGGTGGTCTCCACTGACCACATCAACTTATCCAATACAACAGAGGATGCGGTCGGCGGGAATGCGGGGGACAAGAATATGAATATGATCAAATTTGGGTATGGCTGCTTTGGTGTTCTGACACCGGGATCGGGGTGCCAATGATACCTATGGAAGTTCTTCTCCAGGTTTCTGAGGTGATGGAGCCCCAGGTCATATGTATGGATGTACGAAGTACCTGAGCCCTAAAGTTTTGGAATTACGGCGTTTGAGATCCAAAATCGGCGCTGGAATAGGCCAAGATTTGATCCGAGTGGGGCCTCGCTTCCCGCAGTTCGGTGCTGATTGCCAGGCTGAGGCCAGTGATGGACCGGCCCCACAGGTCCCATCCCGCTCACCCACTCCATCACCCGACGGTCCATTCTTTTCCGTGTAAGAGCTCGACTCGGGAATTGCTGAAGTACTCGTACTCGCTCTCATGAGATTTCACACATCAGCCAGACTGATGTTTGCCAGGCGAATACAACTGCCGCAGTCTGCAGCCCGGCAATGTCGCTGCCACAGAGGCTCAGGTGCCCGGTTCTCGACTGGGGGCAACAATAAAAAGTCTTCGTCATCGTCATCGTCATCGTCGTCGTCGACTCCTTCTTCCGCTTCCTCTCCATCATCATCGTCATCTTCATCCCCCTCCTCCATATACGACAAGCTATTCCGAAAACCCACCACTATAGGTGTGAGGCCACCGGTGTCTCATCCACCTCCAAGATCAGACGATGGACGGGCACCCCGTCCGATACGGCGTAAAGAAGGCTCACAGTCAGACGACGGGCGAGAAATAGACGTCTCCCACGTCGGTGACGAGCTCAGGGCTTGGATTGAGGGTGCTGGGGCGCCCGCTGCAACACAAGTCGCCCGCGAGAAGCCCGAGCCCAATTTACCTGGCGACAAGCCCGTCGTGGTTTTGAGCTCTCTGTCCCGCTCACTCGTCGCCTCCGACTTCTACCGCTGGGCACCCCAGGGCCGTCATGTCGCCGGCTGGGCGGGCGGCATTTCCAAAGTTGTGCAGGCAATCTCTCCCATCACCAGAGAGCCGCGGGGCCAATACTTTCTCTTCTTCGACTCGTGGGACGCCGCCCGCCGCTGCAAGGACCAGCTCACCAAAGCATACCAGCGTACAAACACAAATGAATCCCCCGACCGGCCTGGGTCATTCCCCAAGCCGGAGGCACGAACAAAGCCGAAAAGCGGGGGGTTTAAAAACGACGAACCCCCCTCCAACACCACGCCCCTAGAGCTGCGCACCGAGCCCCAGATCATGCCCATCGCCGCCCTCCAGGATCTCATCAACACCGGGGTCACCGCGGAGCCGGCCGGCCCGCACCGCGGGCTCCCCACCCACGCCAGCACGGTGCCATACCGGCTGGGCGCGCACCTGGCGCACGGCGGCGCGCCGAAGAACGACCTCAGCTGGAGCGTGCTGGTGCACCTGACGGGGGGTAAGATCACGGTGGACGACATGGTCAAGGTGATCACGGCGGACGGCGCGGCGCGCAACCTGCCGTGGCGGCTGGTCGAGCCGCGGCCCGACGTCGAGTCGTGGCCGCGCCCCGTGCAGAGCCTGCGCTCGGGAAGCGGCCGTGTCGGGTTTGCTGCCGAGCGCCAGGATCCTTCCCGCATGCAGTCCAGCCTGCTGCAGTACGGCTACACGCGCTTCGTTATCACCTTCGTCGACGCCGCCGAGGGCCGCCGCTTCGCCCGCGCGTGGCACCGCCGCGAGATGGTCGACGAGTGGACCGACGGCGTCATGACCGTCAACACGACCGCGTTGTGGTAGGGAGTCTAGGGGGGGGGTATCATGTAAAATGTTTGTACGATGTACGGATAACCATGTTGCAATGAAGAAAGCGTCGTTTGGATAGGGAAGCCTTTGTATTTAGCTCACACTATGTATATTCATGGGATTACCAGCCCATCCATTACCGCAAACCAAACCCAAACCGAACCCCTACACAGGTATCTCGAACAGAACAGAATAAAGAGGTATCACACGACGACCGTCAAGGCCATCTTCTAGAGCAAAACCAAGCCCAAGAAACGCCCGCTCAAAACGGAAGAAGCCCAAGAAATCGAAAAAAGAATAGCCATCCCAGATGGCAAATACGCCTCCCCAAACCCGTAAACAAAACCGGGCTGGCAAGTATAACAGCGCGTCAACCTAACCCACCCCCAACCAACCCCCCATTCACTCCACCACATCCAAAACCACCCTCTCACTCCTCCGATCCCCGGCCCCCCCACCCCCCACCATCACAGGCGTCACCCGCCCCTTAATAACCCCCACCGTCAACTCCTCCGCCACCACTCCCGGCCTGCCCCCCACACCACCAACACCACCCGTCGTCGCACTCCTCCCCCGTCCCCCATTCCCCGAAGACATCATACCACCCATACCACCACCACCACCAGCAGCAGCCTGCCCAAAAGGCCGCAGCAACCGCCGCTGCTGCCGCGAGATGCTGATCTGCCGCGCGATGGAGATCTCCACGGCCGCTTTGAGCGCCGCGTCGGCTTCGTCGACGGAGACGCGTGCGGTGCCTGCTGTCGTGCCCGGGCCGCTGCCGCCGCCGTTGCTGGAGGTGGTTGTGTCGAGGGAGGGGCGGGAGGTGAAGGAGGCGGAGGAGGCGGAGGGGGTGCGTCTTGCGCGTGGGGTTGTGGTGGTGGTGGTGGTTTTGGTAGTGGTGGCTGTGGTTGTGGTTGTGTTTTTGGTGGTGGTTGATGAGGGGGGGTCGGTTGAGGTGGTGGAGGAGGGGGGGGTGATGATTTCCCATTGGGGTTCGGGGAGGGTTGGTTTGAGGGCGGGGCGGTGGTGGGTTGTTGTTGCTGTTGTTGTCGTTGCGGGGGTTTCGGCTTCGTCTTGGGAGGATGAGGACGAGGAGGTGGCGCTTTGTGGGGAGTCGAGGATGAGGCTGGATTCGTTGGGGTGGAAGTGGAAGGTGGTTGTTGAGAGGGCGGCGGTTTCGGGGTGGAGTTGTGCTTGGTGCGCCTGTCGCGACTGTTGCTCACGCAGCTTCTCGACCTGCGCGGCCCGGTTGCGCTCGTCCATCGACCGGGGTGAGACGATGGTGACCGTCTTCCTCTCCTTCCTCGATTGCTCCGGCGAGGCCTGTGGGGGCGGCTCGAAGCTTGCCCTGGACGGCGACGGGAGGTAAGCGGGTGAGGTGTTAGAGCGCGAGAGGCCACGAGGGGGCGCTAGTGATGTTTGAGAGGCCATCCCTGCTCCCGTGGCGGCGATGCTTCCGGACTGCCGGTTAGGTGTCTGCGGGAAGAGGGAGAACGCAGGGGACTTCATGGGCTGCGGCGAGGTGGCCCTGCGCGGCTTCGTCTTGTCCTGCCCTTCGAGGTGCTCTATCCTGTCGCTGATGGTCTTGAGCCTCTCCAGTGTTGCTTGGCGCCGTTCCAACAGAGACGATTTAGTTCCGTTCGGGTTCAGCACGCCGCTGAACATGACACTATACCGCTCCAGTCTGATGTCCGGGATGTCGATGTTGAGTAGCCCGGTGCCGCCCGTGGAGGCGGAGGGGATGGGTGCCGAGATGACCGGAACATCTGGTTGCGGAACCACGGCGTCCGCTTGGGACATTGTCATCGATCTGATGACGATGGGCTTGTGTTTCGGCGTCTTCCTTCCGGCGACAGTGTGGCTTCTAGTGGGGGTAGAGGTCTCATTCGAAACGGTTCGCGTGGCGGACGAAGTGCTACGTTTTGCTTCGGCGTTTTCCGCAGCCTTGGGTGGCTCAGCATGCTTCCTGCTTCCAAACAATGAGCCGAACAGCCTCCTCTTTTGCGTCTTCGTCCGCTGAACTGTGGGTTCTGATGACTGCACTGGTGGGGGAGAAGGGTTGGCCCGGGCTGATGATGTCTGTGACTGGGGTAGCCACCCGGCCCGTGGGCTCCCGGAGTGCGGCGTTGAGTCTTGAGTCGGGCTCCCCAACGCCATCCCGATCTGGATTTCCCCGGAAGCCGAAGACTGAGGTGTAGGCAGCATGGCGGGCGGCGACATGGCGGGGGACATGGCCGACGATGGAGATGGCATCCGCGACCTGGGGGGACTGGGCTCTGGAGTGAGCAACCAGGGAGCTTTTGGTGCGGGATATAGACCCTTTCCCGCCCCTGTCAAGGCGATGTCGTCCTTGGACAGCCTCTTGTCCAGGCTAGACTTTGCGCCGCTCGTCTTGTTGGAGCCAGGTCCTGAAGATGTGCTGGGTCTCACCGGCATGCTGAACGGCGTTGGGTTGTTGAGGACGCCGCCGATGTTTCTCGATGGCGGGGGAGGGAGAGGGCGGTTGAGATAAGGATTCCTCCCTCCGGGAAACGTGACGGGGGGGATGTCGGCATTTTGAGGTGGGTGTCCGCTCCGTCTGCTGGCGTCCAGTGGATGCAGGGTAAGATCTGATACACGACCATGTCCTTGGCCTGGGGTGGTGGTGGCTGCTGGACCGTGCCCCCCCTTCTCATCCGCAACCACATCCACCGCAGTCGCCGAATCCGTCCCTGTTTTCGCCCACAGCGGGTTGCGGCGCCTTACCGCTTTCATCATGGTGCCCGTTGAATCTCGGTAGACTGCACCTGGACTGCACCCATCCAAAAGTCTGCCAGGGGCTGCTCCCCGTCGTCCCACAGCAGGTTGCAAGGAACGGGTCTGGCCCTTCGGATGGTTTCGAAGTATCGTCGTTTAATCACGGAAGAATCCCGTCGACGAATCGAGAGCACGAACCAGGCTCGAGGAATGGTGGACGCGGTAAAACGCAAAGAGAAGAACCAGAGCCTTGTGGCAGGCTCATGGCCAAACAGAACGACAGGGCTCAGGGAGGGTCCTGAGTGGAAGACGGTGGGAAATTATCACTTACATAGCTTCCGCTGGCCACTTCATCTCTCACTCGAGACGAAGTTGAGCTGAGCCTGAAGTCTGTTAGACGTCTTTGATACCATAATTTCGTGCTCTTCCGAGTCCTGGGAGCAATACTGGTATGAGAAGCACGGCGGGTATTCTGAGCGAGGTTGATCGTCAACAGGGGGTTGCTCGTCGACGGGCCGAGGTGCAACAACACATGCCCTCCTGGGCCCTGGCCATGAGCCATGTTCCGCCCCTGGTCTCTCGAACGATCGAGGGGTGCACCAGCCAGCCCCTGTGCGGGGAATCCCCAGTGTGACCGGGGTGGGTGTTCTCCAGAAGCCTGTCTCGTCAGCTGAGAAGCCTCCTTTTTTGCGGTTGCACCGCTGACCCGATGGAGGACGGAGACATGCATCGCCGATCGGGAAGCGGCGTGGTCTTGAAATAGGCTCAATAATTAGTTATCGTTCTTTCCTCATTTTTCCCGTCTTTTTTCTCTCTTTTTTTTTCCTTTTTCCTTTTTTTGTTTCTCGAAAATTGGCCTTGGTTGCAAGGTGTACGAGGCAGGCTCGTACTGTGTATGTCTCGTGATGTTCTCCTTCCGTTGTCCCTGGACGAAACGCAACACCCACCACCCGCCTCACCTTGAGCGCAACGCTAAAAGTTAGGCTTGCGAGTGTTCGAGCTCTTTTAATGAAGCAACCCCTTCAAGGGGTGGCCCCGCTTGTAAGCGGGGCGTTTCTGATGTCTGAACGCCAAGCGCTGGAAGGTTCCGAAGCCCTACCGAGATCTCTCACAATGATACTTCGGACTGCACTGTTCCTTGCTGTAGCTCTGCGACGCTGTCGAGATTAGAGGACCCCAGGATCAGAGGAGGTCACTTGGGAGTGGCAAGACGGGTGAAAGCCACGCTTGAAAAATTAACAACCATTTCAAACAATCAACTGCAAGTACCGGTAGCGCCAGCCGTCGGGTTTCGAAATAATTTGTCAATGGGCCTTGCAAACATTGAGCCAGCCATCTCGAGTCGGGATTAACTCTTTACTTTGCGCCAGCGGCGGCATGTGTGTCGCGTGTCGCGTCGTTCCGATTGTCTGATGTTGTCGGCCACGGAAGCGAATGCCAAGCGCCGTCCGATCTTGGATTCACCGGTACCGAAGAAAGACAGGGGTCGAACCTCGAAAGCCGCGTCTCAGAAATACAAATCTCCACAGACACCTCACTGATGAAATGGAATGTCACCGCCTCTGGTCAGAGCCAGGACGAGGATGGAATGGCCAAGCGACGCCGAGTATCATGAGGGCGGGAAGATCGGGTTCGTGAGTGAAAGATGGATGGCATTGGACGAATACCCGCTTGAACGGGTAAATCCTGGCCTCTCTTGACCTTCGAGAACTCTGTTTGAGCAGCGAATCGAACCGGTGGAACGGGAGCAACTGATTTGCGTGATCTGCCTGAGATTGTCTCGGGATCGTGCCAGCAGCCCGAAGGTGCGACAGCGCGTTTCTTCCATCTGTGCATCATCGAGGCGCGTGTCGGCGACACCGAGGATATGGGTGACGGGACCCCTCGAATGTCGGATAAATGTTAGCTCGACGCATCCGACCTACCGAGGCGCGCCTGGCTTGAAGTCAAGTTGGTAAACAGAGAAGGCGGTTGTCGGGGCCACCAAACGGCCCGGTAGTTAGTTACCGGGGTTGCGGGATGTTGTTGAGCTTTCGGTCACGACATCTTTCCTTTGATGAATTTCATTCAGCGCGATGCCGATTGACCGTTGGCTCGGACGAGGGCTGCCGCCACCAAAACCCGCAACGGCTGCTCCCGCTGTTGGGAAAATGCGGGACGGAGGCTCCAACAAAACAGACGGTGAAGAGAAATGGCGGGCTTTCGCAAGTTTGGCGGTCTGGTTGTGGAACGGCGGGCTTACCTAATGCAAACTAATTTAACCCCTCCTCGAGGTGATGGAATCTGCCCAAGCTGGCGGGGCACCAAGTTGCAAGACCAAACTTGAGCCTGTCTACCGACAACAACTTCCGCAACACCGCCAAGTCGTCCACCAAGGCACTGCCGCTACCATACCTACTCAAATACATCAGTCTGTCTGCATCGCAAACACTCCGCGCCCATCATGTCCTGGCAAGGTACGAACTGCTCCTATCACAAATAAACCCCACCTCTGCTTGGAATCGAGGAAGGGGAGCTAACGCAAAACTTACCTTCACAGCCTACGTTGACACGAGGTACGCCATCGAACCACACGCCTTATAAGGCTGCATTCCCAACTATATCGTGTCCGTCTGACTAACTCACCGCCCAGCCTGGTTGGCAGCGGCCAAGTCCACAAGGCCTGCATTGCCAGCCTCGCCGGCGACAGCGTCTGGGCAACGTCGCCTGAGTTCGCGGTAAGAAGCGACGCCTGCCCAACCACCGACCAGCCACATCCCCATCCCCATCCCCGAGATCCCGTATCGACACCCACAAGACTACCGAGCACCGTTTAATATTTTCTACTCTAGGTGACACCCGATGAACTCAAGACGATCGCGAATATCTTCAAAGAGGGGAAGGAGGGGGAGACCGCGATGAAAGTTTATGCTGGAGGCCTTAATGTCGCCGGCGAGCGCTACGTGGTCCCGAGAATCGAAGACGCGAGCGCGTACGCCCGCCAGGTAAACCCCCCCCCCCGGGACCCTCATCTACACCTCATAACCCCGTCTTCTCCGACGTACAATTTCGCTGATACATGACGTCGTAATTGCAGGGCAGGACAGGCGTTTGCATCTCGACGACGAAACAGGCCATTATCATTACCTGGCACAATGATACCGGTGTTGCCGGCAACGCGACACAGACGACCCAGAAGCTCGCTGACTACCTGATCGGCCAAGGTTACTAGGCTGTTGGTTCGTTGGCCTGGTCTTGAGGCGCGAGGGGCGGTCGAGCGGGAGTTTTCTAGGATGGATGAATATATAAAGAATTCCATACAAGGCCAGCCTTTCTTCGGTCATGACTCAGAGGAACAACTATTGGGACATACCAGGTTCGTCCAGCGGGGCAGAGGGACGCTGACGGTGTGCTACCAAGACCACGAGGGAGGCTAGGAGAGCCTGATCTGATGCTGCGGGATGTTTCATGGACCCAAGCTGGTTAACTGGGGTTCAGCGGCCCAGCTTCTTATGACTTTCCAACGTTTCCTTGAGCCGATCCTTAAAACATGTTGCGGTCTTCAGCATATGACTTGCATCGCCCCCCTAGTGACCAATTCTGTCCATTTTCTATGAGTGTCCCCAGTCTTCTCGTCCATACAATCCCGCTTTGAATGGTAACTCCCCCGCCCCGTATTATAACATTGGTATCAACGTCGCCCAACGCCGCCTTGATGCCCCTTTCCGCGAGGAACCGGCTAGTGACTCGTATAAAATCGTCCCAAATCATTCCCTTTTCCCGTATCCTCTGCGCCAGGTGGTGTGCGAAACAAACCAGTAATTAAAGCGCCTCGTCCAGGAACCCCAAGCCCGATATATCGTCCAGTCTTTCGAGTCGTCGATGCAACCGTAAAACATCCTCGCCGCCGTGACCAGCCAGCCCTCAACCCGCACCCCTACTCCTCCCTCACCCCCAAACTCCGTCCAGTACCCCCATCACCCAAACGCACCCACACACCTACACACATATATATTACACACACCCACCACCACCCCCCTCAAACTCAAACAGGCAACTCGGCATTCCGCCGCTCGCCCAAACCCACCCGATCAACCACCATCCCGACATACGGCCCAACAACAGGCACGTTGCGCGCAAAGGAGGCGATGGTGCCCAAAAAGTCGCCAAACAGCACCAGGATGCCGTACAGCTCGACCAGGAAGCCGACCAGCGGCCACCGCAGCAGGATCAGCGCCAGCCCCGCGAAGAAGGCCGCCGTGCCCTTGAGCTTCTGCTTGCGCGCGAAGAAGAGGGCGGTCTTTTGCGGGCCGATGATGATGGTGAGGCCGATTAGGAAGAGGATCTGTGGGTGGGAGAAAGGAGGGGGAGTGGTTAGTTTGGGGGTTGTTGAAGGGGGGTGGTGGTGGTGAGAGGGGGTGGTCGGGTTTGGGGGGGGGGGAGGGAGGGGACTGACGTTGCCCATTGCGAGCATGGCGCGGTCGAAGAAGAGGAGGACGCCGGCTATGAGGAAGAAGCCGCCTGTGGGGAAGAGGGTGTTAGTTCGTTTGTTCTCGGATCGGGGGAAGGGTCGCGTGTTGGAGAGAGGCGGCGCGGCGCCGGTCGAGGGAAAGGGACGACGACGGATTGGGCTGTGGACGTACCGCCGGAGCAGAAAGCGACCCCGATTTCTGGAGGGAAATAACGTTAGCCTTCTTCTTTGAGACCTGCGCTCTGCGACTCAAGCGCGGACCCGCGATACGGGGGGAGGGCGAAGTTTACTTTGCGAGTCTGACATCCACATGGTCGGCATCTTGGCTGAATGGAAGGGGGTGAACAGAGGGTCGGATGGTATGTCGGTATACCCGGCGCAGGCGTTGAAGATGGAGATTGTAAGCAGAAGAGGAGGAAATTGTTCTCTTTTTTTTTCGAGTCTTGTTGCGCCGCGCAATTCGAGACACCGACAAGGGCTAACAACCTCAAGCTGCCAAGGCGACAGATTGCCGTTGCCAGGATCCTTGGCCCGGCAGGCAAGTCAAAGCGAAAGCCTCTGATTGGGCAACAATTGCAACTCTGGGCCCCCTTATTTTTGGCTCTTCAGTGTTTTCGCGATGCGGAATTTCAACCTTTCATCCAAAACCGGTTCGGTCGTTGAAACGGCTAACTCAGTTAGACAGCTCTCTGACCGTGAAAGGTGCTTTTCTCCCAGCAAGGGCAAGAAGCATGAGGGGCATTCATCTGGTAACCTTATCTAGAATGCATTACAAGCTAAACCACCATATGTTGCCCTTGATTTGATTCGAGGTTTCGGGTTCTTGGTTCGGAAATTTACTAAGGTAGAGTTTATCTCCATCAGCCTTTCTATCTCAACTTGCCGCGACGGCTCCAGCACTCGCTGGGGCAACTGAGTTTGGTTCCTCTCCGTCCTCTCTCGGTGGTCTGTCAAAACATCAAAGGCATATAACAATCTGATCACGATTAAGCCGGAGCGTCGACTGCCATCTTGCTGCTGAAAGGCAGCGAGTGCATAGTTGGGGTTTGACTTTGTTGGTCGTACATATACTACAACATGCATCCTGTGGAACGACCGCCCTCACACCGCCGTGATACCCTGACGAGCAGGTTCTTCACCTCAACCCATTCGGAAGTGACAGGCTTGATTCAAGCCCCATGACCTGGATGCGGTGTTCTCCATCCCAATCCCTGTGTCAGACAGCCCTCTTCCCCTCAGCCCGTCGCATGTCGGAGGTATTCCCAAATGGGCAAGGGTGGCCAGCCAAAAATGCTCGAGCCTGTAACGACCAGTGCGGCGAGGACCGACATAAGACTCGCATACCAATACACCGATGCCTTTTCCTTCCCCAGCAATAACTCGTTGACTTTCCTGAGCACCCGCAGCCATATTGGCTTCCTACAGCCGAGCCGTTGTTAATACCCATGGCTTGGGATTGTCAGGGTGAGAAAGGCTTACGGTGAGTATTTCTCATTCATGGTGGGCACAGGTGGGATTGGGTAGTTGGTTGGCAGCAGCGGGATATCGGTTCGAGCGCTCGGGGTGGGAGTCACAATCCCAGATGGGATGAACGAGGCATTTCGCGCGAAATCCCGAGTAGAGGGTGGTGATGCGGGTTCTAGGACGGGTTGCCTAGACGGAGATCCGAGTGGCGAGGCGTCCATTGTTAATCTCTGGGCTTGACGGTCGGATGGTGGGTGTGCGGTTCGTGTCCGATCCACGGTGCAGCGGGGAGACGGGGCGCTTAATAGTTACTCCAAATGAGCATGATGAACTAGTCGATGAAGTTTGCGGGTTGCCCTCGATAAATACTGCTAGACGAGAGCTTGATCGTGGGATTGCCTAGGTGGTTGGCAGCTAAATGCGCGGTGCTGCCAAAAGTAGGGAAGCATGGCCGGGGAGGCAGTCGCGAGTCCGGAAAGCAAGGCGAGCGCGACTCGGGCTTGGAGTTGGGCGGGCAGAAGCAATGACCGGGAGCGCAACCCAGGATAGACTTAGTCGAACATCACAAGACATGTATGGCGCAATTCATCGCCCTGGCAGCAACCACGCTCTGAATCTGGCCTTTGCACTCTTTCCTCGGGCTTATTTCAGCACGGTATGTGCGCCTCTCGCCTCCAGAAATTGCTCCCCAACACCCTGCGGTAGAGTCCTGATCATGGCAAACACCTCCCGATTGTGATACCTGATCCTCGTTTTGGGATCCATGTAGGGCGCCGGCAGACCCGTCACGTCGCAGTAGTGCCTCAGCGGCGCGAGACTGGGCGCGCTCTCAATGTTGGTGTAGGTTGCAGTGGGCGCCGAGGACACGCCATTTGGCGGCCGCGAAGGCGCGGACAGTGTCTTTTCGAGGACAAGTTTGGACAAGCTGCGCGACGCCTGGGCGAGGTTCGGCTGGAGGCTGGCCGAGCCGCTCGCGGAGGGGGCGGCTGGCGTTGACGCGCCGCTTGTGGAGAGTCCGTCGTTATCCTGTAGCGGGGTCGCCGCACCGCTGTTGTCTTGAGGGGTCGCGATTACGGAAGCTTCCTTGCGCGAGGCGTCGCCCAGAATGGCCTTGATGTTCTTGTTGCGGCGTTGGTTGGGGCGCCAGTGCGGGTTGCGGAAGGTCTTGTGGATTGAGTGGATGTCGAGTTGCTCGATGAGTGCCTGATGCGCAGCCTGCGCGGCTTGGGCTTCTGGGTTTGACATTGTGGGCGGTTGGGGAGATGGTGTATGTTTCGGTGCAGGTTGTCAATGGCGGAGGATCTGGGATGGGAATTGAAGTTGATGGTGCCGGAAACGAACAGAGGGCTGGATTCCGCCTTGGTTGCTGTCTGCCAACCTTCACCGCTCGCGTACCGAGGTAATTCGCACTGTACCTTGACGGTCCCAAACATTGTGGGGGTGGGGTCTGTTTGGCTGCCGGGTTCCAGGCCCGTTGCAGAAACAACCAAAGAGAACACACAAACGAGAGACAACCCAACTTGACAGTCACTACGATGGTACAATCCTTTCTCGAATTCTTATCTTAGTAAATTCTACTAATTTTGGAGTAGGAGAGCCCGCACGAGCATCAGCAGAACCTACTTCTATCGCGCATTATCACCAATGTGGTTTGTGGTCCTCGCTATGGGTTGTCTAAGCCGTCACACTCATTGAATTCGAAAATAGGAAAAGTTGAACGAATCTATCGTCGTGATGAACAAAACTTTACAAGTAAGCATTTAACAAGCAATGGAAATTGCTCCGTCATTGCTCCTGACATGTCGGCAGGACATCAACATCCAGAACATGAACATCGAGCTGGTCGCCCAGATGTTCAAGAATTACCAGTCCAACGTCCTGTTTCATCTTGAGGGTGAGTACGATTTTACTTGTAGGAAGTAAGTTTACTAATTAGAAAATAACTAGCTACCGACAACTTGAAAGAACCGGTATGAAAGAGCATGGCTTGAGCTGGATAAGGGAGGTGCCTAACATGCATTCTCCCCCCCGCTGAGAAGGTTATGTGGTCCTTCTTTGTAGGTTTATTCGAGCCCTTAGGCCTATGGTTTTCCCTTGGTTTGTTTCAAGACAGCTCGGGATCCTATCTCGACAGCCACCATGAAATTGGCAGATACTCATCCTTAGCTGTAGAGAGAAAGAGGTCCAGCAGAGCCAGCAGCGAAATATAGTTCTAAGCTTGATTCCCGTGACGAGGGTTTACAGCACAAGACCGAGAGCAAATAAAAAGAAGAAGAAAAAGAAGAAGAAAAAGAAGAAGAAAAAGAAGAAGAAAAAGAAGAAGAAAAAGAAGAAGAAAAAGAAGAAGAAAAAGAAGAAGAAAAAGAAGAAGAAAAAGAAGAAGAAAAAGAAGAAGAAAAAGAAGAAGAAAAAGAAGAAGAAAAAGAAGAAGAAAAAAATACAACAACTGATATGATTATTTTGTAACTCTGTCTTGTTGCCTATTCTTTATTTTAATATCAAGGATATTTTCGGCCATCCTTCCGCTTGAACTATCAGTTAACAACCATACACCCACTTGTGATAAGGTGCTTGCCTCAACTCGAGTTATCGACCAAGTAATGTGCGTCCTGAAATGGAGATTAGTGTTGATCGCGCATTTCGTAGAATCTTTGGTGGTGGATTGTGTACTGATTAAAGCCATAGGGAGCAAACTCACATCAACAATGCTTGCAGTTTTCGTTGACCTCGGTCCCACGAATTAAGTGCCTCGGTGCGGGCGATTTACAGAAACCAATCTTGCCAGAGGGTGTCCTTCTGTTTCCACATTTATGTGGCTGCTCAACGTACCGGTGGCGGCAGGTATTGGAAGTGTAGATGTACCACCCGCATGGGCAGTTGCTTGGGTTAGTCTCACTGTTGACAAAGTGATTGGCAGTGTCGTCCTCAATTTGACTCGGTTCAATGACATTGACGGTAGCCATGATCGGTAATGCATAAAAGTAAGGTTGAGAGGTACCAGAGAAGAGTTATCTTTGTAGGCGAGTAGGTAATGGAAGAGTAAGTGTTCTGGGCTGAAATTATCAGGGACGTTGGGGTCTTGATAAAGCCCTTTCTTTCGACCAACTCCCGACCCAGTTCTACTACCCTCTTCGGTTGGCCGTCTTTTCTTTGTGTACCAGTGAAAAAAGCCGCCAATCAATTCCACCGATCCATGGGCGTTGTAAAACCGGCAAAGAAAGGCGCTACCTACCTACCTAACTCACACGGTGAGCGGTGCAGTTGGAACAATGAGCTTCCTTTGACAGACCTAAAGCGGCTGGCACTTGGTTCATGATGTGCAGGTCGACATCAGTCATGATTTCCTACATTTCGTCCAGTTTCTGGCTTAGGATTTATCTTTGGCCCTCATCCTTTGCCATCCAACATGATTGACCCGGAAGGACGACTCTGGGCAGGATCTGGCGGGTTGCTCATCGGAGGACCATACACTTGGTATATCACCGACTCTGACCAGAGGAGGACCTTCGCTGTCACGTATGCACCGCCTACTCCCCTCGACAATTCCGAGACAACAGAGGAAATCTGCATGAACCAGCTGAAGAAGCACGTGGACGAACTCGGGGATGGTGTTTTCGGCATCCGTTTCTCTGAGCCTGATGGACCCGTTACCACATTGACGGACCGAAAAGACGACGTGACGATATGCGTGAACAACTACCCTCTGTCTGCTTTGGGCCTCGATTTCCCGATCAAGACAATCTCTCTGTCCGCCCTGACAGAGCTGGATCGCCTGGGACACCAGGTCGACTTGGTGTCTTACCAGGGGCCACCGTGTGCTGCGGGTGCGGCTCCCACAACGACAAAGGCTGCATTCAAGTACTGGTTCCTGGCAAATGGCATGTTTCGGACTTGGTACGAACTCAACAGCTGGAGCCGACTCCCTCGGGATCATCCGCACATCGTTCCTTTCGACTCGGTTGTTCTCGACCCTCACACTGGGGGCATCGTTGGGTTTACGACCCTTTATATACCCGGCGGCACCCTGCTCGACAACAATGCCGCGACACGGCCGTTTCGCCTTCGTTGGTTCCGCCAACTCCTCTCGGTGGTGGATGACCTGAACTACCGGTACGGGATGATGCATCAAGACATTGCGGCACGCAATTTGCTGGTTGATGAAAACGACAATCTCCGGATTTTCGACTTCAACTATTCCATCATGATCGAGGAGCACTACACGCCAGACCGCGACGACATTAAAGGCGTTATCTTGACGCTCTATGAGATCGTCACGTTGGATGAGCATTTCCGTGAGGTCCCGCACGATGAGCAGGACGCCGAGGCGGTGCTCGGTATGAAGTGGGAAAAGCACCCCGACGTCAAGCTGGACGCCGATCTCGAGGATTTCAGGAACATGCTCGACTCATGGGTGAAGAAGAGAAAGGCGAAGGACTTCTTCAAGCCCACAGACACCTGGGTCCGCTGGCCTTGGATGCCCAAGCCACCTGCTATAGCCATGCTAGACGTCGACCGCGATAGAAATTGCACAGGGATCAAGATGCAGTCTACTCGGACTGTCAACAGAAGAGACCTTGTCCTCATGGAGCAGGAGCATTGGAACTGGGAAAGGCCTGCAAGCTACAGCTTAACGGAAGCTCTCGAGAAAGACAAAGCTGGAATTGTTAGGGAAGAGGCTAAGAATGGGGTTCGCGAGTAAACGGCATGTGGCGGCGTTGAGTCTGTATTTTTATGCATGTGCGTCGCAGTTGGATCATCAACTCTTTATTCTGGCCGAGTCTGGCAACCATCGGCGAGCGAAGCATTTCATCCCGAGAATATCAGGCCCGCACAGTGCGTATCCTCCAGATTTACTGTAAGGTACCTTCAACCACGGTACGCGGTTTCGAGCTTCGTGCAATGATCACAGGCAGCTTTCCAACACCACACACAGCTTAAACTCGAGGCGGTCGCGATTCTCGAAGCAGCTTTTTTCGCCCCCGCTACGCAACAGCAAATCACAAACCCCCAAAGCCATCCGCCCCCCGTGAACAAAATGCGCCGTTCAATGCTCAACCACTAAAACGACGGCAACACCGTTAGATTAACGAACACTCCCACCCAGCGGCCACAACCATCGAAGGAACCATGGCGCCCTCCGCAACCGACGAAACAGTCAACCGAAGGGAGGCCTGGAAAAACCTCCCCCCACCGACAATATATCCGGTCAAGGAAGCCAAGTTCGACAAGTACCTTCCGCCGCAATTGGACGGCAGAGAACAGGCGTTGGCGCAGCCAGACGGACAAGCTGCGATTGTCATCGACAATGGTAGGCAGCTCCGAGCCCCAGAGCGCACCCAATCCCATGATGGCTGACGCGCTCGAATTGTGCTTCGCAGGCTCCTCCACCGTCCGGGCAGGCTGGTCGTTCGAGACCAAGCCGCGGCTAGCAATCCCTCCGATCATGTCCAAGTACCGAGACCGCAAAGCGGGCAAGACCTTTTCTTTCGCAGGCCAGGACTGCTACGCCGACACCACGGCACGAGGACACATTCGCAACGCCTTCGAGGCCGGCACCGGCATCGTCAGTAGTTGGGATGTCGTGGAACACGTTCTCGACCACGTCTTCCTCAAACTCGGCATGAACGGGGTGGAGGGGGGCATCGACATGCCCATCGTCATGACCGAGGCCGTCGCCAACCTCCCATATTCGAGGAAGAGTGCGTAGAATCATGTACTCCGGATATTCTTGCCACTTACTAACTTTGCGAAGCAATGAGTGAGATGCTTTTCGAGTGCTACAACGTCCCTAGCGTCGTCTATGGAATCGACTCCCTATTCTCATACCGCCACAATCGAGGCAAAACCGGCCTTGTCGTCTCTTCATCCTACAGCGCAACGCATCTAATTCCCGTCTACAACGCCAAAGCTATGCTTTCTCAAGCGATACGGTTGAACTGGGGTGGCTGGCACGCCGCCGAATACCTTCAGAAGCTTATCAGGCTCAAGTACTACAGCGGGTTCCCCGGGAAACTCAACTCTTCACAGGCCGAGAATATGGTTCGGGACTTTTGCTACGTATCACTCGACTATGACCAGGAGGTCGCGCGCTTCATGGACTGGACAGGGCTCGAGGACAGGGAACGCATCATCCAGTACCCATATACGGAAGAAGTGATTGTGCAGAAGACGGAAGAAGAACTCGCCCGGATCGCCGAGAGGAAAAAGGAGAGCGGCCGGAGACTACAAGAACAGGCCGCCAAGATGCGCCTGGAGAGGTTGATGAAGAAGGAGCAGGAGCTCGAATACTACAAGGACGTCCAACGCCGGATTGCCGATCAGAACAAGAAGGAGACAAAACGGTTGCTGGACGAGGCTGAGGTTAAGGACGAGGCGGGGTTGGAGCGCATGATCCGAGAACTTGAAAAGTCCATCAAAAAGGCCCGGACAAAGGACCTCGGCGGCGAGCAAGAGGAAGAGCAAGCAGCACCCGACTTCAGCCTCCTCGATGTGCCCGACGACCAACTCGACGAGGCCGGCATAAAACAAAAGCGCCAGCAACGCCTCCTCAAATCCAACCACGACGCCCGCGCCCGCGCCAAAGCCGAAAAGGAAGCCGAAAAGGCCCGCGTCGCCGAAGAAGCCCGCCTCGACGAAGAGCGGCGCGTCAACGACCTCGAGGGTTGGCTCGAAGAGAAGCGCCAGGCGCGCCTCGCCAAGCTCGCCCAGATCAAGGACCGCGACCGGCTCAAAGCCGACCTCGGCAACCGCAAGTCCCTCGCTAGCCAGATCCGCATGAAGAACATCGCCAACCTCGCCTCGGACGCCCCCACGGGCGCGTCGGGCAGCCGCAAGCGCCGCCGCGGAGGCGACGACGACGACTTTGGCGCCGACGACGCCGACTGGGGCGTGTACCGCAGCGTGGCCATGGGCGCCAACAAGGGCGACAGCGACGACGAGGACGGCGAGGGCGGCGAGGAGGACCTGGAATCCGCCGTGCGCGCCCTCGAGGCCGACCTGCTCCGGTACGACCAGGACTTCGAGTACGACCAGACGCTCGACGCGCAAAAGGACTGGTCCAAATCCCTCCTCCACGCCTTCCGCCACGGGCCCCGGCCCTTCGACCCGGCCTCCCCCGCCGAGACCCACCGCGTCCACCTCAACGTCGAGCGCATCCGCGTGCCCGAGGTGCTCTTCCAGCCCACCGCCATCGCCGGCGTCGACCAGGCCGGCATCGTCGAGATCGCCGCCGACATCCTCACCCAGCGCCTGCCCCCGCTCGGCCTCCTCCCGGGAGGCGGCGCCGACGACTTCCTCCGGGACGTCTTCCTCACCGGCGGCAACGCCCTCTTCGAGGGGTTTGATGAGCGTCTGCGCCGCGGCCTGACCGCGCTCTTGCCTGCGGGAGCCCCGCTTACCCTGCGCCGTGCCGATGATGCGGTGCTGGACGCGTGGCGTGGGGCTGCGGGGTGGGCGGGCACGGAGGAGGCGAGAAGGGCGAGGGTGACTAAGGAGGAGTGGTTGGAGAAGGGGGCGGATTATCTCAAGGTATGTTTTTTTTTTCTGCGTTTGTTCTTGATGTGGTGGTGGATTTCTGTGGGTGGTTTGCTGACTGACTTGTGTGTGATTAGGAGCATGATCTGGGGAATGCCTTTGCTTGAGGAGTTGGAGAAAGAGAGCATTAGCAGCCTCGACGCGACGGGATGGGGTATGAATGTCGGGTGGGGATCTATAGTGTGTGCGTGGTTGGGTTGGTTTTGGTTAAGACGAAACAAACACTACACTGCGTAGGTAGCTCGGAAATTGGAGTTTTTGGTGCCGATGGGCGGGGGGTTCAATGGAGGGAGGGACATGGTATGAATTCGGCGCTATCGCAATTCCCGTAGACAAAACAGACATTGTTGGGCCAAGATGCATATTGTCCGCGCACCTACGCCCTGTCGCTTGTTTTCCAATCAAGGTTCGGGAGATGCATTCATGCGGTCTCCACGGTTGTCACGTACTATTTCGGGTCAAACATGTCAATAGGAACCCAAAATGATATTCTCCATACACCCAAACACCAGAAGACAGGCAGGCGCCTCATTGCTGAGGTTGAGGATACCCGAATCGCGCCGTTGCCATACAAACGGCCTTCTTAAGCCATAATGGCAGGTATAACGGTAAAGAATACTCAAAAGGTCTAATCGTCTCCAGGTACACTCGTCCACTCCACTGGAGCTCATTTAGGTACACAAGACCATAAGGGCAAAAGCGCTAAAGTACACAGGTCAAACAGGTTCAAGGAAAGCAGGGCAACAGCCTCCCCCTTAACGCGCGCGCCAAACCCCCCCAAAGGTACCAAAACGCCCAGGCAAAGAATCGTTTAGGAATAAAGGATCCCCTCCCGCTGAGACTACGAACTCCCCCACCAAAGACACACACTACCGCCGCTCGTATCAAAAAAGGAGGGTCATATTAAACCCTCCCCCCCCTCGGAACGGTGACCAACCCCTTGCACGAAGGCCATCAGTCACGGGAACCATAGTAGGCGCCCGTGTCCTACATCGGGGCCGCAGGCAAGCCGTCCGGCCCGCCATCTGCTTGTAGCTGGCGGGTGATCTCCTCGGCCGTCCTATCATCGTCGGTCCGGACGGGGGCATACGGGTCCCGGCCGCCGAGATGCTCGCCCCGCGTGAGGCCAGCGACGGCTTGCGCCGCTACCTCGACCTGGTTCGCGCCGGGGGCAGCGGCGCTGGCGGTCTGAGACACCTCTTGACCGCCGTGTTGTGGTGGTTGGGTCTGGGCGTTGGGGTGCGCGAGGCTGATGCCGGGAGGCGGCTGGGGATACTCGCCTTGGGCGTCCAGTAACCGAGACTGGAGACGGAGGACGTAGTCTCGTAGCGTGTAGTTCTCGGCTTGGATGGACTTGAAAGTGGACTCCATCTCGCCGTACTCCCGAACCTGCTGTTCGAGCTTTTTTATGTATCCTTCTTTTCGTTGGCGAAAGGCCCTCTGCGGTACGGGCGTGGCTTCGTCAGCATTTTACGTAAGGAGGGGGTGTTGTTTACTAACCTGGGCAGCCCGGTTTTGCGCAGCCCGTTTCGATTGGGATAACTCCCGCTTGGCTTTCCGACCGTCTGCGCTATCCCCCGGGGATACCGGCCCCAGAGTGTGAGCAACAACTGCCGACGGGCCTGGCATGGCAACTGCCTGGTTAGTGTGCGGCACGCCAGTGCTTGATTGGATCATATTGGGAATTGGTGCGTAGACAGGAGTTGTTGGCGGTGGCTCGTGACTTGACCGCAATTCAGGGTGAATGTGAGCCTCGCTTTGTGGGATTTGTGTGTGGTTGTACCCCTGCGGTAGTGTTGCTGGGCCGGGCGAGTTCTTGATCCCGGACCCGTCGGAAGCCGATTGTAAATGATTCGCAAAGTTGGGGGGTGGCGCGTAAACGGCGTGATCTGTTTGAGCAGCTATCGGTGCAGCGGCCACAGGATGCTCGCGAGCACTAAGCTCTGATACCATGGGACTGGTCAGTATGTCAAGAAACAATATGAAGTAAAGAAACGTAGGTGCAGCTGGGGGATCGACGACCGGGGCGAAGAGAGTGAGGGGGGGGGGGGGGGGGGGGAGGGTTGGAGTCAAAACAAGCGAATCGTCTTGATCAACTTGGCAGACGGGAACGGAAACGCTTGAAACCTAAAATGGCAGGGAGTCGCATTTGAGAGTCTGGACGTAAGGAGAGGAGTGCGGTATGAGCGATGCAGCCAGGGTTTGTGAAGGATCGGGGTTGGACAGATTATAAATCCAACGCTCTCCCCGACGCAGATATGGGGGTATCGGGAACAACAGAGGTTCTCGCCGATGGGGAACTCCCGCAAATGTGTTTGTGCCCCCCGTCACCTCGGTTGAGTTGAGATGTTGTATTCAAAGAGAGATTGTAGGGAAGTGTGAAGAAGAGCGAGGCGGAGAGGACGGCGCTGGCTGTTGCTCTCGTCTCGGGCAAGCGACTTACAAGATGCCGCGGAGTGGTGTGCGCACCTCAGTGTCTAATTGGTAACTTTGGGGAATTAGGTAAGGAAGACGTCGGGGCGGGGGCAGGGATGGAAGCCATTCTTGTACCCAGCGGAGTGAGCAGCACCACAAGGTTGCCGTGCGTGTGCCGTGGAGTGAACGTAGAAAAAAGAGAGTGGGTCCGATTTGGGGATGATGATCCGAGATGACGGGGGAGGCCGGGTCCCCGGAACAGGGGACTCGCAAGCCAATGTAAATGGGATGGAGATGTGTAATGCCCAAAGGTCGAGAGGATCGGGCTGGTGAGTGCAGAACGTGCTATCCCCGGAAGTGGTGATGCCTGGAGGTTGATGGAGGTTGACTGATCGAGGTCCCTTTCCCTTGCTCAAGCTTCCCGCCACTCCCGTACCCGTATGCGCATGCAAAACGCCCTCGCACTCGGCCCTCACTGGGGGACTCGAAGTGCCAGCAGCGGGATATCTTTGCCTGTATAGGCAGCAGCGATCGAAACACACTGCAATCGCGCATGTCTCCTTTTGCGCATCTGCGGTATTTCGCCGGGCGCCACTGGGCGAGAGAGGACGGCGATGGTAATGTGTGGGGAGTATGAAGTGTAATATGGGCGACGGCCCAGAAAAGGAAATCAGTCACCACTCACCAATGCTGGCGTTGTTCGACATGCTGTAACCGCAGTTCCTGACTCAGCAGCGTGAAGCAACCCACTTGCAGACGTCGAGACGAGAGAGCTCCCGAGTTTGAGCTTGGCTGGTAATTAGGTAAGGGAGCAGCAGCGCTGCTGACGATGGATGCTCCGGCTCGTGGCTGAACCTTGTTCTTATGTTATGTCAGCACCGCGTACGGGTGAGGCGGCGCAACCTGTTTTGGGAAACGAACTTGGCTTCGCGACTAAAATAATCCAGTGGCTGGGTCAGAGTGGACGCGACGCAGCGCAGCGGTTGCCGATTTAGGTTTGAGAACTCTGGATGCAGTCTTGCTAGGAGTCGACTGTGTGTAAGATGGATCGATGATTGCGGTTTGAAGACCCTGGTCTTCGATAGGTGCTTAGGTAAATGTGGAGGACGGAGAACGGGAGCAGTGGTGCAGAACAGGACGGTTCGTAAAGTTCCTGCTGCGCGGAGAACTCGGACCAGGTTAATCAGTGCGACCTTCGAGGAAGATTATCCGAAGCTCAGGTCTTTTGGCGTGGCGATGGCATCAACGTGATCCGGGTTGATGAACGGTTCGAATGTTGCGTGCTTTGTCAGCAGTTGTGGGATGGCAGCGAGGTGCTCTCGGGTTTTGGCGCGACGCGGGGTGGAAACGCCGGCGGGATGAGTCCGTCCACGAGGTTGGTCTTGGCATAAGCGAATAATTTCTTCCGATCACCGACAGGAATGGACAGCCCCATTTTTCGGTGAAACCCCACCGCTCGGTGAAGAACATCTTTCGACGCAAGTCTGCGCAGGTCATCACAGCTTCAGCCCTGCATCACATGAAGTCTTGCCGCAACGCTTTGTCCTCGGGGGAAGGATAACGAAAAAAAAGGGAGGATAACCGAAATAATTACGAATACGCAGACCGCAGAGCCGAGTAGTAATGTGATTCCATGCTCAATTTCCCCAAGCTGGGATCAGTCATCCAGACTCCAACGACGGGGATGTACTTGAGAGCAACATCAACCATCCGGATGGAGAGACCCTTCCCTTTTGAGCCATGCAACCGTTTCGATGACTGAACATTGACAAGCACAACGTAAGGACAGCAGCGGCTCAAGAGTGAGAACTTAAGCTCTACGTCCCGGGAAGGAGTCCTTTCGGGGAACAAAACCAGCGTGACCGGTCGACAACGATTCGCGAGACATGGCCTGTAGATCATCTCCTCCTCCTCTTCGCACTGCCGGTTTGGGGTTACGAGGCTGATAAGACCAGGAACATTAGACATAGAATCCACGATATGCAGCGGGATTTGGGACGTCTTCTGATATGCTTGTACCCATCTTTACCTTAGCATGTGATTTGCTGCTGCTCCGGAGCTTAAAGCGAGTTGTTTACCGTGTTTGGTAATTATCAGGGAGAGCTGATGGCTCCGTTTGAGGATTGGAATTGATGTGGTTGTAAAATACCATACAGACTTACCGAGTCCCGCAACTTTGGTGGCTCGACGGTGTATTGGATTTCTCCAGTTCACTGTGTAAGAAACTCAACTCTTGTTTGCCTCTTCCGAAGCACCATCATCCCGGAATAATTCAGCACCTTCAAAATGCGCTCATCAGTCATCCCAAAATTGAGGCCAGCATCACTCATCAGCTGCCTGCCGAATCAGTCAGCCAGACATTTTTCCAAACTAATCACCCACACATCACGAGCCACGAGCACAGCACAGCATCGGTATCTTCGACCGCTTAGCCGACGCTTCACTTCTACGACCGCCAAGTCGATCACGATGGCTGGTAACCTGGAGCCTCGATTCTCAGCCGATGCGGACCCAGTAGTACTTGAAACATTCCTATCCCCTCTACTTACAACGAATGGCGGGCGATGGTCCCTCACGATGGAGGGACAGGCACTCGAGCGCGAGTTCAAGTTCAAGACGTTTGCCAAGACATGGGTGAGTGACATCACCGAGCTCTATTTGTTTATTCCTCTTTGTACACTATTAGCAAAATACATTTATCCTTCCCCCGTGTACATTGTCCCCGTTAAGCGAGATAATTCGAGGCGGCCATGACAAAACCGGGGCGTTCACGAAACTAACAATATCACCAGGATTTCATGACAGCCGTGTCTCTCCAGTGCAAGCTCAAGAGCCACCACCCGGAGTGGTCAAATGTATGCATGCCATAACCGCCCCCGAGCCCGGGTTCATCCTCCCCACCAAACCCCCTCCCGCTCCCCGCGCCCCAACTTCCCAGCTTCCACTACCCTCCCCTTGACTCTCTAACCACGCCCTACCTCCCCAGGTGTTCAACACGACCTTCATCCGCTGGACGACCCACCACCCCAAGGGGCTCTCGGAGAAGGACATCGAGCTGGCGACGATCTGCGACAAGCTGGCCACCGACTTTGGCGAAGTCGCTGTCGAGAAACCCCAGGGCCAGCAACAAGAGCCGCAAGAACAGCAGCAGCAGCAGCAGCAGCAGCAAGGAGAGGCAAGCGGCTTGTCCGGCCTGGCGAACAGGGCGGTGAAATCTGCGGGGGATTGCTGCGTTCCCAAGAGCTCGAAGTGAGGCATCCGTTCAGAGGGCGCTCTCTCGACGACCCAGCCCGAGGCGTAGATGGGGGAGATGGGGGAGATGGAGGAGGGGAGCTCTGAACTCGACGCTGCGTTGCTATTCATCCTTTTTGGTTTCAACGCCACACCGAGACATACCTGAAGAGCAGTATCGCAACGAGATTGTAGGACACGGTGTATTTGTTCTTTTGTCCGAATTAAAGTCTGATAGTGTAATGCCATATATACAAACGGGTGGGAAATATTAGGATTAATGGACCGCCAGCCAACAACGCCCCTCAAGACTGCGTCGTCCCTATCTTTTTGCCTTCGTAGCAATTGATCTATAGCCCCAGTTCTCGTGTGTTTCGTCATCACAGATGTCATATCCACCTTGGATGTGTCCCCAAGTGGTCCTCTTCCTTCAAGCCCTGCCAATGTCTATCCTTCTACGACGGGCCGGCTCAAGTATCGTCCGTCTCTTTCTCTCACCCCCAAGATGTTGTGTCAATTGAAGACGGTCACATGCTCGTCATGCACGCTTTCGTCTAGTAGAGGGAGGCGTGTCATTTACTGCGCCTTCTTGGCCCGGATCTGGGCCAGCTTCTTCTCGCGACGCTGCTTGCTAGCCGCCTCACCGGCCTCAGTGTCGAGGCAGTAGTCCCACCAGCGGAAGCTGGAAGCGTAGTTGCCGATGAAGCGCTCGTGGTGCAGGTCGTGGTGGTCGGCACCGGCCCAGAAGGGCAGGATGCGGCGCAGACTCCAGGGGAAGTCGTAGCCGGAGTGGGCGTCAATGGCCTGGAAGAGGCGGAGGACGATCCACAGGTACATGGTGATGAGGTGCAGCTCGCCCGTGACCGAGACCCAGATGATGGGGGTTCCGACGATACCGAAGCCCAGGAGCATCACTTCGATCGGGGACGCGTACTCAGCGGCGAGGCCGAACGGCGCGCTGTAGGTGTGGTGCAGCTTGTGGATCGACTTGTAGAGAGGGCCGTAGTGCAGCGCCCGGTGCATCCAGTAATGCCAGGCATCCTCAACGGCGAAGAAGACGGCGATTTGCATCGCAATCTTCCAGGCAGGGGGGAAAGGGACGCCGTAGTCCAGGCCGAAGTAGGTTGCAACAGGGTGGAATAGCCAGATCTGGGGAAGCTCGACGGTGCAATGGCTGAGGAGGACGAGACCGGCGCACTCCCACTGCTCCTTCCATGTCGGTACCTTGGTCTAAAGCGCTGTTAGCGTACACCCGGGTTTCGAGATTGACGGGGGAACTGACATTCTGAAGCTTGTATTTGTTGAAGAAGGGGATGGCGTCGATGATCATCCAGGGCAGGGACCGTCCAAAGTAGACGAACTCGTGCATGACGAAGCTCATGATACCCGTCGCAATCGTGTCATTCTGCATCCAGAGATACCAGGCCTATGACCGAGTTAGCCAATCTGTTTGTCTGTGGGAAGACGTCGCGGTTTCACGTACGGCCCAGAGGCGCTCGAAGACGTTCAGCTGAACATTGTACTTGGAAACCTCCTCGAAGACGGTCGTGATGGAGGCCGATGAGCTCAGACCGGTAATGGTCGAGTTCCTGCATTGCGCCGTGTCAGTCCAACCTGGCGCGCGACGCGTCTGCTCGTGAATTGGGGGGACTTACAGGACTGCGGACGCCATCTTTGGCGGTGCCGATAGCCTGGTTGCGCGAAGGCGGCGTTCTAAAAGGAAAAGGAAGGCACGCAGATGAAGGTTTAAACCGCTGGCAGGCGCGCAGGAAAGAAGGAAAAGAAGACCACCTCGTAGGTTGATGATCCGTTGCTTTGGAGTGGTGTGAAAGGAGAAGCAGCAAAAAAGGGTCAGGGGTGAATGGATTTTTATTAACAATGGAACTGTTGGATTCAGGTCCGCTGAGCGAGTCGCGCCAGAATCGGCCCACCTGGGAAACAAGCGATCCGTCTCCCGGATGCGCCAAGTGGGGCTGTGGATCCCGGCTCATTGGCCGCCCGAGATCAGTTGAACGCTGAGCCAAAGCTCCCGCTGACTGGTGCCTGCCAAGACCAGAATAACGGATAGGTGCATGTGAGTATGCAAGTCCCCGCGGGTTCACCGCAAAGCCGGCCAGGATAGGAACTCGCCGAAGTGCTTCTCATGATGAGGAATTCTGCGAAGGGCTAAGTAGAGCATTCTCAAACACGGAGGCAGCCCTTGATAGAATATCTCCAAGCCATGTATACTTATTGAGCTACATTACGACGAAAAGTTAAGGTCCCGGACTCCTGTCCATGTCACTGGTTAACCGGATATAGATATGCAGGTATTCGTACTTCTTAAACCATACTGCGTACCGAAGCACGTGCGAAGGTAGGTACTGACAGTACAGATTACGGTCAGCTGCCGTCACTTGGTTTGAGACCTTGGAGCAGGGCTATGAAGTCATAATCAAGATTTGAAGCCGCAGCCCGACCAAGTCTTGCATTCCACGTGGACGCCGGTTGTTGTTTGTCTCGTGCTGTCCCAGCAAAATTTCCCATCTAAAAGTGACCCGACAGGAATTATTTTCTGCGTTTTATTTTCCTGCAGTTTTCCTGCGAAAAGACGCAACGATTCCCTTCGTTTTCTGTCCAACGGGCATGATCTCACTTTTTTGGACTTCTTTGATAATTGGGTCGTTAACCCAGGTCCCCCACAACAACCAAAATTGCTTGGCCCTAGAAGTGCCCCTCGGAGCTTGCAACACCCGGCCCAACTAGATGACCTGATCGGACCATCAGCCCATCAGTGTTGTGAGGGTTCTGAGTTCTGGGGTCATCCAACTCGCCACTTTGACGCGTACCTCTTTTGAAGGGCGGGAACTGCTTTTTCTAAGGCGCATGCACAGCCCAGCCTTTGGTTTCGGGAGTTGCGAAACCTCGGTTGGGGCATCATATCACAATGTCGATTGTGGCCGAGTTCGTACTACCCCAAGACCTCCCCCGTCTTGGAACATCAACATGGTTACCTAACTCCGATATCCCACCTGCAGCCAGGTCCGCCGTCTGGATGCACGCATTGACCGGGTCTCTCTTGTGCCCTTAACACATGTGCAGGACCGCGATGCCGAGTTGCAAGCCGTCGACGGCATCGCCACCTCGGCACTCGCTTCGCCTCGCCTCAACGAGCTTCTAGGCATCGTCAAGGCCCTGTCGTCTGGCTCCGTTTCGGGGGCTCATCTGTCGTCACCGCGGATTCAGAGGCTACTCCTCCAATCCGGCCTGACGGGAGAACTGCCCTCGGTCGAGCTCCTCGAGGCGAAGAGCCAGTATGAGACCGACGTCGAGTGGCTCCTGGTGGGTAAGGCTACCGTGCAGACGTACGGTCTCCTGATGAGCACCCTCCTCGACCAGATCATTCCACTGAGCGATGACATTTGGTACTGGGACGAGGTTATGACCTCTTACCCATCCAGCTTTGTTTATGCTGTGCAGACATCGCCGTTGCGTATGTGGAGATGGTCAAGGGAAGTATACTCCGACAGCCTGGATCGATTCCAGCGCCTGTATCGTGATGAGCTCCCTGGCCCGGCGTCCGAGCCCGAAGGCATGTCCTCCGCACAACAGGACGAGAGTGACCCCGACCGCAAACCGAAAGGGTTCAGGACACTGTACCCTTCGCTGTCCGGACACTGGCGCCAATTCTATGGAATTGTTAGGCAAAGTGTCACGGAGCGGTCCATCGCTGATATCCAACGCAAGATCCTCTCTCGTGTGGACATCGGTCGATCAGAAGCCCGCTACAAGCAGAAGCGGTTGCGCAGACTCCGGGAAATGACAGCAACCGGACTGGGCGTGCTCATGGACGAGGGGCTCAATTTCGGCACCACCGAGGAGACACAGAGCGACGAGTGGAAAAGCCTGCTGGAGCGGAGCGTCGCCCTCATGGACATGATCCTGCAATCCGTTGTCTTCTTAGACCTCTCCGTCTCGGAATTCGAGGACAAGGTATTCAGTGGCGTTGACGAAGACCCCGAACTGTCGATTCACATCGAGGACTCCCACCCGGCCGAGAGACCCACCGTCCTCGCGCGACGGCTTCTTGGACTGCTCCAGAAAGGATTGCCCAACCACCGCGTCGCCATCACGGACCTCGCCGATGAGCATGGACGGCCGTCGAGAATTGTCAGATACTGGCTCCCGGCCGCCGCTCTCCTGGTTTCGTCCTCCACGATCCTGCGTATCCTCATCAACAGGCAAGACGACATCGTCAACTGGGTCCGTGATTTCGGCGCCACCGCCCGCGACTTCTGGTTCAACTGGGTTATCGACCCGGTCCGCAAGATCATTGGCACGATTCGGCACGACTCCAACAGCGAGATCGCCATCATGAGCCGGGACAGCCTGAAGGCCGACCGTGATAGCCTCGAAAGGATGGTGGTCGAGTTCGCCATGGATAACCCCGATATTGCCGTTGGAAACTCCTCCATTACCGAACTCGAAATTGGCGAGATCCGGTCCAAGGTCAAGGCCGGGGATGTGACGCCCGTTCTGAAGGCGTACGAGAAGGACCTGCGCCGACCGATCGTGGGTGCGATCAAGGGGGATCTCGTTCGGTCGTTGCTAATCCAGGTGCAAAAGACCAAGGTCGACCTCGAGGTGGCTATTAGCGGGATCGATGCGCTTCTGAAGAGCCAGGAGTTGGTGTTTGGCTTTGTTGGCTTGACTCCTGGTGTTCTCGGTATGTTTCGTTCTTGGTCATCGCCTCGACCCCTATTCTTTCTAACAGGTTTCAGTCTCGATCGGTGTCTTTCAATACCTCAGAACGGTCTTTGGCAGCCGCAAAGGCATGCGTCAGGGCCGGCAGGTCAGGCGCAGCGTTCGGGTGTTGCGCAAGATCGACCGGATCCTGTCCGAGGCCACGACATCGCAGAACAACATCATCTCGTACCGCGACCACGGCCTCTTGGTGTGCGAGGTTCATGTCCTACGCGGGTTGGCACATAGCGTGCTGCCCGGTGACGTCGAGAAGGAGTTCATCGAAGACCTAGACGAGCTGGCCAACCTCAAGGGGATTCAAGTGCAGATGAAGGCCCTGGAAAGGATCCGATGGGCCTATGCCGAGTGGTTGGGCAGGATGAAATAGGGGTTTGCTTGGGGTGAGGGCAGACGGAAAGTGCGTCTCTCTATGTGATTCATCTCAGCCAGCGGACAGCATTCTGGACGGGAGCATTGGGTACAACGGTGTAGCATTTTCAACGCATGGGAGGCGCATAGGTTACGATTAGAGCCACCAAGAGAGCAAGAGAGGCGATTGTGCAGAAAACAGCTGCGAGGGGGGCGAGGGGGAGTGACCAAGTGATCGACGTGATACACCAAGCGCCACTCTATATCAAACAGGACATTGTTTTCCGAGAGGCGGGAATGGCGGTTTCATCCTCCGCATGCGGTAATTTAAAAGCCTTCTTCATGTTGGAACCCAAGCCGACATCGCTGAAGCATTGTTCGAGTAGAGTAGGTACCTAGGTAGTTGATCTATAATCCATACACATAGATGTACCTAAGTGCTGATCCATTACTTTGGTGTACTGTGTACGGTAAATACAGGAGGACACGTTCCATGCGGCGTTTCGATACCCCTGTGGGGCAATTGACAACGGACCCCTGAAGCCCGCCGAGCCCGCCTGTTGCCGGGCCTGGATGCGCCACTTCAACAACTTTGTCTCATCCAACACCCAAGGCAGGACCCCGGTGCGCCAAGACCCTGAGACGCTCTGCATCTGACACGACTTGTTGCGGCTCACCTCCTCGGCAACAATCAAGGGTTGACTTGTTGACATCTCGAATCCAAAGAGTTGCACTTTTTGATTGTTCACTGATTCGGCAAGGCCAAGAGGATCTTGCGGCTCTAAACGGGGCTAAGGCATCCATTCTTCAACAACCCAACCCCCCTGACCACCGGAAAACAGCCGGCGCCTTGGTTCTTGGTTCCAGGCTTCTGTCCTCTGCAGGTGCGTCAGCTCCGTGGCCCCGGCGATCCACCCCGTTCTTGTCCCGTCGTCCCCAAACTCTCGTCTCCTCCGTCGCCAGCCATTGTTTCGTTTCCGATCCAACTTCAACTTCTATTGTGGGAGCAGCAGTTTTACCACACGCAGCAACAATCACCGAACTCCCCGTTGCCTATCATATTCACGACCGAAAGCGGCACACAAAACACGCAACAACTACCCGCAGAAGGACGGCAACACTGACTTGTAACCAGCCTCGGCCTCCGTCGCACCTCGAAACCCGCAATTCGCTGGGTCGGCTTCCGGATCTTGCTACCTATTGCGGTCGGCACACCGAATCACTCGATCCTTTTCTACCGCGGGCTTATTTCGCTTCGCTCGGGCTCTCAACACGAACCGCCCCCCCTGACACTCGAAACAAGAACCCGTCCCGAAGCCGGCGCGGTCCATTATAGCCTCCATAATGTCGTCAAACAACAGAAACTATGATTTCTTGGTAAATACACCCTCTCCGGTGCCTCGCAATCGTCGGCCCAGTACTTCTAAACGTTACGCGCAAAATGTGGCCATGGATACTGACACTGGCGGTACCAACAGATTAAGCTGCTGCTTATCGGAGACTCGGGTGTGGGCAAGTCATGCTGTCTGCTACGCTTTAGCGAGGACTCCTTCACTCCCTCTTTCATCACGACCATCGGTATCGACTTCAAGATCCGGACGATCGAGCTCGATGGCAAGCGGGTAAAGCTCCAGATTTGGGACACGGCCGGGCAAGAGCGGTTCCGGACCATCACGACGGCGTATTACCGGGGCGCGATGGGGATCCTGCTGGTCTACGACGTCACCGACGAGAGGTCATTCAACAGTGCGTTACCCCAAACCCACAACAAATCCCTATTCTTGCTACGTGACTGACCGCCGTTCCTCAAACAGACATCCGCACGTGGTTCGCCAACGTGGAGCAGCACGCGACAGAGGGCGTCAACAAGATCCTGATCGGCAACAAGTGCGACTGGGAGGAGAAGCGGGTGGTGTCGACGGAGCGCGGCCAGCAACTGGCCGACGAGCTGGGCATCCCCTTCCTCGAGGTTTCCGCCAAGACCAACAACAACATCGACAAGGCCTTCTACAGCCTGGCCGCCGACATCAAGAAGCGCATCATCGACACATCCAAGCCAGACCAGGCCGGCGCTGGGCCGGCGGTGAATGTCGGTGAGCAGAGCGGGGCCGGGGGCGGTGGGAAGTGCTGTTAGGCGGTCTGAGGGAGGGGGAGGTGGGAGGAAGGGGAGCAGGGTTGGTTGGTTGAGTGTACCTCGGAGCGGTATGGCATGGCACGCACCCGTCACGACAGCTTTATGACGAACCATGATGATCTCGAAAGCGCTATTTCCGAAACCCCTTTTTTCACTCCATGTGTAGACAGCCGTTTTGGAGCCGCTCTACCACGACCTACGCCCACTACGGAGACACGCATGCAACGATCTCGATTACTGGATTCCGCCTACTCAAGTTACCACAACACCACCGGCGGGAGGCTTTTGCGGTATCTCGACAGGGCGCTCTAGGGAATCAAGAGGGGAGGAAGGATAAAGAAGAGCGGGCGGCGGGGTGGGTGACAAACGATGGTCGGCCGCACCAAAGCGAGGGGAAAGGGCGAAGAGCTGTGGATGAGGATGGCCGCTTTACGGTTGCCTGGTTTTTGGTTCCATCTGCGCGGGCCCTTCTCGTCTCGTTTGTTTCGGTTCTATCATTTGCAGAGACGCATCTCTCGACTCGGCCGGCGGGGAGAGGGGACAAGTACCTCAGTAGGCAAGCCATCGAAGGGTTAGGCATCAGAGTAGAGTGCGGGGTGCGGAGAACGGGGAGCCGGGAGCCGGGAGCAATAGGTATTCTGGGCATGGAGTTTGGGGCTTTTCTTTTGTATGGACGTTTGGTACTAATACATTATTTCTTAAACTTGCTTTTTGAATGCTGTGTTGTGCGGTGATCGAGACCGGCCTCAGGTATCCGTTCACTCTCAGCCGTTCCACCCCCCCCCCCCCCCCCCCCCCCAACCTCTCTCCCAAAGCAACCTTGAAAGGAATGTGCCATGTGCCAAACGGTTGCTGGGGTATGTAACCGAAAGGTACGGTACGGGACAGCGTTCGTTTCAACCTTCCCGAGGAAACGCGTTTCTACAGAACAAGATCCGCACCACACCATCAGAGTGCCCGAGCTTTTCTTCCGTACACGATACCGTGGTTTCGACTTTTTTTTCTAGGGAAAACCGTCCAATACCCTTTTCGTTATTCGTACATTGGTGTTCTCAAGATTAATTTGTGGGGCATGCTTGTGAAATCCACTGAAATGGCACCCAGGGGCCCGCTGCGTTCCCCGGGCTGAGTCAACCGGGGGGCAGCGCTTCGCTCACTCATTCCCCGTCGGGCAGCTCTTGCCGTGAGGGAAGAAAGACAAATACCTTCCTATCTGGTCTACTAATCGGCTTTTACACTGCGATATCTGAATTTAGCGCTCTGAATTTTGTCCATTTACAAATCTCAACATCCGGCATCTCTAAAAATCAACTGCCATCAAAGAACAACCACTCCAATTTCACTCACACACAAACGACAACAATGGCGGGGTCAATACCACCACCAGGAGGCTGCTCGACCATCACAGAATGGCGCGCCCAGGCAGAAGCTATGAAGACTGCCGTTGCAGGGTTGCCAAATACTCCTAGTCATGAAAACACAGATGAGCTAGACTGGGACGACGACGAGATCGACAATGCATATGAGCCCCGGGATGGGCCTCGGGATGTCTGGGACTTCATCTCGGATGATGAGCTGGACGAAATCGATTTTGACAGCGGCGATCTGTTCGATGGTGTCGAAGGGGAGACCTCTAGCGCCTTTGATGCTCACTGGTTGGTGGCCAGATGCGCCGACATCTCCTCCCGGAAATCGGGCCTCACATCCAGTGCCTTGCAGGACCAGATCATGGACATCCTGGGCACCAGCAGGCCTGAGGGTGAACTCCAGTCATCATTAACAGACCTGGTGGGCTTCGACGATCTGGACTTCATCATCGACTTGGTCACCCACAGGTCCGAGATTGTCGCCTCGGTGGCATCGGAGAGCCTACGCGATGAGGAGACTGGCCAGGCTCCAAAGCTGCTGACCAAGGCTCAAAGGCGAGAGGCACTCCGGCGGAAAGACGCCGAACACAAAGCTGCTCCTCTGGCTGCGGTGCGCGAAAAGGAGGAGGATTACCCCCACGTTTACAAGACATACAAAGCCGGCAACACCCTAAGTCACACTGGTGCCAAATACAAACTACCGGTTGGCAGCCAGAGGCTGGAGTTTGAGAAATACGAGGAGTATGCGATACCAGCCGGAAACCCGGGCAAGCTCTGGCCCGGTCAGAAGCTCGTCAACATCTCGGAGATGGACGGGTTGTGCAGGAACACGTTCAAGGGATACAAGACACTCAACCGCATGCAGAGTTTAGTGTACCCAGTGGCGTACAGGACGAGCGAGAACATGCTCATCTGCGCCCCGACAGGTGCCGGAAAGACGGACGCAGCTATGCTCACGATTCTACACACCATTGGCCAGTACCTGACGCCGAGTCCCTTCGAGAACCACTCGACCACCGACTTCGCCGTGCAGGCGGAGGAGTTCAAGATTGTCTATGTTGCGCCCATGAAGGCGCTGGCAGCTGAGATTACTGGGAAGCTCAGCAAGCGGCTAGCATGGCTCGGGCTGCGTTGTCGCGAGTACACGGGCGACATGCACCTGACAAAGTCTGAAATCGTCCAGACGCAGGTCATTGTCACAACGCCCGAAAAGTGGGACGTTGTGACGAGGAAGGGGACTGGAGACACGGAACTGGTGCAAAAAGTGCGGCTGCTCATCATCGACGAGGTGCACATGCTCCACGATGAGAGAGGTGCCGTGCTCGAGTCCCTGGTCGCTCGAACGCAGCGGCAGGTCGAGAGCACTCAGTCGCTGATCCGGATCGTTGGCCTGAGTGCCACGCTACCCAACTACATTGATGTAGCCGAGTTCTTGGGCGTCAACAAGAGGGCTGGACTGTTCTACTTTGATGCCTCCTTCAGGCCGGTCCCGCTCGAGCAACACTTCATCGGCGTCAAGGGCAAACCGAACAGCAAACAATCCCGGGACAACATCGACCAAGTGGCTTTCGAGAAGGTCCGCGAGATGTTGGGGCGGGACCACCAGGTCATGGTCTTCGTTCACTCGCGACGAGATACCCAGGCAACTGCCAAGATGCTCCACGAGAAGGCCGTCGACGATGCTTGCGTTGGCTTGTTTGACCCCAGTAATCACGAAAGGTTCGAGATGGCTATGAAGGACGTCAGGTCAACCAAGGCCCGCGAGCTCCGGGATCTTATACCCAAGGGTTTGGGCATTCATCACGCCGGCATGGCTCGGTCCGACAGAAACCTTGTGGAGCGCCTGTTTTCGGAGGGTGTCATCAAGGTTCTCTGCTGTACGGCCACGCTTGCCTGGGGTGTCAACTTGCCCGCCGCGGCAGTCGTCATCAAGGGAACCCAGGTGTACAGCGCCCAGGACGGCAAGTTTGTTGATCTTGGGATCCTTGACGTCCTGCAAATCTTTGGTCGTGCTGGTCGTCCACAGTTCGAGGACGTCGGCATCGGCATGATTTGCACTACCCATGACAAGCTCCCCCACTACCTCACGGCTGTAACGGATCAGCTGCCTATCGAGTCTAGGTTCTCAGCCAAGCTTGTCGACAACCTGAACGCCGAGATTGCCTTGGGCACCGTCAACTCAGTAAACGACGCCGTGAAGTGGATTGGATACTCGTATCTGTTTGTCCGCATGAAGCGGAACCCGATGGCTTACGGTATCGAGTGGGACGAGTTTCAAGACGACCGCTCTCTGATTCTGAGACGACGCAAGCTAGTCATTGAGGCGGCCAGGACGCTCCAGAAAAACCAGATGGTCATCTTCAACGAACGCACCGAGGAACTGCGCAGCAAAGATATTGGTCGGATTGCCAGCCAGTTTTACATCCAACACACCAGCATACAAATTTTCAACTCGCTCATGAAACCCAGCTCCGAGGAAAGGGATATCCTGATGATGATCGCGATGAGTGGCGAGTTCGACAACATCCAGTCGAGGAATAACGAGGCTGACGAGCTGACCAATATGAGGAAGAACTCTCACTTTGTCCCCTACGACATCAAGGGTGGGATTGACCAAGCGCAGACGAAAACCAACATCTTGCTGCAATCCTACATCTCAAGAGGCCAACCGGAAGACTTTGCACTCACGAATGATTTGAATTACGTCGCCCAGCAAGCCGGGCGTATCTGCAGGGCTCTGTTCATGATCGCACTTAACCGACGATGGGGCTACCAGTGCTTGGTGCTGCTGACCATGGCCAAGTCCATCGAAAAGCGTCTATGGGCCTTCCAGCACCCTTTCCATCAGTTCGACCTCCCGAGACCCGTTCTGAGCAACCTCGATATGAAAGACTCCCTGTCTATCGAGTCCATGAGGGAGATGGAACCAGCGGAAATCGGGAACCTGGTCAACAACTACAAGATGGGCACCAAGATCTCGAAGCTCCTCGACAATTTCCCAACGTTGAGCGTTGAGGCTGAGATCGCGCCTCTGAACCGCGACGTCTTGAGGATCAAACTCTATCTTACGCCTGAGTTCCGCTGGAATGACCACCTTCACGGGACGTCTGAGTCGTACTACATCTGGGTTGAGAATTCGGACACGTCTGAGATTTACCACCACGAGTTCTTTCTTCTTAACCGGAGGAAACTCTACGATGACCACGAACTCAATTTCACCATCCCGCTTGCCGACCCACTCCCGGATCAAATCTACGTGAGAGCTGTCTCTGACCGTTGGCTCGGCGCCGAAACGGTGACGGCCGTCTCCTTCCAACATCTTATCCGGCCCGACACGGAAAGCGTCTACACGGAGCTCTTGAACCTCCAACCATTGCCAATCTCGGCGCTCAAGAACCAGGCGCTGGAAGATATCTATGCCCAACGCTTCCAGTTCTTCAACCCCATGCAAACCCAGCTGTTCCACACGCTATACCATCGCCCAGCCAACGTTCTCCTCGGTTCACCGACAGGCAGCGGCAAGACTGTCGCCGCCGAGCTGGCCATGTGGTGGGCGTTCCGCGAGCGGCCCGGTTCCAAGGTTGTGTACATCGCGCCCATGAAGGCGCTGGTGCGCGAGCGTGTCAAAGATTGGGGGGCTCGCCTTGCTAAGCCGCTGGGCTTGAAGCTCGTCGAGCTAACGGGTGACAACACTCCGGATACACGGACAATTCAGGATGCCGACATCATCATCACTACGCCCGAGAAGTGGGACGGTATCTCGCGTAGCTGGCAAACCAGAGGTTACGTCCGCAAGGTCAGTCTTGTCATTATTGACGAGATTCACTTGCTGGCGGGAGACCGTGGTCCGATTTTGGAGATTATTGTGTCCCGCATGAACTACATTGCGTCGTCCACCAAGAACGCCGTCCGGCTTTTGGGTATGTCGACGGCGTGCGCCAACGCTACTGATCTGGGCAACTGGCTGGGTGTCAAGGATGAGGGTTTGTTCAACTTTCGACATTCGGTCCGCCCCGTACCGTTGGAACTCTACATCGACGGCTTTCCCGAAGTGAGGGGTTTCTGTCCGTTGATGCAGTCCATGAACCGACCGACTTTCCTGGCGGTTTTAAACCACAGCCCTGAAAAGCCCGTCATTGTGTTCGTCCCGTCTCGTCGGCAAACTCGCCTTACCGCCAAGGACCTTATCAACCTTTGCGGCATGGAAGACAATCCGAGGCGTTTCCTTAGCATGGATGAGGATGATCTCCAGCTGAACCTCTCGCGTGTCAAGGACGAGGCGCTCAAAGAGGCGATCAGCTTCGGTATCGGTCTGCATCACGCTGGTCTTGTCGAGTCGGACCGTCAGTTGGCGGAGGAGCTCTTTTTGAACAACAAGATTCAGATCCTCATCGCTACCAGCACGCTTGCTTGGGGTGTCAACTTGCCCGCTCATCTCGTCGTCGTCAAGGGCACGCAGTACTACGATGCCAAAATTGAGGCCTACAAGGACATGGACTTGACCGATGTGCTGCAGATGTTGGGCCGTGCCGGTCGCCCACAATTCGACGACTCAGGTGTTGCCCGCATTTTCACGCAAGACTCGAAGAAGGACTTCTACAAGCACTTCCTGCATACGGGTTTCCCAGTCGAGTCTTCGCTCCACACGGTGCTCGACAACCATTTGTGTGCCGAAATCTGTGCCGAGACCATCATCACGAAGCAGGACGCTCTCGACTACCTGACCTGGACCTTTTTCTTCCGCCGTCTCCACAAGAACCCGTCCTACTACGGCCTCGAGATCTCTGCCGAAGAACACAACTCAACCACCGCGCAACAGATGGCCAACGAGTTCATGATATCTATGGTCGATTCCTCGCTGACGGAGCTGACTGATTCCAAGTGCGTTGAGGTTTATCCCAACGGCGACGTCGACCCAACGCCCCTCGGCAAGATCATGAGTTACTACTATCTCTCTCACAAAACCATCCGCCAGCTCGTCCAAAAGGCCAAGCCCCAAGCCTCGTTCCTGGATGCCCTCTCATGGATGTGCATTGCGACAGAATACGACGAGCTCCCGGTTCGGCACAACGAGGACCTCATCAACGCCGAACTGTCCCGCAACCTCACCTTCCCGGGTACCGCCTTCGACCTGCCCATGTGGGACCCCCATGTCAAGGCCTTCTTGCTCCTACAGGCACACATGTCGCGCATCACTCTGCCCATCACAGATTACGTCGGCGACCAGACCAGCGTGCTCGATCAAGCGATCCGCATCATCCAGGCCAGCATCGACGTCATGGCTGAGCTGGGCTACCTCAGCTCGATGCTCCAGTTCATCCGCCTCCTGCAGTGCGTCAAATCCGCCCACTGGCCCGACGAGAAGCCGGATTCCATACCCACCGGCGTGGCTACCGATCCCGAATCGGAACCACCATCCGCCCAAACCACGATATCGGCGCCGGCCAAGGGAACACCCAAACCCGCCCGCCCCCCAACCTCCCAAACCCGGCCCCCCCCCCAGAGGCACCCCATCCCTCCCCAAGCTCAACATCTCAGTAGACGACGTCAAAACCGGCTCTGTAACGGTCAACCTGCGCCGCCTCAACCCCGTCACGGAGCGCGAGGCGCGCATGCATGCGCCGCGCTTCCCCAAGCCGCAGACCGAGGGCTGGTTTGTCGTCGTCGGCGACTTTGCCCGCGACGAGGTCCTGGCCGTGAAGAGGGTCGGGTGGCGGCCGGGGAATAATAATAATAAGACTGCTGCGAGGGATGGGCGGAGGGCGGTCGTGGAGGTGGGCGAACGGCCTGCGGCGAGGGCCGTTGTGAAGGTGCCTGTTGATGGGGGTGGTGAGGGGGGAGAGGGGAGGGTGGTGGATGTCATGGTGCTGAGTGATGGGTATGTGGGCATGGAGTGGACGGTGAAGGGGGTGCGGTTGCCCTCGGCGCCGACGGTGGATGCGGGTGTGGCGGAGAAGAAGGGTGGTGGCGGCGGCGGCGGTGGTGGTGGTGGTGGGGGGGGGGTGGTCGGGGGAAGGAGGGGCTAGTATGTAGGGGTGTGTTGGCTGGGTTATGTCGGTGTTTGTTGAAGGTATGGCAGTTACCTTCGTGTATCCTTGACATGAGGTACTAGCGATGGCGTATGATGTTAAGCAGCACTTTGGTGAGAAATGAATGGCAGAAAACTTTGGCCAACGTCTCTTTCTTCAGAATGACGAAACACATGCATGGATACGTCAAGCGGTGTCTAATATGTATCGAGACAGTCAAACACCCTCGGGCGTGTGTTCACTCCTCTCAGATGACGTGCTTGTGACGTGCGCGCGTCGTTGAGTTGATGGACTGCTGCTGGCCCGGATGGTTATGCCCGACCAAAGGTAAAAATGGAAGGGGGGAAAAACATCGCAAGGAGACAAAAACATTGCACGGGGAGAGAGATATTTCAGCTCACTCCACCGCCGCGTACCCGGGCTTCCTGGCGTCTGCCACAAATCAGTCCTCGGTGGCACTGGTGTTGACCAGGAAAGCGAAACATCGACTGAGGCCCAGAATCAGGATGCTCACCCATTTGATGAGGACACCCCACAAACTGAGCACAGCTACAGCAGATTGATTGCACCCCCTGACCTCCCTGTTCTTCCCTCCCCTTTCGCGGTCACCATTTGCCTCTCGCCCTTCTTTTTCCCCCGTCGACGACAGGCACTCCCACTCACCACCATGATTCAAAGGACCAGCTGGCGAGAAATCGTCGATGTAATTGATAGAGAACTTCTCCTCGATTGGTGCCGCCGCGGACCGCCGGTATACGGCGAGAGCAATGGGCCGCTCAACATGAGCTCTGGCATAAATACCACTATGCTTTGGCACAGGCTGCTACTCTACACACAGAAAGAATCCCGAAGCGCTTAAAACTGAGACAAAACCCTTCCGCAAGACCACGCACATCGGCGTGGGCGGCTTCGGCCTCGTCCGGGGCCCTAGGGGAACTTGAGCGAGCAGGCGGAGGCGGTGACTATTGAGAAGTGTTGGTGGGGGCGAGTACGAGACCGTTGCTGACCTGGAGGCGGATGTGCAGGAGACATTGGGGGATGGGACAGACGGGTTTTACAGGGTTGAAGTTGATAGCGAGAGGGCGGTGAGAGAGCGGAAGGAGGAGTGTATGGAGTACACGAGGGCGGGTGGCGTGGATGAGTTTCCTTGAGGCTGAATGTATCTATTTTTTCATGAAGGGCTGGGTTCATCATCCGGTAGCACCCGACCCGAGGTATTTTTCCAATTTCCCGTCGCCAAATAGCTCCTGTCGGATCTTGGACGCCTTCTTCTTCTCCTCGAGGGCCATCTTCCTGACCTTCTTAGCATCAAGCAGCTGCTCCTTCTTCTTGGGCGGTGGCAGCCCCTTGGGCACCTGGATGCCGATGCCAAGCTTGTCGTCTTTCACTTTGGCTTTGACGGGGAACTTGATACCTTGCTGCTCTGAACCGAGCCCCTTACTGGCGTCGGGATCCCACCCGTACGTAGACAGGTAGGCGAGGCCCATACGGGAACGGTCCAGGGCCGACGGGGGTTGTGAGTGTGGGAGGCAGACCTGGTGTGCGAAGGACTGCGCGTGGGTGCCCCTGTCGGTCTTGAGCGGTAGCTTGCAGACGGTGCATGTTCCGTCCTGTAATGATTCGCCTTCTGAGACGCTACTGCTTGTAGGCGGTGCTGACTTGGGCCGGGTGACATCCTCGGAGAGGACCATGCTGAGATAGACATCGGCCACGTTCTGTTGCGGTTTGCCTGCTGCGGTATCATCGACTGATCTGAGTTTTCCTCCGCCCGACGCCGACACAAACGCTATCGGTTTTCTATGCAGTCCAGCTCCAAATGGGCGCTGGTGTTGAAGAGGGATCTCATCATAGTCGTCGTCGTCGCCGTTATTTTTGGGAGATGTCATTGTTGTGGGTTTTACTTCCGAATTCTAAGTTTAGATTTTCTTGTAAGAAAAGAAAAACGAATGAAACCTAGAACAGAAGGACCAATTCAAGATGGTACTTCCATCATCTCGGATGCTCTTGTCAGATGGAGATAAGCGAAGCTTGGTGTTGGTGGCAACAGAAAGCTTCTAGAATGCGGCCTCCCTCTCCCTGAAGACCCACTGAACATACCCCTGTTCTCGATCGTGGCACCCGCTAAAACGACACGCCCCACATGCGATTAGGGGCACCAAGCACCGACGTCAGCGCGCCCTGCCTCAGCTCGATCCTGGATCAAACCCTTCATCCGACACCTCCCAAACATCACCACCACAAACAACAAACCCAACCAATGCCCCAATAACACCGCCGCCTCAAAAAAATGCCGATCCCCTTCCTCGCCTCCCTCTACTTCGACGGCTACCCGCCCTGGCTGCCGGACCCCTACCTCCTCCTCAAATACAGCACCGCAGCGGCCACCATCACGCTGACAAAATGGTACACGGGCGGGCGGACCAACACGGCGGAGCGCAACATGCACGGGCGGGTCGTGCTCGTCACGGGCGGCACGTCGGGGATCGGGGCGGTGACGGCGTACGAGCTGGCGCGACGCGGCGCCCAGGTCGTGCTGCTGACGCGCCTGCCGCCCACCGACGCGTTCCTGGTCGAGTATGTCGACGACCTGCGCGCCCGCACGGGCAACAACATGATCTACGCCGAGCAGGTCGACCTCGCAGACCTCTACAGCGTGCGCCAGTTCGCCACCCGCTGGATCGATAACGCGCCGCCCCGCCGGCTGGATATGATTGTGCTGTGTGCCGCGACGATGGTGCCGCCGGGTGGGAAGCGTGTTGAGACGGCGGAGGGGGTGGAGGTGACGTGGATGGTGAATTATCTGGCGAATTTCCATCTGCTGGGGATTTTGAGCCCGGCGATCCGCGCCCAGCCGTTCGACCGCGACGTGCGGATTGTAATACCGACCTGCTCGAGCTACATCGCGTCACCGAAGTTGGATGCGGAGGTGGAGAGCAAGGACTGGACACCGCAGTGGGCGTATTCGCGGAGCAAGCTCGCGTTGATGGTCTTTGCCAGGGCGTATCAGAAGCACCTGGACTCGTATAAACGGCCGGATCAGCTGCCCATGACGGCGAGGGTGGTGCTTGTCGATCCTGGGCTGGCGCGCACGCCAGGCATGAGGAGATGGCTTTCAAGGGGGTCGCTGTTGGGGTTGTTGCTCTACTTGATCTTCTACGTTTTTGCTTGGCTGTTCCTGAAGAGCCCTGAGATGGCGGCGCAGTCACTGCTGTATGCGGTAATGGAAGGCAGCTTGGTGAGCGTGCCCGGGGGCAGGTTGATCAAGGAGTGTATGCAGATGGACTGCGCACGGAAAGATGTGGACGACGAAGAGGTGGCCAAGAAGCTGTGGGAGTCGAGCGACAAGCTGATCGAGCGAGTCGAGAAGCAGCAGGCAGTCAAAAGGGCCAAGGCAAAAAAGGAACAGGAGAAGAGAGAGGAGGAAGCCAAGAAGGCGGCCCAGGTCGAAGAGATTGAGTCTCTAGTCGGAGCTATCACCAGGAGCAAAGCCAAGTCGGCGAAGGTGACGGCGAAGGGGTCTAACGAGGCGCCCAAAAAGAACGGAAAGAAGGGAAAGTCTGCTGGGAATAACGCCAAGTAGTCAGTCTCGGAGTTGGCGATCGACTTGTTTACACCCCTGAATGTTCGGGGAGAGCACCCGGAGCTCCATCAGGATGGAACCGGCCAAGGACCCACTCGTCGTCGGTATTTCTGGAGCCGGCAGGCGGGGCCATCGAATCGGCAATCAACTGCACGTGAAGACAAGACGGGACGGACGTCATTGATGGGACGAGGATCTCTCCCGCAACACCAAAAGCATCACATTCAGCATGCAAATATCGAGGTCGAGGGTAACAAAAACTACTATCCCGGCGCATCGCAATCACTCGGCTATTTTTGCAAGCAGCCGACCCGATTGACTCTGATTGAGAAGCTTGACAAGCCGAGTTCAATCAACCTCGGCAAACACAATCTTAGGATACCAAGACCACTCTCGCGAACTTATTACCACGTCCACAATGGCAGCAGCCTTCGAGATACCGCCGCCGGCACCAGCAGCAGCGCCCGCACAGGAGTTGATGGTTCCCTGCCAGGCACTCTGGGGGCAACAAACACAGCGTCCACAGTACAACGCCTCCCATTGCCACCCTGTATTTTTCACAAACAAGCTGCGCCGGCCGCCATTCACCATTTTGCCAGGCCCGGAGTCCAGCCCGGTCGTGCACGGCTACGTCTACCAGGAAGGGCTGCGGGGGGTTGATAAATCGGCAGGGCCGCGGCTATGAGGAGAGGGGGGCTGTATTATTATCTCGGAGGGCGCTGGAGGAGAGGTTCAGTTGGCCATGCTATAACCGGATCGGGTGCACAGGCTTCTCACATGTACAGAGGTGCGATTGGGGGGGTTACGGGGATTTAGAATATATGTAATTCAACTTGTCTGCAACAGCCGATCTAAAAAAGGAAGGGAGGCGCAAAGTCCGCAAGGTATTCCCAAGTACGAATATACACAATCAGTAGTAAAACACAACTCGAAATGCTCCCGCTTCCGTCAAGAAAGCAGTGGCCTGGCCTATACCGTAGCACAGCCGAATTCCAACCCCCCCAAACGCCACGAACCCTTTGATCAATTGAACCCTACCTCAAGTCTGACCTGTTCAGACCACGCACCCACCCATCCCCTAATTCTTGACCGACACCACGATCGTCGCCACGATCAGCACGACCACAAACGCCAACAGCGCCATCAGCTTCACATTCTTCCACCACATCCGCCTCTTAATCCCCCGACTACGCACGCGGAACTCACTCGCGCCCTGACCCAGCCGATCCGTCTTATCAACAAGCAAATCAATACGCTCGCCGCGCTCGAGCAGCCCTTCGATGTTGCGGGTCATGACGCCGCGCACGTCGTCCATCTCGCGCCGCACGTTGCCCAGCGCGTCGTCCCGCCCCGCCGCCGTCGTCCCGTACTCCACCATCAGGCTGCGCGTGTCGCCGTTGAAGCTCGCGCTGCCGTAGTGGGGGAGGTCGGCAAAATCGGTGGATTCGGGCGGGTAGGCGGCGAGGAAGCGCCGCCGGAGCTCGACCAGGAAGCCGAAGGAGATGCGCCGGTTGACGGCGGCGGAGTCCGAGACGACTAGGTAGGTGAGCCCGCCTGCGCTGGATTGGGTGGCGGGGTATTCGGAGGGGGAGGCGGCGATGTAGTGGATGTGGTGGGTGCCGTGGGTGTAGGTCAGTTTTTGCGGGGAGCTGTGGTCGATCTTGGGGAGGATGAGGGCGGCGAGGGACGAGGTTTGGGAGGACGAGGTGGTGCACTCGGCGAGGATGGTGGTGTTGTAGGCGACGCATGCGCTGTGGAGAGAGAAGAGGGGTGGTTAATTTATCTGGTGGTGTTGCGGCTGGCATCGATTGGTACCTGAGGGGAGAGGAACGTACTAGAGCAGCGGTGTCGCCGGTGTGGATGAAGACGCCATTTTGGATTGGATTACTGCGTTGCCTGTATAGTGTCGCGGGTATTGGGTGTGGTATATCTCCCCCCCCCTTTTTTCGAGATGTCACTTCGGTTGGTTGCAAGAGGCGACTGGATCGGGTTCGCGGTTGGGAGAATGGAAGATGGAGGATGGAAACCGCTGAGCCGCTCTCGCCGCTGCACAATGACGGAGCAAGGCAGCGATCGGATGGGTGGGGCTCAGAGCACCGAAGCCAAGACACCCCCGTCTTGAGTTGGGAGGAGGAGGACCCAGAAACCCCTGCGTCTTGGCCCGTTGCGATAAGATAAGCATGGGGCCAAAAAAAGATTGAACCGACCCGCGTCTCACAGGCAAGAAGTTCTAATCTGTAGTGGGTGCAAGCAATCAATCCCACCCCTCGAACTTCCTACACCGACCACCAAGCACCAGCATGGTCCCATTTCCACACTCAACGCGGTCATGAAATCGTTGCTCGGGGCCGCCTGGAAACCCCCCAAACGCGTGGTGCACGTTGTACAGCGATGGCGGACTGCCAGACATAAACCTGTTTGTGCCTCCCTCTCTCTTCCCCCCTCCTCTCTCTTGCCCTTGCCCTCGCCCGCAAACCCATTCCACCGACTCCTCAACAGCGACCCCTCCCACTCGACTCCCTCTCTTGGTTCATCCTCTGACCTATCCTTGCCTCCTAGAGCTCCAAATACTCTCATCAGCACACCCGAGGCGGCGGCCTCTCCAAGCTGCCGCCCGATGGATTTCCGAAAAATCCCCATGCCGAGCGTTCATTGCGATCTGGGCTCCAGACTGAGGGGTCATCGGCGTCGCGGCGCCCGGCCTTCGTGACGCGGCGCAACTATCAACTCTTCAGCAACCTCGTCGAGTCACGCTTCGCCAAGGTCCTAGAGTCGATGGGTGCTTGGTCTGAGAAGCAGGAAGAATGGCGCTCCTTCGGTATTACCAGCCAGACCTTGCTGGACCGCGAGTCGGGCCTGTTCAAAATGGTGCTGAACAAGGCCTTCGAGCTGGCCACCGACGGCAGCAAGACGAGTCGCCAGGATAACCCGCTGTTCTGGAACCTGCGTAACGCCTTCATCCGTTCCGACGCCGCCGGCCTAGCCCGCGAGCTCAAGATCGGCTTCCAGACCTACCTCATGCGCAACCGTTTCCCCAAGACCATCAACGAGCTGCACCAAGCCCTCGCCGACATGCGCTTCCCCTACGAGTGGTACCCAGCCACCCGCATGATGCAGCGCACCGTCCATCTCCACGTCGGTCCCACCAACTCGGGCAAGACGTACAACGCCCTTCTGGCCCTCGAGAACTCGCGCACGGGCATTTACGCCGGCCCGCTACGCTTGCTGGCCCACGAGACTTACAGCCGCTTCACGGCCAAGGACAAGCCGTGCGCGCTGATCACGGGCGAGGAGATGAGGATCCCGAGCGACAAATCGGACACGTGGTTCCACAGCTGCACCGTCGAGATGGCGCCGCTCAACGCAAGGGTTGATGTCGCCGTTATCGACGAGATCCAGATGATCGCCGACGACGACCGTGGCTGGGCCTGGACCCAGGCCTTCCTCGGCGTCCAGGCCAAGGAGGTGCACCTGTGCGGAGAGGAGCGGGTGGTGCCGCTCATCCAGGACCTGTGCGCCAGGATCGGGGAGAAATGTGTGGTGCATCACTATAAGCGCCTCAACCCGCTCGAGGTCATGGACAAGAGCATGAAGGGCAAGTTCACCAACCTGCAGAAGGGAGACGCCATCATCGCCTTCTCCAAGGTCGCCATCCACCAGCTGAAGGTGGGTATCGAGAAGGCGACGGGCCGCCGGTGCGCCATCGTCTACGGCAGCCTGCCGCCCGAGACCCGCGCCAGCCAGGCCGCGCTCTTCAACGACCCCAACAACGAGTACGACTTCCTCGTCGCCAGCGATGCCATCGGCATGGGGCTGAACCTCGAGGTCAAGCGCGTCATCTTCGAGTCGAGCTTCAAGTTCGACGGCGTCAGCTTTCGCCACCTCACCACCCCGGAGATCAAGCAGATCGGCGGCCGTGCCGGGCGCTACAGGACCGCCGCGCAAGCCATCAAGGGCGACACGACCAAGCCGCCCCCGGGCCTCGTCTCGACGCTCGACGACGAAGACCTCGAGAACGTCGGCAAAGCATTCAAGCTCCAACCCGGGCCCATCCCCACCGCCGGCCTCTTCCCTCCCGCCTCCGTCATCGAGCGGTTCCACTCGTACTTCCCGGCCAAGACGCCCATCAGTTTTGTTCTCGCCCGGTTGCGTGAGATTGGTAGGCTGTCGCCGCGCTTCCACATGTGCAACTTCAACGAGGCCCTGGCGATTGCCGAGATCATCCGGGATTATGACCTGAGCATAACGGATCGCTGTGTATTTATCAAAGTGCCCATCAACCTGCGTGATCCCAAGCAGGTCAGGGCCCTGCAGTCGTTTGCCAACTGCGTCGCCGAGCTCGGCAGCGGCCGTCTCCTCGACTTTGACACCTTCGACCTCAACGTCCTCGACGAGGTCCGCCCCAGCATGGCCGCAGAGCAGGCCAAATATCTACAGCGGTTGGAGTCGCTGCACCAGACCATCACCATGTACCTCTGGCTGAGCTACCGCTACCAGGGCGTCTTCCAGAGCCAGAACCTCGCCTTCAAGGTCAAGACGCTGGTGGAGGAGAAGATTGCCAACCATCTCGAGAAGCTGAGCTTCACCGAAGACTGGCAGCGCCTCAAGAGACAGCGCGTGCGGAAGATGGGCAAGAAGCTCGGGAAGAAGGAGGCCACTCTGCTGGGGCCGGGCGAGGAGGATATCATGAACCCCGATGCCGAGGGGCTCGCAGACTGGGTCGGGGAGCAGAAGGACCTGTATCCGGAGACGGTCGCGGTGACGCCCGAGGGAGAAAAGGAGGGCGTCGAGGCGGGCGCGCAGGCCTGAGGGGTGGGGGTTGTGTATGATACCACGTGGTGGAGACGCATGTATATGGCGGCGTCTAAGACGGCGGTGTCACAAGGCGTTGTGTGTATGATACGGACGTGTGCATATGGAAAGCGTCAGGCATAGATGGACTTGGGATTGGAATAATCTCAAAAAGCGTTGAATTTTCGTTTGCATTTCAGGTTTCGTGTTATAATGTTAGGCACATCATCACACCGGCCATTTCCCCAATGAACCTGAGAATGGAAGAACGAATCCTCTGGGTATCGAAGATCGGGGTTCCAGTTATCCTGCGAATCCGACCGAGAACCCCACTACAAGCAAAATAGGAGCAGGAATTATTGATTACGTTCTCCTGTGTAAGAGAATTCGTCGTTGACTACCCTAACCCTCGCCCAACCCATCTCGCATGCAACCAAATGAGGTCATCCTCCCCCAGCTCCAACAACCCCGCGTCGGCTGCAGGCAACTTTGCAATTTTGTTGTTCCCCCGACATACTCTTGAGCAACCCAAATTCCGGTCAACTACCTACCGGGTTAGGAGCACACCAATCGTGCACCGGTCTAAAGTAAATTCGTTCATATAACTCACCCAGTGAGCCCATCGGATCATACCCACGAAGACGTCCGATTTACCCAACCCCGCGGCATTACAAACCCCAACTCAACCTCGTCCTCCAGCAACACATCTCTGCGGCTGGTCCTACAACCACCCAACCCGACCACCAAAAAAATAAAAACCAACCCACCGCCACCATGTCCACCACCACCGCCCCCACCGCCCCAACCGACCCCCCCTCCACAGCGCCCGCCTTCATCCCCCTCGAAGCCAACCCCGACCTCATGACCTCCCTCCTGCACACCCTCGGCCTCTCCCCCGCGCTCGCCATCCACGACGTCTACTCGCTAACCGACCCCTCCCTCCTCGCCTTCATCCCCCGCCCCGCCCTGGCCCTGCTCCTCGTCTTCCCCGTCTCCGCCGCCTACGAGTCCCACCGCCTCGCCGAGGACGCCCTGCGCGAGGAATATGCCGGCTCGGGACCGCAGGAGCCGGTGGTCTGGTTCCGGCAGACGATTCGCAATGCGTGTGGTTTGGTCGGGTTGTTGCACGCGGCGGCGAACGGGGCGGCGCGCGGGTTCGTGCGGGAGGGGAGTGAGTTGGGCAGGTTGCTGGGGGACGCGGTGCCGTTGGCGCCCGGGGAGAGGGCGCGGTTGTTGGAGCGGGACGAGGCGCTTGCGAGGGCGCATCGCGGGGTGGCGGAGAAGGGGGATACGACGGCGCCGGATGCGAGGGATGATGTGGATTTGCATTATGTGTGTTTTGTGAGGGGGGAGGATGGCGGGTTGTGGGAGCTGGATGGGCGGCGGAAGGGGCCGTTGAGGAGGGGGGATCTGGAGGGGGATGAGGATGTGTTGAGCGAGAAGGCGTTGGCGTTGGGGCCGCTGAAGTTTTTGGAGAGGGAGGCGGCGGATCTGAGGTTTAGCTGCGTTGCGCTGGCGGGGAGTCTGGATTAGGTTAGGTGGTGGTATGGTAGTAAGGGGGGGTGTGAGAGCCCTGATGGAGACTGGTGGTATGCGTTGTATTAGAACGAGGCCGTGGTTGCTTAATCGCCGTGCTAGATAGATGGGGTTTCGCCGACGTCCCGAGTTCAGAACTTGGCAGAGAAATCGGTTCTCAAACAACGAAGAGAAGTGTATTGCGTATTAATAATGTTTCAAGTGCATAAGCGCGTCTAAACACAATATCTTCGAAGCCATCTCGAAGGAGCCACCTCATCAGGGTATCAAAAACATACGTCCGGTCATGCCCGGCTTGGCCTTTTCCGCCGGAGAGCTGGCTGTCAGCCCCAAAAACCTCGACAGATACCGCCCTTTCCCATAGCCCGTTGTAACCTTGAAGACGCCATAAAACGGCAGCGGCTTCGCAAGTTGCCAGCGCCTCCTCCCACAAGACAAAAGGAAATACGTCAAAGATCGTCATAGCCATCCCTCTCCTGTCGAGATCGATGCCTCCCCCCTTAATTCACCGACCTCTTCCCCCGCAACACCGTCACCGACGCCTGCCCGGCCAACCTCCTCGCCCGCCTGACCTCCTTCCTCAGCCTCACGGCAGCGGCCACTTTGTCGTCGGCCTTCTTCTCTTCTTCAACTGTTCGGCCCTGCTCCAGTTGCCGTTCCTCCTGAAGCTGAAGCCCGTCTTGCGCCCCTTCGCGGCCTTCCAACCGACACAGCGCCGACAGCCGCCGCGTCCGCTTCTTCCTATGGTGGCGCCGCCGCCGCCGCGCGCCGCCCTCACACTCGTCCTCGACATAATCTGCCTCATACCCAGCGTCATACACATCGAGCTTGGTGGCATTATCGCAGTTGCAGTTGCAGTTGCGTTGTCGGCCCATCATCACCTCCTCTTCGTCCGACTCGGACGCAGTCTCATCATCAGCCGCCGTGTCCAGGATAAAGCGCCTCCTCCCGACCCCCGTGCCCTCTTTATCCCAGTCCCTGCTGCCCCAATCCCATCGGCCGGTGCTCATCCGCCTCCCGCCTGCCCTCCCGGTCGCAGCCCACCGCCGCGTATCGTCGCGCGTGGAGTCGTCACTGGCACCGTATAGCGGCGCCAAAGGGAGGGTCAGGGCGCTGTGGCGGTGCTTCGCCACGCGCGAGCGGGACGGTGGAAGGGATGCTGGGGGGAAGGGGTCGGCGAGGCCGGGCAGCTGCCCACCGACGCCGAAGCCTGAGTCCCGGAACAGCAGGTATTCCTCGCCTTCGGCAGTTGGCCGGCGGCGGTGGGTGTGGGATGTTGTTTTTATTGTTGTGTTGGCTGCTGCTGTGAGAGATTCGGCGTCGGAGGAGAGGTAGTCGTCGATGTTGAAATTGTCCGTTGCTGATGCTGCTGTTGCTGCTGGGATGGTGGTGGTGGTGGTTGCGTCTTCGTTGGTATTGCTGTCGTTGGGGTTGGGCTCGGGAGAGAGGTAGTCTTCTATGCTGAACGCTCTGCCCACTGCCGCTGTGTCCGGTGGGAAGGGTGTGATCTTGGTATGCTTGTTGTCCTCGTAATGGGACACAGAGTCCGAGTCGGAGTCGTGGGCGGTGGAGCACGTACGGGTGAAGGAGCGTGCGGACTTGAGTTTGGGCGAGGCGGTGCCGATGCTGAGGTCGACCGAGGTGTCCGCGGTATGGAGGGAGGGCGGACGGTTGTTAAAAGTGCTGGTGGAAATGCTCGCGGCGGTGCTGCTCTCGCAGGCCGTGGGTGTGCCCGAGGAGGCGGACCATCCGCGGGTGCTGCGGGTACGGATTGATGGTGGGAACCCAAGGGTTTGGTCGCCCAGTGAGGTAACGTCGGTATGGCCTCCCCCTTTGACCGGAAGCAAGGGGAGGAATTTTGGGGAGGAAGCATCGCCGTTGTCGAGGCTCCCAGCGGCGCAGTGCGTCGAACTCTCCGCCGCGCCTTGGACTTGATCCCCAGGCGCGGTTTTCGGAGGAGAAAGTGGGGTGGTATGGACGGTCTCCTCGCTGACAAGAGACGAGCCAGAGGACCGCAGGGTATACAGGCTGTGATTCCGGCGGGGAGGTGAGGTTGGCATCAGCATAGCCGATGAGCGGCGGGAGCGGTTGGCCGACCAGGCAGCGAAGTTGCTTGCGGGCGAGTCATCAGCGACACTGTCCTCCGGCACTGATGCTTCGGCTCTCTTTTTCGTGAGCTCGACGGAATCACGCAGAAGTCTCGTGGTGCGAGTCGTCGGGGCCGGTGTGGTCTTAGGGACCCGAGGCATAACCAGCTTGGGCGACTCGGGCGCTGCAGTCGTAGCATCCGACTTTTCAGCGTCCAGTGGGGGCGTCCGTGGTGAGGAGTCTCGAAGGTATGCGGAAGTTCGGTCGAACGGCAAGAACTTTATTTTTCCCAAGCCCGGCGGCAAGTAGGTGCTGACCGATCGGCGACGGGCGACGGACTCCTTACGAGATAGCTTTAGGTTTGGCATCAAAGGGCTTTCGGCAGCGGCATGGGCCGGCAAGACGTACTGACTCGGATGAGCCGACCTCCTCCGAACCCCCGCCTTGTACGGGTCCAGCTTCTTGGTACCGGCCATGTTTTCGGATTCGGTCCTTCTTGGCTGGGCGTAGAAGGCCTTGACATGCTCGGACCCAAGATCGCAACCATTCTGCCCCATGTTTCTCTCGGCAACATCTTCGCCGTAATCTCTAGCGCCGGCCGCCTGGACCCTCGCCCTCGAGTGGGCCGGGTTAATTTCAGACTGGGCATCGAGGAGATCCTTGAATGCCTTGTTGGGGTCCTGCCGGGAGTTGACCCGTGAGTGGCCTTTGGTGCGGCGAAATACACTCGTGATGCTGCTGATGGAACCGCGGGAGCCCGGCCGAGGTCCTGGAGCGGTGATCTCAGTCCGTGGTCCGCGGAAGGAGAGCGGCGGCGGCCTTTTCTGGCCGTTCCTCTTCACCCGCGGGTCGTCGTTTGAAGGGGCGGCGCTAGATGGGCGGTCACTCGGGGCCGTGCTCGGTCTCTCGACGCTCTCATCCCGGAACTGGGGTAGTCTCGGAGTAGGGGGTAGTTGCTCGTCCTCGGAGGCGGTATCTAGCGTGAGCACTGTCTGGCTGAAGGCCGAACGCCCCCGAGAGAGGGGGGGTTCGGCGTACGAATTGCTGCCGGCAACGGAATATCCATCTGCTGCTGAGGGTCAAACCACATGCACGATACCGGGGTATGGATGCTACTAACCTAAAGTGGGTGTTTCCACGGAAAAACTGGAATCGTAGGGCAGGGCCTTCAAAGAGGCGCTCGATTTGCTCTTGTTGTCCCCAGTTCTCCGAGAAAGGAAGCTAAAGAGGCCCATTGTGACGGACGGCCTGCCATCAGCCGGTAACGGAGGGCAGCCCGGTGCCGTAACTCAAAGTGGCGTGAGACTGACTTTGAGAGCACACGTTGCTTGGTCCAGGACCGTCGTTGTACCGTGTGCACCGTGTGCTTCGTAATGGACGCCCTACGGAGCGCTCGGCAAGGTTGAGAATGCGGGAGTGAAGGACTCGGAGGTTTAGGGAAGTCGGGAGGAAAGACTGGGAGGAAAGGAGGAAGGGGCCGAGTCAAGTGAGGTCGGGTTGGCAAGGATACATCAGCTGAAGGCAGAAGACACGGGATGGCCGTCCGAGGGTAGGCTTGTTGATGAAGCCTACCACCCTACACACACAGTACTGGGGACCCATCGGGCCGCATGAGGGCTGCGTTCGTTGGGGTGGGACAAGGCCCAGTGACCCCTGGAACGGGAGGCGCACATCCCCTGTCGAATTTGTTGATCCGTAACAAGCAGCCGGAGCCGGGAAGGTGCATGTAGTCGTCATATCTTGACGGGGGGCTATCCCTGGGTTGCTCACCCATGGTGTCATGGTGAGTGAAGCAAGCAGACCATGCATCCATGGAAATCGACTGCAAACTCGACGAGACCGTACGACGTCAGAGAGAGAGTGAGAACGGCGGCTCGGCGGCGACTCGTGTGCGCGCATGGACGCCTCGACGCCACGGGTTGTTTCCTTTTGCTCGAACAGAGCTTGCATGGTCGCCACGGCGTTCCCAGCCTATCGCAAGTCGCTAATGGCGGTGCATGGCATCCGCATCTGCAGGTCCGCGGGTTGTCATGGGCCTCGTGTTGAAGAATCCACAAAATCCACCCTCTCACCTTCTTCCTCCCCCGAGCCACTGCTGCCACCGCCTGTGACAGCCCGTCTTGCCCGTCTGTGCGTCTGCATCTTCGGGCTCGGGGGCTCGGTCGTGCAGAAGGCGGGGTTGGGTTGCATTTGGAAGGTCTGGACGTGTTTCGGCGCTAACCTGCTACTTTTTACTAATTAGTGTCCTCGCGCAGCTTGACAGGCTGTCGTGTCGGTTGAAACATTTTGCAGCATGGCGCGTTCGGGTGAGACACGCGCAGGTTTTGGACCGAAAGAACTGGTTACCTCGTTACGGAGTTTGATCCGATCCGTTTGCGTTGGAGTTTTGGTTTGAGGCATGAGAGTCCAAATGATTGTGGCAGCACGATTCATGCGTCGCACTAACCAACCCCTTCGAGATGGAATTGGCCCACGCGGTTTCGAGAAACGGTTGCCGTTTATCCAATTGCTTTTTTTCTTCTCTTCTGCCGTGTTCCGTCCCTGTTTGCAGGTCGTCAACTCACATGGCAGACCCTGGCTCGAGCCTGGTCCTTCGGATGCCAAGCTGGGTTCCCTGTCATGCTCTGATGTTCTTTCCGATCGTGCACGAGGTGGTCAAATCCACACGGTGTGGAAGCCACAGACCCTTCTTGGCAGGAGAAAGCGCGATGAGCGGCCAGTGACAAGGATTGACTGCCCCCACCTAATCTTGGCACCTCTTCCACCCCTGGCTCGGTCGATCGTGGGGATCGCCCTCTTGATCGCCTTTCGGCGATCTGGTAGGGTTACCTTTTGGGGGCACGCTGTCCAGGACAGGGGATTGAACATCTACTCCTCATAACTGTTCATCAATGTTGTCTATAGCAACGCGCCTGTATAGATGGCATATCCGAGTCATCCAAAGTCGAAGCGGTGAGCGACACGGGACAGGAAGGCGTTGACGATGGATGTTGTGAGACGTGCCGCAAATCAGGTTGCATATTCGTCCCACCGCTCGCACGAGTTTTAGGAAAGGGGAAAAGGGAGAGTGAGGGGAAATGGAGGAAAAGGCAAGGTAAATCCACCCCATCAAAAGGACTACGATCACGATCAGCGAGTCAAATGACGATGACGGTGAGAGTTGTGGGTTCATGGTGTTTTTTTTTCCCTTTCTTTTGCGACCTGGTCCTGGATGGGGGGCATTCGGAGGTGAGCTCCTGACCAGTGAAGCTGCAGCTGCGAGCTGAGCTTCACGGCGAAAAATGGGGGGAACTATTGAGACACACACGACAGACCATCGACGGCACTGAGATTCGCCACGGGATCGTCTCGGACACTCACTGCCGAGTACTAGTCCGCCAGTCTGTACTTTCCCAATCTTGGCGAACGGCGGTCAGGTGGGCAAAAAGAAATCCATCGAAGGAAAGTACGTTAGTGTACGGCACTGGCAGGCACAAACGCCTTCGACCTGCCGCTGCCGTGTACCTGCCCACTTCTTGTTGTTGGGGGAAATGACTCGATGCATTTCCCCGAGTCGCGGACTCGGATCCAACTGCTGTTTCCCGGAGTTATCGATGGTCAACTGCAGCCTCTTTCTCTCCGATGCCGTGTTTGTCCAACACACTCACGGTACACCATGTCTCGGGACGGCTGCCCAGTTACGAGTACAGTTGCCATTCCACGTGGTGATATCTCACAAAAAAAGCGATGTGGTCTGCCAAACTGACAGCCACAGTCCCGGGATGTTGAGGTTCTATTTTAGCCGTTAGGGATTCGTACGAAGTAACTGCCCGGTGTCACCCCGTAACTGCCATCCATCTGCAGTGTAGAATTGCCAGATGCAAGGCAAGATGATGAGCCCCCAACCCGCAGCTTCATCTCGTTTCCTTTTCCCTACATATGTATGCAACACTAAGTGCATGACCAGTTGCATATACACGAAATTGGCTTACACAATGAAGATGCTGGTACCGGAAGATCCGGAACCAAGGCGGCATATGTCTAGGACATTACTCCTTTTCTGACTGAAGTTCACAGGGCTACACCGAGTCCCGAATATGAACGGACCGACTGGAGGCGGAGTGTCTCGGGAGCAAAGACAACGTTCTACACTAAGCAGTTAAGCGGAAAATAGTTATTCACTCTCACCTCAAAAAGTTGAGCACAGTGAGTGTCTCATGAAAAGAGAGTTGGTCATAAAATCTCCATGTATGCATTGCAATAAAGTAACTAGAGTAACGAGGTAGAGTAACCAGGTATCTCCCCAAGCAACTAAGCCTCCTTAAAATCGCCAAACCATAAGCCAGGCAGGTGTCTCGTAGTCATCCCTTCGCCCTCTAAATCGCCGACCCATGATCCCCCCCTTCCAAACTCACCACCTCCTCCCCCTCCGCCGCCGGCTCCTCCAACACGCAAGCACAGCCATATGCCTTCCTAAACTCCTCCACATCCATCCCCTCCAGCACCTTAACCGCCTTCTTCGCCGCCGCAATCTTGCCATACCGTCCACTCGCAGCCACAGCATGCGCCAGCGTCAGGCCATGCACCCGCACAGCACACACCACCTGGGGTTTATCCAGATCAACCACCCCATGACCCGCCCCATCAGCGGCAGCAGCAGGTGGCAGATCCTTGACCAACAGCCGCCACTCACTGCAGCGCATGCGGCCCTGCATGACCCCCGCGAGAAAGGTAACCGGGTGCTTATTGGCAAAGGCATCATAGAGCCGCATGTCCTCAAAGAAGGGGCGGACATGATCCGCAAAGAAGGCACGCACCCGCCCAAAATCATAGCGACTGTCGACAAACACGGCACCGACGTATGCCTCGACCACGTCCGGGAGACACTTGGGCGGGCGCGAGCAGCGCACCCAAAAGTCGCGCGCAAACTCCCCCCCGGGCGGCCCGCCCCGCGCGACGGCCTCCTCGCGCGCCGCTTGCAGCGCCGTCTCGATTTCCGTCACGTACTCGGCGACCTCCTTCTGGATGGCGGGCGAGCAGTAGGCGACGGCGCGGTGGAAGCCCAGGTGCACGGCCAGGCAGCCCAGGAACTGGTTCGACACCATGGCCATCTTGTGCTCGGTCAGCCACTGGGGGTCGGCGCCCGGGAACCGGTGGAACAGGAACTCGACCGAGGCCATGTCCAGCAGCGCGTCGCCTAGGAACTCGAGTCGCTGGTAGGATGGTAGTCGTTCGTAGACCGAGGGGTAGGTCGGGTGCTGGAAGGCCGAGCGTAGTAATCGTGGGTGCGTGAAGGCGTAGCCCATGCGGGTGTGGAAGCGCGCCGCCATGTCGAGTTGGGTTGAGTTGCAGGGGGCGGTCTGCCAGGCCGGTGGGCGGTAGGCGGCGTAGTAGTCCTGGTAGCACGTCATGGCGTGGTTCTTGTCCCTGACCATGGTGGTGACGGCGCGGATGGCGAGGTCGAAGTTGGGCGGCGTCTGTTCCTGCGCGGTAAGGTAGGCCGCGCCGATGAGCGCCTCGCACACGTCGGCGATGGTCTTGTCCGCGAGGACGTGCTGCCGCTTGAGGTCCTTGCGCTTGCCCTTCTTCAGCGTCAGGCCCTCCGGGTACCAGCTCCGCCGGTCGAAGGCCATGGAGCGGACGTACTCTTCGAGTTTGACCTCGAGCGCGTTGTTGAAGAGGTTGCGGTTGCAGATCAGAAGCATGCGCTCGACGTGGTACTCGAACTCGGCCTTGTCCGGGATGAGGGTGAAGATGGAGATGGTGGTGGCCATCTTGAGGAAGCAGTCGCCGAGAAATTCCAGCCGCTCGTAGTTGTTGCCCATGCCGCTCTGGAAGTTGACCTGTTCCGCATCGTGCTCGCCCGAGTTGTCGCTGTCCTTGGTGAACGCCTCGAGCGCGAGGTCCGGTCGGACATCCAGATCAAGCATCTTGCACGCTTCGAGGGCGACGAGGTTCGAGTCGATGCGGTGCATGATGGCCGGGAAATTGTACGCCATGGCGACCATGTCCACCGGTAACTAGCTCAGTCAGCATCGGTCCGCAAACCCCATCTAATGGCACTTACCGGCGAGATTCTCAGGGGCTCCAGCACGAGGAAGCACGGTTTTGGCTCCAGATCATCATCCCCGATGTTGTCATCCAGCAGGTTGCGGCGGATGGGCAATACCTCCGCCTCGACAACCGGCTGGTCCTCCCTCGGAGTCAGGAACGTGCGTGACTTTGACCACGCGCTGAGGCTGTAGTTGAGAATGTCTTTCGTCTTGCAAGATACCCGCCAGGCCCTGTGGCCCGGGTCGACGATGCCCTCAGGGACCGGATCTGTCGACTTCATGTCATGGCGGCGGCCTCGCAGGAAGAACTTCCGGGAACCATCGTACGGATCAGCAACATACTTGTCCTTGAAGAAGTCATCCGGCTCGTTGAAAGTATAGGCAATGCGTTCGTTGTCCTGAATGAACGACACTGCGTTCCAATCGACGGCGCGGGTCGGCTCAGTCACAGACGGGAAGTCAGAGTCGTGTTGCATTAACGTTGGGGCGAGGAAATACGGAAGTTGGGCAGCGGTGGCCTCGTATTCCTTGCTGAAGACGTCCTTGAAGATGGTCAAGGTAACGGCGACCAGCCCTCGGATCTGATTGTCATCGAGTTCGAGCCGTCCGGGCAGCGGAACACAGTGAACTGCCGAGGAGCGGTTCTTTCCAAAGTAGAGTGGAAACGAAGCGATCTGTTGGATCGGCTGCCGGGTCAAGAAAATGATCGGAGAAGAACGGTGGCTGAGTGCGGCCGGGTCCGCTACGGTCAAGGCCATGGCAAAGAGCTCCATGGGCTCGCCTCGGGCAGACCAAAGCTCGGGCTTAATGCGCATCGTGTATTGCTCCTTCTTCTTGGAGCTTACAGCGAGACGAGCGTTGCGCATAGCGGGGAGCTGTTTGGTGAAGATGGGCCGCAGGTGCTCATCGAGATACTTGCGCTTGATAAGCATAAGACACATCTCATAGGCTGCCGAGCACTTGGCCACCGCCTTGCTCGCATATATCCTCCCGGTGGCGTTCCTGATAGGAGATGAGTCCGGTAGCGTCACCTCGCACTGGTAGCCGCCGGGGACGGGTAGGACGACGTAACCGGCTGTCAGGTTGACCTCGGGCGGGTGCGGGAGAGAAGCCACAAAGGCTGCCAGACATATCAAGCTCTGCTTGTAATTAAGCCTCGCGCCGGTTTCCGGGACGGTGTACTGCCTCTGACCCTTTTCCTTGCGCAGGAAGTAATCCATGTCGAAGTTGTTTCCGGTGAGCTTTCTGTCTTCGGGCAGGGCCTCGCAAAACTTTCGGAGGGCGTCTTCGTTCTCTTGGTTCTGACTTAACTTCTTTACATGTTCTGCGTTCCCCGATTCGGCCATGTGAATGTATATCGACCCCTCCTGGCGAGCTCTTCCGCGGGACTGGATGTACTGGATCAGGGTGTTGTTGAGGTCGTATCTGAGGATGACGTTGCAGTCCGGGATGTCGAGCCCTTCCTCGGCCACGGAAGTGGCAAAGATGCAGTTGAGCTCGCCTTTCTTGAACTTGATGATTGTCAAGACCTGGTCACGATAAGTCACTTTGGCGTTGTCGTAGCTCGCCTCAGGACGGCCGCCTCCAACCTGTTCCATGTTAGCATCACAACTTCCGGCTTAACTCCACTTCCACTTAGAGGTTTTCCTACCAGTATACCAGGCTTGAGGCCTGGAATTTCCATCCCCGGCTGCTGCAGCAGGTCGACGAGGAGTGAAGCAACGTTCCGCTGTTTGACGAACACAATACATCGCCGCTTGTGGTCGACGCCGCGGAACTGACCTCGGAGAATCCTCAGCAGTATGATGACCTTGGACGAGAGTAGGTCGAGACTCGGAGGTGCGAAGTCGTGCTGATCCACTATCCTATGCGCCTCCCGCACCTTGTCAATGTGCGCGGCTATTTCTTGGCTATACGCGGATTGACGGAGAACCTCTCTCTGCGTCTTGGACTCCAGTTTGGCCACCTCATCGTTCCTAAAGAAAAGCTGCCAGTACCGGTCGGCGCACCAGGGGCCAAGCTCCGCTGCTGCCGCGGCAGTGAAGGCAAAAGGCTTCTGGAACACGCGATGGTCACCGACCAGATCCTTCAGGGCTTGGTTGAGTTTGGTGTCCCACTCTGGCGGACGCTTGCCATACACAGCTATCACCTCGCTCTTTAGCTTGGTTGAGCTGTTCTGAAGAGCGGTTGGGTCAGCAACAGTGGCAATCTGACTGTGAAGGAGGCCTTCGAGCTCGGCGGCGGCGATCTTTGGGTCGATCTGGGCATCGACAGGAGAGGCGGTCATGCCGAGGATGCGCGGCCTCTTTTCTCGGTCCTCCACTTGGGCGTAGAAGTCCTTGATGATACGAGCGTATGGATGGTTCTTCTTGGTGTGGTGGGCCTCGTCAAAGACCAGAAGGTTTATCTGGTCCATCCGGATGTAGGAGTGAGTGAGGCATTGGTAAAGAATCTCAGCCGTGCAGATGATGGCCATGTTCTCGTCGAAGGTCTTGTGCCAAAAGTCTTTGGACACGTCCTCGACCATGTCACCACAGAACTTCTCGACGGGGTAGTCCAGATTGCAGGCCAGGACGGCATGCTGCTGGAACACGAGAGCCACCTTGTCGACAAGGAAGAAGGCAATACGCTTGGGGAGGCCTTTGGACCGATCCTCCAGTTCGTTTTGGATGACCCATCGCAAGAGCAAGGCCGCGATCAGGGTCTTGCCAGAGCCTGGGGAGTGCCAGTGTCAGCCGCGCGGTCTACAAGGATGAAACAGCCTGGATGATGTCTCACCCGTGTCGAGCACAGCAATCGTGTTCTGCATCTTTGCCCGCTCGAAAAGCTCGAGCTGGTAGTCGCGTGGGCTCGTGATGATGCGCTTGTTCTCAAAGTCCCTGATCAGCGACTGGAAAGTCTTGCCGTCGTCGTCGACAATAAATTTATCCAGGCCCTTGGAGAGGTCCTGCTGGTTCTCCTCGATCCACACGTCGAAGGCGGCATTATCTGCTCGTTTCATTTCCGAGATCTTGCGCGGCTTCCGCGCATCATTGATGACCCATTTTTTGGTGTCGTGGTCATCATCTTCTTGGTCGGTATTCTCGGCGTTGGCCAGAGCATCATCCGCGAGAGTATCAGGAGAGCCTTCAGACGAGCCGTTCGAAACTGGCTCATCCATATCCATCAAGTCAATATTCCCGATTGGGTGGTGTGACTGCAACTGCGGCCGTGCCGACGGCGCTTCTTCCATTTCCGTGTCCATCGTTGTTGTGGTGGTGTAGGAGTGGGAGTGTGCAAGAAGGAAATCTCGAGAGCAAGAAAGCAGGCGGGGCGGGGGTGGATAAAGTTTTCAAGAGATCGGCTCGGGCGAGCTATTCTAGAGATATCGGGTTTGTGGTTGTGATTGCGCGATGGAAGGAACGAGGAGAGTGAGGTGGCCTCGCTCTGTATGTGTGGGTGTTTGGGGGGTGGTGAATGACGAAGTTCTAGGCGAAGGGGATTGGAGTTTGTGTGTTTTGGAGTTTGCCAGAAACAGCTGCAGTCTCCCAGCGATAGTGAAATGGAAAATAAACCCCGATAGGTCAAATAAAGGAAAGCAAACGGAGCTGAGGCCTACCAGCGCCTGCAACAGTCCAATTCAGAGAACACGGATCGCGGCTGAAGAGTTGTGTGATGTTGCCAACTACGCCGAGTACGAAGTTCAAAGGAATAAGTAGGGTATTGAATAGAACTCACAATCACCAACCCACGATGCTAGAACTCGAGCTTAACTGCCGGGGGGGATTAGTCCATCAAAACGTCTCCTGGATCCGGCGGAGTGTTGAACATTAGGTAGTTGAGGCCCACCATCATGGACTGAGCCTCTCCAAAGTCCACTTATCGCTGCCATCCTCCCCCTTGGTACGGTCATACACGAACCGGTCATGCAACCGGCTTTGCCGCCCCTGCCAGAACTCGACCCGTTCTGGCACGATCCTCAACCCGCCCCAGAACTCAGGCACAGGTATGTGGTCGGCGCCCTCAAACCTAGCCTCGGTTTCCTTGACCCAGTTGTCCAGCATGGTCCGGCCGTCATCGCCCTCCACGGCCGCATCCGGCTGTAGCACCGCGCTCTGCCGGCTTGACCACGCCCCGATGCGGCTCCCCCTCACCCGCGTATCGAAATACGCCTGGCTCTCCGCAGCGGGGAGTCGTTCCGCCTTCCCCTCGACCCGGACCTGCCTCTCCAGCGGCTCCCACCAGAACACCAACGACGCCCATGGGTTCCCGGTGCTCGACCCGTCCTCTGTCCCAAACAAGTCCCGGGCTTTCCCGCTAGTGTCAAAGTTGCTGTAGATGACAAACCCCTTGGCGTCGAGCTCCTTCATGTACACCATGCGCGCCGACACGCGACCCGACGGCAGCTGCGCCGTGGACAGGGTGCAGGTCTCCGGGTGCGGGATACCCGACCCGGGTTGGGATGCCTCATCGAACCAGGCGTGGAACTGATGGATGGGATCGTTTGGAGCTAGGTCGGTCTTCTTTAGACCGCCGAGGTGCTCGGTCTTGAGGAACTGACCTGCCTGAGTTGGGACGATGGAGATCTCGAAAGATTGGGGTGCGCCTGCGGGGGCGACTGTGAGAGGAGAGGTGAGCAACATGATGAGCAGTCAAGTAGTCAATGGGCTAATTAGAGTAATTTAATGGCAACCTACATATTAGCTTGTCCCCATCTTGGGTTGGGTAGAGCGCCATTCTTGCTGGGTCCGGCAAAGTCCGTGATCCTCGAGCAAGGACAGGCCGTCGGCGTATTCGTAAACAGCAGAGGTTTAGGTATTGCTCATTAAAACCGAGAGCGTACCTGACTTTGGGGGGACGCAAGAGCTGGAACATGAGATGAAATGAGGTGAATTCACGCCCACCACTAACACTCCCTGCAATTGGAACCATTGAACTGGCCAAGTGAGCCAAGCTCTCAAGGGGCGGGGCCAGGGCCAGGCATGGTTTATTGACCCCACTTCTCTGCCTGCAAGAACGACCCCGCCATCATAGAGGTACGATAAGATAAGGTCCATCCAGACCTTCGTTCCTGTGGCCATGGAAAGATGAATTGAAACCAAATAAGTGTAACTTGAGTTTGGTATTTAACTTTGTCTACTACGATTTTGAACCCACCGCTCCACGCAAGATTTCCAAAAATTAGAGTCATGGACGACGAACCTCGGTCATTGAAGGCTGTCTTCACCGACGCCGAATCCAAACGCCTTTCCCTGTCGAACTCGCCATTCGCCCCAAACTCATCACAATACGCCGACACAGTATCTTCGGCAGTGAAACTCTACCGGGACTGCCTTACTCTCATTAGCGCGCTCTCTATCTTCAGCCCAAACGAGTCGCTCGAGGATCTGTCAACCAGTGACCTTCCCTTTCTCCTGATAAACTTCCACCTCGCCGAAATCACCCAAAAGCTTCCCTCTTCATCACCCCAAGAGCGCAAGCGCATCCTCTCTGCCGCCCGCGACGCCTACGAACGATACCTTCACCTCCTCGACAGCTACGACCTTCTATCACCCATCCATAAGAAAAGTCTCGAGCAATACACCGACGCGCCCACCACCTTCAGCACCGTAGCCACCTCGGACCCCGAAGCCCGCCGCAACGCCAAGATAGCCAACTTCAAGACGGAAAAGGAGCTCCGCACCAAGCTGGAATACCTCCGCCGCCGACCGGAGTATGGCACCGAAGACGACAGGAGCGGTGGGGCTATCGGTGGAGACGAGGACGCCGTCCGCGAAGTCCACCTCGCCCACCTCAACTACAGCACCCACATGAGCTTCCAAGCGCTCGAGGGGCTGAACCGGGAGTGGGAGATTCTCGCGCTGGCACCTCCCCCACAACCCTCACCTGGAGGCGGGCCCAACCTGCTGGAGGGAGAAGAACAAGACGATGCCCGCCGCAGGCAGCGCTACACGGCCGGGGGGCTAGGCGACAACTACAGCGACCGGCTGGACCAGCCGATGCGCGGCGGGTTGAACGGCAGCGGGCCGCTGCTGTCGAGGGAGGGCAAGCCGCTGCAGCCGTTCACGCTGCTGGGCAACCGGCAGGAGCTGGCGCGAGGCGTGTTCCGGCCGGGCCACAACCTGCCGACGATGACGATTGACGAGTACCTGGACGAGGAGCGGGCGCGGGGCGGCATCATCGAGGGCGGCGGCGAGGCGAGCTGGCACCGGCCCGAGCCGGACGAGGATGATATAGAGAAGGCCGATGCCGAGACCATGAAGGCGCGCGAGTGGGATGAGTTTGTGGAGGCGAATCCTAAGGGGAGCGGGAATACCTTGAATCGGGGGTAGGGCGTGTGGTTGAACAGATGATAGGTTTGAGTCGAGTATAATATTATCATCACGCTGTAACCAGTGCCGCGGTTGAGCATATTTACTACAGTTGTACCAACGGCATCCCTAGACTCTAGATTATTCATATTGCTAGACACGCGTGATATGGACCCGAGATGGTGATATGGACCCGAGATGGTGATATTTACGCTTCATGACCATGTGCTGTGTTCCTTTTATTTACTTTTCATGACTGCCCAAATCGATGAGAAGAGAAAGATAAGAATTAGAAAATAAGATACAAGAACAACATATGGGGAAAAAGAATGCAAGAAAGCAAACGGGAAAAGAAATAAGCCGAATCCAAAACCCGCCATCACAAAGATGCACCCAAACGCCAGCCCACGCTCTTCTACCCACCCCTCCATACCTAGGTATCTCAACGCACCACATCCCCCCCAACATCCTCAAACCCATCCACCGTCGAACTCCCATCATCCGAATCCGAATCCAAATCCAGCTCCATCTCATCCGAATCCCACCCCACCTCCACCTCCCCCTCCGCCCTTTTCTCTTCCCCCTCCAACTCGTCCACATACCGCTCAATCGCCACCCCCTGCGCCTGGTGCCCCGCCGGCTGCGCATACCGCGCCGCGGTGTACAGGCCGTCTTCGTCGTCACCGGATGTGAAGGCTTCCGAGGGGGTCCCTGCGATGCCCCCGCTGCGCCCCTCCGTCATGCTAGCCGGGGCGGTGGTGCTGGCGGTGCCGCTGCGCTGGGCGGCGAGGCTGCGGTGGTCGGCGGCGGTGCTGCTGGTGCCGGTCGGGGTGGGGGTGGCCATGACCCAGTCGTCGGTGCGGCTGCTGGTGCTGGTGCTGGTGCTGGTGCCGGTGCCGGTGCCGGTGGTCTTGCCGAGGGTGAGGTCGGCGAGGTCGAGGTCGGAGGGGGCGATGCTGGAGGGCGGGGCGACCGTGGAGGCGGTGGCAGTACCCGTGGTGAGGGTGCCCGAGGGGATGGTGTAGCCCGTGTGGTAGGCCGGGCCGGGCTCGGAGGGGCCCATGTCGGCCGGGGGGATGGCGGCCTGGAAGACGCCGCCGGAACCGTCGTCGAGGCCGTCGGCCCAGATGGGGAGGTAGGCTAGCTCGCGCTCGTCGAGGGAGAGGAGCAGGTGGTCGGAGAGGAAGAGGGGGATGCCGTTGGCGGACTCGTCCTCGCGCTGCGCGTGGCTGGGTAGGTGCTGCCCGCCTAGCAGCCGCACCTCGCGGCTGAGCTGGTGGTAGAAGTTGTCTAGGTTGACGGCGGCGAGCTCTGGGATTAGTTGGCCTGCCCCCATGTGGGCGAGGACTGCGGCTACGAGGGGGTTGGTGGCCGCCGGGTTGGGGGAGTCCGCCGCGGCGTTGATGATGGGGCCGGGGGCGGGGTCGTAGGGGGGCGCGACGGCTTCGGCGAGGGCGCGCTGCAGCTCGAGGTTGAAGCTGTCGGCGTGCATCCAGAGGGGCGTGCCGCCGTAGTTGTTCGCATTGAACTCGCTGCGGGGCTGGATGCAGATCAGATGGTCCCAGAAGAAGGGGGTGAGGAGCTTCTGGGCGGGTTTGAGGGTCCAGTAGAGGCTGATGAGGGGTTTGCGGCTGACACTGGGGATGTAGTGTTTGCGTTGGGCCTCGAGGAGTTCGTCGCGGCGGCTGTTGAGCGTATTGAACGAGTCGAGGTCGAGGGCGTTGTCGACCCATCCGTGGAAGGCAGCGAGGAGGGCGGCGGTCAGGGTTTTGTAGGTGATGGAGAGGACATGGTCGGGCGCAAAGCTAGCGGTGATGGCGGCGCCGTAGGCCTGGAGCTTGTCCCACTCTTGGATGGGGCCTGAGAGGTTGCTCAAGACATGGTCGGACCGGAGCATCTTGAGCGTCTCACCCATGCGGTCGGCAAATGCGTGGCTGGCGTACTCAACCGGATCGGAAGGGTAGTCGCCCCAGTCGTCTCGCTGGCGTTGGGCCCATGTCATTGGGGCCCGACGAGTTCCCGGATCCGACGAGGCGTAGTCGACAGCAAGTTCATTGACGAGGATCTTGAAGGCGGCGGTCAAGACGCTCGGGATCTTGAGTGAGTAGGCCAGCCGGAAGGCTATCTCCGGGCAGATCTCGATGAACTTGGTGTTTGGCGGTGCCACGAGCCATTGGGTGACGGGATCGACCTGGCTACGTTAGTCTCCTGATAAGTAGTGAAGTGGAAGATCTCAGAAACTTACCACAACCTGCGGCACCTCGAGAGAGATGGCCACCTGGGCAACGGTCCACAGGCGCACAGCCGAGTTTAGGAGAAGGCCATCGCCGTTGATGGCCTTGAGCACGCGGACGATAGCGACGCGGTGCCGAATGGGACAGTAGTCCTCTACCTTGCGCCACGAGGGTATGTGGCTTGGGCCATCGGCAGGATCGTCGACGATGCCGGGGAGTTGGTCCTTACATTGCCACTCAGCATAGTCTGTCAGGCCTGTATAGATGGTTAGCAAGGGAATTTTAACAACACCGGCAGTTACTGCCCACACGTGGCCATACGTACATGCAAGGTTCTTGCAGACATCGTCGTGTCCGAGGGTAAGGATGGCGCCGACAGCCTTGTTGGCCAGCGGGCGGGTAGGATGGCCGATGCCCTCCTCAAGAATGCTGTCGGGGTAATACTGGCCGGCTAGGAACCAGAGCTTGACCATCCGGGGCAGCCACAGCGCGGCAGTGAGATCGGCCAGTTCGGCCCCCTCCGCGGGGGGAGTGAAATCGAGGACGTACTTGATGCCGGGGGGCAACTGGACGTCACGCTCGAAACCAAACCGTCGGCGGAAGCGGGCCTGGGCCCTGGGAGCGAACATATCCTGGATCTTCTTGGAGCCTAGACTAGTGAGCTTGTCGTAGCTCATGCGGAGCTTGATGTCCTGGCCCCAACGCACGCCGTCGCAGGCGATGCTTGACCTGTCATCCTTGGGGAACGTCACGATGGCGAGTACTGTGTCTTGGTTGCCAGTCGTGGTCGGGCGCCGGGTCAAAGCGATCTCCATCAAGTGCGCGTCGATGGCATTTGATGTAGTTCGGTTCAGTTCGCGATTGTTGGCAGCTAGAGTGAAAGGGAAGGCATTGGCCCTGGACTGAGGGGAGGAGGAATTCATCCTCAAAATCCTAGGTATAGACCTCACTCGCGATTGACGGTGGTTGCTTCGGGGAGGAGCCGGAAGCCAGTTCTCTCTAGGAGAGGGTTCTTTTTTCTTTCTGAAATGGCAAAATAGTTTCGAGAGCCCGAAGTAGGTAGGTAGGTAGCCCCCTGTATGGTGCGATATTGACTGCTGAGCCGTCGAAGAAGAGAGGTTAAGTACCCCAAGGTAAGGCGGGGAGTTGTTCACAGCACGGCACGGCACCGCAAACCAGGTACAGCTGAGCAGAGCACCCGGAGGAGAGCCTTGCTCGTCCTCAAACAGTCTGTTGGGTGACCTTATTGGCCAGTCGAATCTGCAGAGAGTGAAAGCATGGGGGCCATGGTGGGCGAGAAGCGTCAAGGTTACAAAGTCATGGTCCGGTCAAAGACTCGAAGTTCCCCCACCATGCCCTCCCATGAGGGGTTCGTTGAGTCCAGGGCTGTCGCTCTTTGCAGGCTGCGCCACCGAACTGCCGGTCCAACTGTCCAACAGCGAGGACGCCTGGAGCGATGAATGGGTGCAGATCCAATCAGTGGCCATGGAAGCAGGGTTACGCAGCTGTCACACTGCCCGTTTGCTGTGTGCGACGAGTAATCTGTATCCGTACATCTTCTATTTCATGTCGACAAGGCTGCTGTAATCTGACTTGGGTGGTTTAACATCTAGAAGCCCAAGTCAGGCACCGAGGTCGGCCGTCAAGATGCTGGGACAAAGGACCCTTACCAGTGCATCTTTCTCATGATCCAGGTACCTTTCCCAGCACGACATCGGCCGTGTCAGAGCGAGTTGCGCGGCCATGGAAGCCGTCCTCAGTGACTCTTCCTAACTGTCATCGCATCAACAAACGGCCGTGACGCAGTTCAGTAAAAAAGAGTAATAAAAGCCCAAGGCACCAGCAGCCTGGTTCCATGTCAAGACTTTCATATTAATTGATAAGCCAATCGGGGCTTTGCCTGGCTGGGGGAAGTGGAGAGACACAACATATTACGAATAGTACTGTGGACAGCTGCTGCCTTCAAGAGGCATGCAATGGAACCCATGGGTCTCAGTAACGACATTCAACCTAAAGTGCTGAATTCGGTAAGTTACCTTACTGCCCGACGGTAACCGCCCATGCCTGCGAGCTCACGAAGCCTCGCTCGCTCTTGCTGGATGGACTGGGGCCAAGACATGCAGACGGTCAAGGGCCCGAGCTTTCAGCACGTTCTGGGCCCTGGCAGGCACGGCTGGCCCACATCCAAGGGAGATGGGACTTCCTTGGCTCTGGGGCAGCATTCATGGATCCCCTGTCGTGAGCATCATCTCGCCTCCACTGGCACGATGCTCTCGTGCTTCACCGAACGGGCTTGACGTAGCGCCGTATCCCGTCACGCCACGAGCTGTTTGTACGAAATATATAACTACGTAAACCTCCCGCTCAGACCTACCTGCCAGCCAGTTAGTCAGGAGGCTAGTCAATCAGCTGCTGGGGAAAGTTACCTTGACACATCCTCGGCGGGTATCCATTCCATGCTCTTCACCGCCATGTATCTGTAAAACCATTCGACACACACTTCCCTTCTTAACGTGTTCCACGAAACATTCTTTCCACAATTGTCGCGTGCTCGACTTCCTCATCAACCGAAAACCACACAAAAACTACGATACCATGGCAAACACAAACCCGCCTCGGCCAGCCCCGACGGCCTCACAAGCGTCCTCCCCTCTTCGTGTTTTCGCGTACGTGCCCTCCCTCCCCTTCTCCCAGCAAGCCTCACCCACAAGCCACCCCCCCCCCCCCCCCCCCCCTCACAACTCACAACCTCCATCCACCGCCCTCAACACCACGCCCACTTTGTGGGGGAAAAAAAGGAGAGACACCAAAAAAGAAAGAAATTAGGAAACAAAATAAACTAACATTCCCACCCCCCCCCCCAACCCCAGCCGCCACCCGCGCCTAACCATCGCCGGCCTCGCCATCGTCGGCACCTGCCTCGGCTTCCGCCACGTCGCCCGCTCCTTCCGTGAGAACGAGCTGCGCCAGCAGAGCATTCCCGGGAACCGCTACGTTAGCGTCGAGCGCAGCGGTGGGGGGTTGTAGGTTTGTCATGGAAGAGGTTGTGTTTGGTGGGGTTTTGGGGGTTGGGGGTTGTGGTGATGGGGGGTGTTTGAGTTTAGGGCTAGGCATGCGTGGGGAGCGAGGATATTCTATCTGGGGGTGATATAAGAGTGGGTGCGTGATGGGCGAGTGAAGGATATTGCGAGGATGATGGCTGCTGGGTTTGTTGTTGTTTTCTTCGGGGTGTATTTGGGATCATGGTCATGCATGGTTAGCGAGGGGAGAGGGTGGCAGCGGGGAGATTGATGATGATGGACGACTTCGCATTGGGAGCATGATACGATACCAAGAATGAGCGAAAGAGAGTTGAGTTATGCTGAATAGGTAGCTGCAATGAGAGCAGCTATTATACCAAACTTGCAATCTGACTTTTATTTTGCTTGCTCTGCCCTTTTCAACTGAAGAACGCAGAATCCAGGGAGCCAGCCATCATCCACGAAGGTCAAGCACACCACAGCCTCATCCCACCGCAACAGCACAGCAAAAAGGGCACCATACCAAACACCAAACCACATCAGAAACAAGCCAGCAAAAGCTCAGCGTTACGCGTTTTGAAGTGAGCCCGCAACCAGCCCCACCACAAACGGGGAGACTCGCTGCCCACTATGACCATGCCACATCATACCCATCCATGATACGTCCTATCGTATAGCAAAATGCCACCAGCACCAACCTCGATCCGCGCACATGGAGCAGGGAGACCAGTAAATGCACAAAACGCCGCCCAATGCACCCAGCCCGCACCATGCCAAAAAGAAAAAGAAAACAAGAAAAAAAAGGATGAAACCAACCATGCTTGCAAAACGCCGTCATCAAACCCCCTTTCTCACCTACTTAAAGCCATCCACCACACCCCCCTAGAGCGATATCCCCTTCGTCGACACGCTCTCGTCATCCCGACCGAGCGGCGACATGCCCATCTCGGTGCGGGGACTGAGACTCGCCCGCCCCCTCTCCTTCTCCTTCCCCTTCTCCCTCACCGCGCCCTTGATCCCCAGCCCAGCGGCGGGACCCTCGCCCCTCGGACTCCTCCACACGCCGGCGGTCCTCCTGCCGGGCGTCATCGTCGCTGACCTCCGTGGTGACGGCGTGGCCACAGCGGGGCTATTCCCACCACCGCCACCACCACCGCCACCACCACTCCCAACAACGCCCCTAACCCGCTTGGACCCGCTGATTAACCTCTCCCCCTCCCTTTCTCTCACGGCATCCCGCTCACGCTCCCGCCCCGCAACCTCAATGAGCGCCAGACCCGAAACCGAACTCGGATCCGACCCCACCACCACCCGCCCCCTTTCCATATGCTGCTGATACTGCTGCTGTTGCAGCTGCTCCCTCGGATGTGAATGATGATGATGCTGGGCATGCGGCTGGTGATAGCGCCCCCATGATCGCGCACCAGCAGTACCCACACCAACACCAACACCACCACCACCAGCATTCACAGCATTAGCAGCACCAACAACGCCCTCGTCCGAGTTCCACGCCGCCAATCCCGGCACCGACTTCCTCCGCCTACCGCCGCCGCCGCCGCCGGCGGGCGCCGCCGACGTCAGCGTGCGCATCTCGCGCACCATGTGGCCGAGGCTGGCCTCGAGGGACTGCATGCGCGCGAGCATCCGCCTGTCGACGTCGGTGCCGTTGCTGCGCGCGTCGTCCTGGCTGAGCGTCTCTCTGGCGTTCTCGTGGTTGGCATCGGCGTCGGCGGCGGTCGTCGTCGTCTCGAGGAGGTCCGCGAGGGAGCGCCGGCGGGGCGGGGGTACGCCGTTGGCGAAGCCGCTGTTGGGGATGTCCAGCGTGAGGCCCCCGGTGCTGCGATGCGGTGCCGTGGATTGCTGGATCATGGAGCGCGGGCGGGAGGCGAGGTAGAGGGCGCGGCGCGGGGAGCGGCGGCCGGCGCCTGGCGTCAGGGGGGTGGCGATGGGTGTGTGGCGCGTGCTGAGAGGGCGGGAGAAGGGCCCGCCCGAGGCCGAGGAGGAGCTGTACGGCTGGGAGTCTTCCGGTGCGTATAGGATTGTGTTGGTTGACAGTGTTCGGGTGTGGAGCGGTATCCGTCGAGAGGTTGTCGGGCGAGGGGAATCGACTGATAACTCAGCAGGGGCGAACCGGGCCGCAACCGGGGTTGTGAAGTAGTCCTCATCGATGGCATCCTCTCTTACCGGGCCGAGATCGTCCATGGCGTTCGTCATATCATCTCCCTCGTCCTCGTCATTGGTGACCAGCTCGTCGTCGCCGTCCGCATCCCCGTCCGTATTTTCCTTCACTTCGACGGCGTAATCCCGCCGCGCAATCCCGTCGTCGTAGATGGCGGGTGCCATTGGGTAGGGAGCATCCGAGATGAAATCGGCGGGGTCGCTCGCCGTTGACCTGATGTCCGAGTAGTGCTTTGGGATCCTCGACGGCCGCTCGCGGTTCATGCTCAGCCTTCTCAGCCAATCACTGCCCATTCTACTGTCGATGGTCGAATAGTTCTGCGGCGAGATGAGGCCGCCCCCGTCGTACTGGTCCATCCAGCTTCGAATCGCCGTTTGCGTCTTCCGTCGTTCGGTCCGCCTCTGCGACCTCATATCCGGTACACGCCGGAACACCTCTTCCAGCGCTTGATCCTTCTGGTAACCAACCACCGATTCCTCACGGACTCGGGCGCTGGGGCTGAAAACACCAGGGTCCGAAAACGCGTGCTGACGGCCGCGTGGTTTATCAACCAGATCCGTTGCCTCGTACATTTCGGGCGCGAGGAAGAGTTTCTCGTAACAGAAGATGCATAGCAGCAGTGGGAAATGGGTGGTTTTAATCACCACACGGTTGAACCGCACGTACTGTTCCATGCTCATGCAATATCTCAGCGGCATGAGAGCCCAGGCGAAGATATTGCCGGGGGCGACGTAAGAGAAGAGCGCGTCATTCTTTGCCATCGAGATTGTATTGATAGCGAAATTGAACCTGCATGTCGTCAGTGGTGAACTGATGATAATGTTTTGCGAGACCCACTGGTACTCCTGGCTCGCTCTAGAAGCGATGGACATGAACGAGTTGGCCAAGACGGTGATGAGAAGGGTTCTGGCAAGGGTTAGCCACTCCGTCGTGAGTGAGAGGAATAATACGATAGAGTGCCACTTACATGACCATAAAGTGACTGATGACAAGAAACAGGCCCATCAACGCCTTACCCATCCAGCCGTAGGATGGCCACCTAGGAAGGAAGCTCCGTTAGTTTCGGGAGCTCTACTCGTTTACAGGACAAACTTACAACTCCCAAGCAGATGAAGTAAATCCCATGAGCACTTGAAACATCTTGAAGGCCACCTCTGGAGCGTCGTCTTGGCTCTTGGAAGAGGCAAAGAAGACAAAAAAGCCGCTAAAGCAAATGACGATGAGGATAAAGACCGCAGCCAGGTCCACTGCGAGAAGCCGGAGGGATATCAGAAGCCTGGAGAAATTGCGGTAGTGGTCGAGCACGCCGAATATCCTCGGTAGCAAAAGGATGGCGTTGACAGCGAGGACATCGTAAGCGTTTTGATACCACTGGTGTGGGTCGAGAAGAAACACGCCGTAAATGCGCATGCAGTAGTAGACGATCAGCAGGAGCAAGATACCAAGGTCGAAGATGTTCCAGAAGCTCATGGCGTAAAACGAAAAGCCCTCTTCGTTGAACCCGACGAGCTCGTCGAGCATGAAGCCGGCACTCCAGAACCAGAAAACTAGCTCCAAGGTGGTGATTTTGCTCGATCTCTGACCCAAGACCGCGAGGAACAGAGAAATTAGGATGATTAGGGAGCAGGTTGAGAAGAGTCGCCGGTAGCGGGGCACACGAAGCCGAGACAGCCGAAAGAGAGAAGTCGTCCTTGGGTTGTATAAGGTTACAGGCCGCCGACCAGCGGCGAATGACTGGGACCGGACAGGCTCCTCTTTGGCTCGCTGCTCACCCAGTAACGGGGTGCGAATAGTGCTTTGGCGCCGCGACTGGTTGCTCCCCGCCGCACTCGGCACAGAGCCCTGGTGTTGAGGCTCCTCTCTGGGGGAAGAGAAGCTAATGGCGCCGTTCCAAATGGCTTCGAGTTGCTGAGTCACTAAGGGGTGGGAAAGGAACTGCTTGGCGGAGGCTCGGATGGCGACCTCAAGGGCTGAGGTTCGAAGAGTAGCCGGCTTTGGCCTCCCCCCTGGCGCGAGGGGCGTCTGCGAACCCGGGATGCCCTGGAGGGGGTAGAAGTCATAACAGAGCGCATCGATAAGCTCCCGGGTCGTGTACTCCTTCAGCAGCTTGACGGCCAGGAGCTCGCACACCTTTGCCCGTGTGGCACTTGTGCCTGCGTTCCCAGGGTACAACTGGCCCTCCTTCTCAAACTGGAGACAGTTTGCCAACAGAGCGTAAAGGGTGCCTCGACAAAAGTGTTGCGTACGAATCTGCTGCAGCATCGGCTTGACGAGGAACTGCGACACCTGGGGGGACCTGAGCTGTTCCCAACTCAGCGTGGTCTCGGTCCTCGCTTGAACAATGACGCGAATCGCGTGGGTCATGCTGTATATCGGAAGCGTGTCTGCAGAGCCTGGCAGTCAGAAAGCCGGCTGAACCAGAAGAAACGGGGGTTCGCACCTAGCTGGTTGCCGGTAAAAACAGGCAAGAGCCCAGTAGACCGGGCCAGGCCGTCCTCATCCTCCACCGGGCGCCCCTCGGTCGGGTACCGGGACCGGTCCCCGTCGTTGGACTCCTCCTCATCGTCGTCATCGTCATCGGCCTCGGTGAAGTCGGCGGTAGCATGAAGGTGCCTGCGGTATTCGGCAACAGAAGGGCGGGATGCAAAGTCCTGCTCGGGGTCCGGAGATCTTTCGGCTTGCGAGGTGATACCCTTGAAGGGTCGGAGGAGGGCAGACAACATCTTCTGGTGAGGTTGGGCGTGCCCCGGTGTGCTAGCAGAGACGAATGAACGCCATGGAGATTGTCGAATATTAAAGATTGGGGTCGGGGAGGTGCTTGGGAGTCAATGGCTGCGCGGGCGGTTCTCCCAATGTGTACCGCCGTCCTGGTTCCAGCTTACACAGTTGAGGCCGAAGAAAATGTCCACAATACAACAACAAAACAACTACCTTGGAGTGAAACAATTGATGACCTAAAAAGGCCTATTCCCTTTTCTCTTCCCACTCCAAGTTGCAGAGAACCCTCCCAAAGAGAAGATGGTTAGTGAGGCGCGTGGAGCGCGACTGGCGAGGAGCCAGGAAGGATGAGATGGAGCGAGCGTGGGTGGTGGGACGGGGCTAATAAGGGGCCCGCCGTGTCTGTCGACCGATCGCCTGATACATATGGGTCGGGGGTAGCTCCTCGGGAGGATGAAGGTGAGGAGGGTCAGCTGGGGAATCCCTGCACAGCGCTAAAACACGCCGACACCCTCCCGCGCTGCTGCCAACTTTAAAATCATGGAAGAGACCAGAAAGCCAGATCAGGACAGAGGGAAAGATCTCTTGGGTTTCGGGCCCCATCCTCCTCCTTTCTCCCATCCATCCTTCGGGCCACACCGCCAGAGCTCGACACTTTGCCTTGGTGGTCAGTTGGCGAATAGGGGAGCGTGAAGCGGCGGCTGTTGCATGCGCGCAGCAACGAATCGCGGGGTCAAGCCCGTCAAAGTGGGTGCCGCCAAGGAGGTTGGCGAAGGGGCTGCCCTGCTGGGATGGCGAACAGTCCACTCCATTGCAGGAATAGCGTCGTTGGACGGAACGCGGCATGTCGCGATACAAGTGGGCGGCCTGCCTGCTTTCGCCCACATGCCGCTCTTGTTGAGACCGCGCTTGTCTAACTCGGATCAAGCGATGCCGCCATGGCGCCCTCCCCGGGTGTCGTGGTAAACGCATGACCGCACCTTCGGTGGACGGTGGACGGTGAAAGCGCAGGGTCTTTCAGGGTAGGTTACACTGTTGTGGGTTGCATTTGGCGATATGCAGCAGTCGTCGCCTATCATCCCACATGCCGACCCTCCATTCGAGTCGAAGCTGTCCATCCTCCTGGTTTGTCGATCTCTCTTCTATCTCCGTCCGACGAAGAGAACGGAAAGGCGCAGATATGAAGAGGCAGGCTTGAGACATATTAAGCAAGGAGGAGCGGGGAGAATCGGCAGAACGCTCCAGATCGAATAACCGGAAACAGGAGCATCGAATCGACGTGGAAGAACCATGGCTTGAGTGACCCGGCTGCCAAGCAAGGAAACGCCATCATGTCTTCTGATGGCCGCCAACTGCAAGTGAGATCTGAGACTGTGAAACCGTTCTGTCTCAAGAGCTGGGCCCAAGAGATCAACAGGATGATGTGAACCTGGAAGTTGTCCCCCACGCCGCACAGACGAATCGGTCGCGTAATCCTCACCGTCCCATGTCTTGTTCCAGAGATGCGATGGCAGGGTAGCAATGGGATGGGAAAGAGGAAACCCGCGTGGCCCATGCCGTGCATTAGCGAGGGCGATGGGTTTCCACAGTGCGCTTCTGGTGGATGCAGAGGTTGTGACGCAAACATCCCGTCGAGATCGGTCGAGATGAGCTCTCGAAGTTTTCCTAAAATCGGAGTTGGTTGAGCGATGACCAATGGCGGGATGCCTGGCATGGATGTCAAGGACGCAGCTAGGCGGGCAGGAACGATGCAATCAGCCCACATCCCCAGAAAGAACGAGACTCAGTGCGCTCAACGAATGGAACAGTTTAGGTTAACACTCCCGCACGTTCATCTCAAAATACTCGGTACAATGGAAGATGCCGACACCCCCAGTCGAAAGCGTGAGGATACTCAAGGGCGTCACTCAGAAAAATCTCGAGGATACCAAACTGTTATTCGGCGTCTGGCACTTCTGAGTCTAATTCGTGGTTAGGCTACTTCCTGCATTCCTTTCAGATCTCTCAAAGCTGAAGGTGCTTGAGATGCTGAACCCTGCCGATGGATCTTCGGATTAAGGACCCCATCTTCGGCCCGCAGAAGCGCTCCCGGGTCCTCGACGCAGCACCAAGCTTTTAACCACGAACCCCCACGCAGTTATTCCAGCAAGGTCAGCAGGGGGCTGCTGGCTCAACGGGGGAGCGTCAACATGATCTCAACATCGAGAGCCTCCATGTTCGAATCCAAGATGGATCGAATAGTGTTGAAAACAAGCTAAGCTGAAAGGCTGAAGCTTTTTCGGCTTGTTTATTTATTTCCTTATTTTCGTCAATATTAGATTCATTGGATTCAGAAAAGCTATTTTTTTCAGGACAGCCTGTGTTCCAACCGTCGTGGGAACAAGGGATGTGAGGCTGTATCGAAAACACCAAATTTCTGATCGAGGAGGGTGCAAGATGCACCTGAAAAATCCGATCTCAGGCGGTCACAAAATCAGACTCGGTTGCAGCATAAACCTTGCTTGCCATGGTCGAGAACCCCACGAGAACAACCCCGCCAAAATGTGTCCTGCTGCTTTGATTGGACAATCACAAGAAAAGCCTGCCGGATTCAGTCCCTACCGCCATTTATCGGCCGCTGAGAGCCCCGCGCTAGCGCATCACCGCCCTGCAAAAAAGTTTGGTGGGGAGATGTCGTTTTGCCGTTCAGCGGGGCACTTGAAGTACAAATTTCTTCAACACCCGACCATTTTTGCCTCCCTCTGCTCCTGCTCCCCTCCTATTTGTGCAGAAGGGCTGGTGAAGCTGGATCATGACAATCTGCGGGTGAAAAACATATCACTTCTGGCATTCTTTTCAGCCAATTCTTACAGCAGCACCGTTGTGAGATTCTGATCCCCACGGTCCAGCGACTCCAGTTCCGCTCCGTCACATCCTCGCTCCCCACCACACGCGACCTCTCCGATCCTCGTTCTCGAGTACTCGCTCGCCCTTCTTTTTTTTCCCACCCACATACTTTTTTCCCATTACTCTTTTCTTTCCTTCCCGGGTATTGCCTCCCTTTCTCCGAGTCATAACTCGCAATGGCTACCACGCTCTTCCGGCCTGCCACGGCGCGCATCGCCACCCCCGAGACTCAAGAACTGGTCGCCCTTGAGCTCGAAGACGGTGCCGTCTACCAGGGCTACAGCTTCGGCGCGCCTAAGAGCATTTCTGGCGAGCTGGTCTTCCAGACGGGTTTGGTGGGGTATCCCGAGTCCATCACGGACCCCTCCTACCGCGGCCAGATCCTCGTCATCACCTTTCCCTTAGTCGGGAACTACGGTGTCCCCCCGAGGGAGTCGCTAGATGAGCTCCTCGGCAGCCTCCCTGCGCACTTCGAATCGTCGCAAATCCACATCGCCGGTCTAGTCACGGCTACATACGCGGGCGAAGACTTTTCTCACTTCCTCGCAAACTCATCCCTCGGGACATGGCTCAAGGAACAGGGCATCCCTGCCATGTACGGCGTAGACACTCGCGCCCTGACAAAGCGCATCCGCGAGAAGGGAAGCATGCTTGGTCGCATGCTTCTAGAAAAGCAGGGCTTGGCCAATGGTGTCAATGGCGACACTGACGGGTTCGAACTCCCGGGCGTGATGGGCGACTGGAAGCCCCGCTTCGAGTCGGTTGACTGGGTCAACCCCAACGAGAAGAACCTCGTAGCAGAGGGTGAGTGGGGGCTGCAAAAAGAGCTTGAGGTGGCCGGGAACCTAAAGCTAACGCCCTGCTAGTTTCTATCAAGGCGCCCAAACTGTACCGACCGTCCGAGGCCGAGGCCCTGAAGCACTCCTCAGGCCGCCCACTACGCATTCTCTGCCTCGATGTTGGTATGAAATACAACCAACTCAGATGCTTCCTGAAGCGTGGTGTGGAAGTCCTAGTCTGTCCCTGGGACTACGACTTTCGCAGCGAGACCTATGATGGCCTGTTTATTTCCAACGGGCCCGGCGACCCAGCGATTTTGGAGTCCACGGTCAAGCGCATCGCCGCAGCCCTCGAGGAAAACCGCACACCCGTTTTTGGTATCTGTTTGGGTCATCAGCTGCTCGCCCGGGCTGCTGGAGCCAAAACAACCAAGCTCAAGTTCGGTAACCGCGGGCACAATATTCCTTGCACCAGCTTGGTAACCGGCAAGTGCCATATCACCTCTCAAAACCACGGCTACGCCGTCGATGCCGCCACGCTTCCCGCCGGGTGGCAGGAGCTGTTTGTCAATGCCAACGACGGCAGTAACGAGGGCGTTATGCACGTTGACAGGCCGCACTTCAGCGTGCAGTTCCATCCTGAAAGCACCCCCGGCCCCAGGGACACCGAGTTCCTGTTCGACGTCTTTATCCAGACCGTCTCGAACTGTGCCGCCGACAGCAGTCTGCTGCAGAAGGGTGTCCATTTCCCCGGTGGTACGGTCGAGGAGAACAACAAGCTCCACCCTCGCGTTTCCGTCAAGAAAGTACTCGTGCTCGGCAGTGGTGGTCTCAGCATCGGTCAGGCTGGCGAATTCGACTACTCTGGTAGTCAAGCGATCAAGGCTTTGAAAGAGGAAGGCATCTACACCGTCCTCATCAACCCTAACATTGCAACCATTCAAACCTCCAAGGGTCTTGCCGACAAGGTCTACTTCCTGCCCGTCAATGCCGAGTTTGTGCGTAAGGTCATCCTTTACGAGAAGCCCGATGCTATCTACTGCACCTTTGGTGGCCAGACCGCCCTGTCGGTCGGTATCCAGCTCAAGGACGAGTTCGAGGCGCTCGGCGTCAAGGTTCTGGGAACGCCCATCGATACCATCATCACGACCGAGGACCGTGAGCTGTTCGCTCGGAGCATGGACTCGATCGGTGAGAAATGCGCCAAGTCCGCTTCCGCGAACAACGTCGAGGAGGCTATGAGGGTTGTCAAGGACATTGGCTTCCCCGTCATCGTCCGCGCCGCGTATGCCCTCGGTGGTCTCGGCAGTGGTTTCGCTAACAACGAAGCCGAGCTCCTTGATCTCTGCAACAAGGCTTTTGCTGCCAGCCCCCAAGTGCTGATCGAGCGCAGCATGAAAGGCTGGAAGGAGATCGAGTATGAGGTTGTCAGAGATTGCCAGGACAACTGCATCACTGTGTGCAACATGGAGAACTTTGATCCCCTCGGCATCCACACTGGCGACTCGATTGTCGTCGCCCCTTCTCAGACGCTCTCGGACGAAGACTACAACATGCTCCGGACGACGGCCGTTAACGTCATCCGCCACCTCGGAGTAGTCGGCGAGTGCAACATCCAATACGCGCTTAACCCCTTTTCCAAGGAGTATTGCATCATCGAAGTTAACGCTAGACTGTCTCGGTCTTCGGCCCTCGCTTCCAAGGCCACTGGTTACCCTCTCGCTTTCATTGCCGCCAAGCTGGGTCTCGGTATTCCCCTGAAGGAGATCAAGAACAGCGTCACCAAGGTCACTTGCGCCTGCTTCGAACCCTCCCTCGACTACGTCGTGGTCAAGATGCCCCGTTGGGATCTCAAGAAGTTCACCCGTGTCTCCACCCAGCTCGGCTCGTCCATGAAGAGTGTCGGCGAAGTCATGAGCATCGGCAGGACCTTCGAGGAAGCCATCCAGAAGGCCATCCGTGCCATTGACTTCCACAACCTCGGCTTCAACGAAACGCCAGCGCTCATGTCCATTGATGATGAGCTCCAAACCCCGTCCGATCAGCGCCTCTTTGCCATCGCAAACGCTATGGCAGCCGGATACTCGGTTGAGAGAATTTGGGAGTTGACCAAGATTGACAAGTGGTTCCTCGACAGGCTCAAGGGCCTGAACGACTTCGCCAAGAAGATGAAAGACTTGAAGGCTGGCGGCGCCACCCTCCGGCCCGGCATTCTCCTCCAGGCCAAGCAGTTGGGTTTCTGCGATCGCCAGATTGCCAAGTTCTGGGGCTCTACCGAGCTCGCCGTGCGTGGTATGCGTCTTGAGGCCGGCATTACTCCTTTCGTGAAGCAGATCGACACAGTGGCGGCCGAGTTCCCGGCCTACACCAACTACCTCTACCTCACCTACAACGCCAGCGAGCACGACGTCACGTTCGACGACAACGGCGTCATGGTGCTTGGTTCGGGCGTGTACCGTATTGGGTCCTCGGTTGAGTTCGACTGGTGCTCCGTGAGGGCAATTCGCACCCTTCGCGAGTCGAACTGCAAGACTATTATGGTTAATGTAAGTGTACCATTCCCCTTCCCCGCTTTTCCAGACAACAGCTCTCCCACCCAACTCTCACGTTCACAAATGATACCGACCTTGTTTCCATTTTCTACAAGCATTCTTCCAGTCCCTTGGTCTTGACCCTTCCGCGCGGGGCTTGACCTTTCCGCGCGGGGCTTGACCTTTCCGCGCGGGGCTTGACCTTTCCGCGCAGGGCTTGACCCTTCCGCGCGGGGTTTGACCCCTCCGCGGCCGCCTTAAAACGTCGCCGCGAAGGAGACCCAAACAGACCCTGATCACTCTCTTTCCTTTACAAGAATTAGTTAGAACAATGCTAACATAAGTCGAGATGAACCCGGAAACGGTCTCCACAGATTATGACGAGGCCGACAAGCTGTACTTTGAGAACATTCTCATGGAGACGGTCTTGGATATCTACGAGGTCGAGTCTGCGCGCGGTGTTCTCGGAGCCATGGGCGGCCAGACGCCAAACAACATCGCGCTGCCGCTCCTGCGTGCTGGTGTCCACGTGCTCGGTACTTCCCCCGAGATGATCGACACTGCTGAGAATCGGTACAAGTTCTCTCGTATGCTCGATCGTATCGGTGTTGATCAGCCGACCTGGAAGGAGTTGACAAGCTTTGAGGAGGCGAGGGCCTTCTGTCAAAAGGTCTCATACCCGGTATTGGTGCGCCCTTCCTACGTGCTCTCTGGTGCGGCGATGAACACCGTCTACTCGGAGCATGATTTGCAAAATTACCTACAGCAAGCCGCTGAGGTCTCACGCGACCATCCGGTTGTCATCACCAAGTACATCGAAAATGCCAAGGAGATTGAGATGGATGCCGTGGCCAAGGACGGCCAGGTCGTCGGTCACTTCATCTCGGAGCACGTCGAAAACGCCGGTGTCCACTCTGGCGATGCCACACTCATCGTCCCTCCACAGGATTTGTCCAAGACAACCATCAAGCGTATCGAGGAGGCGACCCGCAAGATCGGCGATGCCCTCAACGTCACAGGCCCCTTTAACATCCAGTTCATCGCCAAGGACAACGATATCAAAGTGATTGAGTGCAACGTTCGCGCCTCTCGCTCGTTCCCCTTTGTCTCCAAGGTCATGGGTGTTGACCTCATCGAGATGGCCACCAAGGCGATCATGAGCCTGCCGTTCGAAGAGTATCCCGAGATTCAATGTCCGCCGGACTGCGTGGGTGTCAAGGTCCCCCAGTTCAGCTTCTCGCGGCTCTCTGGCGCCGACCCCGTTCTTGGTGTCGAAATGGCTTCGACCGGTGAGGTCGCGTCCTTTGGTGCCGATAAGTACGAGGCGTACCTCAAAGCTTTGCTCTCGACGGGCTTCAAAGTTCCCAAGAACAACATCCTCCTCTCCATCGGCTCCTACAAGGACAAGGAGGAAATGCTGCCTTCGATCAAAAAGCTGCAGGAGATGGGCTACAAATTGTTTGCCACGGCCGGAACCGCAGACTTCCTCGGCACCCACGGTGTGCAGGTGCAGTATCTCGAGGTTCTCCCCAAGGGAGAGGACCAAAAATCCGAGTACTCGCTCTCGCAACATCTGGCCAAGAACATGATCGACTTGTACATTAACCTGCCTTCCAACAACAAGTACAGGCGCCCGGCCAACTATATGAGCAAGGGATACCAGACCCGCCGCATGGCTGTCGACTATCAGGTCCCGCTCGTCACCAACGTCAAGAACGCCAAGATTCTAATTGAAGCCCTCGCCCGGCATTTCGACCTCGACATCGGTGTCCGCGACTACCAGACAAGCCATCGCACTATCCAGCTACCCGGCCTAATTAACATCGCCGCTTTCGTTCCAGGCTTGGTCTCCAGGGACAGCGACGATCTCCAGCGTGTAACCCAGGCCTCCATTGCTGCCGGTTTCAGCATGATCCGAGTTATGCCCGTCGGCAAGGAGGGCTCGATCTCGGACGTCAAGTCGTTGAAGATCGCCCAGCAGAACAGCAAGCGCGGCGCATACTGTGACTTCAACTTGTCCATCGCGGCGACGTCGGACAACGCCCACCAAATCAGCCACGCTGTGGGCGAGGTCGGTTCCTTGTTCATCCCGTTCAACCACCTCTCGGACAACATCAGCAAGGTGGCCGCAGTGGAGGCACACTTTGAAGCCTGGCCTACACACAAGCCGATCATCACGGACGCGAGGACCACGGATCTCGCATCCATTCTGCTACTCGCCAGCCTGCACAGCCGCCGCGTCCACGTCACGGCGGTGACTACCAAGGACGACATCAAGCTCATTGCTCTCAGCAAGGAGAAGGGCCTCAAGGTCACCTGCGATGTCAGCATTTACTCGCTGCACCTGTCGCAGAAAGACTACCCTGGGTGCCAGTTCCTGCCCACAGCAGAAGACCAGGCTGCTCTCTGGGAGCATTTGGAGACTATCGACGTCTTCTCTATCGGCAGCCTGCCCTACCAGCTTGCTCACTTCCTAAAGAAGGATGCCGATGTGGCCGTCGGCATCGCTGATGCACTGCCTCTCCTTTTGACTTCGGTCGCCGAGGGCAAGCTTACTGTCGACGATGTCAAGGCCAAGCTTCACGACAACCCGAGGGAGATATTTGAGCTCCACGACCAACTCGGCGCAAGTTTGGAGGTCGAGATTGACCGCCCGTACACCCTCGAAACCGCCGGTTCTTGGACTCCCCTCACCGGGAAGGTTCTGAAGGCGACTATCCAGCGCGTCACATTTCAGGATCAGGTCGTATGCCTTGATGGTTCCATTGTTCCGACGCAACCAAGGGGCACCGACATGTCGACTCATGGGGCCATGCCTCCGAATGCCGCCATCTCGTCGCCCCCTGTTCGGCCTGTGCACCATCCCATGTCGCCTATCCTCGATGACCGTCGTCAGCTGCGGTCGGCCCATGGCAGGTCAAAGATGACGGAAAGCATGGGACCTCTTGCTCCCCTAGCTCGAACTCATGGCGTGGATGACCTCGCTCTCCCCTTGAGCATGCAACCGACCGTTTCACCGCTGCAGGATATGCTCTCTGCTCCGTCCTCGTTCAAGAAGGCGCACGTGTTGTCGGTCACGCAGTACACCCGTTCCGACCTGCGCCTTCTTTTCCACATTGCCCAGGAAATGCGTCTCGGCGTGCAGCGTGAAGGCGTCCTCGACATCCTTCGTGGTCGTCTGCTATGCACCCTCTTCTATGAGCCCTCGACGCGCACCTCGGCCTCGTTCGACGCAGCCATGCAGCGGCTCGGCGGCCGGACCATCGCCATCACGACGTCAACTTCGTCCGTTCAAAAGGGCGAGACCCTTCAGGACACGCTCCGCACGCTCGCCTGCTACGGCGATGCCGTCGTCATCCGCCACCCGGATGAGAAATGCGTCGACGTCGCCAAGAAGTACTCCCCCGTTCCCGTCATCAATGGCGGAAACGGCAGCAAGGAGCACCCGACCCAGGCCTTCCTCGACCTCTTCACCATCCGCGAGGAGCTCGGCACCATGCAGGGTCTCACCATCACCTTTGTCGGCGACCTCCTTCACGGGCGGACGGTGCACTCCCTCGTCTACCTACTCCGCCACTACCAGGTCAAGGTGCAGCTCGTCTCGCCCAAGACGCTGGCCTTGCCTGCGGCCGTCCGCCAGCAGCTTGTCGACTCCGGCGAGCTGCTCTCCGAGACGGAGGCGCTGACGCCGGAGATCCTGGGGCGGACGGATGTCCTGTACTGCACGCGCGTGCAAAAGGAGCGGTTCGAGAGCCCGAAGGAATACGAGGCGGTCAAGAACTCGTACCGCATCGATTATGGCACCCTGAAGCATGCCAAGTCCAACATGGTGGTGATGCACCCGCTGCCGAGAAACGAGGAGGTCGCGGAGGAGGTCGATTTCGACCAGCGCGCGGCTTATTTCAGACAGGTGAGTCCTCTCCTTTGGGGGGTGTATAACCCGTTAATTGTGTGAACGAATTGCTGACTTTGGTAACAGATGAGATATGGTCTCTACTGCCGCATGGCCTTGCTCGCGCTGGTCATGTCGTAGGGGCTGATTTGAATTGATAGAACGTGAATCTTGTTTTGTTTTGCTCTATATATACAGGATGGATCGGAAAAGCCAGCTGGTATTTGTTTTGGGTGGTGTTTTGCTTCCATGGTCAGGGAAAAGTTCTTGCTTCTGATAGCTAGACCAAAGGATCTGTTTGAGACTAATTCGGCCCGCGCCGCTGGTTCATGGTGATGGTGTATGTGATATGGATATATGTTTGGGGGTTGGTTGTTTTGATACTGGCGTACCTTGACTACCTACATGGTTTGGAGTGTTAGGGTGCGTTGCGCTGTGGATGTATGTATATGTGTATTAGTTCTGTAAGATATATATATATATATATATAACATGTCTCGGTGTTCTATTCCAACCTGTCTGGGCCCATCCGTTATTTGTTTGGAGCCACAGAGAAAAAAGACTCATACCATGGGAGCATTTTGTAATCGACGGACGGCTCAAACATGTCACAATAAACCTGGCCCGCTTTCTCCCTTTCCGAGTTATCACCAGGCCTGGGTCGTGGTGTCGACCGTGGGAACGAAACGAAAGCTATCCTGGAGCCCAAAAAAAAAAAAAAAACCCTATTTACTAATTGTTTTTAGTTTATCCGATTTCTTTTGTTTAATTCTTTTTGCTCAATTTCTTTTTATTTGTTCTTTTTGCTTGATTCCTTGCCCTTTGTTTCGAGTTCGGCTTTTTCGACCAGAGGGCGCCGACGCACCAACCCTAACCCTGTGTTCAGCACCACCCGCCAACCATTTGCGCGGAATTTCCAACTTGGATCTTCCAAGTTTCCAAGCTTCGAAGCTTCGGTCGAAGCTCAACACCAAAACCACTCGCCGTATCCAGCACCTCGATTCGGCTTCATTCACGCCCCGGGCAAGGGTACATCGACCGGGCCATTACGTGCACCATGGTCTAATCTCAACTGTATGTCGAATTGAGCATCGGTGCGTCCCAACGCCCCCAATTGACCCCTCCAAATCCCAATCCCTAACCCGACTCCCAGTGATCCCACTTCTCCCGCAACACGGGCACCACAACCAGCCCGAGCTCGAGCCCGAGCCCGAGCCCAAACCCAAGCCCGGCACCGAATCAACCCTCAAACCTCCCAACCCCCACCAACAACAACCAACCCAACCCATACCCAAAAAAGAAACCAACCATGCCCCCACCACACCTCCACCCGCGCTCGCGCATGACCTCCTCCCTCTTCGCCACCACCGTCCTCGCCAGCTTCCTCGTCGTCGCCCTGCCGCACATCCTGCCCTGTCCCGCGCCGCGCCGCGCGTATGCCGACGGCGGCGACATGGCTATGCAAGAACAACAGCAAGAAAACACTAGGGTGGTGAGGCGGGTGAGGAGGCGGAGGGGGGGTGAAGAAGCGGCTCGTGAGGGGGGGGTAGTGGGAGGAGGGGGGGTAGGTGAGGATGGGGTGGGTGCGGGTGTGGGTGTGGGTGTGGTGGAGTTTCGGCCGGGGATGGGGTCTGCGGGGGCGGGGGCGGGGGCGGCGCCGGAGGCTAAGAGGAGGGCGGGGAGGGAGTGTCCGGTTCCGAAGCCGGGGGGGATATTGGGGGAGTGGTTGGGGTTTCATGGTGGTAGTGGTGGTGGTGGTGGTGAAGGTGCAGGTGCTGGGGGGAAAGAGGGCGGGGAGAAGACCAGGCCGGTTAGGTGACGATGGATGGACGGGTTGGGAGCGTGGAAATACCAATGTGATGGGAGTCATGGAAAAGGGCGGCCGTACGGTTCGGAAGGTGCATACTCTTGAAAAGGATAGAGGTGGTACAAGGGCGCCGTGGATATTCGGTGGATATACCCTTGATGGCTATCTAGTGGCCATGATTCTGAATATGAAGCGACATTTGCAGTTCTCGACGGCATCCTTGGCCCGAACACCAGCGCACCACCCGGCAACCCCAGAGGCGAAAACCATTTGTTGGACATGAGCATCGTTCGGCCGAGACAGACGAGCTCAACAACCTAAGGTTCCAACTTCTCCATGCTCAGTTCCTCCTCGGCCGGTTCCAAGAGCGCAACCCGTGAGGGAACAAGGCAAGTGGGAAATACTCTCCCCGTCGAAACAGGCATCCCTTTACATCAAACGACTCCTCCAAGACCACGTCATGAACGGCCGGCTCACGGTACCGAGGATATCCGACGAAGGATAATGGCAAACTAACCTTGAGTACAACTTATCCGGCTTGATTGTCACGTCTAGAAACTATTATTGCCGGGAGCTGAACCATTATCATCTCCCATCCCACTTCCACGGTGCCGGAGCTAGCTTGCTAACTAAACGGACTTAAAGTCCCCATGATGGCCTTGGAAATTACCGAAACACGAATGAATGAAGGCTGATCGACTCGGCATACGTGGCTACAACTACGGCATCCTCGGCCTGCTGTTGCCGGTCTCGCCAGAACAAGCCGCGCTTGGCCCACGTTCTGATCTTCGTTCCACAACATACATCTCGATGTTAAAGGGGTTTCCTGGTAGCGACCCCGACTATGCACCTTCTTCGATCGCTTGGGATGACGCTGATGAGAGTGAATATTCCGCCCCCGATCCTCCTAAGCTATCATCGAGCACCGTTATACTCTTAACCCCTCTAACATCTTAGAGAGTATTCTTTTGGAACTTTCACCTTATGCTAGGTATCGGCGAGACGCCTGTTTTTGCGCATGGCTCGATAGCGGGACGGGTGGTGTTTCACGGCCGGTGGGAAGGGCTCTGCCATGCTCGACTCATCTTGGCTCTTCCCACGCTGCCGGCTTATACCGTTTCCCGTTTCATCGACATCCCATCATATCATCCTTATGATGAGATAGAGGCATGGACTTAGGAGAGGGTATATCATTTCATTCCTCTCCTTTTTCAGGCTAAGAACAAAAGGGTCTTTGGTTTCGCTTCCTGCGAGGCCTTCACGCCCGATCCATTCATTTTTGTCTCTTTTCAGTTCTTACGTTCATTCCCACGTGTTGTTTAGTCTAATTCGAGGTAAGTGGTGGTATTCCTCATCTTGAACTTCTACTTACCCACCAAAGCTGTGCTCGCCGTCCTTCATTTCTCACCAACGACGATTTCCCATTCTACAGACAGGTTTCTCACGATGAAGGTTCTGGGGCTCCTTCTTACCGCCGGCCTAGCGTCGGCACGCATCCACCTCCCACGCCAAGCTGGTATCAACAACCTCAACATCAGCAGCAGCGGTGGGTCAAACATTGGCGTCAACGGCGCGTCCAGCTTCAACCTGGCAGACTTCGATTTGGGTGAACTGGGCCTCGATGGTCTGGAGGTCGGCGGCCTGAATCTCGGTACTGTCGACCTCGGAAACCAGGACGTCATCGCCGATGCTATCCTGGCTATGCTCGGGGGCTTCTGCCTAGGCAATGCCCTCGACCGGAACAACATCTTGAGTTTTGGGTTCAACAATGACGTGGATCTGTTCTTCCAGCTTGCGCAGTTGATGCAACTCGAGCAGCTGGGATTCTTGGATTTAGGGGGTGTCCAGTCCCTGTTTAATAACGGGCAGGTCTTGGGCGGGTTCAACTTGGGTGAGTGCCTCTTTGTGCTGTTTGGTACTACACCGGGCATCAACGGCTAATACACCTCCCAGGCGTTTTCAAGCGCGAGGTCTCCGAGGCTAAAAAGATGATGAAGCGCACCAAGCTGCGGCGCGGCCAGAAGGCCAAGCGGCAGTGCGCCACGGAAGGTGTGGGCGCGGGCAATTCGGGGGCTGCGATCAATGACAACACCTTCAACATTGCCACGGCGCCCCCGGACACGTCCGCTACGGTAACCGCGACGGCTGACGATGCCGGCTTCACAATTGCCACCGTCCCCGATGAAGAGGCAGGATTCACCATCGCCACGGCACCAGGATCCTCGGTCGCCGTCTCGACAATGGTCGCTGCCAGTGCTACCCAGGTAGCTGAAACATCGCTGGCTTCCGCTTCTGCCGTCGCTATCGCCGCGTCAGATGCTGCCTCGGTTGCTACTCCTGCCGCCGAAGCAGCCGTGAGCGCCATTCCTGCGGCTGCCGCTTCTGTTGCGCCTGCTGCTGCTGCGGATTCCGTCGCTTCCGTCCCTGCTGCTGGTGCTTCTGCTGCCACTTCCGCGACGGCGGCGGCGGATGTTCCGGGAGGAGCCGATGACGTTGACCTGGCAGACCTCACACGTTAAAGGGGGTAGGGATGAGTCTGGGGTGGTGTCGTGTCTGGGGTTCAGCCTTGCTGGGCGGACGAGTTGAGTGGTGCCGGAATTCCCGGTGAAGACAGGGTTTATTTACGGCAGTCTTGGGCCCGTCTGATATGCCAAGTTATGGTGCCGTTTCTTTTTCTTTTTCTCTTTTTCTTTTCTTATTTTTTTGTTTTGTTTTGTGTACACAGACATAATCTTCTTTTGCTTGTTTACGGCACACAGATGGACCATAGACTGGCCTACCATAGTTATAATTCCATACATCAATTGAGAGGCGGGCCTTGAGATGAACTCGTAAACCCTACTCCCGGTTTCTAATTTTGGCTGCTAATACAATCATCTGAGCTCGACATATTTCCCCGGAAAATACCAACCTTCAAGTTCAGATGGACAACCCGATGATTCCGTACCTGCATTGCATGTGTGCAGAGAACCATCCAATAGGCGTGCTCTGTGCCGAGTGCCGTCCAAAGTTCTTGGGGCGTGATTGAACGACAGTGCCTGATATCCGAACGGCACTGGCCCCTTGGGAATCGGAAGCAGCGAGGTTCCGGTGGCCAAGGCAATGCCGTCAAGGGAGTTGCTTCACATTTGCCTGGGCGCACGGATCTGCGTCACAGCAGCACGGCTTCAACGGTGCAAAGTCAGGATTCACCAATGGGAAATCGCAACCAGACTCGAACAAATCTTGGCTTTGCTTGGCAGTCTAGGATCCGACGACGTGTGGGGTTAGCCTTTTCAGCCTCTTGCAACCTCCTGCGTTCCCCCAGGCAAAGCCCGGACATTTACCCAGGCTCCCCTGCACGGTTCACTCGAAAACTTCAGATTTGAAACAGAATGGCAACGGGTTGGGTCTTCATGATTCGATGATTGGGCTCGGCAATCGGATGCCGACTAACCTTAAGCCAAAAAGCCTAGCGTGGGAGTGGCGACCCCCAAGTCGTCCCTTCCTCCCCGTTCAACGGTCACGGCCGCCACAGTACCACCTTAGGTGGGTAAGGAAGGTGGTATCCGGCGCCGGCAGTTCTGTCGAGGGGCGGGTCACCACATGGCAGGTGCTCTGCTGTCTTGAGGTTCCTCCCAAGTCCAGTCTGTTCTTTCACTGCCAGTGCCATCATCTCAACATGAAACTAAAGTTGAACTCTGTCCGCTTCGTGTTGTTTACCTCTCTCCGTTGTCAAGTCTCCTCTCGAGTTTTCACACCGTCCATATTCGCCATCCTAAGGCGCCTTTTTTGGCGAAACAGTTCGAAACGGGTCCCTATTCTCGGCGTCGATCAGGGAAAGAAATCTCGAGTTTTTTCTTGCTGAAGCCGAGCGTACTGCTTAGTTCCCGTCCCCTGCCGTCAGACACCAGACGGTACTTGGCATTCCCCGCAGAATGCCTTCGGACGAGGAGTATCCCGTCCTCGACCCCCGGCTTCGACCGCACCCCACACTCCTCACATGCCTACCCAGACTCCCAGTTACAGCATGAAAGACCCGGCGTCGTGAACGCGCCACATGGGTCTGGTTTGCTTGGGATCATCCACGAACGCATGCCCATCGTGTTTCTCTTGGCAACGCCTCCTCTCTGTTGGGTTCGGCCGTGCGGTATTCCGCCCCCTCATCACGTTGCAGTCGGTCTTGAGCGCTTCTCGACTACCCTCCCTCCGGACGATGCCACATGCGGGCTCCCGGCGAATTTCTTGCCTCTCCCCTGCGTCTTCCTTCCCCCCCGTGAGTCTGGTTGGTCAAGACACCCTCGCTTCTCCTGCATCGTCTGCCCATCCCGGCACATCATGTTGGGCCCATCCATGGTGTTTTACCCGGCAGACTCCGTTGCGCCAAACACCTGACACGCCCGGATGACTTCTCACCCTCCCTTCCGAATAGACGTCCTGCTCCTGAAATCTTGGCGCGCGACTCCCGCTCATGCTATCCCATGCCGTGCTCTCTCGGTGGCGTTTGGTCTGGGTGCTGCTCCAGTTGACATATAAACTAAGTTGGCCGCCATTGACTTCTCCTCTTTTGTTTCCTCATCCACACTCACCACTCTAGCCTTCAAGACTCCGGTCAATATTCTCTTCAGTCGTTCATTCAGAGGTAAGCCCCGGGGCACCAGACCGACATCAACAAGACTGGAGGCTAACATCGGGTCCGGTAGCTGTGCTCGCTGTTCGCTTCACTCCTTCACATTTCTGAACATTTTTGAGGTATGAGAGCTTTGCACTCGTCAGATCAAACATATGGCTAACACGCCAGCAGCTGTGCTCTCAACTTTAATCCTTTAATTCTTGTTTTCGAGAACTCATATCTCTCCACCACCGACAAAATGAAGCCTGTTACCTTCATCATCTCTGCTCTCGCCACCCTGGCAGTCGCCGCCCCGACGGCTCCCGCGGCTCCCGCCACTGACCTCGAGACGCGCGCTTTCGAGTTCGACATCAACGCCTTCAATGGCCTCAAGAACTTCAACCAGGTCAACCTGAACTACCTGCTCAACATCAACTCCCTGCAGCTTGGCCTCCTCGGCAACCTGGCCAACGTCAACAACCTCAACATCCTGCAGTTCCAGGGCCTCTTCCAGCAGCAGAACTTCGACCTTCAAGGCCTTCTCCAGCTGCAGTCGCTGCACACCTTCCTGCAGATCCACCAGCTCGGCGTTCTCGGTGGATTTGACCTCGCCTCGCTTCAGCTCCAGCACCTCAACCTTGGCCTGCTCAACAACGTCGGTGTTCTCGATCTGCAGCAGTTCATTTCCCCCAACGTCGTCGGCCAGGTCCAGACGGTAGCTTCCCAACGTGAGTAGATTTCCTTCACCGTCTTCTTTTCTCCCTCCGGCGCGGATATCCTCTACCCCGTTACTTCCCTCGGCAAAACGCGGGCGTTCACACGAGACCCGAGCCGCGGTTTCCTTCAATCCTAACCTCCTCGCTCCGGGGGTCGGTGCCGGCAACTCGAACATCCCCGCTCCTGTCCCTGCCCCTAGCAGCGACGACGGCAGCAACGATGGTTTGGATGTCGTCACCGCTGCCGAGCAGGAGGCCCAGGAAGGAGGCAGCTCTATCGACTTCGACTAGAGCGGCCGTCTCGCAATCAGAGTCAACGATTTGCCAGAGACTCGCACCCAGATTTCGCTTGCTACCCGCCGCTCCCTACAAACGATAAAACCTCACATACTTCGGGATTTCGGATGGCTAATCTTGGGTTTTTTCTCGTTCAAGTCGTCACCCTCAAGGAGTAAAGAGTTCCGGTTTGCTTCTTCGACTCGCGCAGATACGACCACTCGCCACTACCGTTTTCAGCTCGCGTGTCCCCGAGCTGCGATGGCAGGATGGCAAGATAATTTTGGAAACGAGGATGGACTGGAAAGCTAGTGCGAACGTTGCTTGGTTTCATTATTCCCTGCTTTCTGGACAGAAGAGCAGGTTCAAGTCAAGGGAGCCAAACAGTGGGAAGACTAAAGATATCGATAATTTTGCTCACGCGCGGGGGACTTTCTGTTTATCTACCCTTCAGATCTCACGGACTTGATGAAGCATATTTATCTCGGTTTTCTGCGCCATCTTTCTGGTCCAGTCCCCCTTTTCTCTTTTTCCTTTTTTCTGGTACTAGTTTGTATTCCCTATTTCTTACTGTTTTTATGACCAAGCACGATGCTTTGTAGCTAGACGAGTCGGTATGAGAGATTTATCGCAGGGCTGGACTTTTGTTAAGGGGTGGAGGTGGCGGGTTAGTAGATTGGGTGGACGATTGAAGACGTTGGAAGCAGGCTCAGCAGAGTGAGGAGGGGGATTGGGATGCGGATAATCAACCGGATTGGTTCTCCTTGGATATCTTTGGTTCCCAGTTTTCGTCTTGCGTCTTCTTTCTGCTTGCCATGTGTGATATTCATGTGTGTATCTCTCTCTCCTTCCCCTTTTCTCAAGCAAAATGGAGTTCTGGTGGAATACTTCTAAAAGTCATACCGCCAACCAACTAAAAACTGAACCGGCTACCTAAGTCATGCAACAAATGAGATATGTGCGCTGTCTGTGGCAGTCTGGTAGTCCGAGGGGAAGACTAGCATGAAGTCAACATGCCAGGGGCCACCCGGCTTGCATCTGGCCCGAGGCCCCACAGACGCCGGGTGTCGGATCGGCGCGGGACGGCGGGAGAGGGTGGTATTGGTATGGTATGATCGGTTGACAGCTGTGGAGTGAGGACGTGCGTCCCCCCCGGAGGGAGTTAGCTGCCGAGATCTTGAGCCGAGGAATGCCGGATCGGATGGCACGGCTGGGAGTTGAAACACACGAGTTATGCTTATCCCTCGTCTGGTTCCTTGTTAGTTAGTCGGTGGTTGGGATGGCATCCTTGTAGTTACTTGGTAGAGGGATTTCGGACTCCAACCCGGGTCTGCGGTGACCATCCGTTCCTTTGACACCGCCGGGCATTTTCCACGCATGATGAGGCACACTTACTGTGTAAGGCTAGTTCGGGATGGTGAGTCCCGTGAGCAATAGAAAATAACTATTTCGAGTCCAGCATATGACCCAGGACGAGCACAAGATGTCTGATAAAGCTGCGTCTAGCGTACCTATTATATTAACTGTGCCCCTTTTATTTTCTCGCCGGCTAATAAAACTAATCTCTTCTCAACCACCTTCCTCCTCAAGGCGTGCGATATCTCATGCCTTGAGAAGCTTGACCAGCTCAGCAACGATGGCATCTCCTGCTTCTGCGGTGCCCGTGCTGCCGCCCATGTCCTTGGTTCTTAGCCCGGCGTCGATGGCAGCGCGGACGGCGTCCTCGACGATTTTAGCCTCATGGGCGAGATCCAGAGAGTACCGGAACATCATGGCCACGGAAAGGATGGTGCCAATGGGATTCTGGGAATGATGTCAGCTCTGTACTCGCAGCGAATGAATAGGAATCGCCCGAAACGGGGTCTTGACGCACGACAATCCCTTTCCCTGATATGTCCGGCGCGCTCCCTATCATCTGCGTTAGCGACTGATGTCTAGGTGGGGGCTCGAGTGAAGGATAGGAGTCTCACCATGGATCGGCTCATAGATAGAAGGCACTGGAGAGCTCGGAATCCCGCAGAGACTGGCGCTCGGGAGGAGCCCTATGCTTCCAGCTAAAGCGCTCGCCTCGTCGCTGAGAATATCCCCTAAAAGCTTATCAGCTAAACCGCCTTCGAGGTGGACGAGGGGCCTCGCTCACCTGCCAAGTTGGGCGCTAATAGAACGCCATTCAGCTTCGTCGGGTTCTTGACCATGATCATGGCCGCGCTGTCGATAAGCTGATGCTCAACCTTCAGATCAGGGAACTCGTTCTTATAAACCTCCTCGACCACACTACGCCAGAGCCTGCTTGTCGCCAGCACGTTTGCCTTATCTAGCGAGATAACCCGCGACTCTCCCCTAGTCCTGGCTAGGTGACCGCCCAGCCGCGCGATACGCTCGATTTCTGGTTTCGTATAAACAGCCGTGTCGAACGCATTGACTCCATCGTACTCTTTTCGCTCTCCGAAATACAAGCCCGAGGTTAACTCCCGGACCAACATCATGTCGATGCCGCGGCAGACAGACTCCTTTAGGGGGGAGGTCTCGACAAGGGCGTCGGACGGGAAGAAACAGGGACGGAGGTTTCCAAAGGCGCACATCTCGCTGCGTAGCTTGAGGAGGCCCTGCTCCGGGCGAACGGCGCCGGCACCCCATTCAGGGCCGCCAACGGCGCCGAGGAGCACAGCGTGGGCGGCTTTGGCGGCGGCGAGGGCCTTGTCTGTGAGGGGGACGCCGGTCTGGTCGATGGAGCACTGGCGAGAAACGGCGAGGTCAGCAAGAGACTTCTCTCGTGGATTTCTTCGGGCCCGTGTGATCCATCGTCGGGGGACGACTTACCCCTCCGAGCAGGTGGTCCTCCAAATTGAATTTGCCAGCAGTCGGGCTCAGCTCCTCAACCGTCCTGATAACCTGAATCCTGCGTCAGACGTGCTCAACTGCAGGTCACAAATACCAGGCTCGTACCTTGATCGCCTCAGCAATAACCTGTCAAATAACCAAAGTCAGCCTCTCTCCGTCTAGAATCAAGGGTGGGAAAGCTCGGGGGGTAGTCGGTCACCTCTGGGCCACAGTGGTCGCCCGCAAAAACAACAATGTTGTGTTCCGCCATGGTTGCAATGCTTGTCCGACCGAGTTCGTCCAAGGAAGAGTCCGTTGTAGGTGACGAAGCACGAGAATGAGTGATTGGAAAAGTAAGTAAGGGAACTGAAGAACCAATTCGACAAGACAGAGAGCAGGGCGAAGTCGGGGAGGGGAGAGCTTGTTCGTCCGAGACCGCATGCTTTACCCCCACCACCGCCCCACCTGCCGATATCGGCCCAGGAGGGTCGAGTGCTCTCAGTTGAACCGACTCTATCCTCCCTAGCAAAAGCATCAAGGTAACGATTCTTCAATCACACCGAGACCAGAAGCAGCTGAGACTGCGAGCAACGCTTAGATGTCCGGTTCCGGGTTGCCATGTCTAGTACAACACGCCCTCGGCCAAATCTTCTAGTCTTTCGTCCTCGGCTTTCAGGCGGAGATCCAACACGTCAAGACCGTCCATACTGACGAAGCATGGACCTGCCCAGTTGAAGAATGCGACGAGGTCTTCACGTCCCCTCGCCATCGGAACCGTCACATGGGTTCCAGTCACCCAGATATCGAATATGACATATGTCCAGCAAGCAGATGCAATGAGATGTTGTTATGTTCCTTAACAATTTGGACATGCAATCTCATCTCGAACAGAAGCATCCTCACATGCGGACTTTTCCTTGCCCATAGGAGGATTGTGAGCCCTACTTATGTGAAAATAGGACCACGAGTTTTCTCGTGGATATGGCCGTATGTGACAGTCGACTGAGGAGCTGTCGTTTATCAATCTAGATCCCCAGCTCTAGCTGGAGAAATGAAAAAAAAACATACAACACCGGGGATTCGCTGGTCGTCACCGACCCAACTACTAATCCAGCCCTTACTTGTTTGACTAGGGGAGAGCGGACGGGATCCCGAACTTTCAAGTAGGTATGGTCGTATGTGATAGTTTCGAGGTTTAGTTAGATCTATATTGTATTGACTTAGGTGAATGAGCGTCGATGCAAACACATATAGAGAGCAAATAAAGTTCATCGAATATTACCTATCTAGAGTAGATCGATATTTATATCTAAGAGAGGAAATTATATAGTTTTATCGTTATTACTCGGGATAGGCGAGGGTGAATCTCGAAGAGGGTAAAAAAGTCAAAAACATACAACACTGAGGATTCGCTGGTCGTCACCGACCCAACTACTGGTTCAGCCCTTGCGAGTTTAACTAGGGGAGAGCGGACGGGATCCCGTGTTTTCTGGCAGGTATGGTCGTATGTAATAGTCGTGTGCGAAGGTGTAGTCTAATGAATGTGGACTTCCCAGCTCTGGCCGCAGAAAAAGAAAAAGGAACATGCAACACCAAGGATCCGCTGATCGTCACCAACCTAACTACGAGTTTAGCTCTCCTCATGTGGTGGCAAAGGGTGTCAGTGTTGGGATTCCAAAAATAGCTTCTACTTAGCCAATGTTGGTGTACTCTCTTAAAGAAAACAGTTTAGATAGCTGCGCCATATAACCGTGAAATGATGTGGCCAGGTAGCTACCTGTCGGCTGCCGGTTTTGAATAAGTATGTAGGGGTAGGGTAGTGTTTGCGAATTACCAGACTGGTAGCCGTTAGCGGCCACGTGTATAAGCAAATGTAACACCCACCCCGCTCGTGCTCGTTCTATGCTCGGCTTCAGTGTGAAGAATCAGTATATACTATCTACTATCATTTTTGCAGGCAAGGTAGACATCGTTCTACTTATACCAATATAGGGCTTGCTGAATTTTCCGGCAAGTTTGCCATCTGCTGAAGACCAATGCAGGGCGAAGGCGGGGCTGGTGCCATGCTACCAGCAAGAGGAGAAAAGAAAATTTGGATCTTATTCACACCTCGGTTAAAGATTTCCCGGCATGTCATGTCAAGTGACAGATTCATGTTGCTCCAGATACTGCCTTCAAGACCAATTATCGTGTGGAGAAAACATGCGAAATCCTACCTATCCAAAACCGACGACAGTCCGTCCAGCTCCATCCAGTCAGACCTAAAACGAAGGCGCCACCAAATTCGTCTTCTTAGTCTTCTTATACTGGTTCTCAAACACGAACCCCTCCATGGCCACCAGGCCATATTTCCCCGCCGTCATGACCACCACCCCGATGGCCGTCATGTACGGCGCCTCCAGCTTGCCCATATTCGCCGTGAAGCTGCCGATGCCCGCGATGGCGTTGAGCGTGTTGTTGACCACGCACAGCTCCGTCGTCTTGCTATCCTTGTCCTTCCACTCCTCCGTCAGCTCGTGGTAGTAGACCGCCTGGTACAGGCCAAAGTTGGCCAGCGTGACGGCGAGGTCGACGCACGCGCTGATCTTCTCGACGACCTCGTTGGTCGGCACGACGAGGCCGATGCCGTTGACCGACGCGCGGAAGAAGGACAGGTACGCGATCCACTGCCGGAGGTGCGGAGCGGGGAGCCTGGTGTCGCCGGGCATGGCCGCGATGATGCCCACGATGTCGAGGACGAGGCTGATGGTTTTGATGGTCTTTCCGGGACTGAAGGTGCCGAGAGCGGCGTCGGCGCCCCCGGTGACGGATTTGTACGCCAGCTCGATCAGGCCGAAGACGCCCTTGACGGCGACGACGCCGACCATGGTGCCGGCCGTGAGGGTGTTGAAGTCGACCTTGGTGGCGGCGGGGACGTCATTGGATCCGGTTACGAGCTGGCGGAGGAGTTTGGCGTTCATGTTGGGGATCTTGGGGGGAGCTTTTCCGGTGATGACTTTGATCATGATGGTGGCGGGGATGGCAATGACGAGGCACACGGCGTCGACGAGGGTGAGGTCGTGGCCGGTTAATTCGTAGTAGAGCCAGGAGAAGATGGGGAGGTCGATTCTGGGGGAGCGGTCAGCGGTGCGGGTTCAGGTAGAGTGGCAGCCAGCCCAATGATGCCAGCCGGTTGTCATTGGACTTTAATGAAGTTCAAAGCCGGGGGTTGACGTACTTGGCGTTACCGAGCTCCTTGATCAGATTCAGCAGTTTCTTAACCAGCTTGGTGACGGAAATGGCAAACTGCTTCACAACTTCAAGCACCCCGACGAGGAAGTGGGATCCCGTGGTAAGGAGCTCTTCGGTTGTCACCGAGCCCTGTTTCTTGAAGAGGGTAGCAATGTCATTGCCCGTCTGGGTCGCGAGTGCGCTGATGCTGGCTAGCAGAGGTGCAACTGTGCTTTGCCAGGTATCATCCGGGGAGCTCTTGTCTGGTGGAGGTCAATTTAACACGTCTGGGGCTTAAATATATCGCATCATAGGTACCTTTGCCCTTCAGCTCGGCTCCTCCCGTGCCTGTTCCTCCGTTCTTCAACCTCTCACCAGCCCACTTGAAGCTCGTGCTGTTCTGGGTCTCGGCGCTCTTGCCACCCGAAGCCTGGTCTTGTTTCCCAGAAACGGATGCTGACGGAGGACTCAAGGCCTTGACCACTTGGTCCTTGAGGTTGTTGAAGAGGCTGTAACCAGTTAGTCGCGCCACGCGGGAACAGAGAGAGTAACTCACTCGTCCACCTTGGGCACAAATGCATCAACCTCGTCAATGGCGAGATCGAGGCCGGAGTTGACGATGCTAGACAGGGTATTCTTAGTCTCGATGATGTCATCCCATGAGAACAGGAAGCCGACGAATTCTTTCAGCTTCTCCCAGCCCAGCTTGAGCTTTCCAAAAACCTGTAACACGTGTTAGGTAGCTTGGATCAAGAATGATAAATCGGTGAATGGGTTGTCTCACCCAGGTTGCAGCCTCTCCGACCTTCTCGACGCAGTCGAGGACAAATGTCTTAATAGCGCCGCCAATGGTGCACACAAACTCCCACACCTCTCCTGTGACTCCTGTCAGCACCTAAACAGGCCAGCGAAGCCACCTGGTATTTTCTACCCACCGGCCTTCCGAATAATCCAGTCAACAACCTTCTCAGCCTGGTGCTTGAGCCAGTAAAAGCCCTCCATGAGAAAATCCCCAACCGTATGCATCGCCTGCACCCTGTGTTCTGTAATCGCCAAGGCAGCCACATTGGCCGATTTAATCGTAGACGCCGGTTTTCCATCCCTAGGCAGCGTCTTGGTGGCTTCGTTAATGGCACCAAAGCACTTGGCCGCAGTCTCTAGGTCCTCGTCTGAGGGCATGCTCTTGGCATCCCACAGGGGCTTTCCGCTCTTGGTGGTGGCCTCTTTGAGCTGCTTGACTGAGGTGAGCTTTCCCAGTGTCTTGATGACCTTGTCATTGGGGTCGACCAGGGTTGATGCGAAGTTAATGTCATGGCCCTCGGAGTCTCTCATCTGGGTGAGTTTCAGAGCCTGCCCCACGATGCTGGACGCCGGGAAGATCAAGGCAATCTCGCCCGCTTCATCAGCCGATAGCCACCTTCCGACGGAGCCGAGCTGGACGGCTTTGCCGTTCACCAGGGCCGAGGTGGCGGATGAAGAGCTGAGGTAGATTTGGCCGTTTGCCAAGGGCTGGTCCTCGTGCATGAGCTGGATGGTTACGGTATGGCTGTCGAACTTGATGTTCTTCTTTTGGTAGGACACGTAAAACGGCTCGTCTTTCCAGATGCCTGTGTCACGATGCTGTTGCAGAAGAGTCAAGTTGCCCTGGCTGTCGTTGGCGATGATAGCCTGGAACACGGTGGGCCGACCCAGCTCTGGGGCGGGGCGAGCTATGCAAGCGGAGAAGGTGCTGGCACGACCATCGGCGAGGAGAAGGGTGGCGGCGTGATCACCCTTGGTGATTTGGTGGATTGTGGTGGTCACGAAGCTAAGGGCGCCCTTCTGGTTTGATGCCCAAATGGAAATGATTTCACCGTCCTGGGCAAGGACGATGCGTTCGGCATTTTTCACGTCAGCGTTGGATGAAATGAGGGAGCTTTCGGCTTCCTTGTTGGTTGCTTGGTCCGCGGTGAAGTGTCGAATTCCGTTGTCACAGGCCATGAGGAGGGCGGTGTAGCCCTCGCTGTCGTTGAAAGTGGCGAGGGAACGAGCACCTTCATAGGCAGGTGAAGTTAGCACGAGCGCATTGAAGTGGATACGACCTGATCCCACGCACCGACAGGGCACTTCAACTTGGCCGTGTACCATTGTGGGGGGCCTTCCTGGCTGTTATCGACGAACTCGGCGACCAGCGCTCGCTCCCTGTGCATTGTGTTAGATGAAGTAATTTTTTATACGAGGACAGACTCCTCATACCCCGTGCCCTTGGCGGCGCATAGCACAAAAAGACCCTCGCCAAAAACGGTGTATGCCGGAGCAATGGAGAAGATGTCGACGGCGTTGAAGGGAAGTTCCATGTCCCGTAGAGTGGACCACGAGTTGGACGGCAGTGAAACTATGACACGCTTGATATCACTCCCACTGGTAAGGCTCTCCAGGGGCTGTTGGGTCAGGAACACCATGGGGTATCTTCCCTCCTGAGCCGGGGCAGTCTGGGCGGGTTAGTCCGCAGTGGCAAGCATTCGGTCCGAGTCCGAGACTTACCATATAGATTCGATGCACAGACTCAATGGTTTTAACAGGAAGCAGTTGAAGAGATGGCTTGTCCTTGATCTGGAACGGGCGGACTAAGAGCAGGTTGGACTGCTTATCGTCGTACCTGGTGGCGACGGCTAGGTAGACGGACAGGTCGTTGCCTTGTTGGACTTCGAAAGTCTGAATCGGTGTCGCCTTTGGGATTCCAAGGGCCTCAGTGAGGTCGTGCACATGGCGGAGGCCATCGGCGTCTTCCTACAGGCTTGTTAGCGACCGGGCTACACGGGGCGGTGTTGAAAACGGAGAGAGCAGCGCCTAGGTAGGTACCACCTGCCTTGATCATCTGCAACTTTGGCGACTCGTCATTGCTGAGAGCGAAAACAACGACTTTGCGAGACACAGGGTCCAAGCAGGTCGCGAAATGACTCCCGGCGGCAACAGGGACACCGGCGACATAGTTGGTCATCAACTCTGAGTCGTAGATTACCGACCCCATTCTGGCGGATGCTATGTAGCCTGTAAGTAGGGATGGCTAGATGCGAGCTCAATGCCTAACAAACAAACTGGGACTAAAGTAAGAAGAGACGTCTGGAACGGAGATGGGGGGGAGGGGAGGGCGAGGGGGCAGCGGCTGGCCGAACCCAAGGGAGTTTCGCAGAGTGCCGTATTTTATCTAGGCAGGTAGCTTTTTCGGTCGCATCCGGCCTCATCGGATGAGGTTTTGAATCCAGTTTTGAATTCAGACCACGCATCAGCTGCGTGCGTAACCAACGTAACCATAGGATGATGAGTCCATGACGGTGGCATGACCTGGGCCCTGGGCAGTTCCGCAACTTGCGCTTGAACATGATTTGCAACTTTCAGCTGGTCTTTTTCGCGCCACGGGCGGATATCCGTCAAGGTTCATTCGACAAACCCCGCACGCAGTCAACATGTTGCATCCGCGCTGCCGCGATAGGTCTCCAAGTTGTCGATGCTCTGCTCGCAAGTCAAGCTGTGAGACATGGGTGTGATTATGCCGCGATGTGGATGCTGCTACCTCTGCGGTGTGGTGGAAACTCCTGGGCCGTCTTGGCGCGTGACCCCCATCGGCGCCTCCTCGGTACGTCGGCACGTATGGACTGCTTGAGTGGGACCTCCCTACCTACCTACGATGTACCTTAGGTAGGTAGGTAGGGAGTGTAGCGTTTAGCGTCGTACACAGTGGTGTGATGCAGGTGCAGGCGCAGGCGCACCGCTATGATCTGCCCGGGGGCTCTCCCGCACACGGGCCGCTCCCCCACTCGACGTTTGTCGAATCGGAACGGTCTGATTGGCACCGCGCGCCATTGTTTGACCAAGGGACTATCGCGCGAGGCGCGGGAGAGCTTCTTTATGTTGCGATTGGGCCTCGACGAGGCATGTGCAACATAGCGCAAGCATGCATGGCCCAAAACTCCACTCCATGGCGACGGGAATCATGCCGGCATCCCAGAGAGGATATTTCAGCTGGCCACAAAAAGACCCACCATAATTCCCAACCACGCCGAACTTCGATCAACACTGAACTGACTCAACTCGACCATGTGGAGTCTGGTGACAAGGACCGCTGCGGCGCTGCAACTTGGGAACGAGTGGTCGAGGGGAAGTCTCCAAACCGAAAGTCCTCCAATTGCCATCACAGCGTCACTCAATCTGCATGATGCATCTATCTAAGAACGGCAGGGAGACATCTTGATCAAGGGCCCAAGGCCGAGCCCGGACTCCAAACATCTCCTCCAACTGGACCGCATATCGCGGGAATGGCCAGCACACGCCTCGGGATCGCCGTGACGCAACCGGGACCGACGTGTGCAGACGCTCGAGAAGGCGAGACTGCCGTTTGGAAATCCGATAGGGCCGGACATCGCGGCAAGGTTAGAAACACACGGCGCTGGTATATGCCGCATGTTCCGCGGCAAGGAGGAGACGTACGTTGGCCAGGCTTGCGTCGTATCCTGAGAACATACGGTTTCGTATCGGATGAATGCTTTCCGAGTCTCGGAGGACATGACTCTTAAGGAGGAGGAGCAACCGACCCTAGAGTGCTTTTCACCGAGAAGAGGTCACTCTCTCAGTTGTGTTTGCCAGTCCGAAACCCTCAAGTTTCATCGCCTGTAACCCACCGCAAGCATGGTGCTCACCGGAGACCGCATCACCAAGGTCTCAGTAAGCCATGGCAACTCTTAACTCAGCCACGAAACTACGGGATTCTGACCCTTTTGTTCGCAGCTTGGAAGCTATGACCAAGTCGTGGCAATCACCCAGTAGTATACCCATGGCCATGCTTCTGTCAGCTGCCTGCTAATGTGCTCCAGGTTCATGATAAACAATGGCATCCAGAATCTGTGGAAGGCCCACCGCAATGACGAAAAAATGAAGTCCAAGCTTGACCAGAACCTGGGCAGTGCCATGGGATCTGTGACCGGAGTGGCCATGGAGGCGCCCCGGGTCCAGGTTGAGTGGCAGCCCAATGATGCCAGCCAAATCATGTACTTTATGACCTTCAACTCAGGCAAGCTCACGGTAAGGGCGCCCCGACCCATTGCCACGACGTCTCCCTTCCCTAATGATGACAGGTAAACAAAGCTGAAGTCGGTGATGACGAAGACCCTGCCGAGTTCGACATGAAGGGCTGGACTCTGGCCTTGCCCGTCGTTCTTGGTGAGTACTTCCTCCTTGTTTAAGACTGTTCATCATAACGTTAACACACAACCACCAACTAGGCATGAAGGAACTCAAGACGGATGACCCCGTCTACAAACGGAAAATAGCCGCCTTAGTTCCGGGACAGTACTCGGTGACCCGCCTGCTTGTCGCCATATCCGGTTAGTTTCACTCCTTCCCTTTCGCCTGACGCTGTGGTACTAATCTTGCGCAGCGGCCAAGAGTCTCGTCGACTTTGAGAAGAGCTCCCTCGGCAGCGTCGACTGGAAAAAGACCTGGGATGAGACGGTTCGCCGGAGAGTCACGCTTCTCTTACAGGAACTCGTCAACGTGCTATTCAAGTACGCCCTGAACACCATCGGCTATTCCGTCAAGAGCAAGGACACCCAGCTGATCAGTATGTCTTATTCATCTTGCACACACACAAACGTCAACATACGGAAGACTAACACCTACACAGAAAAGGAACACCCGCCGACGTTCCAACCCACCGCGTTGCGCTTCCAGACGTACCCTTGGCGCGACCCTGCAAAGCCCGATGACCAAGCCACGACTGGGCTTACCGGTAATGCGGCTCTCAACTACCTCTTGTACCTGGAGATGACCGACGGCCACCCCGTCCCTGTCTTGGAGGCCGCAACGCTGCCGTACAAAGGTAACTGGACGGAAGGACGCCTTGACTCAGGAGCCAACGCAGCTTCGGTCGACTTTGGAACCTTTGCCATGAGTGGCAAGAACTTTCTCGAGGCTTACCTGCTTCCCAAGCTCCGCCACCTCAACAAGATCATGGAGCCCCGCGTTAAAGACCTTGATGTTACGCTCTACTGGGACGGTTGGCCGAGCTTCAGGTACAACTGGAACTGTGGCGTGCGAGTTGGCTACAATGTCGACAGGCTGGATGCCAACGATCCAGTCTTTGACTTTAAGCGCAGCGCCACCAATCCGAATGCGTACGAGTATACCAGCAAATACGACTCCACAACCGACTCGAACCTATCGCAGCACAAAGACATTGGTTGGTTCGTAGAGGCATCGGGCTCAGCTTCCTGTAAGTGGGCATCGCCGACCCCCGAGTCATATCACTAACAGCGCACCTATCTTAGGTTCTTGCAAGAACACGGTTGAGTACACCCCAGGCAGTCCGGAAATTGTCATCAAGGGCGAGTCCAAGGTACAGCTCTACTATTGGTACAAAAACTTGACCAGTGACGACGACACGTGAGTTTTGCACCGTCACTTGACCCGTCCGTCTCTGAGCGCCAATGGCTGACGGAACGGGACAGATTGAACTACAAGGTCACCTGGAAGATCACGCTCACGCTGCAATCGGTCAGCGACGGCGGCCTCCAGATCGCCGTCAAGGCGGACAAGCCCGTCAGCACCAAGGATTACACCATGAACGAAGGCAAGCTGAACCAGTACGGAGACTGGCTCGAGGACGCCTACATCCCGGCCCTCTCCAACCTGTCCCACATGGAAGCGGCCCTCGTCAACGACCTGTCGGGCCAGCAGAAGTTCTACTTCCCGGCCTCGGGCACCTTCTTCTTCAAGGACCCCGTCATCAACGCCGAGGGCGCCCTCATCTGCTCCATCGGTTACAACGGCGCCGACGACTTTGCCAACCCGGACACGACCACCGTGCGCAAGAATGTACAGGCGACCCCTCTGGCGCCGCCGAAGGAGCCCCTCAAGGGAGGAATTGATATTGTGGGCACTTCCAAGAACCGGGATAATCCACCGCCGTCGTGAGAAGAAGGCAAGACGCGGTGACGGGCGATGCTACAAGTAGAGATGGGCATGGCTGTAATGAATGACGCTTGTTTTGCTTTTTCAATTTCTCTATTTTCAGCTGGTTAGGAGAACGCCCAATCCAGTGTCTCGATGTGTATGCCCCCAACCTCCACGGTATTAAGGAATCATCCCATCGACAGGTAGTTGCAAATTGTCCTTCCATCTCGCACCCTGCATCCCGCACATGTCTTGTTTCTCATCTTGCTAACAGACAAGCCCCCAATTGAAGAAACTAAATATCTCCCACTACATTTTCTCAGGAGAGTTGGTGATTCTACGGTGCAGTCCTCCCCACACCCACCCCCACATTGACTCGGGGCACGGCTTTAAGTGATCTCTACGGTGGAAAAGGGACTGTGGTTCAGGTACTTGGGAGTTCAGGGGCTTGGGCCCGGAACTTTTACTTTTATCTACACCGAATTCTTGGATAGGTCTACTCTCGTTCTTGCATTGATGTTGGTGCAGGATTAATAATATCACCCTATCTCCCTAGCTCCCCGGAATTATGAATCACCACTCCGCCCACAACCGTGAGGACGCTCCTGAGCCTCTTCAACTCGTCATCAGGAACCGAAAAGTAGTCGTCGCTCAGCACAGCGACGTCACCAAGCCTCCCCACCTCCAGAACACCCAGCAGTTTCTCGTCAGGCCCTCCCAGAAACCAGGTATTGTCCCTCGTAAACATGTCCAGCACCTTCCGCCGGCCAATCGTTTGCCCCTCATTGACCATCTTCCCCCTCGCATTCCGTCCCGTCGTGGCGTAGTACGCATGCGGCCACGGGCTCAGCGGCGCAATATTCGCGCCGTCCACCCCGAACCCAGCCGGGATCCCGCTCGCGACGATGCGCCTGAACGGCGGCCCCGCCGCCGCCGGGGGGGTGCTCGCGTTCCCGTTCCCGTTCCCGTTCCCGTTCCCGGCGTCGGCCAGGTACATCCACCCGGACACGTTCACGCCGCCCCCCAGCGCCGTGAGCCTGCGCAGGTAGGATGCCGTGATGTGGGCCACGTGCGCGACGACCCAGCGCAGGTCGCGGATGCCCCCGGGGGCGGGCAGCGCGGCGTGCACCGCTTCGAACCCCTCGATCTGGCCGCGGAAGTCGCTGGCCGTGAGGGAGTGCACTTCCAGCCGCCAGCCGGCGCGCGCGATCGCCGCGGCTGCGGCCTCGAATAGCGCGCCTCCTGCGTAGTTGTTGATGGAGACGGCGAACTCGCCGATGCCGCCGGTGCGCACCATGGCGTTGCCGAAGAAGGGGTAGCTGTACTGGAGGCGGTTGGTGAGAGTCGGTAGGGATGTGTCGGCGTCGAAGTGGAGGAAGTTGATGCGGAGGCGGATCAGGGGGGGTGGAGGTGAAGGGTCTGAGTGGTCTTTTTGCGGATGCTGAGACAGGGAGTTATAGAGGGAAAGGAAGGGCAAGTGCATGGAGAGAAGATCTTCGTTTCCTGAGCCGTCGGCAGGGGTATTGGTGGCGGGGAATGCACCCTGATCGAGCTGATGGATGTGTCAGTTTGAGGTACCTATGGTGACTGCTAAATCACAGGCAAGCGGGCTTACGAGGGTGGTCACCCCCAAAGACGCGGCATACGCCATGGCATCCCGGGCGCTACGCACACGGTCCGCAAAGGTGAGCCGTTGTCGGAGCGACAGCAAGGCCTTGCCGTTCTCAATGCCGTCTGCAATGGAGCCGTTGGCGGCTACCGAGACTGATGTGTTCCCAGGCAGTCCTTCGAAAAAGGCCTTCCCGAGAGAGTTGGTTACGGCCGGGCCGGCAAAACCCGTCGACATAAACACTGGGTGGTTGGGAACCGCGCTGTCGAGCTCTGCCAGCGTAGGGAGGCGGTTCTCTTGGAATTGGATTGGAGCAAACCCGCCGATGGTGGTAATGAAGTCGCCGCGGGGTGCTGCTGACGCCCGGCGGTGGTACGTGTCTAGAACTTCGGCAAGAGTGAACGCGCGTTCCAGAGGCGTATGGCGGCCTGGCCGGTTGCCCAACAATACGATGTGGTTGTGGCAGTCGATGAGCCCGGGAATGGCGACACGGCGTCTGAGGTTGATCTTGCGAGTCCGGCCCAGTTCCCAGGATGTCTTGATTTCAGCTTTCGTCAGGTTGTTCCCAGCATAGACTATCCAGCCGTCCCTGATGCCGAGCACGCTCACCACTCGGTGGTCTCTGTCCATGGTGTATATGCTGCCGTTGTGGAGAATGAGAGATCCTTTGAGGGTGCCATCGCTGTACGGGTTTCCGGTCGCATGGTGTCCCAGGTTTCTGGTAACATTATTGTCTTCGTAGTTGATGTTGCTGGCATCGCCGAGGGCCACCTGATTGTTACCTGACGTGAACGGAACAGCGCAGACTCGGAAGACAATGGTGAGTGCGAGCAGGCAGCTGAGATAGAGCCTGCCGCAACCCGCCCTGCCGTCAATACCCATTGTCGGTATGTCCGTTAAAGAATCAAAAACCGATACCAGTAACGTTACCGCTTCTAGCCTACCTATACTTCGATAGGCAGTGACCGGAGCGAAGCGGTGCTTAAACACCGCACAAGTGTGAAACTCGGATATCTCGAACCTATGTACTTGTTCTGGCCTTCTGAGGCCTCCAAACATCCATCTTTACTGTGTAAGGCTCGCTCATCATCTCGTAGAGTATTGAAGCGAGGCGGCGGCGAAGCGTCAGCCGCAGCTGGGGAAACGAAGTGCGTGAATGGCTGCCATCGCTGAGAACCTTCCGCACTCGGACTAGTCTAGACCTCGGATTTGATTCGGTTTACATGTATCGGCTGTTAACTGGTATTGATTGGTTTTACCGCAGTGGTAGTTATTCCTCCTGCCAAAATAATACCACTATGTCAGTCACCACCAATACACAGGCCGGAAAGGAAAAGTCGACGACCCATCATCGTCTTCGGTCAGCATACCTAAATACAGCAAAGGTCATACATTATTGATTACACTCTCCAATTTGATCATCCGTGGTGAGCTCACCTTTGGCCTCTTTCCCCCAAATTTACGCGTACAAGTCAACAATATTGCTGCGAGGCTCAACCAATAACTAGTTCTAATAATCTCCGTTGATATTTCAACACCGTTCGAGTGTCTTCATCAGCAGGCAGTGTCTCCGGTGCACCTCCATGGACGGGATCCCGTGTTTTCTCGTGAATATGGTCGTATGTGATAGAAAGGGTAGGACCGAGTTGATATTGGGGTCCTCCGGCAGAGTGGGAGGTTGGATGCCGAGGTCACTGTTGGAATTTTGATAGGGCAATAAATGATGGTTGAGTGGCTAGATGGGCAAGACATGTCAGTTAAGGAAGTTAGACAGGGCGATAAAGACATTTTAGTCTATTCTACGTGATGTTGATGGGTGGTGCAGAATGTTCGGGTTGGGTTTGCTGTTGTGGATGACGTGATTTCAGAAGGGTTAGGGTTGAACATGCCCTTCCTCCACGAGAGTCTTGAGCCCTGGGGTTTGTCTCCGTATTGACTCGGCAGTGCGAGTTACGCTTGACAGCTCTTTCTCGCGAGACTTGGGCTGCACTCATTAGCAAGCCGGATAATTGTGTGATCAAATTGTCATGGGCCGGGGCAGTTCGTGGGCTGGTGGCCGGCTCTCGTGGCCTCTCCGTGGAGGAGCGGAACAAAGTTGCGGCACGGCATGTCGGTCGAGGTTCGCTTCAGCCCTGCCGAGAGGTCACCTTATAATCGCCCGCTGCGGGCGTGCGGCACTTCGGCGGGGAAGCTGGGCATCCCGCGGCGAACCACGGATCACGAGCGGTCTGCGTCTGCACAGCTTGCAATTCCGGGTTGTCTCAACGTCATCTGATGGATATATTGGCACTTCGGGATCGCCCTCGCTTGCGCTTTGTGGCGAGCACGGCAGGATAATTGGGTTCGTTAGTTAGTAAGTTATCGGCCCGGGCCAGCGGCGTTCGGTGCGGTGTGAAATGCGCGAATGAGCTTCTCCGAATCGGGGGTTATTAAAGTATATATAGAAAAATAAACTTGTTAATTCTTAACTCCGGGATGTGTGACCTGTTTTGTACCCGGCAAGAGGTCCAATCCATGGATGGGTGCACAAGCGTCTCGTAATCGCGCGCCTATTCGTATGTATGGAGGTTGCAAGGTCGGGCCCCCCGGCGGCAGAATGGCCGGCCTTGTTTGTGGAGAGAATACGAAAAGTTCCGAGCCAAGTCCGCGGCACAACGTGGGCTCGTGTTGTTTGCAGATCTCTGGATTTCGGTTCCCAGATCGAAGACATGCTGTCGGTGTGTGCGCATGTGGTTCCATGGCCTGTGCGTCCTGAAATGGCGCGGTGGGATGCTGGAGTGGTGTTGGAAAAGGGGCTTGCAGGCGACTATGCCCTAGCTGGCAAATTGTGGACCCATGGCGTCGACAAGTTCTGGACCTCCGCAACTGTTTCCCTCCCAAGTGCTTCAATATTGACCGCCTATTTTAGGTAACAGTAAGGTAATTTAAGCCATGACGAGAGGGGACTGACAACGGCACCCGCGCTCGGAAGGGGGAGTGAGTTGGTTGACACACATGGCGGGAGAAGAATGGATTGGAATCTCGTTCTCGGAGTTTGCTTGCCTCTTGCATGGGATATTGTGGAAAGGACCAACTGGAAAAGACCCGATTGATACCTGACCATCAACTGTGCCCCCACACTTTCCGTTTCCTTAAATCCTGGACCCCGGTGCCGCATTGCCATCCAGCTGTTGACCCCACCACAACTCTTCCAACTGACGCGAGCGCACGGCTCCGGGCTGCGCTTTCATCCAGATTGAGTCGTCGTCAGCACGTGTGTTTAGCCAACGACCGTCACACCTTTACGGTAGCCGGTAATGTCGTGTGCATCTTCCTGGCGTCCAATTCTTCTCTAATTTTCGCTAGCCGATCGCTGCAGCAGATCTGGTCTGGCCCGACGATGTGGCCTGCGCTGGCCCCGGTCCCAGAGCAGGATTGACCCTTCAGGCCAAGACGACTGACCGCGGTCCAATAAGTTGCCCGAATGGTACATAACGACATACGAAAGAGCTGAAGGTCGATTCTGGTAGCTCCGGTGGCTCTGGTGGTGGCTGCGCCAACTGAAGTGCACGAGGATGAGTGTGGTGGACAGGGGATAATCCCCGCAGCCGCACTCATGCTGCCGTTTGGTGCTGCTTTGCGAACAGCTGTCGGTCACGGTGATCGCGTGCCTGCCATATAAGATGGTGGACTCGCACCACCGAGGTCCCTGCCACCCGTCTCCCTTCTCTGTCTGTCCAGGTGCATACAGCTTTCCCCGTCCCTTCTTGCCGTCTTTTCCACTGGCCACCTCGCCGAAGCGGAGCCATCGGGAACTAGCATCGGTCGGGCAGGGGCAGACTCGACCAGCACAGCGAGCGCCACCGTCTCGACACCGCAAATCCATCTGATCTGACGCCCCCCTGGTCGCTTGGCGTCCCGGCGGTCCACCTCAAAACAACTGACGAGCCCGTCGCCGAGACATAGCCTCCCTTACCCCCACTCGGCCATTCTCTCCCTCTTCATGCAGTTATATTTATGAAGGTGCACAAGCTTGATTGACCTTCATCTTTCTTCTCGAGACAAACGGCCGATCGCGTCTTCGCCCGCCTTCACTTTCGATTATCTTCGCTTCCACACCGCACTTTCGGCCCGCTTTCGAAAGGTGGCTGCGTGTTACTCGGGACCTCGTGTTCGTCCCCGGCTGGACCTCTGCTCCTGTGCAGCAACTATCGTGCTTGGGGTCTCACCAACGGTTCGCGGGAGACTGCGGGCTTGGTTGTGTCTCATCGTCGGGCCCTCTCTTCGAAGACCTGTCGGCTGCTCTCCTATCGATATGAGCAGCTCGCCGGCCTACTTGACTGAATTGTTGCTTGTTGGACTCACCGGCAACCGACGACGACCCTGGGCCCTGACGACCTGAACGAGAACACCACATCACCATGAACCCCGCAACGATGGCCACCCACTCCCCAGACTACTCGGATGACGAGTTCGACTTTGACGAGGAATATTTCTCTCGCACTTACCAACCCCTCTCCAACCTCCCCACGCCGCCTCCCTCGTCCCGCGAGTCCTTGGCCGGCCCGAGTCCCCGAGCCCTCCTGGAAGATGGAGGGCTTCTCGACTCTGCTTTGCTAGGTACGTGGACCAACCACACCTCCACAGCGCACCGAATCCCATACTAACGCTCCTATGATAGGCCCAGCAGTGCACTTGGTCAACCTCATTCCTCCCGCGGCATCCCTGTCGGTACCTTCCGTCCCCTTGGTTCACGATATGCTCGTCCGCGCGGATCTACCCATGGACACCATCGCCCTCGCCGTGTGCATCCTCGATTCGCTCAGCTCCAAGTTCTCGCTGAACTGGCGGCTGCTCTGTCCCCTGGCGCAGCGTGAGCCCGCCAACGAGATCACGAAGCGACACACGATCCAGGCCAGCCCCGTGGGTGCAACACAGCTCCACATCGACTCGGTCAATCCCGAGTTGATTGTTCTGGCAGCGCTAGTCATCGCCTTCAAATTCTTGGTCGACTGCCAGGAGCCTACGTACTACTACCGGGCAGCGTGGGGACGAAACATGTGGACATGCGACCAGATAAACTTGACGGAGAGGTGCATTATGGAAAACCTGGGCTACCGGATCCTGCCGCTGTGGCACCCGGCACTCATTGCCGACGCCATCGGCGACATGCGACGTGCCGCGAGGCAGGCGGCATTCCCGTCATACCCCAGAAATGGGGAGGCGCACAAGCGCTCCGTGAGCTCGGCCGACGCCCTTCTGGGCCACACTTTCCCGTTGACACCGGCAGAAACGCCCATGTTACAAGAGAGCCCAGGCGCCAGTCCCGTCTGTGAGGCTGTGATGGCTTCATTCGGAGACAGTGGGCCCAGCCCGGTTGACTCGTCGATGCTGCCCCTACATCCGAGGACCAAGAGGAAGGTCCCGTTCCCTGCAGTCGGTTGAGAAGACGGGCTGTTGCGGGTTCGCACGCGTTGATGACAGGAATCTGTGTCCACGGCAGATTCGGGCATCAGAAATACCAGATTTTGGGGTCAAGACGGGGGGTGGTTTTGCGTCCTGCGATGCAAGGACAAACATGGGAAGGAGTAGGCGCACTGAGGCTCGGCGTTTTCAGGTTATTGCCCTTGATACCAAGATACCAGGATAACTCGGACAACGACACCATCACTACCACCAAGGTGTCCATGGGGGGATCAGAGCGACGGCGTCATTATTTGTTTTTTGCAAAATAGCGAATGTTTGGCGATGACATGTTCAGTTGCTCCATTTGAAAGGAACAGTCGAGCGAGTATACCATAAGATGGCTTTCATGGCCTAGGATAAATATAGTAGTATTAATACTCTTGACATTGAGCAGTACAGCATCTTGACAGTGACGAGGACTCATCTTTCTCTTGCCCTGCCTTTTCGTGCTTCTGATCTCTCCCACTCACTCCATCTCGAAGATTGAGGTAACCAAAGGGTTAGGGTTGAAGACCGAGCCTATTTCCTCCGCACGATCCACATCCTCTTCCATGCTCTTCAATCCTAATGGGAAGTTGAACAGAAGACCAATTTAATATTCAAAACATTTCGGCATCTGTAGCGTCATTGCGTCATAGCGTCTGGTTGCGCCCTTGACTTTGAAGATAAATTAAACAAATTATCAATTCTTTATTCCATTATCTAGGATTTTTATATCGAAAAGCAGTCTTGCGACATCCAATCTGCCAATCGCCTTTCTCGGGCCCATCCCCATACATCCCATCTCGGTTTCCATAACTATTCCCATCCCATCTCCATCCCACCCCACACCCTCCGCGCCGCGCCCGAGAAAGGCCGCCATCATGTGTGATCTCGACAGGTGAGCACGCATATCCTTGCCGATGCCTTTTGATAGGACCTTGAGGTGCTAACCTTGGTTCCTTTTTGCCAGGGCGATCGCCCAACTGCGAGCATGCCGACCGATACCCGAGGCCGAAGTGCGCGAGCTCTGCCACAAGGCGCGTGAGCTGCTTATCGAGGAGGGGAACGTCGTCACGGTCAACGCGCCAGTAACAGTAGGTGGTTGCTATGCAGATTTGGGTGGGCTGCGGTTCGGGATTGGGTCTGACTTGTGTGTTTTGCGGGTAGATATGCGGCGACATCCACGGCCAGTTTCACGATCTGATGGAGTTGTTCCGCGTGGGCGGTGATGTGCCAGACACGAACTATCTCTTCATGGGTACGCGATACGCCGTTTCCATTTACTCCTGCTGCCAATCCACGGCGCGATGCTGATCCGTTCCCTAGGCGACTTCGTCGACCGCGGCTTCTACTCCCTCGAGACCTTCCTCCTCCTTCTCTGCCTCAAAGTCCGCTACCCCGACCGCATGACCCTCATCCGCGGCAACCACGAGTCCCGCCAGATCACGACCGTCTACGGCTTCTACGACGAGTGCCTCCGCAAATACGGCAGCGCCAACGTCTGGCGCTACTGCTGCGACGTCTTCGACTACCTCGCCCTGGGCGCCATCGTGCTCGGCGCCTCCAACACCCTCCCGGGCGAACCCGAGACCTCCCCCAACGGCGACGAGGTCGAGATCGAAGTGCACAACTCAGACGGCCAGATCATCTCCCGCTTCTTGCGCCAAAAAGACGTCGGCCGAGGGCGCATCAACACCACCACCACCACCACCATCTCCAACGGCCCCAACGGCCACGCCATGACCAACGGCATCTCCTCCTCCTCCCCAGACACCACCACAACCCACAACAACAAAACCCCCTCCCCAGCCCGCGCCCTGACCGGCCCCCCCGGCTCCTCCGCAACATCCACCAGCAGCGGCAGCCTGGGCAACCCGGCCGGCGCGGTCCTCTGCGTCCACGGCGGCCTCTCCCCGCTGATCGACCGAGTCGACAAGATCCGCCTCCTCGACCGCAAGCAAGAAGTCCCCCACGAGGGAGCCATGTGCGACCTGTTATGGTCCGACCCGGACGAGATCGACGGGTGGGGCTTGTCCCCCCGAGGCGCGGGCTTCCTCTTCGGCGCCGACATCGTCAAGATGTTCAACTACCGCAACGACCTCAGCCTGATCGCGCGCGCCCACCAGCTGGTCATGGAGGGGTTCAAGGAGATGTTCGACGCGAGTATTGTGACGGTGTGGTCGGCGCCGAATTATTGCTATCGCTGTGGGAACGTGGCTGCGCTGCTGGAGTTGTCGGAGGATGAGAGTGGGTTGGGGGTTTTGGCGAGGAGTAATGGGGAGGTGGGGAGGAGTGATGGCGGGATGGGTGGTGGTGGTGGTGGTGGTGGTGGTCTTGGTGGTGGTGGTTCGGGTGTTGGAGGTGGTGGTGGTGGGGGGGTTGGGGGCGGGTTCATGCGGGGAGCGGGCCGGGGCGGTGGCGGTGGTGGGCAGCAGCAACAACAGCAGGGCGGGGTGGTGATGGATACCAACGACTTGCCGCGGCTGCCGGGGCCCGCGAGGAGGTACCGCGTCTTCCAGGCGGCGCCGCAGGACTCGAGGGGGATGCCGGCTAAGAAACCGGTGGCCGATTACTTCTTGTGAGATGGGTGCCTGTCGGGCGTGGTTGCTGTTGTGTATGCCCGCTTGTGATGATGACGACTAGAGAGAGAGAGTGAAAGTATGCGGTTACTAGGTCCGTGGTGGGACCCGGACGGGCAATGACTGGAGCCTTTGTTGTTGTATTATATCAGGAGCTATTCGGTACATAGGTTTATACCCGCGCAGTGGATTGCGTTTCTAAACCATCTTGCCTATCTGCTTGCCGACGTACCTCTCTGCCGTCAGGTCGCGACTCCGGACTCGGTGAGCTGCTCGATCGCGTTGCTGAGTTAGAATTATACCGCCCCGTTTGGACAACGAATATGCAGCCATCGCGGGACTAGAAACTCACCATGCCTATTTTCTTTTCTCTTCTCCCTATCACCATCATGTATCATCATTGTCATCATCGTCAGTGCCATGATGGAAAGGACGCTAATACTTCTCGCTATCATATTGATGATGATATACAAACGCTAGAGTGATCCCAGTGATACTATCTATCCACTGTCTCATGTCATAGCCCCAACAATTGCCCGCGCCAGCTGCCTCTGACTCTCCGCCTCAACCAGCCCCTCGATAAAAAGTCGCGGCAGGTCCAAGACATCCTTGCCCTCCACCTCGAGAATCACGTCGGCCGTCTCCAGGTAGCTCTGCTCAACCCCTGTCAGCTAACGTGTCACAGTCCTGGGAATTCGGGTATCCGTGGGAGGGGAGGAGGGGCGGGCGTAAACATACCATGGCAAAGGCGTCCCAGGTCTTCCTCTCGTCCGCCGTGGCCTGCATCGGTTTGGGAATGAACGGGTCGTTCAGCCGGACCGCGTCGACCGCCTGCGCAACGCCGTCTCTGTCCATCGTGATGGGCTGTACTTGGTCAAAGTCCAACACCCAGAGCTTTGTCGCCGCAACCTGGCCGAAGAAGTCTTCCGTCTGCCTGGAATGCGGGCCGGTGTACGACAGTGGCTTCACGCTCCTGCTGGATAACGCTTGTGTTAGTTGTGTACTCCTGTGTCGGGGTTCGGGAGTAGGCGGAAGGGAGGGTTGACAGCAACAGTAAGCGGAAAAGGGGAGGCTATACCAGAGCTTGCCGGGATCGATCGCGCGAGAGACGGTCTTGGATGAGTTGCCCAGCACAAACTCCACGCCCCGACCGTCCGTTTCAGCAGCCCAATGGATGAGCGCCATGGCCATGCCCATTCTCTGAGCCAGGGTCCTGATGTCAAGCTGGAGTTCCGTCATGTGGTTCAGGTGCATCTTGAAGTTCCTCAGCGAGAAGAACTGCTGGCAGCTCTTGCCCTTGGTCGACCCGAGATATACCCTCACCAGGCAGTCCTTGCTGGCGGCATCGGCTCTGGCCTCCTCCTTGATGTGCTCCGCGCAGTAGTTGTCAATGATGAGAGCCCGGACACGCGCTGGAAGCGGCAGGATGCGTTCCGTTACCAGTGCACTCGTTGGTAAGTGGCATACTTGCTCAGCTGCTTCGGCAAGCCCGGGGTGCTGGGCGAAGAACTGCGACTCGTTTGGGGGCGCGAAGTAATGACAGGCTGGTATACTGACTTCGTCAAACTCCCATAGCTTGAAGCAATGGGCGATCTTGACATGCATGAGGTAGTCATTCCACAGGACTTTGTGGGACTTGGTCTTGGACAGCTTGATTGCGTAGGACTTCCCCTGCCGGGCAAAGACGGCACCACAAATACCTGCGCCGATCTTGGTAAAGGGCTCGTTGCCATGTATTTCGGGATGAATAGGGATATCGCGGTCGAAGGAAAGCATGCGACTTAACTCCAACTCGACAGGGCCGAGATCGGGACTGGAAGGACTGGAATCAGTGTCTGATCCAGGTTCGACGGGGCCGGGCCGCTCCATTTCCGGTACGAGGATGAACTCGACACGGGGGTCACCGCTGAGGCGCCGTGGCTTGCGACCCGGGGTATTCATGGCGCTTGGTGCTGTGGAAGGTTCGTACGCTTAGGGATAGGGAGAGAAACCGATGAGGGAAGATGGGTGGTGGGTTGACGGTATTTGTTTGCAGTGCGTTGGGCGGACTCTTGCTGGTATATGCGTCTCCGTCTGCGAAGCCCCTTCCTGTCTGTATTTAGAATGTACCTGGCCTGCCGTGGCATGGGCGTGGGGAGTTGGAAGTGACGATGCTTCTGCTTGGGGACTAAGCACCCCCTTCCTCAGGGCGGGCACCATCGAAGCTCCTATCATAATCAAGAGTATGGCCGCACTAGTTCGATGCCACCACGATTATGGCGACGGGGGGTAGGAATCGAAGTACGCTAGGGTTCGTGGAAAGGGGGGAGGGGCGGCAAGAGTAGAACGACGAGACGTCCTACTATGCTAGTCACTACCATCGCCGAGACCTTTATACGGCAGCTGTGGGTTGTGCACAGCAAAACCTGTCAAATTCCCAGAAACAACGTCTAATTCGTCATGTACAGTTAAAAGTCATAACCCCCTTGGCCAAGCACTGCGATCATGACTCCTTCGGCTTTTCCGATGCCGCCTTCTCCGCCCGTTCGTGCTCGATGATCTGCTTGCTCCAGCTATCACGGACATGCCTAGTCAGCTTTGTTCGTGAATCCGGAAATATGCCGGCACGTACTTTCTGCTGGGATAGAAGCGACCAGGCTCGGGCATCTTATGGCGGTATTCCCTGTCGGCGCTCAACTTCCACACGAGGGCTGTGATGCCGAAGATGACGACGCCGAAGACAGCCGTGTTGGCCTTCCAGTTAGCTGGCTGCGCATACGAGCCACCGGCTGGCGACCAGACGTGCTTGGGGTAGCTAGGAAAGGGAAATCGGTCAGGTCTTGGATTCCGAATGCGATGCGATGCGTTCAATTGTTCTTCATTGTTCGAGGTTCGGAGACTCACGGGACCTTTCCGCCGCCGCCCTACGTCGAGAACAACAGTGTCAGTCAAGTTTGAGCCAGCTGCGTATGGGAGGGGTCAATTACCATTGTGATATAGCAAGGTAGGAGACGTGGATTGACGTGGGAGGGGTTGGAGGTTGAAGCCGGAGCGTTGCTTGTCGGTTGCTGCGAGGTCCCCAGAAACCAATCAATCAATTGCTTGGGTCGAGAAAGATGGAGAGTTGTAATTTACCGTACCACCGGTACACATTACCTAAGGTAGGTACGACCAAGGTTACAAAGTACAGTCCTGGGACGAGACTGGAGAAACGCCAAGCCCGGGCCGTTATGTCAGCCAGCCCACTACGACCCCTGTCCAATCGCCTGGGAGCTGCTGGATTCTGGAGAACTTTTTTCGTCTTTGGGGCATTTGGATTTGGGAGGAAGAAGGGAAACCACACGCGACCGCCAGACGACCACCAACCCATCTATTGCGACCTCCTCTCTGTCCACGGCCGGGTCCCACGGCTCAATTTATTGGGGCACTTGCCACAACTCCCACAACTACCACCAACCTAAAATCGACCTCTTCCCCCCCCCACATCCTCCCCAGACACACCACCAATAAATCCGCCCCATGAAGAGGTTACGAATCGATCGATGGACGGGCCAATTGCTCCTGGCTCGTTCCGGAGCCTCTCCGGCTTCCACTCCCCGGGCCGCCGCCCTCCGGTCCGCCGCACTTTCCAGATGCACCGCCGTGCGCAGTCAGTCAACGGGCACCGTGCGCCAGATACCCAAGGAAGACGACTACTATGACGGGACGGACCACACACGCTTCCCGCCTCTCGAGCAACTCCCCCCCAAAGCCACGAGCCTACCCTCCCCACCGCCCGAGAGGGCACTGCAGTCGGCAAAGCTGGCCGCCCTCCACGCCCGTCTATCCCTCCCAGAACGGCTGCCCCTCCAGACCCTCGCCCGGGCCCTGGTCGACGCCTCCGCCGACGAGAACCCGCAGTTCAACAACACCAACCTCGCCTTCGTCGGCCAGTCCCTCATCAACTACCACGTCGCCGAGTGGATCATGTGCCGCTACCCGCGCCTGCCCATGGGCATCCTGTACGCCGCCATGAAGGGCTATGCGGGGCCAACCTCTCTACATCACGTCGCCCGCTCCTGGGGTGTGGAGCACGCCGCCGTGCCCGGCGGCGAGGTCGACCCAGGCCTGCTCCAGTTCTCGATGCACAAGCCGGGCGACGCCATCATCGGGTTCGGGTACCGCCGGGCCGAGGCCGACGGGATGAAGAAGCACAAGTGGCGCCACGGCATGAGCAGCCGGGTGGTGTTCGACGACGACTTCGGCGAGGTCGTGGACTCGGAGGAGGCCAAGGACGAGCTGCAGCTCCGCGCCGACACCGAGTACGGCAACGAGTACACACGCTCGCTGGCCGAGAAGGCCTTCGCGACCTGCGCGCGGGCCGTCACGGGCGCCATCTACGCGCACGCGGGGCGGGACCGGGCCAAGGCCTTCATCAAGTCGCACGTCCTCTCGCGCACGCTCGACCTCTCGAGGCTCTTCGCCTTCAAGAAGCCGACGCGCGAGCTGTCGATGCTCTGCGCGCGCGAGGACTTCGAGCCGCCCGTGGCGCGGCTGCTGTCCGAGACGGGCCGCCTGTCGCGCACCCCCGTCTACGTCGTCGGCATCTTCTCGGGCAAGGACAAGCTGGGCGAGGCCGCCGGCGCCAGCCTCGAGCACGCCCGCACCAAGGCCGCCATGAACGCCCTCAAGAGCTGGTACCTCTACAGCCCCGGCGAGGGCGTGCGCGTGCCCAGCGACGTCCTGGCCGAGGACGCCGCCCCCTGGGAGCCCGCCTACATCGACATGGGCGAGATTATCGGACATTAAAAGACCAAAAAGAATAAATAAATAAACGTCCAGCCTATGTCATGTATCCCAAAACGGGGGGATAGGTAGGCCTAGCCTAAGGGTGAGGGCTGGGTGGGCTACGGTATCTCACTCCTCTGTCCGAGGGGGTCGCCCACAAGTATCCCTTCGCTCCGGTGTGGTTCGGGATAGGGAGGAGAGAAATAGATAGATGTATTGTACATTTAACACATCCATCCGGGCCGGCAAGCGGAAAAAAGGCACGGCTTCCTGGCCGATGATCATTGGGAGGAGTTGGGCAACGGCGGGGGGACAACGAACCCGGCCGTGTCAGTGTAGTGTATGTATAGTATTTTGCCAGACAACGGCTGCAATGTAGAAAAAAGCCATATATATGCATGCTTCTTTCAACTTTGATATTTATTATCCAACGATCATGTTACCCATCACGTCATAACTTCACATCGCAAGCATGCAACACTAGCTAAAGTGGTCACCCTCGCCCAACCCACTCACATCGCCCCTCCTCACCAGCCTCCGCAACTCAGCCCTCTCCGCGCGCCCCTCCCTTTCCAACCGCCGCTTCTTCTTGCGCTCATAAACCGCGCGCACGGTAGCGCGGATCTGGTCGCGGCCCTCAGCATAATTCGCCCGAGCAAGCGCAATCACCTCGTCGATCTGCGGCGGGGAGTAGACAAAGTTCCAGGTGCTCATGTAGTCGGAGACGGCGACGTCGACGCCGGGCGCGGCGCGGTCGTTGGCCAGGAAGGGCAGGTACACGACGGCGATGCCCGCGTCCGGGTGCGTGAGGCGCCACGCCGACGCGTCGTCCACGGGCGGCGGCGGCGGGTCCGTCGTCGCCCGCTCCTGCGTCGTCCCCACCCACACCGTGCAGTACCCCAGCTCGCTGGCCGCCTCCGACTGCCGCTGCGACTCGGGCTTCATGGGCTGCGACCCGGGCGGCTTGGGTGGGCCGTGTGTTCCGTGTGTTGGGGAGCCTGGGCTGCTGCGTTCCGGGTGGCGGGCCGCTTGGTCGGTTTTGGCCTGGGTGATTTTGCCTTCGGCTTCGGCGGTCGAGTGGGCTTGCGCTTGCTCGAGCTCCGAGGCGGTGACGGAGGGCGAGCTGGATTTGGGCCAGCCGGCTCCTACGGGCCAGCCTTTGATGTTCCGCTGGCGGGCGTAGCCCTCGACGACAGAAAGCCAGTTGTCCGTTTTGATGTCGGCCGACGCGTCGAACGCCAGGATGATGTCAACGTCTCTGCCGGGGCGGAGGAGCGGGTAGATGGGGAGGTTGTTGGACATGCCCGCGTCCATGAGTTGGAGATACTCGTTGTCGTAGACGCCTTGTGGTACCGTGTTGGGGAGCTGACCGTACATTCCGTGGACAAAGTTGGGGATGCTGGGCGGTTCGATAGGATGGACTTTGCTCAGGTCTTTGTTGTGCCCCCATATCAGGTCATCGAGTGACTGGAAGCCAGTGAGGCTCTTGACGATCGGTCTGATCTCGCGGTAGTAATGGCTCAGAGTGGCACAAAATGCACTTCCAAAGGTTCCCAAGAGAAAAGGTAGGCGGGTCTCGGGGAGACGGAAGCCCGAATCTGAGGGCAAGTCTGACCCGTTTTTGAACCTGCGGCCCATGGCCCAGGTGGGGATGCCGGCCGAGAATTCTTCGCAGAAGAACTCGTATGGAGTGATCTCGAACCACTGGAACCACGCTTCCCTTTTGGCCCTATCCTTTGCCTCTTCGGTTAAAGAGCCCGGACCACCGTAGTCGGGCGAGTCCAGCTCCGGTATCTCGTGCCGCACGGCGGTGTAGATAGGCAGTGGGTTCTGCCCATATTTCATGTATTCTCGCTGATTCGATAGTTTGAAGTCCTTCTCGTTAACCCCGAGTTCACCCTTTGGGACCAAAAGCCTTGCTGCTAGAAGCATGCCGTAGGCATCGACGAGGCCAAATTGAGAGCGGGGATCACCCTTGAGTTTCTCCACCAGGCCACTGAACAGGTACTTGTTCGTAGGCGACGTCGTCAATGCGGCGAAGGCGACCGGTGGGTAGGCGATGTGGGTACCGAGGCGTGCCTTGAGGTGGTCAATAGCGTTGTGGAAATTCGCTCCGGTCACTGACGAGTAGTAGAGGGACTGTAGCCAGCAGGAGCCGCTGACCCCCGACACGTACGTCGCGCAGTCGAAGAGCCCATCCTCAGCGGTTGCGAGAAACGAACCAGTCCCGGCAACCAAAGCCCTCAGGCCGCCGCCAGAACCGCACATAGCAATAGTAGGGACGTCATCCGGATGGATATCCCTTTCTTCAACTCCTAAAAACCGGGCCAGCGCGGGTACGATCATCTTCCGCCTCCGCTCCAGAAAGGTCTTTTCCTCGTCACACAGTTCCCCCGACACGCGAACCTTGGCCGAGTACTGGATCTCCGGGTGCGTAAACGGATCGTGTGCCTCCTGCCATATTTCAGCCGCCAATGATCCAGGCGCCATGTCCATCTCGCGCTGCAGCTTCTTGACATAGCCGGGGACGAGCTTGGCCCAGTCCGGCATGATCAGGTCCACAACCCTGTCGGAAAGCCCGTCTGTCGAGGGTACGAATGAGAGGGCGCTAAAGTTCCGTGAGAACGTGGCCCAGGCGCTCTGGTCCTCGTTCGAGGCTGCCACATCCTCATCCTTGGGGTTCCCAGGGGCCAACTTCGCCCTGGAGTCGGTATGCTGCAAGGCATCAGTCGGGAATAGCCACAACGCGAGCAATGCGCCAGTGAGCGTCACCGATATCAGCTTGGTAGCGCGCACTTTCGACCGACGCCTCTGGGGCGACAAGAACAGGCAACGCCGGGGGGGTTGCCGGTCGAAAGAGAGCCCAGAGCCATTATTTACTAACTGCGGTCTGGTTCTTGTTGTAATAAAACCGGTTTGGCCCTGCGAGTATACCGGAAATTTGAGACGGTTGAGGCGTATAATATTTCCGCGGTGCAAAGCCATCGCGGCCGTAGTCGTAGTGTGGGTGATCGTGATCGTGGTCGTAATTGCGGTTGTGGTTCGAGTCTGGAGTCGGGGAGAGTTAAATGTAGAGGGGTTTCATTATCGGTGACTTCCAAATTCTCTGGAAACTGTGTTGATTCTCATGGTCGGCATAATCAACTAGTTGCCACAATTGGCGGAAGCCGTGTTTCCTCAAAGCTGGCGCTCCCCCGCTGGCGCCATTCCGTGGGAAGAAGCGGTCTCGAGCCGCGAAGTTGGAAGCTTCGCTTCGGTACCATTCCCAAAGTTACATCATCGGCTGCTTGTGGGGCAGGGACTGCCAAGGTTAGGTAAGCCCTCCATTGGAAAATGCAATCAAGCCGGGATTGTCAGGGACGTTGTGGGGCGTTAAGAATGTTCACATTGAAAATGACTTTCCGAGCATCTTTCCACTTTCTCGGAAGAGAAATCGAGTTTTTGGCCATCCAACCTCGCCCACTTGGGTAACTACCATAGCGCGCCACCACTGTGCGTGAAAATGATCTTGGAGATTACCCCGAAGTTTCAAAATTGTGTCACGTGAAGATCGACTTGTTAGGGTCCTGGAGATGAAGCAAATTCGACGACAAAACTATCATCATCGCGTACGATTATCTTGAATGAAGACGGTGTTGTGATTTGAAAAGTCTATTGAATTAAAATATTTAATTCCAAGTCTATTATATTTTATAATACTTTTTAAGCGTATATATGCTTTCCTTTGGAAGATAATGTTAATTGTGAGGGTTATTTTTAGATTGGATTCCGTTTTGGTTGGTGGAGCTGATTTTCCGTTAAATAATATTTTGAGCTAAGCTTGGTTTTCGGTAGAAAGGAGCTTAATCGGAAAGATAAACTGTAAAAGAAAACTGTTCGGTAAATATAGTATATTTTGCGACTAGACGATAGTCCTATATACGATAACTGTTTTCTCCTGGAGACTGCCTTAGGGATGATTTTGATTAAGGAATCGGATCTTTAAGGTGTAAAACCATTACAGAGTAGTAGGAATAATTCTAAGACGATAAGTAATAGGAACTGACGGTCTGTTAACCGTTAGCTGTTAATGAGTGACTATCGACTATCTGTTGACGGTTGATAGTTGAGTACTGACGAACCGACAACCGATAGTTGTCGGCAGCTATATAATAGTAGATAGCTAATAATAGACTAACAATAACCAAACAACTGTCGGCAGCTGTTAGTCTGTTATTATAAATATAGTAGGTAGGAGGCCGACTATTAATAGAAAACTAACTTTTTTATATAAATAAAAACTAACTATAAGCTATAATATCCTATTATTTAGTAGTAATCTACTTGCTTACTAGCCTATTTAGGGCTCGGCTAGACCTTTAAGTACTTCCTAATATTTCCCTAACATTGTAAATTAGGGTTACTAACCTATAAAGCCGATATATAATGAGTGCCGGCCTACTATTAACGTTTATAGCTAATATTCCCTAAATGTTTATACTAAGCTCTTAGTTTGTAATATATATATATTAGATCCAACGTTTCTCGGAAACGAACTACCCCTTTATAAGTAAGATTACCCCTAAGGATATTATATTTGTCCAATATATTATATAAGATATTCGACTGTAGAAACTAACTGAGGAGTCTTATCTACGATACTGGAGTATAAGGATAAAGTTACTGCTAAGTTTTCTTACCTAGTAGTATGCTAAAGTAAAGGAATATACCTTTAAAGGCGGTATCTCCGATAGTACCATTACCGATCTAGAGTAATAAATAGCGGATAACGAAGTGGTAATAGTAACTGCGATATAACTAGTACTATCCAACCTAGGCGCCTTCCTATATAGTATAAACTTATAGGAATCGATAACTAACTGTTTAGGTACTTTCCCTAGAAGTATCTATTAATAACCGGAAGTTATATCTATAATACCTACTTCCTAAGTTTACAGATCCTATACTAGGAAGGTATTAGAGGCCCTCTATCTAATTTAAACCTTTTTATTAAGGATTATATCCTCCGGTAGGATATATCTATTAGTTAGAACTTTCTATACTTATTCCTAATCCAACTTAGATATATAGCCTAAGGGCCGATAACTAATAACCGATACTATCTAGAGATAAGGTCTAGTATTTAATATATACTGAGAGCCGATATAGAAACTACCTTTATTAGCTTTAATATTACTAATAGTGTTAGAATTTAATAACCTAGGTTTTATCTACTCCTTATTAGAATAGGAATACTATATAATAGCCGGTAACTAGCTAATAGGATAATATTGAGATTTAGATAGGTGAGGCCCTATAGTGTATACACTAACAGGGCTTACAATACACTTTAGAGAAGCAATGTACAGTACTATTGCTTAGCTACCAGCAGTAATTACAGGGCCTAGGCCCTGTAACAGTGGTTAATTTAGTAGGTAGACCACTATTGTTTTGGGAATGCCTCTGTATTTGCTATCTTAACCACTAGAGTTGGATTTACTACTTCCTTCTCATATACCCACCGACCGGGGCACAGTACCGAATTCGGCCTAGCAGTCTTAGTAGTAAAAAACTGAATCCCGTAAAACTCATTTATATACGTTTAACTAAAAATGGGCTCACCTACTCGCAGCCGCACCCAGAAGTGCCCGGGCCTACTTACACTACTACCTTAAAAACCGGTATAGGGTAGGCCGGTTGGGGCCAAGCGGTGTAGGGTAGGCCGTTTAGGAGCCAACTACCGGTGTAGGGTAGGTCGCTTGGGATGCCAAGAGGTGCAGGGTAGGCCGGTTGGGAACAACCGGGTGCAGGGTAGCTCGCTTGGGAAACCTAGGTGCAGGGTAGGTGTAGGGTAGCTCGATTCGGGAGAAACCAGCACTTAGTGAAAAGAAGAACCAACCTTCTTCAAACTAAGATAACTAGCCACCCAGTAATTGTACCGCTACAACTAAAATACCAGTATATAGCTATAGGCTATACAAATTCAATTACAGTACTGTAGAGCCCCCCAGATGGCCACAGCACTAGTAATCTGAACTCTAAGGTTTAATACCCCCTCTTTATAGGCCTATATACTTAGTAGAGTATAAAAGGTTTAAACCTTAGCTATACTAACGAAGAGAATAAAAAAGACTAACTAACTAAACTAAAACTAAAGAACTATAGTAGTTAGATACTATTTACAGGCTTTTCTAGCTATTGAAGCTATATATAAAAAGGATTAAATTGTAGGACTAATTTTAAAACTATTTATAAAAGGAAGAAATAGTAGGGAATGGATAGGCTGTTATAGTAGGTGGTCCAATCTAATAACTACTATAAATACCTCGGCTTCTTTAGACCTAGTAGGTCTATAAACGCCCTAAAGAGTTAGCTCACCAAAGCCTTTATAAGCCTATCGGCCGGCATACGTTTAGTATCAAGAAAACTAATGGAAACTAAGCCCCCTCTAACCTTCTTACACACATAGTGGAATTTCAGCAGTATATGCTTAGTTCTACTATATAGAGCTGGGTTATAGGCTGTAGTTATAGAGCTAGTATTATCCTTAAATATAGGTACTGGGCCTATAATTGGGCACCCTAATTCCTTAAAGAAATCCATTAGCCACTGAGACTCCTGTATAATCTCTGTAAGTATATCGGTTTCGGCCTTAACTGTTGAAAGGGCTATAGTAGAAGCCTGTTTCGATTTCCAGGTTATAGGTCTACCGACTAATTTAAATAAATAGCTGTAAATGGATTTAAACGTTTCTTTATTGCCTATATAGTCGCTATCTGAAAAGCCCACTAATTATAGGTTCTTTACCCCCTCTAAAAGAGTATTTACTATATCCTTTTTAGTAGGACTATAACAAATAGCTAAATCCTTACTACCGTTTAGATACCGGAGTAGGTTTTTAGCGGTATTAAGATACTCTATAGTAGGGCCCTATATAGCTTGTAAGAGCCACTATACCGTAAAGGCTATATCTGGCCTTATTAGGAGCATTAGGTATATTATAGTACCTACTATCTTTTAGAATAGTTTGTGGTTGGACCTATTTACAGGGCTACCTTTACTAGATATATTGGATTTATAATTAGTAATTCCTGGTTATAAGGGTATAGAGATTAATCGACTAGAATCCAACCTAAATATCTTTAAAGCTTCTTCGATATACTGTTTTTAATGGATATATAGTATTCTCTTTTCTCTAACCCTCTCTATTTAAACTCCTAGGAAAAAGGCTACCGGGCTTCTATCTTCTATAGTATAGACCTTGTTAAAACAACGTTTAAAGGCCTATATTTTCTTAATATCAGGCCCTATAAGAAGGCAATCATCAACGTAGGTAACTATAAAGATCCTAGTAGTAGGATTATAGAAGATAGCAGAGTCTGAAACTAGTAGTTTAAAGCCTTCCTTTCTTAGTAAAATACTAAGATTAGTTTGCTATAGTCTAGGACTCTATTTTAGGCCGTATAGGGCCTTAGAAAGAAGTATAACTTAGTCCTCCTTAGGGTTATATCCTTGCTTCTTTAGTAAAGCCTTAGTAGATTTTGAGGCCCTACAAGCATAGTCTATAAAACCGTCTGGAATTTGTATATAGTTTTCTTCTTTTAATTCCCTATTTAAAAATACCCCTATAAAATCGATTTGTTCGATTTCCCAGTCCTCTATAGCTGCTATAGCCAGTAGGACACGCTACGAAGGTAGTATAGTAGTGTGACGAACCTGTCTCTAGACCCGTCCTGTTAGGGTTCAGTATCGGTCGAAGGTATTCTCTCAAGGGTGCTTAGGTTCGGTGCAGCCAAAGGGTGCACAACAAAGACTTGTCTCAACAGTAGGCTCTCGAGCTTGTAGCGAACTGTAGTTGTGATTGCTAACTGGAGAACTCCCAGAGCTCTCCAGAACGAGTGACTATATACCATCTAAGTCCCAGGTATCTCTGTACCTGTCCTGTGTGTGGTAGCTCATGGTCGCCCGTCTACCCAAGTCTACCCGTGGTAGCTCGTGGTAGACTGCGATCCAAGGCTACCGCTTGTCCCGGGTAGCCAGCGTCCCTGGGCTACCCAACGGGCCCCCGCGTCTTGGCTTCCCAGCCGATTGGGTGAGGGCAGTCCTGCTGCGCCCCACGCGGTCCCGTTATATGGTTGGTTCGTGACACGATGCCCCCTCTCCAACATCTCTCGCCCCGAGAGATGCCGCACTTCCTCTTGAAATACGCGCCAACGTCCACTTCCTTGCTAGTGAGTATGTTTCCTTGACCTTATCGCAGTCCCTTGGCCATGATGGCTAATCGTCTGGGTAGCGCTCGCCGCGACCTGCAACGTGAACGCCAAGTTCTTGCCGCGGAAATTGATCGTTCTGGTTACGAAGTCGCCATGCCTTGCCAGCGGTGTTGGGATGCGAAACCGCGAAAGC